TGAATGGGTTACAAATATGGGTTAGATGCTATATATTTCATCATTTGTCCCGTTTGGGTTTAGTATATACAGGGTTTTTTAGCGCTGGCCGCTGTTGGTTTTACGGCTCTGGGAAATATATTTATTGCATCTGCCTAATGTACAGAACATTAGATTGGTGCTTACGCAATATATTCAAAGTTTTTATCAGCAAACATGTATTTTTGAACGATAATTTCATGACGTTCGTATGGTTTTATTTAGAAGTATTTCGATTTATGGTTGTAATGCATTTTTACTGCTCTTAAATTTGCTGTCAATCATTCTCATTGGGCGCTTACGAAACCCTTAACACTCTGCAGACCAATTTGAGCATCTTAATTTCCAACTTTTGGTTACTTTTATGTTTGGATCCTTTTGTTATAAAGTTTTCCCTTTCCCAATTAAAATAATATTGATAACCAGTGCTGGTTACCGAAATCTAGAAGACATTTTCTACGCTTCGCCAATCCCAGTTGCCACAAAATCCATGCCGCAAAGACCGGTTAAATTATTTTCCAACTTAATTACAGTTTTACAGTCACTCTGCAATTTAATGCGCTTCTATAAATGCGAATTTGTTGCACTATTAACAAGAATTTACTCTCTACGCAAGCTGCAAATTATCTAGTACTTGTTTTTTTCTGCTCTGCGGGTCCGCGAACTTGGTCCTGCGGCAGGCCTGGAGGTCCTAGAGGTCCTGGGAGTCCTTGGGTCGGCAGGTGGCGCGAGTGGAGTAGAGTTGCCATGCCGACCAGCAGGTGGCGCCAGGGCCTCTTACTCGGTTTTAATAACGCTCGCCTTGATGAAGTTAATAATGTTGCTGGGTGATTACCATTTACGGCGCTTGTTGTTGCCCCTGCCGCCGTTGCCGTGGCTGCCACTCCTGCCACTCCTGCTCCTCCAGGACCTGCCGCATTGTTAATGGAGATGTAGTTGGAGCTGGAGTTTGGGGCCGGGGAGCGGCCTCCCGCGGTGCGGCAAAGTGTTGCCAGTAATTGCAATTTGTTGCCCCTGCCGCAGCAATCTAAGTTGGATTCTCATTAGAATCGCCGGACAGATCTGCGCTCCGCTGCCCAAAGTGTCTGCCCAGACCTTCAGCGCTCCCTAATCGAAGTCCTGTCAATCGAAGACAGGAACACACAGAACCGCAATAAAGCGGAGCGCTTGCGACTTGCAAATTCAATTAGTTAATCCCCAAATGGTGGATGTCGGCGATAAGGAGGCTAAGGAGGAGCACGTAGCCACTGCAGGATGACTTGGCATGTGGCATGCGTCATGCTCTGTGCACCATGCCCCATGCAGCATTCACCACCCGACTATTGTTATATCGTATTTGAGCAAACGCTGCCAACTGCAGCACCCCGAAAATCGTTATAAAACATTCGCCTCCGACTTTGACAGCTTGTATTCCCTGCCATGCAAATGCCAGGCACGTTGCTGACAAGGGGGCGTGGCAGCCAGCCAGGCCCGAAGCCCAAGCCAAAAAGGATGCGCCGGCGAAAGGTGCCACGGATGTTCGATTGATGGTGGCAGCTCCCAGCTCCCAGCTACCGTTTTTCAGTTTCCAGCTCCGAGCTGGAGTCGCCGGAGCGGATGTGCTACGACAATATGCTGAAGCAGCGCTAATTTTTTCTTATTTTTCTGGCAGCTTACGTGCGGCCACGCCCACCGAAAAAGTAGGAGGCTCCCTGAGTACACCAAGAAAAAGCCATGACGCAATATCTGCTTATTATTGTTATTTTAGCACATCAAGTCAAAAGTTAAATGGACATCTTTCAGAAATGTAGGTAAATAGGCATTGCTAAGAAAATGTTTAAGTGGGTAATATTTGATTTGATACAACATATATTCTTTATTTAGTTACATAATATTGTACATACATTTCTGGAAAATCCTGAAACATGTACATGGTATTAAGAATAATCCTTGATTTCTAACTTTAGAATGTTTAGTATTTGTTGTTTTATTTCCTTTGGAATTGTTGGTAGTCCTGATTGACAATTTCCCTTTAACATTTTAAAATAACTAGTAAAGAGTTATACTGGGCGGGAATATGACATAGACTACTTATCCATCATATCAAATGAGACCATGAACCATACTAAAAAGCCGAAAATCGAAATGCACAGTTCTAAATCATCGGGTTTTTGTATATGTTACCAAAAAGTTGTATTATTATTTTACTATCCAAGCGTAGTAAATGATTTTAGATCTGGAGGACTGCTTTTGTGAACAGTAAAGTATAGATTTAAATGGAACATAAAGAATTCCTAGATTTTCCTCCGTGCACCATAACCATAAAGCAAAGTTAAAGCTGCGTGTGTGTGAGCGGAAATAATAATCGTCAAATTAATACGCGTCGGGAATTTCGCAAGGCCCCAAAACGCTGCTTGGCAACCCTGGAGGCCTTCGACCGACCCGACAAATCCCGAATACGTGCGAGCATTTAAAGCAAAAACAAATAAAACTTAAGTGCTGCATGTGTGAAAGTGTTCCTTGGGAGGTTGGGGGTTCTGGGAATCGGAGGCGGCCCACTCAGGTGTCCCGCCAGCCCATGGTTAATCCGATCCCCGGCTGCTTAATCAGCTCCGGCTGCTTGGCCAAGATAACAGAGTGAAACGAATCTCGAAATCTGGGCCAGCAGGAGGACGGGAGACTTGGGCCACGGACACACATACATCACTCTGCCCGAAAAGCGGTCGGGGCCATCAAATTTCAGTCATAACAATAACACTGATAGTCCCCCGCTCGTAAAATAAGACCCGGCCAACCCTTTTTTGGGGATCTGGCCGGGATTTGTTGCTGTCCTCATGTGTCTCTCTGGCCGGGGACGTGGATGTGGATGGGGATGTGGATGTGGATGCGTTGTTGTTTCAGCCCCAGCTTGGAAAACAATCAAGAGAACGCGACACTAAAAACCACGCACGTTTTGGCCCTCATCCCCGGGCGGAGACACAGAAATTCGACAATGGCACTTGACGTTCCTGGGAGTCGAAGGGTGAACGAGGAGGGGTCATATTCGGTGGAGGGCAGGTCAAAAGGCGACGCCTAAAGCATTTAAATCCTTTTCGCACTTTCGGCTGTCAGTCTTCCTCTTGCTCCAGCAACGCCAGCTTGTTGCGTGTGAATTTCCATTTCGACTATTTCCGGGGACCACACTGCGTATGACGTATGGAATGAAGAGGATTTCGGCGAGAATGGCACTGGGGATGGGGCGTCACGCTTAATTTTTGGCCTCGTCGTTTTTAGTGGGGCATAAGGCCGTAAAATAGGAATTTGCTTTATTAAAATTTTTCGCTTGAAAAATATGAGACAACGCCGAGCGATGAAAACAGCGAGAATTCGCACACAGCCAGGCGGGGGATCCAAGGACTTTCGCCTCCAGAACGAGGTAAAAATGTACTCAACTATGAACTTTCCAAGCCCCACATGTGTGTGTGTGTATGTGGTGTGTGCGTGCGGGGAAATAGGCAAAAATTTGCGACAGGCCGAAGGTTACGTTGATCCTTGTCTGCTGGGGCTGCTCCTGGCACACTGGCATCCTGGCAAGGGTTCGGTTTTTGGGAGCTAGCTCTCGTCTGGGTCTGACAGATGCCCCCTCCTGTAACAACGAAATTTATATAAATTGCCCGTAATGCTGCTGGCTGTTCGACAACAACACAACAACAACAACATCGATCCAGGGGCGTGGGATGGGTAAATTGTTGTTGATTCCCCGCTTGTTCCTTCCACATTCCTTGCCAAACAAATTATGTACGAAAAGGGAAAATAATGAAATCGTAAAGAGTTTGGCAACGAATGAGTTCCTAACCCGGCTGCTCTGTGATATTTTTCTTATTTAAAATTCATTTCTGTCCTACAGTGCCATCCCACCCCCACCCCCACCCCATCGCATCCCATTTTAACCAGCCCCATCCCCCTGCAGACATGATGCGTATGCAAATTGCTGGCCATATTAATCATTGCCAGTTGGTAGCGCCAGAGCTAAGTTTTATTTTATTTCCACTTTTTCCCTCAGCGAGAAAGTGCCGGCGGGGAAAGGGAGAGTGGCGTGCCCAGATTTAAAACTGCATTTCGTTGCTTATAAATAAACAGAGCCCGGGCGGGCACAAGAAATAGTCTCTGCTGGAAAATTTATGAAAGCGCGAATAAAATGCTCGTTTCACGGGACGCCAGTGGGCGGGGTGGAAAAGCTTTTTTGGGGGGTTTTAGGACACTAAAAACAAGTGCAGCTGCAACTGCCTCGACTGACGACCGTCGCGTTAAATGCTTTTGTTGATTTTAGATGCGCGACTGCCTCGGGAAAAGCCATGCCACCGCCCCCGCACCGCTTTTTCCACCGCCAACTCGCACAATTTAATAGTTTCGGCGGCAAGAAATGAACTCCACAACTGCAGCAGTCTGCAATGTGTCTTGGCAAACAGACACGGACAGGGGACCACGGACAGCGGACAACGGACAGAGGACGACGGACTGAGGACCACGGACTGCGGACTACGGACTACGGATACGGACCACACCCACAATTGGCTTTTGTGGCACGGCAAACGCGCTTTTTCGTTTTGGGTCCGGGAAATGTGTTTGTTTTTCATTAAAAAAGAACCGAACGCAGGGGCTCTGGCCAAGTTTTTGCCCAGTTCTTTTTTAAGGCAGCTGGAAACGGTCAAAGTTCGGGGAGGAGCCCGGGGCTCCGGCGGGAAGAGCTTTGCGGAATGTCCTGTTTTATTGCGGTCGGGATTCGCTTTGACTGGGCTATGGACTTGGGGCTCCGGACTCCAGGCCATGGGCCATGAGCTCTGGGATCGCGGACTTTGAGTAAACACATATTTCATAATTCATCATACGGCGCTGCGATAGAAAGTCACGTTTTTAATAGGGGACCCAGCGGACGCACAGACCGGAGACAACAAATGGCCGCGAGGACAATTAATTAAGTGCATTGCTAATGAATCACCCTCCCTCTTTTTGCTCCCTTTCAGCTGTCATCGTCATCCTGGCCAGCGCCCCCGCCCCCAGCCACGCCCAGCAGCAGAAGTTCCGGACCACGCCGCACGACCTGCAGGTCCTGGAAGGAGCCGAGGCCATGATGCGCTGCGAGGTGGCCAACGTGGCCGGCGCCGTCCAGTGGACCAAAGACGGGTTTGCGCTGGGCTTCTCGGCGGTGATCCCCGGCTACCCGCGCTACTCCGTGCTGGGCGACCGCAAGCAGGGCATCTACAACCTGCGCATCTCGAACGCCTCGATCAACGACGACGCCGACTACCAGTGCCAGGTGGGCCCGGCGCGGCTCAACAGCGCGATCCGGGCCAACGCCAAGCTGACCGTCATATGTGAGTATCCAGTCCATATAACCTAACTAAAAGCGAACTTACAAAACTCAAAACATCAGCTACCATTGAAAAGATACGGGTTCTGGTGACTTTGAGTTATTAAAACTAGTTAGACTTATAGATTCTTGGAGATAGGGAAGCTTTGCTGCATGATTAAAGTCCTAAGAAAAGTTTTCAAAAAGTTATGAACACTTTCTTTGTATCTTAGTTTATGTAGGGATATCTGTTTGTATTTTAAGCAGTTGCTTATATTTTTCTGGATCAAGTTATATACTTTTCTATTATGTTTTCTAATTGATGAGCACCTAATCAACTAATTTTTCCAAGTATCTTAAATCCGTTGCGTAATGGTAAAAAAAAAACTGCTTTTTACTTATACGGAGTATAATAACTATCTGTAACTGACCGTTTTTTAATGTATTGTAAAATATTTACAATAGCGAAGACAGCTCACAAATCAATATGCAATAAGCAGAAATTCAGATGGATGTTTATCATCGTACCAATTTCAATTTGACTTGAACTTACTTTGACATCTACTAACAATACAGCTCAAACAATATCCAACTGTTTTGCTATTCAGAGTCACAGAGTTTCGGATTCCATAGATCCTTACCAAGACCTACACCCTGAAACCCCTTCGAAAGCCCTCTATATGCTTTATCTTCGGCCCACCCACTCAATTGAATTCCCCCCTCGTCGGGTTCGCCTTTTTCTGGGGGCTGCAATTAATTTAAGTAATAAATACAAATGAATTTGTCACCGGGGGCGCCACACAAGTACGTACACACATTTGCACACACAGCGGCACACATTCCTGCTGTTTCCTGCTCATTGCACCTACGGAATTCTACTAGTGAAATTTAAATGCGGGCCCCCTCCCCCTCCCACAGCACCTGTCCCACTCCCACATCTGCCGTCCCTGTCGCTGCCAACATTTATTGTCAGCAATTTGCAAAACAACAGCAGCAACAGCATCGCCGGGCTGAGCTGAATTTAGCGCAGTTTATTGCTCCAAGGAGCCAGAGTGGGCGGAAAAGGAAAACCTGGGGGTGGAGTTGGAAAACGGGGCTGTATCTCCACTGCAGGCAAAGCGATGTGAAATGAATTCCTTTTTGTTTCAGCCTCGTTTTCGGCTGCTGCATTGTCGTCTAGCAATCACTTTGAATGCTCTGCCGCTGCTTTTGCTGTAATTGTAATCACTCAAGGAATTGCGCTACATTTGATGACAGCGATTTTCATTTGGCCCGCTTCGCTTGGTCCTTCCCAGGAATTTTTCCCAGACATCAAGAGGCTCCATGGCTACCACTCACTATATGTGTAGCATACATTCCGGGGCCCAAGGCCCAGGGCCCACGCACACACGCGCACACGCCTAATGACGTTTGTTTAGTTAATTACGCGCCATGAGCTGTGACAATGGCGAAGTGTGTGTGTGAGGCCATGGGGGGTGCAGAAGGAGAAAAAAAATGGACCTTCTAGACTTGAGGATACCCAGAACATGTCATAAGTCCCTCGCTTGGGTGCACTCATAAGAACATCATGTTATAACCTTCTCAGGACTAGTCCCAATGATCCTATGAATTAGGTATATATTTTTAAAGTTATTGAATCTTTAGCCTTTTGTAGTTTTCAAATGCGAAAGAAATCCCCTTATTACAACTTATTCTTATCAGTTTTTCAAGACTTAGTTAATATAATAATATTTTATAATAATATTTTCGATGTTTTATTTTAAGCCCAATTAAGTTTTACCAACTTTAGCCACTTAAGGTCCTTATATACCCTTGGTTTCCTTGCATACCCTGCATAAAAAATAAAATAAAATAAGGAAAAAACCAAGCCAAGCTCGGGATGCTGGGGCAGTAGAAGTTGGGTTGAGCTTGTTAGTGCCTGCGAGTTGTTGTTGGAGTGGCGAAAGGTCGGTCGTCACATGACATGTTTGTCATAATTGTGGATACTTGTGTGAGTGCTGCCCAAAACCCCCTTTCACCCCCTCCCCCCTGACCCACCCATGGTTTTGTAATGGAATCTTCGTCTTGGCTTTCACAAATGACATGTGTCTGTGCCCCAGTCCAAGGTATTTGGGCATATAAGGCATGGGTGGGTGTTGGTGGGGGGCACGTGCGACATTATTGCTGCAATTAGCCGAAGGGAAATGTGGACAAATGCCTAATAATTCAATTAAGTTCGAATTACATTTATTTGATTTATTCCAAAGAGCGACTGTCTGCTATTTATCTGCTGTTTGCCTACCTAGTATTTTATGCAGGGTATACTCATGGGAGTAAGCGGTCGATCAAGAATAATGGCCAAAATGTTTACCAATTTACTTAGTTAATAATTTGTATAATTTTATTTAAATTACACATTTGACTGGGCCAGTGGCGGATCCAGAATTTGGTTGTGATAGGGTATAGACAAAAAATTGGTTGAATTAAAATATGTTACATATACTTTTTTACCCAAATGAGGGAGGTCTAACCTCCATATACCCCACGTATCCGCGGTTTGGTCCAGGGTCATGGTTTACCAGAAAATACTTCATAAAAATATTCTCTAGCCTAACCAAATTTAAAATGTTGGGCAGCAAAAAGTTGGCCACGTTTGCTGCAGAATTTATAAACAGTCGTTAAACCATAGCAGGTATATAATATTTCAATTCATGAATATTTTGTTTGAAATTTAAAGTTTTCCTAGCGAAAACCGCTTTGTGCCACACTTAAATTTACCAACTATATTTAGAGAACAAAATGAAAAAAACTCTTAAAATATAAATATATGTACTTGTTTAAGCGTTATCGTGAATGACAAATACTAGGGAAAACTATAGTTGCATATCGGTCTATGTAATCTCCTCTTGGAAGATATGATTTAATTAAAACTTTGTGCAGATAGTCTATTAAAAATTAATAGCACTCACCTTTTGTCCTGCTCAAATTAAATTTGCAGACTCCGTTACAAAGTTTCTGCAGCAATTTGGGTGTAACACTGGCCGTGCTTATGTTAAAGTTCCAAAAATTATTCCGCACTCCCACCGGCACATACCTGTACCTCCATATATATAGGTATGCATATATAGTACGGGTAAAAATAAACGTGAGGGCGCAATTAGATTATAAGTTTGGCAAAAGCAAAGAACTTTTGCACACAAAAGTCCACGTGCAAATTTATGGAAATTCCCAGAAAATTTTCGCATGCCATTAATTTGGAATACAAAAAAGTAGGACCAAAAAATAATAATGGAGCCAAAAACACATATGCCGCAAGGCAACTGCACCGTGTCCATGTCGGGGTCCGAATCCAAGAGCCAAAACTTTTTGCCGGGCGGCGGACAATGGCAAACGGCAATGGGAATGGCCGGGCAGGCGGAGAGCACTTGCAGCAGCCACCTTGGAGCGTTTATAAATTTTTGACTACAATGCAGCCCGAATTTAAGTTGGACTTCCTTCCTGGCCAATAGACGCACTTCATTGATTTTCAAATGTCCGCACATTTCTCACCAGCACACCCACTCCGCCCCACCGCCTTTGTAATTGAAGTGCAAATGAGGAAAGTTTTCATCTGCCGGCATTCCGGGGAAATATCGCCCGACATTTGTTATGTGAGGCTGACCTTAAAGTCAGCCCCGAGCGCCTTGGGTCGCACTCCGGGTGTGACTGGGCTGATGGCTCAACTTACATCACTTCCACTCAGCCAGCTCCCCTGGCCCAAAACGAAAAAATGGCCAATTCTTGCCTTCGCCTTGGATTGAGTTTGGGCTGCAGTGGGTGGGCGGATGGCTGGCCTCGGCTTTGGCTGGTGGAAAAGGGCTGGGAAAGTATTCCGGCGCATAAAACTTTTATGAGGCGTACTATTAGTGGGTTAGCCGGGGTGTCGCTGCCCGAGGGGTGACTGCGGAGGGGGCAAGGGGCAAGCCGAGTGGTCCAGTGTTCATGGCAAATTGCACTTTGTGTACTCGCTTGCCAGGAATCCGGCAACTGGAGCCGGTTGGAGCTCAAGCTCTGCCGCTGCCAGAGCCGTTATTGCAGCCATTGTTGCATAAATTATTTGATGCCAGCCAACAGTGCACTCAAAGAAGCTGCACCACCCACCCACCGGGATTCCCCCACATCCCACCACTGTCATGTGGGGGCGCGGCTTATGCATAAAATTTAATCAACATTTAACCTTAACCAGGGGAGCTCGCTGGCCGAATTTTCACCTGATGGGGCACGAGTACAAACTGAACCCACTCGCTAAGCTGCAACTTAATAATAGCTGATTGCTATCTATGTTTTCCCATACGAAACACTTTGTAATATATTCATATTACTATGATAGTTGTTTACAAGTTTACAAGGTCTTTCTAGGTTTTTCATAAGCATTTAAATATAATTTTATTTATGCACAGTACCTATTTTACACTTGAATTCCAAATAATTGTATTATATAACTACGTTTTTATATACGAAAGGAATTATTATCGATTTTCTTCTGTTTTCATATATAAATGTTTAATTAATTGACAAGTTATGCCCTCCTTTGAATTTTTATCAAGTATACCATGTCTTAGTATTTTATTTGCACAGTTACATTAGCAAACCTTAGATAAAAAGTGTTCTTTATATTTAAATGGGATTCAACTATAGATATAATTTAATCTAAATATCAACGACTTCACTTCTGTGTAAACAACATTTCATGGCAAGTCTGTCTTGTTGAATATATGCTATTAGAATCAAATGACTATTAAATAAGATCGAGTGAAAGGGAAATCAAACCCGAAGTCTACGATTTCCGTTGTTCTGCATTTACACCGACATTTTTGTTGCCTAGCAGCTTTTGTCAGACTGCCCTTCGACCACTGAGCCCTCTTATTGTTCCCCTTGAAAGGGCTCCACCTGCTCGTTCGTCAATAATCAAATACAATATGCATTCCAATCAACAATGCACATAGCCCACGTTCCAATCCGCACGCACCTACATACAAGAGGTATAGATATAGATATAGAAATGTCTGCGCAGGATGGCAGGCCACGCTTCGGCATAAATCGAGTTGCATTTGCCAGGACTTGGCGCTAGAAAAATCATAAAATGTGCATATATTTCGCATTTTAACCATGCAGCACGCGCAGTGCCACGCCCCCTCCCAGTGCGCCCCCGAAAAGCCCTGCCACGGTGTGCCAAATATTATGAATTTTCAATGCACGTACCGCCCCCTCAAAGCCCCGAAAGTCCACGGACAATCTGTACAGCCAGCGGTGCCACGGCGACACCAATTTCGGATCTCAAAGCCTTTAGTCAAGGTTGATGCTGGATGCTGGATGCTGGATCCTGGCTGCAGGATGATCTAGGGATGCCATTGGCGTTTCCTCAGGCAAAAGGGTTGCGCGCTGAATAACAAGCAAAGCATCGGTGGCCTTGTAAAAATAAAGGGAGATTTTCTAGTCAGTTTTTGGTATAACATGTTACAGGCAAATAGTAAGTTAATTTAAGAATAAAGTGGAACCATTTCAAAACAATTCTAGTTGATATGAGGGAGTTCCTTCCCCAACTGAACTTCATATCCATACCAAATCATAGAATTAATTGAAGAATTCGAATAGTTTTCCACCCAAAACAGATAAGTATTCTCCCATTTCAAATTGTACCTTTCCAATAGTAGTGACCTTATTATATCTTTTGTTTCTTCATACATAAATTAATGGCGAAAGAAGAGGACCATCCCAAAATTCAATACTTATAGAATCGTTCTGTTTTGCCTGAAGATGAATTCAGTCATTCAATCAATTACCGAATATTCATTGGAAAACAGATTTTAAATTTTTCTTCGATGACCTAAATAACCACAAGGGCACTTCTTTAGACGAGAAACAAGTATATATTAAAGTCATCGCACCTCTGGGTGTGTCTGTTAATAAACCGGAAAATCATCGGCTTTCACGGTACAGTGCCGCCATTGAAAAGAGGAATATTGTGGGGTGAAAGGGAATACCTAAGCTCCTGAATTGGAAATTACATTCATGTATTTGATTTGTTGCATAATAATGTGCGCAGCTGGCGGCGATGCTAAACTAAATCTAATCAAAGGGAAAGGGACACCGTCCTTGCGGTGTTGATTTCATTTGTGCCGCAACAAAAGCAATTACCTTTACGCAGAATGATGTCGCAGACAAGGAACCTCCACCCAAACCCCCTTCTGAGCCCCAACCCCTCCCTGCAGCCGAGGGAGTCCTTGTGCGACATTAAGCATTCATTTTGCATGCAACAACTTCTGGAGCAGTTCGCGGAGCAGACGGCAACATATGTTGCATGTCAAATGCAGGACTCCCTAAGCCAACTCCTTTGCGGGGATGGTCGGGAGTGTAGGCTCCACTCCAGCTCCTGCTCCAGCTCCTGCTCCTTTTCCCGCTTAGTGCGATGGCAATGGCAGCCAAACTCCTTCAGGTGGCATTAAAATAATGCACACGTGCACTTAACTTTATCCACGTTCCTCGTTGTTTGTTTCGCTGCACGCTCGTACTTTCGTCGGTTCGCTTGTTTGTTTCTGCGTCTCCAACTGCTGCACTCATGCACCACCCAGTTGCACCACCCACCCACTCGGCACCACCCGGCGTCACTCAGCCATTGTTTCGCCGGTGGCTCGTGTATATTTCAACAGTTTGCCAAGGCATGCCGGCTCAGTTATGCCATGTTCGCATCCTCGTCCTCTTGAGCGCAAATATTGAAACTCATATTTGAGCACATTAACGAGGGAACTGCCTACACGGAGAAAAACAAAGTGGGACTTGTTAAGTTTTTAAAAGACAGGTCGAGGCATAGATTCATGGCAATCAAGTAGGGAAGTTTGAGTTGTATTTGGTAGAAAAAGGTTTCTGTCGCACATCGGATTAAATAAAATCACACTCATTTTATACATTTGGTTATTAAATACTTATTTTCATGTAACATTAAATGATTTTAAATAATGACTCAAAAGTTTTGTAAATACATGTTTACCATATCATAGGCATAACAAAATTTCAAGGGTAAAGTTGACCAATACGAATAGCTACGTAACTTCAAAAAACGGTTAACAAATATTAAGAATACTGACGTGTATTTTATAGTTGCTTTGGTTACTATTTAATAGTCAAACTACCATACAATGGTAAGCTGTGTGTGTTCTTTTGTTGGAAGAGTAACTATTTCGTTGGTAAATTGACGATCGGTTGGGACCATTTAACTATTATATAGGTAAATTGTACATACAAATTTTTATGGATATACCAAAAGCATAAAAATATAAAGAATCTCAACTTTTAATTTTGAAAATGTTTTAAAAGGAATAGTAAGGCTTATCATTTTTTTAGAGTGCATCAGGGGATGGAGCTGGTGAAGTGGGTGGTTAACAAGGACGGAATGCTGCGTTCTTGGCGCATTCTTCCTGGCCTCCGCTTCCCAATTCCAGCTGCTGTTTCTGTTTCTGTTTCTGCATCGGCGGCCATTCAACCTGGGCCTTCAACAACAATGTCGTCTGTCGTCGCATACACACAATGCATTAGGCAGTGCCACGCCCTCGCCCTCGCCCTCGCCGCCCACCGAACGCCCTGTAATGCCATTGTGGCCCATAATGAGCAAAGCTTCCCTGGCAGCCATTAGCTTTTGTTTCGACCCGCGCCCACCGCCCCGCGAACCTCCTTTGTGACCCACCCCTAATCGCTGCATCTGCTCCTCTCTTCCAGCTCCGCCGGCCTCGATCGAGATCAAAGGTTACAGCCACAACTCCAAGGTGGAGGTGCGCGAGAACCAGGACCTGCAGCTCAAGTGCATCGTGGCCAATGCTAAGCCGGCGGCTCAAATCGTCTGGTACCGCGGCAATGTGGAATACAAACCAGGTTAGTAGCAGTAGTCATTATCTTTTATGTCCATCCATGCCCCATCAACCGCGCAAGTTGGCTTTTGTCACGCACCTGTCACTAAGAGTATAAAAACATATATTTAAAATCATATGGGAAACGGTTTATCTATATTGAAAATATGTTTTATGGTTAGCTCAGGAATAAATATAAATATAAATTAATGTTGACGTTAAAGTTAACTAAAGAATACTAAATAAACAACAATAAGATATATGAAAGAAATGCACAATACCAAGCTAAAGTAATAAAAGGGGCTAATAATATTTTATAACAAAACCTTTTTTTACATTCCAAGAGAAGAACTGACTCGAGATATCCCAGCGATATTAAACTGCCTAAAACAACATAGGTTGTACGAACATAACAATATACATTTCCTCTTCGAAGGCATTATGCAGAATACAAAAAGTGTAAATGGGTTTTGGCCAGGCCCTTTTTAGCCGGGATAAGTGCGGATGCGGCTGAGCCGGGACCGTGAAGGTTGCAAATGGGATGGGGATGGGGATTGAGGATGCGGATGGGGATGAGAACGATGGCCCTGCAGATGGAGATGGGCAAAGTGACGCCTGTCAACCGTTTGGCCATCGCACATGTGATGTGATGGAACGGGGGAGGCAGGATCAGGATGCGAGGGTCTGACAGGATGCGGGGGCGACAGGGAAATGGACGTCGACTTTCGGCCTGATGACGGTGCTTAAATAATAATTTTATACTCCAACAAAGCGCCGACTGTCGATGTTCAGCCCTTATCTGCTGTGTGGTTCGCTGTCCTGTCCAGAGTCCAGAGTCCAGAGTGCCGGTCCCTGGTCCCTGGTCCCCGGTCCCTCTGTTTGTGCCTTGTCATTTAGCCGCTGCTGGGCAGTCAGCAAATTGGAAAACAGAGCTGCTGGAAAATATGGAAAAATGCAAATGTCAATGGGTAAACGGGCTAAGCGGATAGGGGGCCGATCCCATCACACGGCGCTTAGCCGCCTTCACGACTTTTAATTTTCATAATGATTATGGCCCCGACAACCGTACATGTGGGTGGGCAAGGGCGTTGGGCCGTCGCCTGTTTGCCCCCTTAAGGGTGGCGGACTTTACGCCCCCTTCCCGCCATTTGGCCAGTAACGAACGAAATCATTTTAGCACAACTGGCGCGTTAAAAATGCTTAAAATGTGAAACGCACGGCGACAGCCACGATGATGATGGAAATTTTTCGGGTAAACATATAAAAAACAAGAAACAAAAAGAGCAAAACAACACAAGCCAGGAAGAGGGAAGAAAATTCGCAAAGCGGCGTTAAAATGTAGGAAAATCCGCAAGGAAATGTGGACAGCGGAAGGAAGCTGCATGATGAATTATGTTTATGACGCAATATGTTGCGGCAGGGACTCCGGCCGGACCCCATGCCCATAACCATTCCCGTAGAACACTTCCCTCGGTCCAGGGTTTACGAGAATGGCCAGTTCTGGTCTCGGTCTGGGTTTTGTATCATTTGCAAGCTGTCAGGGGCGTGTGTGTGTCTGTGTGGTGGGGACGCGTAAATGGCGGTTAATGTGGGCAGGCGGCCATCTTGGTGATTACCCCCGAGTAAAATGGTGGTTGGGTGGTGCTGGTGGTGCTTCACCACGATAGTTGGCTGGCTGGGGCACATTTTTTAGGCCACACTTTCGGCGCAGATGAGGCTCGTTCAAAATTTATAACTGAAAATGATGTCACAAAACGCTCTTGCTGGTGTGCGATTGATGGCAGTTGAGAAATACTTATTTCCCAAGGCAATAAACTTTAGCACTTTCTTGCCAAATGCAGTAAACTCAGATCGATTGGGGCGGTATTCCGAATGGAAATGTTTGTTATTAGGTCAAAGACATCACTATAGACGAGTACTCCTTAGATGTGCATTTTAAAATGTTGCCAAATTGACCTTAAAGGCTAAGGTATAGCTCAATAATCATTCAGCGATTATGCGATTCTTAGATCTTATCAAAACTAAAACAAATGTCAGTAAAATCAAACCTATTAGACAGAATTTAAATCCATTGTTAAAACAAGAAGAAATGCTGCAGTCGAATGCCTTAAAAAGGAGATACCTATTAGTATCTTAGCCAAGTTTGAAATAAATCTACCATCGATTGAAGGAGAAGAAACATAAATGCTTACATTTTCATCTGCTTTTCATTTTCTCATTTTACACTTTACATTTTTATCAACTGGCCATGATATATCTGACCGTGCTCATGCTTTATAAAGGTGGTCCCCTTGGTTAATCATAACTTATTAACTAATGTTCCGATTTCAACAATTGTTGGCGTGCCGATAGGTTTGAAAAAGGATATAACATGAAAAATACTCTGAAACTGATTTTAAAATGTGAGCATCACAAACTTGAGCGGATAGACTGGACGTGGCACTGTGATAAAGTAAACTTGCGCAGCGGAGGAACCTCTAGAATTTGCATGCTTAATTCCAACTTTGTAGCTTTTATAGACAGACACACCGACCTTTTACTCCACGATTAATGGCTACACAACTTGTTCTGCCAATCCAAACACCTGTTAAATAATAGATATCCCCGGTTTCCTTGCAGAAAAACGCGAGGACAACGTGGAGGAGTCAACGGCCAAGCGGTTCACGACCACCTCGAGCCTCAAACTGAAGCCGGGCCCCGACGACGACTACACGGAGTACACGTGCCAGGCGAAGCACAAGGCCCTCTCGCCGGACATGCCCATGCGGGCCACCGTTCAACTGTCCGTGTTGTGTGAGTAGCTTCTCAGCCTTTCCAGTCGCCTTCAGTTGGAGTGGGAGTGGTCCGAAAAGGACCCCGGAATCCAAGAATCGGGAGGTCGTGTGGGTGACCTCATTAGCCGGCTCAATTTGCTATACAATTGAACGTGCGTGCTGGGGCGGATTTGTGTGTAGGTGGGGGAGTCCCCGAAGGGGAACATCCTGCTACATTTGAAGCACTGGGAAAATTATCTTTTATAGTGCAAAGTCCGATCTTTTAGCTTTATTTTTCAATTAGCTAAAATCAACTAGCATATAACTATAACGACATTAGTAATTGAACAAAATTCTAAACATGCCTAAAACAAAAAAGCATATATCTAAACTTTATTGCTACTTTTATTGTACCTCAAAATTTTAATTTTAACACAAAGTTTAGAATGGATTGCGCAGATCTAACACCTATTTCTCCCAGTGCAGGCAATGAATTTTTTGCAGCATTCTCCATCGGCCTGGCCCGATGCGGATGCCATTTGCCATCACGGCCGCTAATTGCGCGATTCGGGCGCGTATTAATTAGTTTTTAAATTCTAATGTGCCGCGCAGCTGCCACTGCCGATGTGGATGTGAATCGGAACGCGACTGCGAATTGCGCTGCTGCACGGAGGCGAGAGCCATTACGAATGCCAAAAGTCCTCTTATTGATTGTTGCCATCGGCAGTGGTGGCTCTGGTGGCTCCGGTGGTGCCAGTGGTTGCCTCCGGGCACCTGTCCCAGCCCCGGGCCACTGGCTATGGCAGCTCCACCTGCACACGCACATTCAAATTAATTATGTTTGTTATTTATGCATAGGCAGCTGGCAAATGGTGGCCCCAACTGCCACAGTTCGTTGGCCATTTCCAGAGCTCGTCGCGATGTAATTGGCAAAGAGCGAAAAAAACGGCGAAAAATCGAGTTGCGCTATCTGCGAACTCAGGCCGGCAAAGGGTGCATATCCCCTTTCATTTGGCCTTCCTGTGGGGGCTTAATTATGGCGCTATTATTGCTTCCTCACTGCCTCAACTCGGACCGGTCGTACCATATTTCAAGTGATTTTAATTTAATTTTCCGTTGCACGCCTGCCGGGGATGTGCGTGTGTGCGTGGGGGCGCCACATGTGTGTATATGGCTGTATTTATATTTAAAGTGTGTGTGCTTGGCAGCTTTTATGCCTCACCTGATTGCTGCTGTTGATTCAATACGGTTGACCGCTTGTCAAATTGTGATAAAGAAAATATATTACAGACCCAAAGCAGGCGGATAAAAGTTAATGTTTTTCCGAAGTTTTCCCCGTGGAATATGGAATACGATAGGCGGCGGCCGGTTTCGCCCATTTTCTAGTTGTTACCAATTATTTTCCGGCCGCTGATAATTTCCAAATGTATTTAACACGTACTGTCACAGCTTTTTCCACCGCTCTGCGGTATTTTACACTATTATTAATCGCCCAGTGCGACGCCCACAACAAGCGAAATTACCGACGCCCCGGGTCGGGGGTCAAAAAAAGGAGAAATCGGAAAATAATGCATATGACCGCATAAACGATTTGCATGCAAACACTTCAATTAAAAACTGTACGAATTTCAGCTGCAGTCGCGCACATATGCGCTCCCCGCACTTTACTATAGTGTATATTGAATTTATTTGCGGACAGCAGTCGCAATTAAATATGCGAACTGTAAACACAGCAAACTACCGGCATTCAGTGGAGTTTTTCAAACCGGGCTTTTCCCGCGCTCTGTTCTAATCCCGCAGATCCCCCAGGACCGCCCTATATCGAGGGCTATTCGCCGGGCGAAACCTTGCGCCGCGGCCAAACCGTGGAGCTCATGTGCCGGAGTCGCGGCGGCAATCCACCTGCCCAGCTCATCTGGTACAAGAACGGCTCCCAGATACGCATGGCCTACAGGTGAGCCACATTTGCTTAATTTCTAAATATTAAATAACCGTAAACTAATATGATTAACTCTGTCTGTGAATGCTTAAAGCCTATTATAATTAATTCTTTAAATTAGAAGCGATTGCACCGATTTAAGCACTGAATCCATGTCCAAAAAATACATTTTTCATTGACTAAAAATACTAATCTCGAAAACTTATCAGAATTTTAATGCGAAATATTGAAAGTATTCATTGTAAATTACATTAAAAATTTTTCACTTAAGATTAATACATATATTTGTATATAATTCTTTAAGGTAAATAGACAATTTTTCATTTTTAAAATTAGATTCAAAGATAGGAGAAGAGTATAAAGTAGCATGATATGTTAGGAGCTCTTTTATTTTCTTTATCAAAGAAAGAATAATCTTGAAAACGTTTTTATATATTTAAGGTTATAAAAGATTTACAAGCTACGCAATATGTTAAAAACATTGCTATTTTGTTTTTAAAAAAGACATATATTGTAAATTTTAAATATATGCGATATATTTACAGGACCTCTGGGCGATTGTCCGAGAACATCTACACCTTCACCGCGGAGGCGGGCGACAACAAGGCGCGATTCCGCTGCGAGGCGAGCAACGTGATGTCGCAGAATCCGCTGAAGGCGGAAGTGGAGCTGGCTGTGCTGTGTAAGTCGAGGTCCAATGGATCCTTGGTGGCTCCGCCTCCAATTTGCGCCGTCTAATTGCGCGTTCTTCATATTTATATATGCCGAGTATATCCCCGGACGAGTAGCATATCAGATTAAATGGGTGTCTAGATTACAAGCCAGGATGCGGGATAGGGAATCGGAGAGCTGGCACTCTGCGATGTGGGGTCTGGATTGTGTCAACAGCCTGGCTTGGCTGCGACATCTTCCAAATTCCACAGAGCCAGCAGCACTTGGCAGGCGGCTCATACGGCTCACACACAGATTGGAGTCGAGTCCCCTGAAATAAGCCTGGCAACTCGCTCGGCTGGCTGTTGCTTTCTTTTGCAATTAAGCTTAAGTTTGCACTTTGAAAGCCTCTCCAGTCTCCGTCCCACTTGGCTTTGTCAAATCAAGCAATGCAAATTCTTTTCAAGTGCCAAATAGCGCAGAGCCCCGTCCCCCAGTGCCCCGACCTCTGAACCCAGCCGTTGCAGCTTGTTAGAGTTACAACAATTGCAATCAGGCACACAAAGCCGACGGGCGGAACGACGCGGTGCCAAAGTCGTTAGCGACACTTGGACGGACGGAGGAGACCAGCAAACATTTGCATGCCACATCCTCCAGCCCGCCACCCCGCTACTTACTTGCTCATGTGTCTCACATGCAAATGGATGAGGCGGCCGCTCAACGCGGCGTATGCGCGATATTTAAATTTCAAGTGCGCGGCAGTCCGCTGAAATTGGCATCTTTTACCTGAAGCGGGCTTTAAGTGCGCGGAGGGTTACTCCCGCCCTCAGCGGGGCAAAACTCGTTTAGCTGGCAGCTTCCAGTTTATGCGCATACCAATCAAAGCGCCATACAGGTCAGGCCTGCCCACTCGGCCCCATCTTGCCCCAATAAGTATGCCACATTGAGTGGCCAGCACAAACGAATATGCCAACAGTCACACACTAACACGGCACTTGGAGAAATTGTGTTGTGGATTAGAAAGTTGCAGGCTTTTATTTTCTGTATATCAAGGTATCTAGTTCTGATTGATTATTACTTACATTCAATTGGTTGTAAAATCAGATGTCTTTAGTTTACAAAGAATTATAGATTTCAATTCCTAGAGATCTGTAAAATATTTTTGAATTTCTAATAACATGTTCAGTTAGTTTTCAAAGAAATTCCTAGAATTTTTGGATTACCTTTGTGCTAGTTTTGTCATGTGTACCAAATAGATAGCAGATGTGGCCTCAGCTGGCGGGCCGGGCTCTTAGCACACGCATTATTTATGTATAACGAATGTGGAACAACAAAACTGAAGACGTAGCAGGAATACATTCAGCATCAGCATTCTTTTGCCCCTCACGAGTGTGCCAGGGAGTGTGCTAGGGTGTGTGCCCGGAATGAAGATGTATGGCTAAGACGGACCGACGAAAGATGCGAGAAGTTAAGAATTCATAATGTTTATTTATATGCGAAACATATCGAGTCGAAAGTTTCGTATTCCCCGCGCGGCATTCCCATTCCCAATCCCACGCCCACGCCCTTGTCCTTGCCCCTTCCAAAGTGGAAGCCCAAGACAACGCCGCGTATGCGTAATGTATGCACTTATCCATCAAGGCAGCGGCAGCTGCAGCTGCTCCTGCTACTCCGCTTCGATGGCATTAGGTAATAGCTCCGCAGACGGACGTACTGTCAGTCACTCAGTCATCATTTGCATGGAGGCGGCATCAGGAGCCGACACTCCTCCCCGAGGCTATTAGGGAAACGGGAAACGGGAGACGGGAAGCCAGGGGCGTTGGGTTTCAAACTGGCGGATAGGAGATTCTCGTGTGTGCCTGCCTCGAGCATGCCGCAAGTGAGCTCGCCGCAAACCTATTACATATTAATGCCTCCTTCATTATGCGTCCCCCGGTAACTGGAATCAACCTGCTCGTCTCCTCCCCAGTTGCACCCACCCACGTCACCGTGATGGGACCCACCGAGGCGCGCGTCGGCGATATTGTGCCGCTGACATGCACCACGGCGCCATCGAATCCGCCCGCCGAGATCAAGTGGATGGTGGGCGGGCGGCAGGTGCGCAACGCCACCTCAAAGACGATTGTCAGTCCCGAGGGTAAGTGCCGGGGCCGGTGTGACATAGTCCCCCGACTAATCCATTTCCATCTCTGTCCGTCATCGCAGGCGGTTGGACGACCACCTCGAACATCACCGCCACCGTGGAGCCCAACAAGCGCTCGCTGGTCGTCATCTGTCACGGACTCAACATGCAGCTGACCGAGAACGTCGTCTCCACCCACACGATCAATGTCCTGTGTAAGTATTCCCAGACTATCCTTTTGGCAGAAACAATATGACAAATGCGCCAAGCAGGGGAGATATTTATGAATTTAGGAAAGAAATTCACAAAAGGTTTATGCTGATTTGATTAACCCACTCTAGTATGCATCCTATGCTTAACACGTTTTATTACACAGAGAGGAAAAATTGATAAGATATGATGATAATTTGATGAAATTCAGTATCAACTCTATCTAGGTATGATGCTTTTCACACTGATATAGTGCCATCTTCGTATTTTCTCTCTTTTTCTCATTTCGGAGAGCTTTGAACAATGCTGTAACGCTCTTACCCAGAGTACTTTTAGGTGCTAGCTCTCCCTTTACGCTCCTTTCTCTCTATCTTTTCGATTTGAAAGAGTTTTTAGGAACATAAAAATTATGATATCAAATTTGTAATCTAGGATCAAAACATTCCTGTTTGGAGAAATACCTTTCAAAAGTTGACTGGCTCTTATTTCATTTTTACTTTCCTAACATTTCGGTTGATAGTTTCAAGTGAAAAATTCTCGATTGAACTGCTAGTTTTATTTCTTGATATTCGATTTTCCGCATTTGCAATGGCGGAGTTTCCGATCTGCATAACCCCGTCGCAGCGCGAGTTGGCCCGTATGACGGAGGAGGAGCGCCTGACCGCTCTGCTGCAGGTAAAGGAGCGCAAGAAGGCGGTCAAGGCCAAGCCGAAGAAGATCCTGGGCGGTCCTCTGATGGTGAACCGCATGAAGATGTGGCGCCAGCACCGAGAGCGGGTCAAGGAGGCGATCAGCACGGTGGACGCGGAGGCACCCAACTTCCAGGCAGCCCGCATCACCGGAGTGAACAACCTGCGGGACGAGGCGCAGGTGTTCATGAAGCGCACCAAGGCCAACATCCAGTTGCTTGTGGAGATCTCCCGCACCATGCGCACCCACGGAGCCATCAACCCCTTCCGCTACGAGGTGGTGCACGCCGTCTCCAGCGTTCCGCTGGCCCTGCTCAGCCTGGAGCAACTGGAGCGGGACAACCGCGACTTCGGCCGACGCATCATGGAGGTGCACAGCGAGGTGGACTCCGGTCTGTCGGACAAGCGGCTGCTAGAGGGCAGGAACGCGGCTCAGGTGGCTCCGCTGGAGCTGCCTCCCCAGGCAATGGCCAAGTACGAGGCCTTCAACATCCCGCTGCCCGAGTCGGATGCCGAGTTGCGCCGCCTCTTCCGACCGCGCATCTACTTTGACATATACCTGAAGGACGCCCGACCCCTGGGCAGGATTGTGATCCAGCTGTACACGGAGGCAGCCCCCCTCGTGGTGCTGCAGCTGATCAAGTCCTGCATGTGCAACCAGCACTCCAAGTTCCTCGTCAAGCGACTGTTCCCCAACCTCTGGCTGGAAACGGACTTGCTGCTGGCGGCGGACTCGCTGCTGCACCAGCCTTTGGAATACGACGCCAAAGTCATTGACCACGGAGCCTCCAGCTACGTATTATCCTTCAGCAAGGCTTACGTCAAAGGATTCACCCAGCACCTCTCGTTTGCCATCTCGTTCAAGCCGCTTACCGTGGTCAATGGATCCCGAGTGGGATTCGGCCGGATTGTGAAGGGCAGCAAGATATGCGAGTGCATCCAGAGTTACGGCACCAAGAACGGAAAGCTCAGCCGGGGTCTGCTGTTCACCAGCTGCGGATTACTTTAAATTCTTTTCATGTGCATCGAATCCTTCCTGTGTGTGTAAATCGTAGTCGGTTTTTCGGAAAGGCTGGGGATCATATTTTTCGTGGAAAACGCAATATACTGTAAATCTGGAAATAGTTATGTGAAGTTAGATGATACAAATCTTAAATGACTGATTACAAATTTATTAAACTCCAATTACTCAACGTCATTTTAAGTTTTGTGGTTGAGTTAAATTGCTGTTCTAGCCAAACTAGCAAACTTATAGGTGACCGTAGTATACTCTTCTTCAAACCCAATTTCCCACTGATTCGTGAGGTAACAGACGGTTAAGACTTGGTTTATAAAATTATTATCACATTGACAAAACTAATATGTCTATGAACAATTTTACTTCATGCTAACTTTTTCTGACAGATAACAAACAATAACCTTCAACTGACATTCAGAATTAGGCCCAAGAAATACCCTTGAATGAACGTTTTTAGATTGCAAATCAATGAAATCAATGTGTATTCTAGATCAAACCACATGAAATTGATTTTGTATTTCATGGCTGGCTGGAAAAGTTGGAGATGTTTGTGTCATCTTTCCTATGCCCATACTGTTTGAGTGACCCCGGTGAAGGTCCAATTGGATGTACGCATCCGGGATCTTGACAGCACCCCCTTTTGCCGCCGCAGAGTGACACTTCTCCGCCGAGCGACAACTGCAAGTGCCGTAAACTCCATTATCCGATGTTCGGTGTCACTCTTCATTTGACTCAATTATAAGCGAAGGCAGTGACAAAAAACACGCAGGAAAAAATAGCTCGTACAGGGATGAGGGATTCCTGGCGACGATAAAGGACTGACAGCCAAAGTCAGTCGATAACAGGTGGATTGGGGTTGGTTCGGGTTGGCTTATTAATAATTGCGATTCCTAGTTTCGGATCATCCAGCCAGAGCACACTCATGGTGGAGCAGCCCACTCCTCCGGCCCTCTTCTGGGCTGGATGTCCTTTGTGAGCGCTCTCCTGCAGCGCTAATTAATTTTTCTGACCAACATCACAGGAAAGGGCAACGGAGGGGGGGGCGGCGAGGGATTTACATTTATTACCCATACCATGAGCACTGGAAATGACTAACGGACCCCCAAGGTAATGAGCCACCCACCCGGCATCAGCCCACCAATCAAGGACGAGGCGATGGTATGTGCATGGTCATGCCTTGAGGATGCGGACGCCCTGCGGATATTTTTACTTTATGCGCGGCAAATTAAATAATTTTAATTTTTATTGTTCGGCCGCTCTTGGCAGCTCTCACGAAGGACACAGCGGTTGGTCCTGCCCGTGGTCCTAGTCCCTTGCTGTTTTTGTTGTAGGCCATAATTTGCTGGCTCGTGGCTAAGTTTTTGGGGCCACAATTCGCTGGCCCATTTCCCCTGCTTGGCTCCTTTGTTTGTCTTTTTTCGAAACGTTTTTCTTATCCTCCGAATGCCTCTGCCGCTGCCTCTTCCCCACAGATCCGCCCGCGCCGCCATTAATTTCTGGCTATATGGAGGGACAAATTATCCCAGCTGGCTCGGTGCAAAAACTGCTTTGCGTTTCATCAGGCGGCAATCCGTTGGCGACGCTAACATGGTACAAAAACGACAAAAGGGTGAGTGCTGAAATTTCCCTTCTTTTTTTGCCGTCCTTTGTTTGCATTTTCCGCAGAAAACTCAAACACACACACAGAGACACATACACACACACTGAACAAAGAGCGAGCGAGAGGGAGCACACTATCAACGGCAGGCAGCAAACATCCGCAAAACAATAATGGCGCTTTTGTTGACCATTTCCGTTTCCGCTTTATGGGCTTAAAGTGCTAATGAGCCACTGCAGCCGTGCGCTTCTGATGCCAGAACGATTTCGGTTTTCACACCTTCCACCTACCAATAATCGAGAGCAAAACTATCGTTAGAACTTTGAACAAAAGGTGGTAAATACGGTGGAAAAATAAAACAAGTCACCCACAACCGCAGCTCATCAGCCCACACACTTATCCGTCGGGCTGATGCTGATGGTTGCGATGGGGCGGTGGGTTGTAGTAGGGCAGGTGCACCTGCAGTTTCAGGTGCGGCTTCCTGTTTTACCGTTTCCCATTTGTTGCGGTGTCAGAGTTTTCATCTCCGCCCCTCGGGGGACTCATCTGGGCGCCGTGTTTGCTCGCCAGCTCGCTCGCTCAGATTAGACGACGTTTTATCAGCGAAATTAAAATGCATCCGCCAGCTGTGCTCTTTGGAGATGTGTTCCGACCAAAAAAAAATAAGCGCTTTCTCCCCCTGCAGATAAACTCGGTCATACGGGCGGCGGACAAATCGGTGTCGGCCGAGATCACCATTCTGGCCAACGTGTCCGACAACCAGGCCCAGTACCGGTGCGAGGCCTCCAACAGCGCCACTGAAATCCCGCTCTTCCAGTCCACCACGCTCAGCGTCCACTGTAAGTACACTCAATATATATCATTCTAAGTTGGGTTTATCACCACATCCTTAATTTTTTTAAAGGGGATGCTTTTTTACTTTTATAAAGTAAAGATAAAAAGATTCAAATAGCAATTATTTTTGAAAATTGTTTACCACCTACCATTTTTTAAACGATGTCCCATTACTTAACTAAACGTTTTCAATAATTCGAAGCTATTTAGGAAAACAAACTTTTGCAGATTTTCTTTAATGATTTTTTTGTTTAAGATCTCAGGAAAATTTTATTAATTTAGTGGGGGGGTTCAATTTAATTGTGGTTTATCTGCTGTTTAAAGCAAACAGATAAAGGGTCCGAAAAATTTACAATATTTTTTCATAGCTCTATTAGCAGAGGCGATCCAACATTTATGACCAGTATCAAATTTGCCATCAAATTGCTAGGGGAAAAAATAAAAAGGGACTCCCAAATTAAATATATATTCGAAATGATTTGAAATACTCAATATTATGTTGCCAGTGCAGTGCTGTGCTTAAAATACTTGGGCAGGGGGACTTACCGGCTCCTGCGTCCTTTCTTAATATCCACTGGTGTGTGTGCTCTTTCAGTTGCCCCGGAGACGGTCAAAATACGCATTGAACCGGAAGAACTGCGACCTGGCATGGAGGCAGCCATCATCTGCGACTCCAGCTCCAGCAATCCGCCGGCAAAGCTGTCCTGGTGGAAGGACGGCATCCCCATCGAAGGTACGTACGGAATGGCTTGGCCTGCTTGGCTCTTTGGGCCTGGCCAAGCGATTTGGCAATTGGAAGTTTGCCCATCGCAATTCGCCATTCGCCATGGACTTGCCGGCGCCGCCATTGCACTTTGTTGGTGCGAGGCGTTTCCACGACAACATCCGGTTCGCTTGCCAGTCACTAAAATTACGCCCATTTCTTCTCTGCCCCCATTCCCACTCCCCTTGCCATCCCTTGCCATTGCCCCGCCCGATCCTGATCCGAATCCTGTGTCCCTGTCCGCCCACCGGAACCGCCGGCATTCCATTCCCTTTCCCGACCCACAGGCATTAATAACACGTCCAAGCCGGGTCTCTGGGGCGGCACGGTCTCCACGCTGGAGTTCAGGGTGAACGTCACACAGGAAATGAACGGCCAGGTCTACACCTGCCAGAGCGCCAACCAAGCTCTCCAGCGGAGCGTCCACGAGGCGGTCAGCCTGGATGTCCTGTGTAAGTACGTCCCGCCTAATTGCTCAATTAGACGGGCTCTGCAATCGCCAGTCGAATCTATAAGTTACGTTGTGGGGCTATCCACTCTGCGCTTGCTTTAAGCACAAACTAAAAATTCTGATTTCAAGAACGTTTTATTCTTAAACCAAATTTATTAACTTGAGAGCGTTATCAAAACAAACAATAATTTTAATAAATTTATGTATGAAATGTATATGAATGTGGGCTGTATTGTGTGGCTGTATGTCAGAATATATTATACTTTTAATGGAAATCAAACTTTTATTCTTTCTACAATTCAAGTCTGATTTATTCGTAAGTCAATTGTGAGTTATACGCAAACGAAGTACGACATTTTTCTTAAAACGAGCAATAATTGTTGTTTTATTAAATTCATTGTGTTGTCGAATTTCATAAACTAACAATACAGGAACAATAGAATTTATTAAGACAAAATACTTTAAACATTAGTTACTTCCCAAACCGACTACTCTTAAAGTTCATTGAATCAGTTTCGAAGAGTTTGTTAACCCTAAAACATTAAGATGTATTGAAAAGTGAGATTAAAGTAACCCGAAGAGATTTCTCGGCCAGCTATAATAGATTTGTATGGCCCTTACCTTTAACCCCCAGATCGACCCAAGTTCGTGCCGCCGCCCTCGTCGACGGCGGTGGGCGTGGAGGGCGAATCGCTGCAGGTGTCGCTCCAAACGCAGGCCAATCCCACGCCGGTGGCCTACAAGTGGACCAAGGATGGGGTCACCATTCCGCAGGATGGCGAGCATCGAATCTTTGCGGACGGTGGAAGCCTGAACTTCACCCGCCTGCACCGGGACGATGCGGGGATCTACTCCTGCAGCGCCTCCAACTCGCAGGGAAAGGCCACCCTCAACATCACCGTGGTGGTGGAATGTGAGTACCACTCCTGCCACTCTGTGAGATTTCCCTAATCGGACTAATTCGGATTCCGCCCCACAGACGGAACCACCATCAAGTCGGTGTCGGAGAACATCATTGTCAATCCCGGCGAGGACGCAATGCTGTCCTGCAGCGTGGAGGGCAAACCGCTGAGCGACGAGCATGTGAAGTGGGAGCGGGTGGGCTACGACATGACCGTGAAGACATCGACGACCTTTGCGAACGGCACCTCCTACCTGCACATCAAGGATGCGCAGCGCGCGGATGTGGGCAACTTCCGGTGCGTGGCCGACAATCGTGTGGCCAATCCGACTAACCGCGACATCCTGCTGATTGTCAAGTGTAAGTGGTCTTACATATTTCATTTTCTTATTATTTCTACCTTCACGTAACCCGACCTGCGCCTCCTCCAGTTGCTCCTGAGATTGCCAAAGCACCCACGCTCCTGCGAGCTGCCAGCGGGACAGGAGAGCGGGGTCGGCTGCCCTGCCGGGCACAAGGGTCGCCCAAGCCGCAGTTCATCTGGCGCCAGGAAAAGAAGGACCTTCCCATCAACCGAACGTACAAGTACGAAGTGGAGGAGCGCAAGATTGACTCGCTGACCTACGAGTCCACGCTAATCGTGGACAAAGTGGCGCCGGCGGACTACGGGGCCTACGAGTGCGTGGCCAGGAACGACCTGGGCGAGGCGGTGGAGACGGTGCGCCTGGAAATCACCTCGCCGCCCGACCCACCCCTCAGCCTCAATATCCTGAACGTCACCCACGACACGGTCACCGTGGCCTGGATACCGGGCTTCGATGGTGGCCTCAAGGCCTCATATCGCGTGCGCTATAGGTGAGTGATATTGGATGTTTTGGCATATGGAAATCATGCACGGAGAACAATTTTATAGGGGCCTTAGAATCTCTTCCGAAAAGTATTATTTTAATACTACCCAGGGAAATTAGTTGATGAAGTTCAGAATCAATACTATCTAGAAAGGCGAGTATTACTTTGATATGTCCGAAACCTTTATTTTTGAACTCTTTATCGATTTCGGAGAGTTTTTAATCATTGCTATCTTGCTCTTTTAGCAGTATAGTATTCATATAGAATATTTTCTCAATTTCGATTGTAGAGAATTTTCTTATGGAGGAGATCCAAGAACTGCCATTTCTCAATATTAAATTTAAATTTTTTTAATGCTAAGAAGATAGTTGAAACATTTAGGTTAATTAGGTATATCAGTATTTTTAAAATAACAGAGTAAATAAACCTTAGTCATTACACATCATACACATTTTCCTGTGTGCAACTGTCACGGCTCCTGGCACTAATGGAATTGCACTCTGCCTCCTCACTTGCAGGATGGTCGACCGCGAGCAGTACAAATACATCGATGGGCTGCCCAACAGCCACAAGCTGACCATCGGCGGGCTGCGCATGAATACGCTCTATCTGTTCTCGGTGATGTCCTACAACGAGCTGGGCCAGAGCTCCTACCTGCCGGATTTGGCACGGGCCGAGACCAAAGGTAAGTCCTCAGCACAGCATTCAAATTGGCCGCGAGTGGAGCACTCGGTCAGCGATGCTGACATTGATTTATGCGAGTCCGCCATTTGGCTTTTATGGCCACTGGAGCACGGGTTCGATTCGGCGGAATCGGAAGAACCGTACCATCGCATGGGTAACTAAAAGGGAGCAGGAGGAGGTGGTGGTGCCGGGCCAGTTGTCCGGCAACGAGTCGGCAGATTTGTGGAATTAATTAGCTAGCCAGTATGATAAGCAGCTATCAGCCTAATTAGAAGCACGCATGGAATGAGTCAACCGAAATAATTGATGAAGTGAAATTAGTCCAGACGAGGATTTTATTACTGCCGCCGGACTGGTTGAGTTGCATACAAAGTTACAAATAAATCAGAGATTTTAAATCAGTTTTGGTTTACGACATTAGTATTTGACTAACTAACATGCCTTTATACTCCAAATTAAAACATATAATTTAAAAGGGGAATACAAACCATCACGATAGATTTTCAAAGGTCAAGGTACAAGTTATACCACACATAATACAAATTCTAAGTAGTATCAAGAATCAGAATTTCCTGAAATCAGTATTGAACCAGGAACACATCCCATTAAAATGTTAGAACACCTTTATGTAGCCATTCACCCTTTCAACTGCGACCTGTACCACCACCGACTTAGCAATTCAAATGGGCGCTACTATAGATTATGAAGCGTAAGAAATGGCCGTGGGGGCATACGAAGCCGCCAGGATCCGATTTGTTGTCTCACCCAATGATCTCGTCCCGACCCTGCTGCTCTTAATTGGAATTGCATTACGACCATCAACAACGTCAACGACACCGACGACGCGACCACCGCAAACGGCCGCAATCCCCACAATGTCCATCTATCCATCCATTCCACCGGCAGAAGCCCCGCCCCCCTCGCATCCGGCCTCGTCGCTGGGAGGCGGACCGCCGACCACCAGCCAGACGCCGCTGGGCGGCACATCGGGCATGCTCCTGGTGGGCGTGGGCGCCGGCATCGTCGTCGTCCTGCTCAACGTGTTTGTCATCGGCTGCTGTCTGCACAAACGGAACGAGAAGCGCCTCAAGCGAGGTGAGGGGATCCGTTTCCACCGCGAATCCTGCGGCTGCTGCTGCTGCTGCCACACGGGGAGAAATGATATAGGGCCAATCCTGGACTTTATTTTTTATCAAAGATGGATTGTTAGATAACTGCAGCTAAAGAGATCTTTACATATTTATACCTTATTTCGTATATCTGTCCCAGCTTAAAATGATAGCTTACGGATAAGTACTTAATAACTGAACTTAGATCCACAGTAGATTATAATTATTAGGGATTCTGAAAGACACATTGGAGTGATTAGCATGTTACATATTTTCAGTTAATATTACATTTTGCTTCATTTGGTTTTTCAAACCTTAAAATGTTACCAGTAAGATTATACTTTTTCCCAGGGTCATGATTTCAGTGTGCTGGCATTGTTGCAATCGACCAAGATGGGGCCTAATGGCGAGGCATAGTTGGGTCTGAAAGGCATGGGAGCTGGAGTCCATGTCCGTGGGCATTTGAATTTCTAATTCCCTCGGCTCGGCCCGCAGTCGCCTCCGTTATTTTCTTTTAATTTGTGGGCGTTGTCAGCGCACGTGCCCGGTGGTCAGCAATTGTGGATAGAACCGGAAAGGAAACGGCTATGGGAATGGGAGTGGGAATGGGAATGGGAATGGACATCGCGATGGGAATCGCTGTGGAATGGCGATGGCGTCGCTAATTTCATTTGCCATCACATGTTCCGGCTTCGCTTCGCAGCCTCTACGTGATTTGCGTCACTCGCTGGTCGCTAGTCGGTCTCTTTATTTGATTTCGCTGCGTGTGCTCGCCATGCCAACCGAATTTGACCCTCGACCCCGTCTCCGGGTCGGAATCCATAGCCGAATCCACGAGTCCGAAGCTGGGAGCTCGGAGCTGGTAAATTGGGTGCTGGGAACTGGGAACTGGGGCAGCGCGTTCATTGCTATGCTCTGCGCCATTTTATATTTTTATTCCTCACGATATTATTCCTTTTTATTACAATTTCTCATTTCATTTCGCATTTATTTATTGTTTTATTTCTGCAACCATATTTTTTACTTTTTCCATGGCTCGTTTTGTCAAGGACTTGAACTGATGCCAGCCGAGTTAACCGAGGACTCCAGCAACACACCGAATCTGGTCATAATTGGCATCTCCCTGGCGGCATTTGGCTTTCTCCTGGTCAACGCGTCGCTGGTTGCCTGGTTCTTTGTGCATCAGCGCCGCAAGAAAGGTTATTATTATTTATTATTATTTATTTTTATTATGACTATTATGTGGGCGGTTTATACTCGGTTCTGATGTACTGGCTTATTTGCTCTGCCTGTTGTCTTGGGACTAGCCTTTTGATTGGGGTTATTCCTGTGCGGGGCTGACAGTCCAAGTTTCGAACACCGAATTCCGGATTCCGAATCCCGAATGCCACTAGACAATTGCATCGCCATGTTGCACTGGCAGCTGGCACCACTTCCGTGACACCGCCGGATGCGGAAGCGAGCGCGTTGTGCAGCTTCCGGTGCCCACTAAGGACGCAAGAAGGCAGGCCGGCCCCCTTTATGAAGCTCACTAAACAATTTCCTGCATACGCAGGCTCCCAGGACGGGGATCCACTCCACCCGGATCACTTTCCCGCCTTGGCTTCTTGTAATTTCCGCCAGCAACCAATGCCAAGCGTGGCCGGGATGGAGCAGGCAGGGCCAGAAGTCTCCGGCTCGGAGTATAATGATGACAGAAAATAATGATGCATCCTGGGCACCCGGCAGCCAAGTGCTGCTGTTTATCGAACAAGAGACCCGGACAGCCAGCAAGACAAATGTGCATCGTTTTCTTAGCTGAATGCACAATCTTCCGGAAATCAGATTGCTTTCTCGGCTCCACGGGCGACGGGACTCAGGTTCAGAGGTCGGGGAGCACGTGTCGACAAGTGTCGGACATGTTTGCCGAGGGTTGTTTATTAAAACGAAATTATTTTTCACCACTAGAGTGGAGCCAACTTTAAAATGGAAGCCCTGACGGCGCCATCAGCAATTGTTACCATTCGCCGGGACAGCTTTTCCTTGCCATTCTATCCAACTGGCAAATTTGAGACGTGGCGTATACGCAATGTGCCAGCACCGAATCTCTTTTACGTGCCGCCAGTCGACATGCAACACGCAGCGTCGTTGCTGGCTAACCAAATTATTTCCATTGAGCAGGAGTGAATGAGTAGGGCAGCAACTGATGCTGCATCGCGATGCAATAAGCCTGAACAAAATTCTCGAAATTTATGCAAGTGCAGAAGTCCGTTTGTGTAACTAGATACTCGAAATTCCGAAAAACTCAGCATTTTTTGATTTATTAAAAACAAAAAAAGAGTGTTTAGGCTATTTTAAAACCAATTTCTCATAGCTAGCTGGATAATTTTGCTATTATTTAAGTTCCAAAAATGCATAACTTATCTATGCTCATAACTCCACATTTTATTTCGTTTTGGAAACCAGACTTTCAGAGTTTTGTTTAAGCAGGGTGTTTGGCACCATATAAGAACAACACAGTGTCATATTTGCAGCTCTCTTATATGTGCTCAGTCGTTCAGTTTGCGTAAACATTTGAGTTATGAGTTGATTAACATCTCGGGCTCTTTCACTGAAAACTTTTGATTCATTAGGCGAGCAAAAAGGGGGGCGACTCGCCCCGAAACTAAACTAAACTGACTTAATCGGGGGAACAAAATGTGGGCCAGTTATTTTTTGACATTTTCAAACGGGAAGCACGAGTAGCATGAACTACAGCCGCAGGACATAAATAAGAAATTTCCCTAAGAATCCCAGGCCGGGCCAGACTCCATTATTTCTGTCTTTCGTTGCCAGTGCGGCACAGTTGAACAAATGGCGAGTGCCGGGATATGAATGCAATCCCGCTCCACACAAAAGAAAATTCATATTTCAGTCTTGTTGCAAACAAACACAGCAACGAAAACGAAAAGCGGAGGAAAACCCTCCTGGAAGGAACAACATTTTTATGACAATGTCGGGGGAGTGGGGAGTTCCCGTTCCCCGTTCCCCGTCCCACTCCCGATCCCGATTCCGTACCGCCAGCCCCTTATCCCTGTCAAAAGCCGATAACTGACAATGCCCAAAAGGATTTTTACTTTTCCCGTTTTCAGTGTTCACAATTTTTCCATCCATTTCGCCTTTTTTCCCCATTTTTTGTGAAGTTGTCAGAGAAACTGGTGCGTTGGCCAGCCGGCGGAGGCGGAGATGGAGGTGGAGATGGAGGTGGGGGCTTGGGAGTGGGAGTTGGAGGACCCTGTCGGGGGATATCTCTCTGCATATTTCAATGTTTTCGCTGGCGAAACTTGACTTGTGTTTTTGTTGCAGCCCTCGGATATGCATTTTTAATGTGCATTTGTGCCTTTGTGTCAAAATGCCGCATGGCGCACAGAAAGGAAATCCATCCCGCCGCCCAGCTATCTCATCCCATCTCATCCTGAACCCAAACCCAAGTCCGAGTCCGAACGAAAAACCTACTCTTCGGCAAACCAAAAGCCCAACCGCACTAGAGGCCGCCTAAGAAGCCTTTCGCTGTAGTTGTCGCTGTCCGATAAACTATGCCAAAAGTCTGCGGTTGGCAGCTGGTTCAGTGGTTCAGCTCCGTCGCCGACTGCTGGTCGTCCCCAGTCCGGAGTCCGGAGTCCGGAGTCCTCCATCCGAGGACCTCCGTCCATTCCATTGCCGGTCATCGACCACAGCAGCCATGAACAAGGGAGCGGCAGTGACCATCGCATCGCCGCAGCCACAGTCAATGCCCAGTGCCACATATTTCATTCTCGTATGAGCTGGGCCTGAGCCGGAACATCCCGAATAGCGCCATCTCTAATGTTTATTGCCTTTCGCCTGGCCCCTTACACTGAGAGCAAAAGTTTTGCCCACAATGTGGGATCTGATTTTGAAATGAGTAATATTAACTAAATCAGCACTGCTTAGATCCCGGATTTCCATTATGTTTTCGATATAATTAGTTTATAATGATTTTACCTATCCATTAAGATCTCTGATCAACACTCCCTTTACCTTTTCCTTATAATTTACCCTCCTATTTGCCTTAAACAACTGAGAGGTCTTTCCAAGTGCACTTTCCATGGCCCACTTAAAAGCCAAAGAGGAGTTGCATCAAACAATTGGTCCGGGGCATTCGTGAGTGGTTAACAAAGTTAGGGGCATGGGCCCAGGCCCACATGGCAATAGATTTCGCGGCACAAAAAAGAGCCAACTTTTCCTACAGCCCAAATAGGAAATAGAGAGCACCCATCAACACGAAGGGTGTATTATCTCTGGGCCAGGAGTGAAACTTTAGAGCGAGTGCAGGGCCCAAAAGTGAAATGGCCCGCAACCCGTTCTTGGGGATATAGTTGAGTGCGACACTTTTACGACTTGGCGGGGCGAAACTTTTATGCCAACGTTGCCACCAGCGATAAGACCACCCAGCCGGGCAGTCCATAGGCCCCTCGACCACTACCAACATGGCCCAATCCCGCTGGCCGCCCCACTGGCGAGCACTTGACTTTGACACTCTTTAAACAATTGACGGGGACCAGGGGATTGGAACTGGGACTGGGAGTGGGACTGGGGCTTCTGGCGTGCGTGAGAGAGCTGCGACATCGAATCTGAGCAGATAAGCGCACAGGCTGTCGTGGTCAGGGAAATCGGGGAAATCTGGCCAAATCGAGGAGGTCCGGGCGCCACAGGGCTGGCTCAGCAATGTCGAAAAGTTTGCTGCTTAGGCAACTGGCCGTGACAGGCCGGGGAAGAGGGGATCCATTGGCGGCGGGGAACGGGAGTTCATAAATTCGCCGGACCCAGAAACAAAGCGCTTATGGGAATGTCTCGGCAGCCGGCACATTCAAATGGCACAAAGCGGGAAATCCACAGCGGCATACCGCAAGTCCGGCCAGCGAATAATTGAGAGCTGTCGCCAGGACAGAGGGCTTACCAGAAAAGACCTTCAAAGCAGACGTCGCCGTCATTAACGTGCCCAGATGACCACAGAATCTGTCTAAGCCGCGCCCCACATACGTATATATATGTAGATACGCATATAGAAAGAGATCCGGCCGGGCTTTTCGTGGCATAAGTGCAAAATTTGTAATCTCCGTGCGGCGTGGCGGAGCCGCAAAGTGCAGTGGCAAAAAGAAAAACAACGGGCGGAATGCGAGAGCGGATTATTTCCCGTCTGTTTGGGTCAGCAGAACGTCGGAGGGCGATAAGCCCGCCCGCCGACCATTAATACCCTGCCAAGGGGTCGCACATTCTGCCAGCTGTGTGTCTGGACCACGAGTTTCCCGGTAAATCGCGCTTAGGCTGTGTGCTGTTTTGGGGCTCGGGGGCATAAACCAAAAAGCAGTACATCAAAAACCAACTAAGGCTTTTAAATATCATGAAATATTCATGCTGAGCACGAACTAATCTATGCATTTCCAAGAAGCATATGCATACACTGAGGCTAAAAAGGGAAAACTCTTTGCGTTTACATGCATTTTTAAAATATCAAATGTATCACCGTGGAATATTATAGTTCCTAATAGTTTTGCCAAAACATATTTATTTTAATCTTACCCCTATAAAAGCTAGAAATCCTTCAATCGAAAATTACGGAAAATTCGACACATAATAACTCAGGGTACCCTTCAAACACTCTTCCTACAACCCAATCTAAACTTTTGTTTGGTAAATACATTTATGAGGGCCCAGTCTCTCTATCCGAATAAACACACTCGTGTAGGCAGCGGTCATGTTTTTAATTGCCTTAATTGATTAAAGCCAGGTCTATTATTTTAAATGTCCCTGCCCCGAAACGCCCTTCTGCCTGCCACTCGTTTGTCGTCATAAATAAAACAACTGACAAATGCCGAAAAATGTTTTTAACTCACTAAGCCATAAAATCAGTGAGCTTTCGCAGGATACACACACGTATTGCTATATGTACAGAGAGATATATAGGGCCCTGTCATCGGCAGGCCGGGAACAGATATCTGAGCCGTTCAGGACTGCGGCCCAGCATTTAAATGCATTTTCAATTTTTAATTTTTTCCCTATGAGTGCCCACACAAAAGTGCATAGATTCCGAATTGCGTGTGCATATGTTTAATGAATTAAAACACAACGAATGTTGGTCAATCATAAAAAATGCAAATTGAAGCATCGGCAGCACAAACAAACAACAGGAGTACACACGAAATGGAGACAGAACAAAGCAATTTGCTCTCGAATATTCGGCTGCAATTTGTTAAATATTCATTATACTCGTACACCGACATCGACAACAGGGCAACAGGACACAAACGTGTATAAAGTAATTTTGATACTCCCCAACATTCAATGTTCTTTGTGCAAATTAACAGAAAACGGCAATTTTATCGACTAATAGTCCCCGCATGTCACGTAACCGGAGGACGTGCCGCCCAGGCCCCCATATATCCTCCTACACAGCCTGGGAAATGTATTATTAAGAAAGCGTAGGACCATTATATCTTTGCATAGCTTGAGGACGACGATGATGGCAATGATGGCGATAGCAGCTGAGTGGCAGGGCAATGTCCATTTGCCATTACCATTTACCTATCGCCATCGCATCGTATCGGGGGTACCTGGGAGAAAGGGGGTCACATGGAACCACACGTGTCTATGGCTTTTTGCCTTTCTGCTGACTCCGCTCAGCCCGTAATCGTTATAAATTCTGTGGCAGCCTGGAAAAAACGCCGAGGAACAACAGAAGCCTAAAGAGTACACGATAGAATGGCAATACGATCTAAAAAATGCCATGTAGACTAATTTGAAACATAACTTTTTATTTTTTATGGTTTGATTGTGTTGTTTTATTTGGAAAGGGAGAGCAAACTTCGAGTTCAATCACTCGGTCACATGTGTCAATATTTTACTCAGTTTGCACAGGATTAAAGGTAGAAAAAGACCCAATTTCCCCGTACAGCAGCAGCAACAGCCAGGAACATTGCATATCTTTAAAATATACCCTATAATGTTTACCATTCTTATATACTTTCCATGTACCATCGCCTCGCAACTGGAACGTGCTACAATAATGGACTCCACTTTGCGGCAAACACGTGTTAACTTTTGCGGAAAATGTGTCATAAATCATTTAATTGCATTTCACCTTTGCCCGGCTGTCAACTCATTTGTATTTCCCGATGTGCCTTACTTTTGCGACCCGGCATCGAAATGCACATCAACGAATGCTGCGACAAATGTGAATAATTAACGCAATGCCTGCGACCCGTGTAAACACCCCGCCCACCTGGAATCGCCCATTATCCACCCACGCCCCCAAATATCCACTCCTGTTTCTGGCACTTTGACAATCTTGGCTATTTGCATTTGATTTGCATTGCCCGAACCTGCAACTACAACACAATTGGCCACCTCATATCCACCTTCTGGCGCACTGCATCAACGCCCGCAAAAAACCCATGCCCCGTGCCCCGTATCCCGTGCCCCAATCCCCGCCTGGCACCGCTGCGAATCATCAATTTTCGGGATGTCACTGCCAATTACACCTTTTCAATATTTGTGCGCATACCTGGCCGTTCCTCGTGGCGTCGGAATTCCTTTTTTCCGTCCCGATCCGTTGGAATACAGTGGCGGAAACTACAAATCAACCGGCAAAAACGGCAACCATCGAGATGTACGCGCCCAGTTCGTATAATGACACCGTAACCGGCGAGACGCTGTCCAGCGTTTCGGAGAAGAGCGAGTCCTACTCCAATGAGGGCAGCAGCCAGCCGGAATATATTGTGAGTACACACGGACCTACCTGAAGCGACTATTTTTTGCCTTTCCTATTTTTGCTCCAACTTTTTGCCATTTTTGTCCATTTTTTTGGATGAGCATGAATATGCAATTTGTGAATGGGCACAAAAACGAACAGAACCGGGGAAAGGGTGGAAAGGAAAGAGCCAGCAGTGGAAAATCGTCTGGCATTTTAGGCATTTTCCATTGCTAAATAGATGTCCTGAAGCGCAGGGGCGTCACTTGGCATTTCCACCGACGGAGAATGGTGCGATTTCCCCGAAGTCATTCAATTTAAATATTGCTTTCTACTCGGTGGGCTTTTATCAATCACACCTATTTTGAATGCACTTCTATATTTCCGATGATATAGGTAGGGTCTAAAAAAAAGGATATATGTGGGATGCGGTACTGATGAGACAAGGACCACTAGAAGCGGTCTCACCTACTGATCTATTATCTTTCCCTTTCTGTACTCGATATTCCTAAGTAACACTCGATATTCCGAAGTTGTATTCGATACCCAGTTGCAACGTGAGTGCAAAGTGGCAACGCACCGCCATACTCACTCGCTGCCAGAATCTCGAAGAGTACAGTTTAATAGCACACGTATATTTTGTAAAACCTAAGTTAACAAGTCGAATGTGAATAAAGCATATCATCATACTATTTAAGTCAGCGTCATCTTTTCTAAAAGAGGACCCTGCAATTTTTGGGGGCTCAACCGAGATATAGCCTACCATTCGACAGAACTTTCACCTTGGCAAAAAACACGTGGAGTGCGTGCAGAGAGCTGGTGAAATTGAGCAAATCGGCTAGATATCTTCAAATCGTCATAAGCAATTTGGCTGGAGTGTGACAAAGAAGGCTGGCGCAGAAAGCAGACACAGTTGGTGGCTTTTGCAAAGGCAAGAACTTGGAGAACGAGCGGACGAAGTGCTGGAAGGATTAAGAGGCAGCGGATCGTGGCTGGAGATCTAGGAGAAGCAGCAGACACGGGCTGGAGGCAGTGGAGATACAGCGAGCAAGACATTGGATCTGGTGTGGTCATCGGAGCGTGCGTGCAGGATTGTGCAAGCGGAAGGCTGGTGCACAGATCTTGGCAGCAGACGAAAGCATCCAGAAAGTTCCAGTTGAGTTTGGAAGTCTTCATTGTATGTGTGACGCTACAAAAGCGGGAAGCGTGGCAAAGAAATACGACGACGACCAAAAGCGACATCATTGAGCGAGTGGCTGAACTTTTGGAGGAGTGTTGCCGGAAAGTTTATTTCAAGTCGTTTGTAAAGTAGTGGGGTAACATTGAAATCAAGCAGTTCCAGAGACAGGGTGGTTAATCTATTTACAATTTGCTTTTGATACTAAATTTAAGAAAACATTGTTTAATCTTAATAATCTACAGGACCAAGTTGTAAAATGGAGAAAAACGAGATCTTGGCACTGCGAGTTGAAGAGTTGCGTCGGAAGTTGTCGGAGTTGCAATTGGGTACGACTGGATTGAAAGCGGAATTGCAAGACAGGTTGTTGACCTACTACGGTCTAAACAATGACGGTGAGTCGGAAACGGAGGATAATGGTGAAGATGGTCTATCAGTAACGTCCGCAGAAACCACTATAAATCGGCCAAACGCAGCAGGTTGGCATCAAGGACTAGGAAACGAAAGGCAGGGTAGATCATGGTTCACGTTGAAAGATGTAGAGGGCAGTGTTTCGCAGTTTTCTGGGTCGAGTTCCCCAGATATAAACCAATGGATAGGAGAGTTGGAGGATTGTGCAGCTACAGTTGAGTGGAACCCTTTACAGTTGTTTGTGTATGCAAAACAGTTGCTTAGTGGAGCAGCAAAGATGTTTTTGCGTAGCCAGAGGAATATCAAAGACTGGGCAAGTTTGAAATCGGCTTTGTTGGAGGAGTTTGGAATCAAGTTATCCTCAGCAGAAGTTCATCGCAGGTTGGGAAAACGACAGCAGCATAAGGGTGAATCCTTGCACGAGTTCCTTTATGCACTTATGGAAATTGCAAAGCCCATTTGTTTGGAGGAAGAAAGTTTGATCGAGTATTTCGTTGAGGGTATCCCAGATGCTAGATCAAATAAGGCAATGCTATACCAGGCCAGAAACCTTAAGGATCTTAAGTTACAAATCGACGCGTATCAAAAATCCCGTGGATCATCCAAACCAGTTAACAAGTATGGTTTACAGGGTAGCAAGGCTGTGCACGACACAAAACAAGATGCGGTAGGTGGATCAGTTAGGAAATGTTTTCGGTGCGGAGATTCGTCGCACATGAAGAAAGACTGTCCCGTGAAGGAGAAATGTTTTAAATGCGATCAACCAGGACACCGAGCAGCGCAATGCAAAGCAGATGTACAGGTCAAAACAGAGAGAGCAACCAATGTCGTTCAGGACGATAAAGTCGTTTCACAACCATCGCGTGAGTCCTTTTCTTCAAGCTTGGAATTGAAATCTGTGATGTGTAGGAATTCAGAATTCAAAGGACTTGTGGACACAGGTGCTGAATTGTGTTTGATGCGTAGGCGTGTGTTCTTGAAGCTAGGCGTTGGAGTAGGCAGTCTGATGGGTCGTCAGAGAGTTTTGACAGGTATCGGGGAAAGTCAGGTGCTAACATTCGGAAGCTTCGTTACAAAGGTTGTAATCGATGGAATCGACATGTCGGTCGAGTTTCATGTCATACCAGATGACGATATGAAGTTTGACGCAATCTTAGGCACAACAATCTTAAACAGCGTTGACATGATGGTAACCAAGTCTGGCACTATATTTTCGCCAAGAGTTCGAAGTGTTCAGCAAAGACCAATGACAGGATCAGACGATAACCAGGCAGGGCAAAGTACTTGTATGCAGCTAATTAGCGAATTCGAAAGTCTGTGCATGATCAGCACAAAAGACTCTAAGACAGTTTCGGCAGTAGATCTGGAGCACTTGAGTCAGGAAGTAGCTTCTGAAGTGGAGTCATTGATCGAAAGTTACAAGCCAAAAAGAAATCTCACTTCACCAGTCGAGATGAAGATCTTATTGACAGACGAGTTGCCTGTTTTCCAACATCCGAGACGATTAGCTTATTGCGATCAGAAAATTGTCGATGACCAGGTTCAAGAATGGCTAGAGGAAGGGATAATCAAGCCTAGTACATCCGAGTTTGCTTCGCCAGTGGTGCTTGTAGATAAGAAGAACGGGAAGAAGCGCTTGTGTTGCGATTATAGAAAGTTGAATGAAAAGATCGTCCGAGATAACTTCCCAACAGCTCAAATGGACTGTGTAATCGAAAAGCTACAAGGTGGACAAGTTTTTACAACTCTAGATTTGACTAATGGTTTCTTTCACGTTCCTGTTTCGCCAGAATCCCAAAAGTATACATCGTTCGTAACTCAGAGTGGTCAGTATGAGTTCCTGTTTGTACCCTTCGGTATAACAAACTCTCCAGCAGTGTTTACCAGGTTTATCATGGCAGTTATGCGTGATTCGATTAAGAACGAGGATGCGGTTGTATACATGGACGATGTGATCATTTCGAGCAAGAGTATCGATGAGGGCGTGCAGAAGTTGAAGCGAGTTTTGGAAGTGGCACAAGGAAATGGCTTGCGCATAAATTGGAGTAAATGTCAGGTGTTGAAGCGCAAAGTTAACTTCTTAGGCTATGTCGTTGAAAACGGTACCATCAAGCCAGGTAATGAGAAAACTCAAGCAGTTGCTGATTTTCCGATTCCGCGCGACAAGAAAGGAGTCCAAAGATTCTTAGGATTGACGTCATACTTCCGTAGGTTTGTGGAAGGATACGCCGTAATTGCCAAACCGTTGTCCGACATGTTGCGCAAGGAGGTGAGGTTCGAGTTTCAAGACCAGCAGTTAGCAGCATTCAAAAAGCTTAAAGAAGCGTTGATCAGTGGACCAGTTCTGAAGCTCTATAATCATTCGCTTGACACAGAAATTCATACTGATGCATCCAAGTTCGGATTTGGAGCCGTTTTGCTTCAACGAGATCCCTGTGATAACTTGTGGCATCCAGTTTTCTACATGAGCCGTAAAACCAAGCCATGTGAAGAAAAGTATCATTCCTATGAATTGGAAGTACTTGCAGTTATCGGAGCCTTGGTAAAGTGGCGGGTGTACGTTCTAGGGAAGAAGTTTAAAATTATTACGGACTGTAACGCTTTTACCATGACCATGAAGAAGAAAGAGATTCCGCTCAGAGTGTCTAGATGGGCGATGTACCTACAAGATTTCGATTACGAAATAGAGCACAGGTCAGGTTCGAAGATGAGACATGTCGATGCGTTGAGTAGGGCGTCATGTTATACGTTGACTGACAGTTTGTTTCATCGTTTGCGGGAAGCACAGCTGTTAGATGAGTGGACGAAGGTGCTCAAAAGTGTCGTTGAGACCAAAGGCTATGAAGACTTCTACATCGTGAACGAAGTTCTGTTCAAGGATCCTAACAAAGAGTTGCTCGTAGTTCCTGCACTCATGGAAACCGAAATCATCCAGAACAGTCACAAGCAAGGACACTTCTCATCCAAGAAAACTCAGGATTTGATTGAGAAGTCATACTACATTCCGAAGCTAAAAGATAAAGTAGCACGAGTGGTCGATAGCTGCGTAGAGTGCATCCTTGTGAATGCGAAGGCTGGTAGGCAAGAAGGGTTTCTTACACCGATAGACAAAGGAGACAAGCCGCTCGTCACATACCATGTCGATCATGTTGGTCCGATGGAGTTAACCAAAAAACGATATAATCACATCTTCGTGATTGTAGATGCCTTTTCCAAGTACGTATGGTTGTATCCTACACGAAGCACAGGGGTTGATGAAGTAGTGACTAGTTTGGAGCGCCAGGCTGTTTGTTTTGGAAATCCGTATAGGATAGTGTCAGATCGTGGAGCTGCATTCACATCCCACCTGTTCAAAGAGTACTGCGATAGGGAGAAGATCCAACATTTGCTGATAGCAACAGGCGTACCAAGGGGAAATGGACAAGTAGAACGCATGCATAAAATAGTTGTTCCGATGCTCTCCAAACTAAGCCTTGAAAGCCCAGGGTGCTGGTATAAGCATGTAGGTAAGGTACAGCAGATCATAAACAACACTGAGCCAAGGAGTACCAAAGTTTCACCATTCAAACTGCTAACAGGACTAGATATGCGTATCCCAGGAGATGTCCAGCTCAAGTCGTTGATACAGGATTGTTTGATTGCAGAGTTAGATGATGAACGCGACAAACTAAGGAAGGAAGCAAGGGAGAACATTCAGAGTATCCAAGCGGAGAACAAGAAAGCTTTTGATGCAAAAAGAAAGGTCGAGAAGAAGTTCCAGCTAAACGATTTAGTAGCCATTAAACGCACCCAGTATGGTACTGGTTTGAAATTGAAAGGAAAGTACCTAGGGCCGTATAAAGTAGTCAGAGTAGGAAACCATGGAAGATACGAAGTTGAAAGGGTAGGCGAAGGTGATGGGCCTTATAAGACATCAACCGTCGCAGAGTACATGAAGGCATTCGGGACGAATCCTGCGTCAGGAGGGCCGATTGTGGGATGCGGTACTGATGAGACAAGGACCACTAGAAGCGGTCTCACCTACTGATCTATTATCTTTCCCTTTCTGTACTCGATATTCCTAAGTAACACTCGATATTCCGAAGTTGTATTCGATACCCAGTTGCAACGTGAGTGCAAAGTGGCAACGCACCGCCATACTCACTCGCTGCCAGAATCTCGAAGAGTACAGTTTAATAGCACACGTATATTTTGTAAAACCTAAGTTAACAAGTCGAATGTGAATAAAGCATATCATCATACTATTTAAGTCAGCGTCATCTTTTCTAAAAGAGGACCCTGCATATATTACTTAGATATAGGGGAATGATAGATAGAATACAAGAACAGCCATAAAATTGTTATATATTTGTTTTTACATGTTTTTCATTTTTAAAAGTAGAACCAAATTAAAATATTTGGCAGTTTTGTTAGTACTCTAGTACACCTATAATACAATTTTTAATATCGTAAATATTCAATATTTTAAACAGTTCATTATAGAAACACAAAGTCAAAGATCTTAAACCTCAAAACCAAATACTTTTTAAAGGATAATTCATTGTTGTAGTTCCCCTTTAAGAAAAGCCACTTAATCTAATTGTTTAAAGATTCTAAGCCTTTGAAAAGAATGCTAGAAAATTACCCGGAAGCCGGAAAATAGCTTCAGGTGGATTCCAAAGATGAAACAAATATTCCGGATATGGCTTAAATATAACTACAAAGCAGTTAATAAGCCACAAAACAAATTTAAGGCATGATAGGGCTTGGTTCTGTTCAAGGAAGTCTGACTAACTCTTATTATTGAGGGGAGTCATCAGAGGCATCCCCTTGGCCTGGGGCCCTGGGTTTTCAATTATTGCAAATGCTCGAAACGAGAGCTTCCCGAGTGAAAGGCAGGAAGTGCCAGACCAGGCCCAGACCAGACCAGACCAACTCAGACCAGACCAGACCCCACCAAGATTAAGCCCAAGAACAGGTCCAGACCAGCGGAGCGGAAACGGAAGCGGCATGCCGACGTCGTCGCTAAGACGTCGTGATTAATTACGCGACGCTGATGATGATAATGATGAGCCGGCGAGTGGGCCAAAGCGGAGAATAAAACAGGCTCCGAGTCTGGCTCTTGAGTCCGCGGGTCTGAGACCGGGAAGCGCTTCAAACAAATCGTTTCAAATTATTAAAATCATTTATTATCGCCGTAATCTTGCAGCGGCGGAAAACCGCAGCAACTGCCTAACCCGCAGAAGCTGGAGTAAAAGTATGTAAAGTGCGTAAACTGCGACCGCGCGTGTTATAAATCAGTCCCCGATCCGATCCGGGTGTCCTTGGGCCTCGTCCTTGTCGTCCCAGTTGTCCTGGATGTCCTCGCTGTCCGTGTGTCGCCGCTGTCATTGTGGCTGTCAATTACGCGCCAACGACTTTCAACGCCTTTGCCAAAGTATGCCAAAAAGCAAAGTGTGGAGTAATTACGGGGCATTACTCAAATGGGAATGGGAATATAAATTGATATATACCCGACCGTGTCGCATCTACCGCTCTTAACTCGGCTCCTATCCCTCTTTATTCGCAGGACGAGGCGCGCAAAAAGGCGGCGTCCACGTATCTCGTTGAGGGCTCGGATATGCCGCCGCCCAGATATCAAAAGGATGGCACCCTGCCAGTCATATATCCGAATAATATTGGTAAGTTGATGCAACAAAAAACCTCTTGACACTTGAGTGAAGTAAAAACTATCAGGAGCCCGTTTTCCTGTGAGCCTACGTGGTTATTTTAATGGCTTTCCCATAGTCTCTTGTATGGGGAACTCTATTTTATACTTTAACATACAAAGTAAACACGAACTATTGGCATAAACAACCTTAGGAACAACTAAGAATTTAAAAGTTCAATCTGTTGTCTTGAAAAGTTCTGAACTCTCTTGCACAAGAAATGAACATTTAAAAAAATATACATATATTTATATAAAAGGCTATTAAAAACCAAATACTTTTACTTTTGATCCACTTCAACCTTTTGTTTATAGAATAATACCATTTTATAACGATTTATTTTTCTCGGTACCAAGCGAAAAAGCCAGAAATACGTTTTAGATAATTAACTTTCGGGCAAAACAAAGTTGGGACTTCGCACGCGCTGTCAGGACGTCAGCAAACCGACCAGATACCCCTTAACCCTCTATCGCCCGACTGCCCTGCGTTGCACTCGTTTTGGTTTGATTTTTATGCCATGATTGCAGTGCAATCAAAGCAAATGTTGAAAAAGGGAAAAGAAATCGCAAAGGGGAGTGGACTGGAGGAGGAAATAAATATACAGAGGGCGAAATCGAAGCTTTTGGGGCAAACGGAGGGAAGTGTGCGAACTGAAAATTCAATTCGAGCACAACATCTCCATCTTAATTGTAATTGAGGAGCAAAGTTTTTGTCAGTCTTGATTTTCAATTGACGTACGTAGGGATGTGTGAGGGCAGACCGTATACTCTATGTGCACATAGCTTAAGGCGGAATCGAAATCACGTGCGGCCTGCGCTAATTTAGGAAAAAACCCAAGCCTCGAATTGTAGAATTTTAGGAAAGCAGAAATGGAAATGGAAGAATAATAGCCGGGGAAAGGACCCAGTCTGGTTTTGAGACCCAGACAAAGGACACCGTGGCAGTCTATCAAAGCATCGAAGCTGTAAGAACAACAGCAGTTCTACAAAAACAATCCGTCCAGTCGGAACAAAAGCAGAAAATGCATTTTAAATGCAAAAGCGTAGGAATAATAAAAATACATTAGCTGCAGAACTTATCCCCAGAGGGGAAAGTGCCCGAGACTCTGGCATAAAAAATACAATTACCTTGTGTCAACGGCATGAAAATTTGGAAAGCTCTATTCCCCTCTCCGTGCAATAAATAAGGTTGCGGTGGAGAATTTTCCCGATGAAATAGATAAACTAGAGATGGGCTCGTGACTATAATTGTTTTTCACATCTATTTCACGATACGATTTTTCTCTTACTCAGGATTACTTTTCAATTTAGCTTTTCTTATTATTTTAGCACGTTTCATCTAATATATTTAGATTTACTTTATGTAAATATCTTCCTTGTGATAGATAGTGTTAAAAACAATATTAGAAAGTGCTCCGCGTGATAATCGGAATAATTAAAATTTCCAATGTCTGAACTCAAGGATCCCTTATCCCCTATCAGAACCTTTTTGACTCACACACATCACGTGCTCATCTCCAAGATAACTCGAAGACAAGGTCTTCCGCCCACTTTGCCACCCAGAGGACCTCCCGCCTCCCACTTTTCCACCTCGAGGTTTCTGCGGCGACACGCATAATTACGTATGTATGTACATCTGGGGTGTTCGTGAGTACCGCCATTTTCTTTATGCCCGAAACAACAACAAGAGCGCAGCGGAACGAGCTGAAAAGAAAACACGCCGAGGGAGAAGAACAACAAAGACAAAAGCAGCGAAGAAAGGCAGAAAAGAAAGCAAGAAGGGAAGAAAGAACGGGCGCGAGAAGGAAGAGTCGCAGAGGGAAGTGCAAAAGAATCCCCCACGTGGCACAAAAAATTAAAATGCTTGCCGGAAGCTGAATCTCAAACAAGCGAGCCCAAGGCTGTTGTTCCAAGCGGGCGGAAAAGCGGGTGGTGCACCCATCTGCCACCACCCACCACCCACCGGGAAAAGCTGGGGGCGGCATGCACATGAGCTTAACGGGCGGGGCAAGCGGAAATTGTTTTTGTTAGTTGGCGTCACATTTTTTATCAGAGTTTTTTGTTGAATTTAAATTGGTAGCGAGTGATGGGTGGAAGTCAGAGAAATTGCTAAAAAAAAAAAAGACGGAAAGTAAATGCATGACAACCTGAGGGGTTTCCATTTTACAACCCCACCAACAGTTGCAATTTCATTTACCATTTATGCATTTACACGGGGAAAGCGGCAAAGCCGCGCTTTTAATGAGACTCTTTCCACACGCTGCCATGTTAATGAGCAGACCAAAAGCAACAGGTCCGGGGCTGTGACCCAGTTTCTGACCTTGAACGAGTGCAGAGGGCCTTAGGCACCCCGAAACCTCTTTAAACCCCTTTGGTTTAAGTATGTTCCCCGAATAAAGCTCTCGGCTGGGCCCCTATATTTCAGTTTTTACGTGAAGCATTTCTTATCTCGACTCCGGTGGGGCCCAACATTATTAATATCAAATGAACGGGGAACTGGGGAACTGAGGCAGCCAGAGCTCCTGACCCGGTCAACAATTATCAAGCTGCCACAGACCGAAATTGGAACAAACACACTGTTCATTGTTCGACTTTTCTTTTCGACACAACAATACGGCGCTGATCGAAAAATCAATAATTCATGAGTGACTGTCTTTTTGGGGAGGCAGCCCACATATGCGGAAGTAAACAAGCCACAAGATGAACAAGGCCCAAACTCAGGTCTGCCACAAGGTTTCCTTCGATTTGTCGTTGTCAGGCAGCCGCAGGCTCGCAACTCTGCCTGGAAAATTATCCTTGCGAGGGCTGAGGAACTGAGGAACCCATCCCACCCACAGCGATTCTGCGATGTCACAGTCTATTTTACAAAATTACAAATTTGTTACGTTTGCGGCTTTCACGCCTCTGCAGCTGACAGTCACTCGCTTTTCACGTAACGTGGCAGTATGTCGGCCAATTTGTCACGCCCCAAGCAGGTGGCCTTATGGCCAACTGAAGACTCCATTGACATTTGCATATTTATTGGACGGCTTATCAGCAATGTCGCAAGCATTGCAATTAATGGCCATCGTTTTCTTTTCCTTTCCGAACGTTTGCACATGAAATCGACCAGAACCAAGCAGCAAATTGTTGCATGTGTTGGTTATGTACCTGTGTACAGGTGTGTTCTCGTTTTCAAAAATCATTCAAAGGGGGAAATTCGTAAGAATTTTTATTTAATATTATGTTGCTTTTTTATAAATTGCTAAACTTTAAGTAATTTTCATAATTAATGAGGAATTTTAGGAGATTAGAACCCACATAAGGTCCGTCCAATCGGGGGCCCCAAAATTATTGTACTCTAATTTTCTAAGTAAGTCAGTAAGAACTTTGATTGTAAATTAGATAGTTTATAATGAAAAATGAATAATTAAGTTACTTTATTGAATCCTAAAACATTCAGAAACCATTTAATGTCCGTCCACCCGGGGGCGCCACAACTTACGTACTTACTTACTTACTTCCTTGACAACTTACTTACTTGCTTACTTACTTACTAACCTACTTACGCACTTACTTTATTTCTCACTTACTAACTCACTTACCTACTAACTTACTTACTTACTCGATTATTTAGCTACTTTCTTATTTTCATAACTTACTAGTCATAAGACGTTCAGAAACCATTTAAAGTTCGTTCACCCGGGGCGCCAAAAAAATGTACTTTAAATTCTGATGATAAATGCTTGGAAAATGACTTTTGGGGGAAATCAGTAAAAAATTTGATTGTAAAAATGAATTGTTCTTAATGAATAATTTACATTTAAGTTACTTTTATAACTATTTAGCCATAAGACATTCATAACCCTTTAAGTGTCCATCCACCCGAGGGCGCCAAAAATAACTGAACTCTAATTTCCTATGATTTCCAATATGCTTGGAAAAAGTAATATAATATTTTTTTAGTTCTCTCCGGGGTTTCTAGCTCTTTCTAGAACTTGTTTCATTTTTCTGAAAGGGCAAGCAAGCACACTTTAAAAAAGCTACAGACTCCAATGCCAAAATAAGAACAGGGCTGACAGTGTGCGTGTGTACAAATGTGCATGTTTTTCGAATATTAAACCCGTCGTTGGCAGTTCAGAAATGAAAATTGAATGCGTTTTACATTTCTCCACTGCGGCTGGCCGGCCAAACGGCGTGCTCCGCTTATGGTCGCAATCAAGGCTTAAGCCATAGCAACAGCCATATATGTATGTGAGGGAAAAAATATAGGAAAATAATCAGTAGAGCGCAGCACGTACCCCACAAAAAAGAGAAGCAATCGGGGCATTGGTAAGCCATTAAAATCAACCCAGAGCAGGCTAAAGTGGGCTTATTGGCCACAAAAAAACAGCCTCAATGCATATAAACCGGGCTCACTTTGACTTAAGCACATATTAACCGGATACTGTTTTTCCCTCTCCCCGTGTTTTTTGCAGTGAACGCCTGTACACTGCCGCACCCGAGGCACAACAATGGCAGCGCCGCCATCCACATGACCCGGGATGATCAGATGCTAATCAGCAAGGGCGTCTATATTCCGTCCCCGTCGCCGGCGCCGCCGCCAGATGGCTCCTACTACAACATGAACAGCGACAGATACTTGTCCTATCCGCCAATGGTAAGTCAGATCGATGAACCCGGGGCATCGCAGGCGGGGATTTGGCCGAGACCCAAGCTTAACGAACGGCAGATGCAGGCTTAATTGCCCGCATCTGCAGTTACCTTCTTTGATCCGCTGCCATCTGGCACCGCCCCCTCCGGCGCCTGGATTATTGCGCTCAATTAACCAAAGTTTTACGAAGGACCCTTGGCACTTTGCATCCCGCCGTGCGAGGGGTCCATAAATCCATGTATCGATCTGGGCGAGGAGCATAGAGTGCATCTTCCCCCTGCCGGCATTTAACGCGCTTCGACTTTTATAATCCGCAACACTGTAGAGACAAATGACAAACTTAAAAGCATTATAAGTAAGCCCCTCGAAGCAGACTGCACTGCGTTGCTGCACTGCGCGCAGAGTAAACATTATTTTCCCCGGGCAACAATTTAATATCACGCATACGCCGCGTACGGCAGCTGGCTGCGTGGCTTTTACGACGGAGGAACGCCCACAGATGCGACAAAGTTTTTGGTCCGCGTCACTCATAAAGCGGTGGGAATGCCAGTGCCGGGGTAAAGTTGTCCCTGCCCCTGTCCCCCGCCACCCTGCCCCCCATTTTGGAGCGGATTCCACCTCCGAAAAGCACCGCAGCCAGTCAAGGACAGGCGATGTCCGCTCCATTCCAAGGCGGATGCCACACATTCGGCGCTTGTCGCATTGCCTGCCAATATAAATTCCGCAAATTTCACAATAAACATGGGGAAATCAATTTTGGGAATTTATGTTTCCGACGCTCCTTTCAGGGAATCAACGTCCCCTCGGACTTGATGACTCCTGGCACTAAAGGGGTGCCAGGGCGACACCCTAAGACGACATCCGACGTGGGATGACAGTCAGCCCGTTTATGTGTCGTCTCAACTTGGCTGACGCCCGATAATTGTATAAATTAGATGGGGGAAAGCGAATGGAAAAGTGCAGCAGCAGCAGCAGCAGGATGGCAGTAATATCCAGGGGATATTACGCAGCAGCAGCTGGCTGCACAGCTAATATAATAATATTTATGCTTAGCAGTTGACCATGTTTATGGGCTTTATACGATTTGTTAAGTTATTCAATTGTGTCCCTCTCCCAGGGAGTACACAGTTAAATGATGTGGTGGATGTGGGCAGAGTGGCCGTATCAAGTGTCCAGTATCCACTGCCCAGTAGTCCAGCATCCCAACATCCCAGTAGCCAGTGCTCCGTCATCGTTCTTTGCCATCGCCCGACATGGGACTAAACCTTTTGTTTGCGGTTTTTAGTCAACGAGGGAGAAAAATTCAATTTCGGTTTAGTTGGTCAACAATGACATCCCATATGTATGTCCACATATATGTGTATAAACCACTTCACTTCACTCCATGGCCCATGGAGCAGCCACTCCTTCCGCTTTGTGTGCGGGGGCCTTTTGCCGTTTCACATAAGAAATGTTTTGTGTGGAAGCCAAATTGAATTATTTGATAAACATCATTAGAAAAATTACAAAATATACAGAGCAGGGCGGCGGCCAGGGGCAGTTCAGTCCCTTCGCCGGGCTGTGCGGCTTCCCGAAAACATTTGGCCAGCTCTAAATTACTTTTCGAAGAGCATCTGTCTCCGTTTCGACTTCAGTCAGCTCCAGCGCCACGTATCCGAGCAGACAGTAAATGAATAAGGACAATTTATAACAGTAAATCAAATTAAATTTCAATTGGAAAACTTGACAAAAAGAGAGCTCGCAGGGCGGAATAAAACAAAACAAAATGGCCATCTAACAAAGTTAGGGCATCGCATCGTTTTGCACATTAGTCCCCGAGGAGGGGCGCGCATGAGGCCCAGCTGCCCATCGAATTCCTCCGTCCGGGCCACCATAATTGCCCATCACAACTGAATCGGACCAGTCCGAACTATATGTGGACTCGATTCAGCTTGACCAGTTTATCACAAAGCGCTGAAAAGTGATTGAGCAGCTCCTTAATCAATTTATGTTATGCTGTGCAGTTGCCATTTATGGGATTTGATTTAACTCAGCTGCTGCAGCACTATTAAGTTCGCCCAAGCTTTTTATTTATTTAAAGCGAGATAAAATATTTCAATACATTTAGCTAGCAAAAAGACTACTTCAATTACAAGTATAGAGTTCCATTTCATTTAATTTTGATCATTACCTATATACATATTTTCCTTTAAAAGGGAAATGTTTCATATACATGTAGTAACCTTAAAGTATTTTACTTGCATTCAAACACATATTTACACCTTTTAAATCATTTTAAGCTATTAATTTGCATTGGATGTAATAGAGCAAACTTCTGATGCGATTATCATTTTAATAAATAGGAAAAGTTTACTTTTTTGATTGATTTATTTGTCAAAATCTTTTAAGGTCATCTTTTGAAAGTTATTCCGATTGAATTTTATTCGTGAAGAGGTGGTCAGATGCTAATAGTTGAGCTTTATTTTTATAACAATGAATATATATTGGATTTCAAATATTTTTAAAACAGAACATCAGTATTGTTAACTTGAATCTAGGTAAACAAAACATAATATAATGTGCAAATGGACTTATCGAGTCGATTCGGTTTAAAGATTTAAGTAGGCTCAATTTTCCTATTTTATTTATTTTCTAAACAAAGACTTCAACTGCGTGTACTTTCATTAACATTTTTATAATAGCATATCCCATGTTTTGATATGGCTGTTTGGCTAGACATTGTTTTTTCCGTTTTCCGACTGCTACAGCTAGCTGATTGATTTGCCCTTTCGGAGCAACAGGATGTCCCTGGGTCGGCGCCTCAAGGACTTCAGCCGTATCCACATCCGTTCATTGGCACGCAAAGTGGCCCGAAGTAAATGCAATTTAAAACAAGTTGTGGCCACACCCAGGCAAAGCCGGATCGAGAATGGCAGCCCACCCACTCATCCATCCGTTGCGGTGTTTTTGTCCAACCAGCTTGTAACTATTTAAGCGGCAATTTGTATTTTATTGCCAACTTTGGTTGGCTTCCAAGGCCAGAGAACGGCAAGTCCACACCCTTGCCCACCCACGTCAGCCCCAAAATGCTCGAGTTTCATTTGGCTGGCGTTGATAAGTTAAATGCTGACTGCCGGACGCAGTTGGAATCCCTATGTGGACTACGTGCATATGTGGCTCCGGAGCAGCCGGAGGGCAGGGACTTGACTCCAGCCGGACAACTTAACTACGGTTCACTTTGTTAACTTGAGTTCTGCACAGTTTTAAATTCAATTAGTTTTCGTGCGGGCGAACCCGGGATCTGGATCTGGATCTGGCCCATTGTCTGACTGCCACTGAGCTGTCAGCTGCAAAAGGAGCGGGAAAGCAGGAATGTGGGAAAGCTGGAAAGCCGGGGAAGGGAGGAGTATCCGTCAGATACTTTACGCACTGTGGCTGTCATCAAAGCGGGATACGCGAGTGTTTTGTTTTAAAATTCAGGGGGCGGGCGCAAAGTGCGCAGCTGAAGCCGATTAAATAAATAAGGGGATCCACTCCTAGTGGGCCATAATTTAATTTTCGCTCCCTCTGCCGCTCGAGAGGCTCCTTGGACTCATAGACTTGGCGCCGCTCTGTTGGCCTTAATGTGGAAAGTTTCTTTTTTATGGCCAGTGTGGAGATGCCAATTGGTTATTCTATTTACCCGGAATGAAGTTCCAACTCCGGCAGTAACAACAATAATGAGCTGCGGCCGAGAATTAGCGAGCGCGGCACACAAAAGCCTTTAAGTGTCCCAAAGTTTTCGCACAGGGCAACCTAAAACCCTTTACCCCCGTCCCGTCCTGAGCCCCCAAATCGCATTGGCTTAGCTCTGGAGCTCTACGGACCCCAAGTTTTCGTTGAAGACAATTTAACTTTGTAAACTGATACAAAATGTCCGCCCTGGTCTACTTGAGACCTCTTCCCGATCCCGATTCCGCTCCCGATCCAAGTCCCCGCCACTGCCTTGTTAATCAGTGTTGAGTGTTGTGTCCCTAATGTGTTGCTGGATGTCCTTGCGCCATCTTAATCCCCGAGAGTTTTCAATTCCGCAATCGTACGTACTCGATGCCCCTTAATATTCCAATTAGGTGCACGGGCCAAGTTTGCAGCACGTACAACTTTCAAGTCGCAAACTTGGCCCGCACAGCTGGACTTCTGGCATGCGGAACAGGAGCGGCTTCCTCAACTGGCACAAAGTGTCATGTCAATTGAACTGGAGGAATCCGAATCCACTCGCAGACAGTTGGCTTTCTGCTTTTTTCCGTTGCCCAGTCGCCCAGTTGAGAAGTTGTCAGGAAGTTGTATTGTACACGAGTGCTGGCAGAAAGCGCTGTCATAATTACGGCATCGTTAGTGCCAATCTTCGCTTTAATGCCGTCTTTTCAGGGAAAAGTAGCCAAAGGATTCGCGGCGTGGATGGAGACCAGGAGTCCAGGAGTCCACGAGTGCAGGAGTCCAGGTCCAGGGTATTTGAGCCTCGGCTTAGAGCGGACTTTTGTTTGCGCCCCTCATTGTTTCATATCTCGGGCGACAGTTTAATGGGAAAACTTTTGCCGCTGAGCCAACAGAGCAGTTCTATCCCGCCGAAGAGCTGCGATGAAGCCGCTTAGCTAAGCCTACGCACACTTAATCCACACTGGCAAAAAAGTCCTTGCGGCATGCAAAAAGTGTTCTTTAAAACCATATCTTATTGGTTGATAAAGTAAGGGTTATCCCCTGTCGAAATTTGCATACCCAAGGAGTCCGAGTTTCGAAGCCTATATCTGAGTGATATAGCCAACCAAGACCTCGAGTTTTACCCAGAAAATAATCTTCTGTTTATGCTACCAAAATAAATAGAAAAACATATTTGAAAACAACTAAAAGGGTTCTCAAATGGATACTTAAAAAATATATTGTAAGAAAAGCAATAAGCCACAAATTAATCAAAGGGTTTCATTAAAAAGTCTTTATTAAATTTTATTCCGGTGTGCTTCTGAAATCTTTAACAACAAATTTGTTTTCTTTGTACTTTGGTAAAAGTTTGTTTGTTTCTGCAACAATCTGATACCAGAACTCAAATCTCATATCAGACTTCAGAAATAGATATCCCTAGCTATTCATATTTATTCTCGCTATTAATGTTGATGATTCCATAATTGTGCATGTACAATATATGAAGCTTTACTGTACCTAAGTCATCAAATTAATCTGGTAGGATAAACATGTTCTTCTCTACGAAAATTACATCTACATATATTATCCATTTTTCTTTTACTTTTTGGAGAGAGTTCAAAATTAATATTTATTAGGAGCCTTTCCATGTATGTATCCTATTCTTACAAATGTGTATACTTAATTTACTTTCAGGAATACCCAGCAGCTTTGGACTTCACCGCCCAGCCGATGTCCATGGCGCACCTGCAGCCCATGACGGTGACCTCGCTGGCCACCAACGGAGGCGCCACGCTCATGGGCAACGGATCGGTGGCAGCGGTGGCCGGTGGATCGGGCACCTTGCGGCGGGGGATCCTGCGCGGGGTGGTGGGCGTGCCGCAGCCCGACGTCACCCACCACACGTCGACGGTGGGCGGAAGTCCCATGCAGATGATGCACGACCTGCACCCGGTGAACCTGAGCGCCTCGACGCTCACCACCAGCACCACCCTGAACGGCAGTCTGCCGACGGCCACCGCCACGCTGCCCCGCCAGCCGCACAGCATCCTGAAGGATCCCAACCGGAACAAGCAGCACCAGCAGCAGCAGCAGCTGCTCAACGCCAGCCTGGTGGGCGTGGGTGTTCCGGTGTCGTCCGCCATGGGCAGCCTGCAGATCCTCAACCTGCCGCCGGCGGGCGGCGGACTGGGCAACAACCTGCTGATGACCACCAGCGGCGCCTTCGACCCCACGACGATGGGCATGAGCAGCTTCGGCGGAGTCGGCCAGCCCGGCGGCATCCCGGTGGCCTACACCGACGCGGACGGTCACCTCGTATAGCTGTAGGCGGGGACTGGGGCCATCAGCAGCGGCAGCAGCACCACCAGCTGCAGCACCACCGTGCGGATCCTCTCCGGCAGTGAGCCCCGGTTCTGAGCGACCTCGTCGCCCAACACCTATCCCTATTCCTATCCGGCGCACTCGTATCTGTAGCCAACCTACTCGCAAGGATGTAGCTAGTTTAGGAGCTTTCTCTTCGGCATCTGGGTTCCTCCGGTGTCCCCTGTCCGGCAGCCACATCCACTCGCCATTACCTTATTCAAATCAGCCAGCGAATTAGTTTATGTAAATTTCCACCCAGTTCTTACGGCTTCCCCGTCAATGTGGGTGTTTATTTAGATAAGGATTCTGGGGAGGCCAACTCACTGGGGGAGTGAGCATAATTTCGCAGAGAGTTTTACTAATTAGCCGGCAGCAGGAGGAGCAGAAGGAGCAAAAGGCGCAGAAGGAGCAGGAAGCGGGCGAAAATAATTTGAAAATCTCCTTGGGTGGAGAACGCGAAACGGTCCAGAGCCGTTTGACAGGTCCCAGGGGCGTGCTTCGGCTCAAGTCGACTGGGCACGTGATTGCCCTGGACGGCGCCGGCGGCCATGGTCGTCGAAAGTTGAAGGTTGACAGCCGCTAGCTGCTCGGCGACCCCCTCCCAGATCCGAGTGCTAGATTCGCCACCTCCCCTTTAATGGGCAGCTGGAAAATCTGGGAATGGGACTACATCCGGCCGAAAGCACAGTGGAGCCTACTTAGCTCAAACCACTCGGCACACAAACATTTTACGCAAGGAAACGTTTAATGAGGAAAAGTGTGTTTTTAAAAACTTGTTATTTCTTGAAAACTGGGAAAGGTTAACGTTTTGATAATGAATTACATTTTCTCCGAGTTAAGAAACAGAAGTTTGAGTTAGGAAGGTTCCTTTAAGGAGGGGCGTTCAGAAATCCAACTTAAAGACTTCAAAGGAGAAGCCATAGATGGAGTGTTTTTATAGAACCTTTCATAAAATTTTTAAAGAATGCCAACTACTAGAAATCAAGGCTACGCCAATCTTTCGCCTTGGAATTTAAGTTTACCAGCGCCTTGAGCTGCTTAACTCAATCTCCTCCTTGCAAATGCGCATATCGCAGATATGGAGGGGAGGCGGCCACGCCCCCCTATCCCATTATATGCAGACGCAGCCTGTATCTCCATCTATCTATCCAACAGACATTCGAGTGGCGCTGCCGCCCATAAACAGTTTTCATTTGCCACTCGTCGCAGCTCAGCGAGCGTGACATGCCAATCCTGGCCTGCGTTGCCATTAGCTCTTCCAGTTCGAGGCCAGAAGAATCCCGGAATCCCAAGGACCTCTCAGCTCCGTAAGCGCCCACCCACTCCTCCATAGCCATATCCACATCCGTATCTTTGACTTTGTAGCCAAGTTCTTGAGATCCTCGAGCGCCGTGCATAATTGCCAGCAGCATTGTGTGGATTTTAATATTCATTTGGCTGTAATTGTTGGATCCGGGTCTGGATCGGGGGAGTGCACTATTGCAGCAGCTAGTCCCCAGTGGATTATCGCAAATGAATAAATGCCCTGATTTCGGGCACAGATGGCTGAGGATTGGGGGATTGGAGGATTCGGGCACTCAAGGACTCCACGAAGCCAGGACTTCAGGAGGTGGGGCGCTGAGCAAACACAGAGTGTGTAATTAAAAGTGAAATTATCTTTGAAATTAACGCACGCGTAGACAAAGACAAAGGCGATGGCAAGGAGGAGGGCGAGGGAAATGAAGAAAAATGCGCGGAAAACTGAGGATGAAATTAAGAATGAAAGAAGATGAGGCAGCTCTGTGTGCCGGCACACATGGGTGTATTTTTCCGCTGTGGGATTTTCCGCTATTGAATAATGGCGATGGCAGTGGCCAGATAAAAGTTAAATGAGCGGGAAAATAGGGAATTATAGTGGATAGCCGGGCGAAACCTGTTGTGTTTCCCCGGGAAAGATGGCCAAAGGACAGGGGCTGCAGTGGAACCCCCTACACCAGACATGTGAACGTATAGCTTGTACTCAACTCTACGAGTAGTGCTGCCAAATTGCATTAATAATTAGCGTTTAACTGGATCCGTAGCCCTAAGTAGCTAAGCCAAAACAATTTCGAACCACTACTCAATCAGCAAGCCAAATCCTATCAAATTGTACAATACCACAGAGCGGAAGCCGAAAAGCAAGGATTAACAATTACCGATTAGCGATAAATAATTAACGATTAAAAGGACAAATGCAGGTATATCGATACACACACGGAGAGTCATTGCAATTCATAGATGTAAACGTAGCGTACAATTTCGCATCTCGTAACTCTTAGGTCCTGTCCCCACATACCCCTCTAAAGGTTCAGAGCTCGGCAGGGAGTTCCCCACATAAGCATAGGAATAACCAACTCGCTGTTTTCTTAGGGATAACTATTTGATTGCACTCGAACCCAGTACTCCACGAGGGAAAGGTGTCCCCAACCGCATCTGCATCTGCATCCGCATCCGCATCACAAATCTTGTATGTCTTCCCCAGCTTGTCCTGACGATTGTTGATTGCCCCTTGTTTGATCCACAAATACGTATTTATAATTACACGTACACATTAGTTTAAAGTTTAACCTAACTTGTCGGGGGAAATAAATAAGACTTATTGTAGATAATTATGTTTAAAACAATTAACAAACACGAAATCAAGTTGTTCGATTTGTATTTTTGCCAAAGAGATATTTGTTAAACAAAGATAACTTGCAGCTAGACCATGTGTGTGCTTGTTTCACTCTCGCTGTGTTTGATTGTTGTTCGATTGAATTAGAGTCTCTGTGTATATGATTTCGGAAATCCCCTCATTCGACGTTAACGTAGCATAATTGAGCAGCAGCTGAAGGCGATGACACACAAGACTTGAATACCGAACCTAGGTTAATGTTAAATGTTAATGGAACTCGAATCGAAAGCGAAACTTAATGCAGCTAAGTGTGCGTGTGTACAAAGCGAATTATTTACCAGTGGATGTGAATGTTTTTATGACACTTATTGAGTTATGTATTTTATGTAGTCTGTATGCGTATATCGATAACTATAATTACCGAAAGCATTGTACAGTAGTCGAGGGGAAAAACAATAATTAACACGGCGTAAGTTCATTCGAAGAAAATCGAAAATAAATTAAACGCATAGTTCATAACTCAAAGCATAAGCCGCCACTCAGAAAACTGTATAAAACGAAAACGAAAAGAAACAAATTCTTTGAAAAAAACAAAAAAAAAACAATTTATTGACAAACTATGAAAATTAATGCATATGAAACCTACTGCATTTTTAAAAAAAGATCTGTTAACAAATGAATAATAAACCATAAAAGGATGAATACCAAAAACGAAATGCATTTCCATGGCGGAACAAAGGGCCAACCGATTACGGCACAAAGGACAATTTAATGGCAAAACTTTCGAATCAATTTTCAGCGGCAGGACTCAAACAAAGGACGACGGCTTTCCGGCCCCACAGAAGAGACACTTTTCCCGGCGAGCCAAAGTTTTCCGAGGGCAGGACGACTATCCGTCTTGCCGGGTGTGGTGCAAAAAATTGAATTCCTTGTAAAACTTACGAGCTGGCATAAATTTTAACAGCATCTCAGGGGGCGGCGGGCGGTGTTTGGTGGGTGGTGGCCCTGGATGCCTCAAATTACGTATACGGCCCATTGAACGCTCTGCCGGGCACGGACATGTGTGCGTACACTCCGGGGCGGGCCATTATTCTCCCCTGACTGACTTTATGACGCTCATTCGATGGGCACAAATCGCAGCTCGTTTTTCATTTAAATGGAAGTTAATTAGTTCCGCCAAAAAACAAAGCGAAAGAATATATATATGGATGTACGTACACCGAGGAACAACAATGGGTGCGGCGCAAATAGAGGGCAAATAAAGTTTCGCCCCGCACTGGGCGTGGCCAAAAGCATTCCTTGCTGCAATTGATTGATTTATTCCCGTTCCCATTTCCTTTCCCGTTCCCCATCCCGCCCACCTTTTCATCCTGCGCCACTTCTTGCTTTGGCTTCGACATCCACTTCGGCTTCATCAGTTGTTGCCGCAAATTGATTCAACAAACGGCAAACAAGTGAAGCCTGGCCATGATGGGCCTTCAATTAATGGCCGGATGGGGCAAGTAAGTACGGGCGGAGCTGCCAGGACGAAACTTTCTCGCACCGTAACTCGGCGACTGTCAGCCGGCGGAGCACTCGATTTTCCCTAACGAGCTGAGGGAAAGGATGGATCTAAAATAATAAAAGAATCCCGAATATAGCTGGACAACATACACATACCGCCACAGGGGAGAACTGAAGGTTAAACTTTAATTTGACTTCGAATTTGAAACTGACAGCGCCCCACCAAAAAAACATATCTATTCGCAGGGTTCTCGGTGGGGGGTTACGTCAATATCGTCGATAAAGCGGTTCTAAAATATTTCAAACACTTTTTAGAGAACAACAATTTATAAATATGTTATAGCATCATAAAAAGTGAGGAAGGGGTGAATTTTAAAGGTAGCTTCCTGTTATAGTTTTATAGAAAGTCACTGCTAGAGAATAATTACAGAACAAAACAATAAATCCTATAAATTTACTAAGCAACTCATTTTCATTAGCTTTTTTTGATAAAGAAATCTGTTAAGTCCTGTAAGATAAAATATTTGTTTTAAATATTACATGTATAGGGTCACATTTTATAATATAAATCATTTTAGTAGATTTTAATTGATATAGGAATCACTATAACGAAGGACTTAGAATCAAGCTTTTAAATGCAATATGAATCTGAAGTATAGTAACCCCTGGAAGTAGGGTATCGCAGTTTCGATTTTGAATTGTAACTCTGCCGCTGGTAGACTTCATTGTAATGCAGGTGACAACGCCGCCCCCTCCCGCCTCCCAATTCCACATCCTGGCCTTTTTGTCTACCGCTTTTTTGGCGGCCACCGGAGCCGTCAAAAGGAACAAACCTCAGTGGCGACAGCGTGGAAATGCACGTCACAAGTACTCGCACAGTTCATCTGGCCGAGTAAATGGAAAAGTTTTGTTTGGTAAACTTTTTGGGCAGAAAAGAAAGCGCTAAGGCGGGCTGAGTGCTGCAAGTGCGGAGTCGGGCCCGAGGTACAAAGTCACTAAGGAAACAATGACGACCGAAAAGTTTCTCGTTGGCATAATCATTGTCATGGCCATTGACGCAAGGATTTGCAAATTATCAGGGACGAAACTTGACCGGGCCGTGTGCAACATGAGCCTCTCGAGGAATTCCATCATTAAATTTAGCATCTTAGCATTTTCCAGGAGGCGGGATGGGATGGGAACCAGCGGGGACATCTGTGGGGACCACAATAATGGGCATAGATAGCAATTATGCCTTTGGCGAAATTGCCGGCTGACAATCAAAGAGGCCGCACGCATAGGCAAACCGTTCTCAGAGCCACCGCAATGCCTTCTCCCTGGGAACCGCAGACCCTCCTCGGTAATGAATTGTGGCCAACCGACCCAAAACACAAACAGATAGAGAAAGAGCCGATTATAAGTTTGGGTTCTCCTTCTTTTCCGCCTGCCTGCACAATAATGTGGATCCTTGGCTCTCGGCTCCCAGGAGGAGGAGGAGGTCCTGGCACGCATATGCAGCCCGGAATCAACAACATCCCCTCGGCTGCAACGACAGTGAGTTCAGGCGACCAGAAGGACCCGATTTCTTTGCGGGCTCATTGTTTTGCGCAGAATTAATTTCGAAGCAATGGAGTTTATCGCTGCCCTGCAGCCCCACAGTGCAGCCTCACACTTGGCTAATTTGTGTGGGAAAATAATGCCCACATGAACAGCCCTCCACATGCACAGTAAAGTATAATCGACATTTATGGCCCATTTTGAATTATAAGATTCCTCAGTATTTCCGTTTTGATTAAAAAAAGGTTATTTTATCTCAGTTTAAATCGCTACAAATAGTTTTAACAAAAAAAGTTGTTTGAGTAAATGCATAAAAACAAAAAAAAAATATTTTGTAAAATTATACAAATTTATGTGTATTTTTTTTCAATTATCATGTTTCTTTTCACTTGAATGCTCATTATTTCAGTGTAAATGAAAATGCATGTTTATTAAATAGAATATTTTTCATAACTTTCATAAATTATTTTCCCATTCAATTTGCACAAATGATGTATGACCTTAGGCCCGAAAATTCCATTTGCTAATAAAATGTTTGTAGATATAAAGTACGTGGTGCTTTTCCCAACTTAATTCAAACTTAATAAGCTTTAATTCATGAGGAAAACGGAAACACGCCTGTGCATGAGAGGATAAATTATCTAAAAGGTCTGGTTTGCTAACCAACTCTGACAAATTTATTTTCGATTAAATTTTTGTGCACATATTTTTAAAGTGGGTGTCAATGTGTCACCGGCGACTATAAAAAGTTTCTGATTTTATTTTCCTGTGTAGTGCATGTTGGCCTTGTTGGCAAAACGCTCGTAGGGAATCGCAATGAAAAGCGCAATAATTCAAATTACGCATACGCCGCATTGTTCGTATGGGAAAACCCTCGACGGGCCCATCCCCCGGTGCAGTGCATCCTTTGGCCCATTCACAGCCCGTCTAAATAGAAAATATCTCAAGTTGTTCCGCCTGAACGCATCGCATCCAAGCCAATGGCGCTGACTCAGTTGGCAAGAAGAAGCCCATGAAAAGCGCCAACGAATGCGACTGCAAAATATGATTTCATTCATTAACAGCCTGACAAGTTCAAGTTGAATGAGTAGATATATTTGGCCGCCTGTCGGTGGCCACATATGATTTATTTTTACCACGTCTATTACAGCATCATAATGAGCAAACGTCGCGGCGTCTTGGCAGGCACTCAAAAAATAAAAAAACAAGTGAAACATACCTACATACAAAGAGGCGTTGGCAATTATACAAGAAATATCGAAAACCTTTTAAGATTCGCGCACGGAATGTTTTTATTTGTTTTCCCCGTGTGCCCCAGACTCATGTTCGCGGCATTTCCCCGAGCCAAATTGCCAAACAGCTGATTTAAATAGCCAGGCCCAAAGAGCAGCAATCAGAGCGAGAAAGGAAAGGATGTCGGCCAAACAAGCAACAAGCGGCGAGGCGAGGCGAAATATGTAGGCGAGCACGGCCAGCCGGCGAGAGTCGCCTCGGGCTAGAATCGCCGCACAGTGTCCTCAAAGAGGAATAGCCATATAATCTGCATCCCCAACTACTTAACTATTAAGCACTTTTGGTGTGAAGGTTTATTTTTAAACTACCCTAATGAGATTGAAAAGGTCTAGTACTAATAACAAAGTATACTTTAAAAATAAAAAACATTTTTTAAAACTAATGGTTAGGTTAAAAAACTATAAATGTTTTCGTAAATTTATTGTGGGCACATTATTAATTAGATATTCAGATTTATAAAACTTTTCTATAACTATCAGCTAATCAATTATGCACAATTAGAACACAGCACATGACCCAAATACTGGTTAGGTTGAAAAACTATACATTTTTTCGTAAATTTATTGTGGGCACAATATTAATTAGATATTCAGATTTATAAAACTTTTCTATAAAAATCGCCTAATCAATTATGAACAATTTGGACACAGCACTTTATCCACCAAGTTAATAAGTGTAATACAATTTGAACTTTATACAGTGTGTCTTTTATTTTCGAAACCATAATAACAATATTTTTAGTGAATGTATATTACATTATAAGGCCATTAAATGAACGCTACTCAAATGTTTAAAAAATCTGTTGATTAAATTATTCTAAAAAGTTTGGTGGAAAATAATATAAGAAAATATCTTAATTTCACTTTAAATTCTTCGGAACCTGGCAATTTGACCAAATGAAATTATATGTTATTATAATATTTAAAATATGATATATATCGAATATGCAAAATCAACGAATTTCTGACCAATCGAAAATTGATTTCGACCAGCCGCTTAAAATATTATTTGACATATAATCCGATGTCTAGTTATTATTATTATATTATCTCAGAATAATATGTTTGTAATTATTGCTAGCGTTATATAAACAAAAATAAATAGTTTATGATGTTATTTCTTAAATGTATTTACTAACTTATTTACTTATAACAAAGATACTATGCGTTTTCTGCCTTACAAAATAGGTCGCCCAAAGGAAAACCCGTTTCCTCGATTTCCAACCACTGTGCCGGCTGCTGCGTATTGCGTGCCGCAGTGCTTTTGGTGCTCGCCGAGCGGCAATTCTCGCTGCTCGCCGCCCATCGCTCATCATTCTGCACTCGAAGTCGCCGCCGACGGGGCTCGTCGTCAGTCTAGAGAGTAATATCGACACGAAAAGTAAGTTCGCCGTGCTTCTGCTGGCCCACCAGCATCGAGTATAGAATCTATATGTGCGGCGGACCCGTGAAATGGGTGGAAAACGTGGAAAATCCATGGCGGACTCGCCATTTCCACGCGCCTCCGTCGAGCACGTGGCGGAGTTGGGCTCCAGGGCGAAAATCGCAGTGGTGTGCGCGTTGCATAAGATTTGCAATTATAATTCCAACGATTCGAATAAGTAAAATATGAAAATTTGATGAAAAATTCGGAAAGTGCTCTAGTTTTGTGCGCTGCCCAGGCCTTTGCGTGTGATATTTTTGGACATGTGTGCGCCTTCGGCAACGGCTCCGCGTCTTCGGGTCGTCTTCGGGTGGCGGTGGAGACCAAAAATAAACACACGACACCGCTGAAAGCCAACGAATTGCCAGAGGTTTTCAAAAACTAAGATCTTCCGTTCGGTTCAGTTCAGTTCGACAAAAAGAAAAACACCTTTCTAATGAACAATCCCCTGTGGTGTGCCGGGTGTACTACATATACCCACAGCAGTACCAAAGATATGTGCGTTTTTGTGCGGGTGCTGCCGGTTCAACAAAATGGCGGGGGCGGATGCGATGGCGGAGGTCGGCATTGCGTGCCATCGGACCCTTGGATTACCGATGGCCGCCTATCCATATCCCGAATCTCTCGCCTCGCAGACAGTCCGCCGCCAGTGAAATCAGTGAAAAATGGGAAAAGTCCTTGCCCAAGGATAAACGCATCCCACGCACCAGCGAGCAATTAATTAGGAGTCGTCGTCGGGACTCTCGGGAAATCGCTGTATTCGAATGGCAACATGTTGCACATAAATCCACGAATACACCGACTAAATATAAGTGCGACCACTAAATATATAGCGTGTGTTTGCCAGTTTGTCGAGCACGCCATGTCGACAAAGTAACGTTGGCACTTGCCCAGAAACATACTAGACACCCAATGAAAATCCCACGCCAAGAGGCGGAAATTAGGAATAGATTTGATTAGCCCAATCCGAAACACTTAATTATTTTGATTGCCGGTGAAAACGATAAATATATGTTTCACACGGCACAGTTTTTGATACACAATGTAGTCGATCTTATTTTGTTCGCATAAGTATTGAGCCGTAAGGTTTCCTTCATTCAGATCATACTTATCTAATTGCAATACTTAACATTATCTAATATATAAGTTTACAAAGCTGGAAGAATTTTTTTTGGATTTCAAAGCAAATTTTTGAAAATCTTCTGTTAAGATGTATGTATATTTGTACATATTAGTTTGTATACAGGTTAAATATTAGTATTTCAAGCCAAAAATTCAAATTCTTTTTAAGGGGGTCGAATTAAAGAAAAACTTTTCAAAAGAAAATAATTTCTCCTTTAACGTTTTGGTTTGAATATTTTTGAGCACTTTACAAGATGTTAGACAACTTTAGTTTATTTTTGTTATGTTTAAAACAACATTACCTTCTTTGAAATCTTAATATCCATACTTTTGTTAAACATCTTTTAAAAAGGCTTCCCAGTTGATCGTTTTCTAGCGAATTTTTTTAGCGAAAACATAAATTCAACTGTGAAGCTTTTACAGAATATGAAATCTTCATAATTGTAGAAGATTTTCTTAGTTATGGCAGTCTAGACCTGACTTATGATTTATTAGACCTCTTAGTTACCTTATTATTTTAGAAAATGAAATTACTAATTGTAAATGTGATTTACAAACATCGAAATATTGAGAGATCTAATAATGCCAAATAGTAAGGGTGTGCCCTCAAATGATCATGTAACCAGGGCTGCCATTTCTAGTTTTTTTCAGGACAGATCTTAAATTGTTTTTAAAGATATAGCCAAAAAAGGTCAGTTGAAGTTTAATTTTTGAAAGTCGTGTCCCTGTATAAGCTTTCTGTGCTTTTTTAAAAAATTAGTTTTTCCTTGATTCGATTTTATTTCAAGTCTGTCCTTTTTTTAAAGGCAGCACTGCATGTAACATTACTTTGAACCCTTTGATGAGGATTCTTATTTAGTTCGACAATTCGTTTTATTTATTTGGCCTCTTGCCCGGTAGTAATATATATATGCCACATATCTACACAAATTCCTGAATAATTACAAGTGTAAAAAACAAGCGAAAAGTCGCGGCGAATTTGGCAAGTGACACACGAAATGCGGAGAGCAAAGCAAAGGCGAAAATAACCGCAGAGCCGAGTGAATCAGCTGTTCGCACAGCGAGAGCAAAACAAAAAGCCGAACGAGAGAGGCGAGAGAAAGTGCTTTCTCCACTCTCCGTTGGTCCGTGTGTGGGTGCCTGTGTTCGTGTCGGCCAAGAGCGAGCGGAAGGGGGATTCCCAAAATATAAACAAAAAGTTCGTGCCACTCGATTTCTGTCCGCCCATTAAGAAACCCTCGCCGAGAATCATTCCCACCCGCGACAAGTGTAAACAAGCCCATGCTAACCGTAAACACATTCCCAATCTTTCGAAGGAAATAAACCGATTCGGGTGACCGAGGAAATCCCAGAACAATTGAAATCCAAGCGCTGCTGCGATATAAATTCCGATTTGGAGGCGCTGCGGTCGTTGCGTTAACCAAACGAAATGGCTGAGGCGGAGGGAGGCTCCGAGCAGGATGATGTTTCATTCCTGAGAACGGTAAGTACAGGGGCATCATAACTGTCATATTCGAAACAATGCCCTGATGGTAGCATGGTCAGAAAAATCGAGAAGTATGCAAAAAAAAAACAGTGAAACTATACCCTAGTTTTTCCATTTTTCATATCCCTAATAGGAAAAACAAAAGTGTATTAAAAATATATTTATATACAATAAGGCAGGTTTTTGAAAAATAATATTGTATACTCTATGTGTGAAGCCAATAAAAGAACTTACCACACAGAAAGAATTGAAAACATTACATTTACATTTTGGGGTCAATGTTGTCTATATCACAACAAAACGGAGAGAATAGAAAAGTTAAAATGAGTTTACTTAACAACTTTTAGTTTAGTTATAGAGATAAGGAAAATAAATACCGCCAATTCAGCTTGATACAAGCACACAAAAGATTTTTAACTTAAAATGTTATATTTTTAAGAACATTTTTAAATCAGATGCATACGCCAAGAAATATTTACTAGTATCTACATAATGTTGTTCACAGATTCAATACGAAATTTCTTATTTAAATGCCGTTGTTCTATTCGATTTTGAACTACTTTACGAGTTCAATACGAAACATTTTGAGATTGAACTAAAAAAAATATAGGTACCAATGAATTCCAGAGCGAATTAAACAGTTTGGCAATTTTAAAAGTACAGAGCGATTTAAAATATGAGTGTGCCCTGCATCCACTGACAACGCCAGATCATCTAAAATCAATTACGTCCACTCAATAAAATCCATGGGGATTTTTCACAATTGGTGTCATAAAATATCCGGCAATCCATAAAAGATGTCCTGCTCCGTTTCCCCTGTATATGTAATGCATATTTATAGGCGCCCCTAACTTTTGTTTATGGCATACAATAAATACGAAGCTCGAGTCACAAATTCAATCACGGCCACCAGGGGCTTTAGCTTTTCGTCTGATTCCACTTTACATAGCCGGCTGGTTTGGGAGTAGGAGGGGGGATTCCTCGATGAACACATCGTCAGCTGACAAATGCCGCCATATATCAATGCCCACAGCTGGTGCGCCAAATGACAGCCATTATGGGGTATAAGTAAATAGTGTTGCTTCCTTTTCCTCACGCCCACGTGCCACACCTCCTGGCCCAAGGGCCCGACCCGCACTGGGGGTCAGCGAGGTCAGCGGCAACGACACCTTGCCGCAATAAATAAATACGTTTGAGGGCAAAAGTTGAGTTTACCCATCGCACCCACACGGGCATCCGTGGCCGCCTGTATCACTTTGTGAGCCCGCAGGCCCTTTTTCCCACTCACCACAGCAGAAATTCAATAAATATAGAAGACCCGGCAGAGACACAGGACCCCAAGTCCCCGGGGAAGTCCCTTTGCCGCCCTTGAACTGATGTCAAATTACGCTTATTTGCCCCCACTCCTGGAAAACCCCTGGAAACTTTACAGTTGACAGGCGGGTGAACCGAAAAGTGCAAGTTTGCAAAACATTTATCGAAATGAAGTCAAATGCAAATCGAGTCATTGAGCAGTGCAGTTTTCGGATGCCAAAAACCGGAATGCGGTCGGGCTTAAATTTTAAATAGATGGGTCCAGAGACAATGATGCTGCTGCGTCAGGACTCGGCACTTCATTCGCATTTAAATTATGCAAATTGCTCGATTCGAAATCCATTACCGTTCATTTAACTTGGACTACACACAACATCACCGGCCCAAAATCACATCGCACTGGCCGGGGGGACAGGGGAAGATGCAGGGAAAGTGGGTGTGGACACCCAACCGCCACACACCACCCACCACCCACCGGCCGTTCATTTGCACATTTAGTGCCTTGTAACAATTCCCTCAATTTGCGTGTGCATCGCCCTGCTTGATGCTCCCGGGCCACAAGGATGCAGATGGGTCTGGGGAGTCGAATGTGTCGGCAAATGCCAATTGGTATTGCGGTGGCTTGCCGGTCGGAATTGTTGCCAAAGTCTCATTAAAATTGCAGCACAACTTTGGGCCTCTTAACGACTTAATTGTTGCCCAAACTCTTCTCCAATTCCTTAACTCACTGCTAAGCTCGTTGCACATGAAGAAATTAGATAAACGATCAATGAACTATTCATTTTTCCTGGATATCGATCTCAAGTTTTTGCCAAACGATCTGATTAACTTTAGAGCTGTAAATTCAACTTGTATTTCACAACTAACGTTGGTAAAGTTTTTCAAGTTTAACGCAACGTAGTGCATAATTTAAGCATATGGACAAAAAATGGAATAATCATATCTTCTGGATCTCGATCTCGAGATATTTCCAAATAATTTGCTCACCCCGAAGTCAAATATCGAATTTGTTAATAAAACAAGAGAACTATAGTCGAGTGCATCGACTATAAATACACTTCTTACATTTTATCGTCTTTTGTTTACATTTTAACATCAATAACGATATTCTTGCTAGATAAGGGGGTCATTACTTATTTATTTCGAATTGAAATCTTTGAAAATGTGGGCGCCATAGTTTTGGGCGGTTTTTGGGCACATGCCTAAGAATCTCTAGATCTCTAGCATGTAGATCATGCTTTCTAGTCTATATTGTTTTCTAGTTTTATAGTATTCAGAAACAACAACGCTTATACGGACGTTTTTTAAGTTGGTGGGCGTAGAGTAGGAAACATTTTTTTGGGTCAATTGATAGGTATTGACGAGAAAAATTTTATAGCGCTAAAACTGTAGGAGCCACAGTGCCACAAGGCACTCTACTCTACGAGTTCAGAATGTATCGCAATAAAGGAGATACATTAGTACCAGAAATATCTAAATCAAAAAGGATTTATATAGTTTTTAGAATCTGATGGTTTCTAAGGAACCTAATAGTTTTTAAAATCAAAAATATACAAATACTCTTACTGAAATAGTATTATATGGCAAATTAAATGCTTACAGGGAACAAACGGACGAGAACACATATTCTTTTCAAATATAAGTTGTATATCCCATACTTTACTTTTTTCTTATAAACAGGGATTACAATGTAGGGCCTTTCTTTTAAAATACCTTCGTTGTTTAAATGAAGAATACCAAATACCCAAGCATACTTGTTTTTCTTACTAAAATACAAACTTGTAGAGATATTTACCATACCGACAGGATCAATAACATTTTTTTTTTAATTATTATCATTTTTACCATATAAAATATAAAAATAATAAATCAATATACCTTCTGACCCCATCTAATGCCATACTATTCCGGATGCCATTGTAGGAGGACATGGTCACGCTCTCCTGCACGGCGACGGGGGAGCGTGTCTGCTTGGCCGCCGAAGGATTTGGTAACCGGCACTGTTTCCTCGAGAACATTGCCGACAAGAACGTACCGCCGGATCTGTCGCAGTGTGTGTTCGTCATTGAGCAGGCGCTGTCGGTGCGAGCTTTGCAGGAGTTGGTGACGGCGGCCGGATCCGAGACTGTAAGTATAGCCATTCGAATCCGGCCCACACGGATATATGTCTCTCTCATTTCGAACCAAGGGAATCCCGAGCATTCATACCGTTCAGTAATCTGTCCGCCCCTTTTATGTTGTGATCCATGTCGCTTCGATGTCCCATGAGCATTACGATGATATTATATTATTCCCCCAGTTACTTAGGTCTCTGCATGCTCTCTGTTCTCTGCTCTTCCCGTTTCTCTTCTCTTCTACACATTTGTAACCTTTCAATTTTTCGTTATCTTTCAAAATTGTTCTAAATACCCACAAAACAGGATAGTCGACTTGTAAGTATAACGTTCAATTCTTCTTCTTTACTCGTATCGCGCTTCTCTTCTTTCTCTTGTACTCTCTATCTGTCTCACTCTGTCTGTGTAAAGTAGCGCTTGTTCTTTCTCGCTCTGCTATCGCTTTCTTTATCACATGTCCGCGGGAGTAACTCCCTAAAACAGAGCTTTTAGCTCAGTAACTTCCCCAAACAGGGATTCGAATGGCGTAAAGCCAGGCCTAAAGCGTGGTTATTAAAGCTCTTAACTCAGCAGTGATTAAAATCGAATGCACGTGGTCTAGGGTCAAGGGTATTCCTTTCCTGTACAGAGAAGAAATCATAACTGGATAAAATTATTTGAAAATTTGTAAAAATATCATACCAATAACAAAATCTTGTAAACTGTTTTATTTAAATATATATGTACAGTGCTCAATTTCCATATTTCATCTTTGAAAAGATAGGGGCTTACATTTGGTTTTCCAAATTATAATGATATTAATTCAGAAATTTTACTATTTCCACATACATTTTCCCAAGTTTCTTCTCTGTTTGGCTGTACTCTGTAGATCTAACCACCAGCAACCACAAACATTTTGCATCCTAACTCCGTAAATACGTAACTTTTCCCACTGTTATGCAGTAGTTAGTAGATTGTAGTCTCACCAACCCCTTTAGCTAGCTGTCGGCAGACAGAGCTAACAGTTTCTAATGGTTTCCCGACAATTCCTAGGGCAAAGGCACCGGATCGGGACATAGGACATTGCTCTACGGCAATGCCATTTTGCTCCGACATCACAATAGTGATATGGTGAGTGTTTGATCGCTTCAACTTGCTCGTTAAGACAAAACCTAATGAATCTTAATTATTTCAGTACTTGGCATGTCTGTCGACATCCTCGTCGAACGACAAGCTGTCCTTCGACGTGGGTCTGCAGGAGCACAGCCAGGGAGAGGCTTGTTGGTGGACGGTTCATCCGGCGAGCAAGCAGCGTTCAGAGGGCGAGAAGGTGCGCGTCGGAGACGACCTGATCCTGGTCTCGGTGGCCACGGAGAGGTATCTGCACACCACCAAGGAGAACGAACAGTCGATTGTGAACGCCAGCTTCCATGTGACCCACTGGTCCGTGCAGCCCTACGGCACGGGCATTTCCAGGATGAAGTACGTGGGCTACGTCTTTGGCGGCGATGTGCTGCGCTTCTTCCACGGCGGCGACGAGTGCCTGACCATACCCAGCACCTGGGGTCGTGAGGCGGGTCAAAAGTGAGTACATTACCTTGAAATCCCCACCTTACGTTGCCTTAATCCCATGTCAATCCTTCCTTGCAGTATTGTTATTTACGAGGGCGGCGTGGTCATGGCCCAGGCGAGATCCCTGTGGCGCCTGGAACTCGCACGCACCAAGTGGACCGGTGGCTTCATCAACTGGTACCATCCAATGCGCATCCGGCATATTACCACCGGACGCTACTTGGGCGTCAACGACAGCAACGAACTTATTCTGGTGAAGAAGGAGGAGGCTTCGATTGCCACGACGACTTTCTGCCTGCGGCAGGAAAAGGACGACGAGAAGAAGGTGCTGGAGGACAAGGACCTGGAAGTGATCGGCTCGCCGATCATCAAGTACGGCGACACCACCGTCATCGTCCAGCACTGCGAGACGAGCTTGTGGCTCAGCTACAAGAGCTACGAGACGAAGAAGAAGGGCGTGGGCAAGGTGGAGGAGAAGCAGGCCATCCTGCACGAGGAGGGCAAGATGGACGATTGCCTCGACTTCTCGCGCTCCCAGGAGGAGGAGTCCAAGACGGCGCGTGTCATCCGCAAGTGCAGCAGCCTCTTCACGCAATTTATCACGTACGTTCCTCTAAGCTCTTCTCTAGTATCTTATCTAATCCCATTTGTGTTTTAGGGCCTTGGAAACCCTACAGTCCAATCGCCGACACTCCATTTTCTTCCAGAAGGTCAACCTCAACGAGATGGTCATGTGCCTGGAGGATTTGATCAACTACTTCTCGCAACCCGAAGACGATATGGGTAAGGCTAAATTATTATTCATTATCAGAACCACTAAAGTCCTAATGTAACCCCCAGAACACGAGGAAAAACAGAACCGCTTCCGTGCACTGCGCAACCGACAGGATCTATTCCAGGAGGAGGGCGTGCTTAACCTGATTCTGGAGGCCATCGACAAGATCAACATAATCACCTCGCAGGGCTTCCTCGCCAGCTTCCTGGCCGGCGACGAGACCGGCCAGAGCTGGGACCTCATCTCTACCTATTTGTACCAACTGCTGGCCGCCATCATTAAAGGCAACCACACGAATTGCGCCCAGTTCGCGAACAGCAACCGCCTAAACTGGCTGTTCTCGCGTCTGGGTTCCCAGGCCTCCAGCGAGGGTTCCGGCATGTTGGACGTACTCCACTGCGTGCTCATCGATTCGCCCGAGGCCCTGAACATGATGCGGGATGAGCACATCAAGGTGATCATCTCGCTGCTGGAGAAGCACGGCCGGGACCCGAAAGTCCTGGACGTTCTTTGTTCCCTGTGCGTGGGTAACGGAGTGGCGGTGCGTTCCTCGCAGAACAACATCTGCGACTTCCTGCTGCCGGGCAAGAATCTGCTGCTGCAGACGCTCCTGGTGGACCATGTGGCCAGCATCCGACCGAACATCTTCGTAGGCCGCGTGGACGGCTCCTCCATGTACCAGAAGTGGTACTTTGAGGTGACCATGGACCACATCGAACAGACGACGCATATGATGCCCCACCTGCGCATCGGCTGGGCCAACACCTCCGGCTATGTCCCTTATCCGGGTGGCGGAAAGAAGTGGGGTGGCAACGGAGTTGGAGATGACCTGTACTCGTTCGGATTTGATGGCGCCTATTTATGGACCGGAGGTCGCAGGACCGCAGTCTTGGATGCGCTGCCCGAGGAGCCCTTCATCCGCAAGGGCGATGTCATTGGAGTGGCGATCGATCTCTCAGTGCCCATCATCACGTTCACCTTTAACGGAGTGAAGGTGCGGGGTAGCTTCCGGGACTTTAACCTGGACGGAATGTTTTTCCCCGTAATGAGCTGCTCCTCGAAACTAAGCTGTCGCTTCCTTTTCGGAGGAGATCATGGTCGTTTGAAGTTTGCCCCGCCCATGGGCTTCTCTGCCTTGGTGCAGTGCCTCATGCCGCAGCAGATCCTCAGTCTGGATCCCTGTTTCTATTTCGGTAATCTCAGCAAGAACGTGTTGGCCGGACCATGGCTTATCGAGGACGACAATGCCTTTGTTCCAAAGCCCGTTGATACGACGGGTGTCTCACTGCCCAGTTCTGTGGACCAAATCAAGGAGAAGCTGGCGGAGAATATCCACGAGATGTGGGCTCTGAACAAGATCGAGGCGGGCTGGTCGTGGGGCGAGCACCGCGATGACTACCACCGCATCCATCCCTGCCTCACCCATTTCGAGAAGCTGCCAGCGGCGGAAAAGCGATACGACAATCAACTGGCAGTACAAACGCTCAAGTAAGTGGATCATCCATTAAGTAAAGGATCTTTTACTAACCTTATCCATTCTGTAGGACAATCATTTCGCTGGGCTACTACATAACCATGGACAAACCACCAGCCCGCATCCGCCCGGTGCGCTTGCCCAACGAGATCTTCATGCAGGGCAACGGGTACAAGCCGGCGCCTCTCGATCTGAGCGCCGTGACACTCACCCCCAAGTTGGAGGAGCTGGTGGACCAGTTGGCAGAGAACACGCACAACCTGTGGGCTCGGGAGCGCATTCAGCAGGGATGGACCTATGGCCTGAACGAGGACAGCGAAAACCACAGAAGCCCACACTTGGTGCCCTATGCCAAGGTGGACGAGGCCATTAAGAAGGCCAACAGGGACACGGCCTCGGAGACGGTGCGAACCCTCCTGGTCTACGGATACGTGCTGGATCCACCCACAGGCGAGGGAACCGAGGCACTCCTGGCCGAGGCACAACGCCTCAAGTTCGCCGGATTCCGGACGTACAGGGTGGAGCGAAACTACGCCGTGACTTCGGGCAAGTGGTACTTCGAGTTCGAGGTGCTTACCTCCGGACCCATGCGAGTAGGCTGGGCCCGGGCCGATTGCTATCCAGGAGCGATGCTGGGCAGCGAGGACACCAGCTGGGCCTTCGACGGACACAATGTGAGTATATGGAGGGCAGGGGGTCCATGCCGAGGGCCATCCATTCGGTGTAGTGGCTAGGAAGGGACGAGGGAAGAGGGACTGTGGTAACGCCTTAATGCAAGATCGACTCAAACAAACCCACAACCCCGTGATTATAGGTGACCAAAATGCACGCCGGATCCATCGAGCACTTCGGAGTGCGGTATGAGGCTGGCGATGTCATTGGTTGTTTCATCGATGTCAAGGAGCTAACGATCAGTAAGGACCTAGACGCCCTAGCAGCGTGCATCAACGTTGATTTATTTATTTTGATCGAACGCATTTTGTTTAACTCAACTTTTCAACTTAATCAAAGATTTCGTTCTCTTTTGATTTGTTAATTTAGCGACACTCTCTCATATACGATCATTAACAAGCAACCAACAGAGTAAAGAGTCACAGAACATTCGTATAGGGCGATTCTGATTCTGATACTGATACTGATCGATCTAAACGCGACTAAATCTTGTCACTTGCAATTCAACTTTTTAGGAAGAGAAAGTCTACGGTGGCGTCAGTGAATCCTTCGGTAAACAGTGCGGACCAGGGGACATAGTCGGCGTCTTTCTAGACCTGGCCGACCACACAATTAGTAAGAATTGCTCGCCTCCTTGTTGTAATGTGAATTCCTATAAGCACCCCCTCAAGGAATGTCAACACCTCCGTGCTTTTGATATCTACTAAATGTGAACCAGAGCCACCGGAGAACCGAGTGCCGCAGGTCCGGCGATGCGAAGGCCATGTGGTACCCACGCATTCACCTATTTATAGATACCCTGCAAAGCGAACCCCAGTAATAAATGCAGACCCGTTCATAGTTCACTTTCTTACGGTTTTGGAATTGATAAATCGTTTTGTTACTGATGATATTTAAAGAACCTATTTTCTTGATCCAAAATTGAAATTAAAGTTAGGAAAATGTACAGACTATAACAATTTTATTATTTTTCAGTCAATTTAAATGTATTTTCACTCAGTTATCTTTTGAATCACATAGAAATTATAAATAATTTTAATAAATATATTGAATACTATAAAGTAAGTTTTTGTCAGATCCAACTGTAATAACCGTTCTTGAATTTGATCTGTGAAATCCGGTCTGATAACTCAGCAATCGAAACCAGAAGTTCAGCCACTCCAGACCCCAGACTCGACGGACTTCGGACCGAGCCCACTCATAGAATCGTCCGACCAAAGCATAAGTCCATCAATGCCAGCTTCTAGTAGACTCTCACTTTCGAATCACATTATCCAACTCCCAAGCTCTAATGTCCAACTATTGTTACTTTGAACACGAACACCCCAAACGCCTAACAAGGAGCGTGGCGCCTGATTAGCGACCTGGGTGCCTGAGGAGCAGGTGACACATCAGCTCATCCCCAAGCTTTTTACTCTCTCGTAACTGCCTGTAATTACTAACGACACGTACTTATCCAATATCAATTAAACCCAATTGTACAATACTTAGCATGAGAGCTAACACAAAGTACTTAATAGCTTGCTTGACTTTATAATCCTAGCTTTGCCAACTAAAACGAAACCCAATCAGTTAAACACTACTATAGTCCAGACATAATAACAATATAATGCAAGTATGCTGCAAGGCGAACTCAAATGCCAATTAATACGCACGCATTTCCTAGAGGAATTTCAATTGCCTAATGGATTCCGGACGAACGAAACAAATCGGATACGGATACGGTTCTAAGGCCCAGGCCCGTTCGGAATTCATTGAGAGCTGCTTGGTTCTTGGTTTCAATATACTCATCATTAGCAACCGCCCGGATACCCCAAGCCCCGACCCCATTAACTGTAATCAATCGTTGTGCAGGCTTCTCGCTGAACGGAGAACTCCTGATGGACGCCCTGGGTGGAGAGACGACCTTTGCCGACGTCACCGCCGAGGGGGTGGGCTTCGTGCCCGCCTGCACCCTGGGAGTGGGCCAGAAGGCGCGCCTCATCTACGGCCAGGACGTGGACTCGCTCAAGTTCTTCACCACCTGTGGCCTGCAAGAGGGCTACGAGCCCTTCTGCGTGTGAGTACAATATATATGGAGATAATTTTATTAAATTCCCTCACTTAATTACCTTGCTGCCCTGCAGGAACATGCGTCGTCCGGTGACCCACTGGTACACCAAGGACCAGCCCATTTTCGAGAACACCGAGGAGATGCCCGACTGCCGGATCGACGTCACCCGAATCCCCGGCGGCGCCGACACCCCGCCGCACCTGAAGATCTCGCACAACACCTTCGAAACGATGGAGAAGGCCAACTGGGAGTTCCTGCGGCTATCCCTGCCCGTCACCTGCATGGGCGAGTTCATCGGCGAGCAGGAGAAGGCGCGCCGCTGGGACGAGATCAAGAACCGGCAGTACCGGCTGATGCGCGAGGCGGAGGCCGCTGCCCAGATGCAGGTGCAGACCCAGGCCGCCCACATGGACCACATGCTCAAGGGCGGCTTCAACATGAATGACATCAAGGGTCTGACCCGGAATTTCGATGAGCACGCGGATGCCGAGGCGGATCACATGATGCGAGGGCCACATCGCCCGCCGCGGAAGGGATCCCTCACCCGCAACATCACTTTCGAGTCGGACATGTCTGCCGCCCTGGACGAAATGCAGCGATCCAGTTCCGTGCTGGACATGAACGGACTGGGCGAGGAGCTGGACGACAAGAAGAAGCGTGGCCGCAGTCCCTTCAAGTTCTTCTCGAAGAAGTCGCGAGACCAAAGTCGCGAGAAGATGGGCGCCCGCACGCAGGACACTTCCCTGGAGCGCCGCAATACGGTGGCACATGGCCGAAACGTGGTCAACCAGCAGATGACCACGCGAGCTCCCACGCTGCGGCTGAATAATGTAGGTCTAGTTCTTAGTCGTGAGAAACCCCTTGATCGCTTTATTTTTATCCCATCCTCATCCTTTCCAGGCCGAAATACCGCCCAGCCCGGTGGCCCAGGGACCCAAGCAGTTAAGTTCCTCCAATCTGGGTCAACAGCCGGTGGAAACTTCCGGCGACGAGATGTTCGACGCCGAGTGCCTCAAGCTAATCAACGAGTACTTCTACGGAGTGCGAATCTTCCCTGGCCAGGACCCCACCCACGTGTACGTCGGATGGGTGACCACACAGTACCACCTGCACAGCCGTGAGTTCAACAAGAACAAGGTGCGCCGTGGATCGGTCTACATCGAGGACGACTACGAGATGGCCATCGAGCGGATCGACCGCCAGAGTTGCTACGTGGTGCGGGCGGACGAGCTCTTCAACGAGGTGACCCAGGACGCCTCCGGCAAGGGAGCCTCGCAGGGCATGTTCGTCGGCTGCTTCGTGGACACAGCCACCGGCATCATTCGCTTCACTTGCGAGGGCAAGGACACCTCGCACCGCTGGATGATGGAGCCGGACACCAAGCTTTTCCCGGCCATTTTCGTGGAGGCCACCAGCAAGGAGATCCTGCAGATCGAGCTGGGTCGCACCCCCACCACTTTGCCCCTCTCGGCGGCGGTTCTGCCCACCAGTGACAAGCACATCAATCCGCAGTCGCCACCACGCCTGAAGGTTCAGTGCCTGCGTCCGCATCAGTGGGCCAGGGTTCCGAACACCTCGCTTCAGGTGCACGCCCTGAAACTGTCGGATGTGAGGGGATGGTCCATGCTGTGCGAGGATCCCGTGTCCATGCTCGCCCTGCACATCCCGGAGGAAGATCGCTGCATCGATATCCTGGAGCTCATCGAGATGGACAAGTTGTTGTCCTTCCATGCCCACAGTCTAACCCTTTACGCGGCTCTCTGTTACCAGTCCAATTACAGGGCTGCCCACGCTCTCTGCCAGCATGTGGACCAGAAGCAGCTGCTCTACGCCATCCGGTCGGAGTACATGAGTGGACCACTGCGCCAGGGCTTCTACGACCTTCTGATCGCGCTGCATCTGGAGTCACACGCCACCACAATGGAGGTGTGCAAGAACGAGTACATCACTCCTCTGGGAGCCGAGCTGAAGGAGCTGTACGCCGACGAGGAGATGCAGCACTCGCTGCGGTCCCTGGTCACGGAGTCAGTGCGTCCGCAGCTGCGGATGACGGAGATCACGTGAGTTGACCCCTTTGGCTGGCTTTTCGCTCTACCCACAATGCACAGGTTTCCCCAATCACTGCGCGGGCTGGGGACATTGGCATTCTGACTATCCGTTCGAATATTCGTTTGTTCACACCTCATTCTATTTCGAATCTCCCGGTCCTGCATCTGATCCAACACTACACCTGATCCATCGATCCATCGAACCTCCTGCACCGACACAACAACAACAACTACACCCGTCCAGACCCCCTGTGATTGCAACATCTAGTATGCCAAGTGTTTCCAGCGAACCGATCCCCGACATCGACCAATTGTACTCCCCGAAGTTCCCCCTAGAAGTAGTCAGGCAGTTTGTAATGGAGGCGCTGAAGGATGCCGTCGAGATCAATCAGGTCCACAACCGCGATCCCATCGGTTGGACAAACGAGAACCTCTTCCTGTGAGTATCCATCGCCCTCTGCCAGGCCCTTAGATAGTCCTATAGTGATAGCCCCATTCCCGTTTGCCTTGTAGCCCTCTAATCAAACTCACAGACCGCCTGCTCTTGGTCGGCGTCCTGACCGACGAGGATGTGCAGCGGCTGTTGGTCATGATCGACCCGGAGACCTGGGATCCAGCTTTCGAGAGGGGTGAGTAATGGATATCCTTATGTTTGGCTCGGTCGACAAAGTATAGTCAACAAGATTGATTTTGATCAACTACTTCATTAAGATACGAGTTAGCTTTTCTTGTTATACCCGTTACTCGTAGAGTAAAAGGGTATACTAGATTCGTCGGAAAGTATGTAACAGGCAGAAGGAAGCGTTTCCGACCCCATAAAGTATATATATTCTTGATCAGGATCACTAGCCGAGTCGATCTAGCCATGTCCGTCTGTCCGTATGAACGCTGAGATCTCGGAAACTATACAAGCTACAATACTGGGATTAGGCATGAAGATTCCTGAGATTCCTGCGCAGCGCAAGTTTGTTTCAGCAGGGTGCCACGCCCACTCTAACGCCCACAAACCGACCAAGCCTGTGGCGCCCACAATTTTCATGCTAGGTACAAAATTTTAACTGAAATGTATTGGTCTCGTCAATTGATCCACAAAAAAATTTGCTACGCCCTTTCTAGCGCCCATAACGCTTAAATCTGACTTCCGCCGGTAGGTGGCGCATTTCAATCTCGCTTTGCTGCTTGCATATTTCCATTTCCCTTTGGTCCCATTAGCTGAGTAACGGGTATCTGATAGTCGAGGTACTCGACTATAGCGTTCTTCCTTGTTTTTTTTCATTTTTATCTTGAAGATCAATAGATTTTTATTTCTAAGTTACGTTTTTGTATTTAATTTAAATATGTACTTCGAACCTTTCAATTCAATGTGCAGATATTTTTTATACCAGTTACATTTTAATTTAAATTTTACCTACTTTTGGAAAAATATTAATGTAGATTACTTTGTTGACCATATTCTACGGCTTAACCCCTGAAACCGAACCGATTCTAATCCAAAAATTCTAATTCGCCCACAGAGGGCAAGGACGAGCACCGCAAGGGCTTGCTGACCATGAAGATGGCCGAGGGCGCCAAGCTGCAGATGTGCTACCTGCTGCACCACCTGTACGACACCCAGCTGCGCCACCGAGTGGAGAGCATCATCGCGTTCTCGCACGACTTCGTGGGCGATTTGCAGACCGATCAGTTGCGACGTTATATCGAGATCAAGCAGTCCGATTTGCCCAGTGCTGTTGCGGCCAAAAAGACTAAAGAGTTCCGCTGTCCGCCGCGGGAGCAGATGAACCAGATTCTCTGCTTCAAGAACCTCGAGGCCGATGACCAGGACAACTGCACCTGTGGCCTTGAGTTGCGCGGACGCCTGGGCGACTTCCACGACTGCCTCATGCAGAAGGTGTCGCTCAACGCTCTCCAAGAGCCGGATGGCGTCGAGGGCGCAGCGATCGAGGAGATCAAAACGGGACCCATCACGAAGATCTACAACTTCATCAACACCGTCAAGGAGCTGGAGGAAGGGCCAAAGGAGGTGGAGGAGCCGGAGAAGAAGACGCCCGAGGAGGTGTTCCGAAAGGTCCTGATCAAGACGATAGTCAGCTGGGCCGAGGAATCACAGATCGAGAATCCCAAGCTGGTGCGTGAGATGTTCAGCCTGCTGTTACGTCAGTACGATACGGTGGGCGAACTGGTCCGCGCCTTGGAAAAGACCTACGTGATCAACACCCGGGCCCGCGATGACGTCGCCGAAATGTGGGTGGGCCTCAGCCAGATACGCGCCCTGCTGCCCGTCCAGATGAGTCAGGAGGAGGAGGAGCTGATGCGCAAGCGCCTGTGGAAGTTGGTTAACAACGCCACTTTCTTCCAGCACCCAGACCTTATACGCATCCTGCGCGTCCACGAGAACGTGATGGCCGTGATGATGAACACCCTGGGACGGCGGGCGCAGGCCCAGAGCGATGCGCCCACGCAAACGGAGGTCGCCGAAGGAGCTCCGTCCAAGGAGAAGGACACCTCGCACGAGATGGTGGTGGCCTGCTGCCGATTCCTTTGCTACTTCTGCCGCACTGGCCGGCAAAACCAGAAGGCCATGTTTGATCACTTCGACTTCCTGCTGGACAACGCCAACATCCTGCTGGCACGGCCCAGCCTGCGAGGATCCACGCCCCTGGATGTGGCATACTCGAGTCTGATGGAGAACACAGAATTGGCTCTGGCCCTGAGGGAACACTACTTGGAGAAGATCGCCGTCTACCTGTCTAGGTGCGGCCTGCAGAGCAACTCGGAGCTCGTGGAAAAGGGCTATCCGGATCTGGGTTGGGATCCCGTGGAGGGAGAACGCTACCTGGACTTCCTGCGCTATTGCGTTTGGGTCAACGGCGAGAGCGTCGAGGAGAATGCGAACCTTGTCATTCGACTTCTTATCCGTCGTCCGGAATGCTTAGGACCGGCTCTAAGAGGAGAAGGAGAAGGTCTGTTCCGCGCCATCGTCGAGGCCAATCGCATGTCGGAGCGCATCTCGGACCGCTGCAAGATGCAGGACGAGGCCGAGGGCACCATTGCCGGACTGAACTTCACGCACCCGTTGCCGGAAGGCGAGGAAGACGAGGACTATATCGACACCGGAGCCGCCATCCTAAACTTCTATTGCACCCTGGTGGACCTGCTGGGCCGATGTGCCCCAGACGCCTCGGTAATCGAGCAGGGCAAAAACGAGTCCCTGAGGGCTAGAGCTATTCTGAGATCTCTGGTGCCACTGGAGGATTTGCAGGGGGTGCTCAGCCTGAAGTTCACCCTCTCGCAGACGGCGCCCGGCGAGGAGAAGCCCAAGTCGGACATGCCGTCGGGCCTGCTGCCCAACAACAAGCAGAGCATCGTGCTCTTCCTGGAGCGCGTCTACGGCATCGAGGCCCAGGACCTCTTCTACCGCCTGCTGGAGGACGCCTTCCTGCCCGATCTGCGCACCGCCACCATTCTGGACAAGAGCGACGGATCCGAGAGCGACATGGCGCTGGCCATGAACCGCTACATCGGCAACTCCATCCTGCCACTGCTCATCAAGCACTCCAAGTTCTACAACGAGGCCGAGAACTACGCGAGCCTCTTGGACGCCACTCTGCACACGGTCTATCGGCTGTCCAAGAACCGTATGCTGACCAAGGGGCAGCGCGAGGCCGTCTCCGACTTCCTGGTGGCCCTCACATCCCAAATGCAACCTGCCATGCTGCTCAAGCTGCTGCGCAAGTTGACTGTGGATGTGTCCAAGCTGTCCGAGTACACCACCGTGGCCCTCCGGGTGAGCATTTTTTATTAGTTTCATAATTTTCATTTTTTACACGCGTTTAAAGGTTATATTCAATATAATTGTATTCTTCGAACAGTATGCAACAGGTTTAAAGTAGAAACAGTCTTAAATCCGATCACAAATAGAGTCGATCTGTCCGTCTGACCGTAGGAGATATTGGAAACTATAAGAGCTAGAGAGTTAAGACTTAACATACAGACTCTAATGATTTTTTAAATGCGTAAATGCGCAACGAAATGATAATATTACAAAACATAATATCTCAAATAAAAGCTAATTAAATTTAATTATTTTGCTTACGGTAACGTTAAAAGCCGACTTTTTTCAAAAGGGTGCCATTTTGGCTTAAGGAACGTTTTTGAAAATATCCGTAATCATTTTTCAAAATATATTTGAATTTTTTGGGCTAGGTTCATTTATGTGATTTTTTTGTTTCGTTATTTGTATATTTGCAAAGTCACACTAACTTATCATATCAGTTATTAAGCTAGATATTTACATTTATTTGAGTTTTAATTATGACAAATCATTAATTTTACTGATCGCTTTAGTCAAAGAGTTAGGGGTTTCATCATGTAATTTCGTTTTTGTTACGCAAGTATTAATTAAATCGTGTAATTCACAATTAATAAAGTGCTTCATTTACTGGAATAATAAATTAATGTATTAAAAATTACACTGCTCTTTGTTTATATTTTTTTAGTTTAACTTAATCTTGCTTAAATATTTTTTAACCTAATTTTTAAAATGTTAAAAACAATTTCTAACAAGTTGTTTACTTATTTATTAATATGCTTTGGTAATGTATAACATTATTACACATTTACTCTTAACTGAGAAGTCAATAACAATTTAATTATGAATCTGTTATCTTAATAGCACATACCTCAACACAAGCGAATACAACCTATAATACCAAACTAATCCAGTTTTCCTTAACCTCCCTTAGCTTCTCACCCTGCACTTCGATCGCTGCGCCAAATATTACGGCTCAACTCAAGGCCAGGGCTCCTATGGAGCCTCATCGGATGAGGAGAAGCGCCTGACGATGCTGCTGTTCTCGAACATTTTTGACTCGCTCAGCAATATGGACTATGACCCGGAACTGTTCGGTAAAGCACTGCCCTGTCTGATCGCCATCGGATGCGCCCTGCCCCCGGACTACAGTCTGTCCAAGAACACGGACGAGGATTACTATGGCCGCCAGATGGGCGCGCCCGACCAGCCGCAGTATATGCCCAATCCCATCGACACCAACAACGTGCACCTGGATAATGACCTGAACTCGCTGGTGCAGAAGTTCAGCGAGCACTACCACGATGCGTGGGCCAGTCGGCGTCTGGAAGGAAGCTGGACCTACGGGGAAATCCGATCCGATAACGATCGCAAGCACCCACGTTTGAAGCCCTACAACATGCTCAGTGAATACGTACGTAGGAGAGATTGTCATCCGTAAATGCATCTTAATCAAATCCATTTGTCATTAACTATTTATTCTATTTTTGATTTCTAGCTTTAACTAATCAGTATAACGATTTAAAGAACATTTTTATTGGTTTTGTTTTATCATACCTTATCTAACAATTGCTAATTGATAACAACTTTTCAGGTTAATTTAGTGTCACAGAGATCTATGTATTGAATTCGGCTTAGAAAATTTGGGTAATACAATTATGTTCAATATTAAAGATATTGGATATTTTTTATAATCCTTACGATTTTGCTCATTTTAAATATGAGTATAAATTTCTGTGACACTAAAGTAAAAATGATTTCTACATTTACTTCTATTCATTTACATTATGTGTGCTAATATCTTTATTTAGTATTAATAAATTAATTCATCAGCTAACACGAACTTGTTCGATCGACATCGAAAGTACTACTGGACAACTGAAACTTCTCTGATCAGAAACCATCTTACCAATTAAATCTCATTGACAGGAACGCGAGCGCTACCGGGATCCAGTGCGGGAGTGCCTGAAGGGTCTGCTGGCCATCGGATGGACCGTGGAGCACTCCGAGGTGGAGGTGCCACTCAACCATCGCGGATCGACGCGTCGTCAGTCGAAGCCCCAGATTGTATGTAGCACCCAAAAGCCTCTGACTAATCCTCGATATGAGAGCCCTCTAACCCATTTTCCAAATTATATATCTGTTTTCGAATTGGCCTTTCTGTCTTTATGCCACGCCCTCGCCCACGCCCACGCCCTCTGCCGCCCCTTAATACCGATAGCACGAATTCCAGAACGAGGGCAGCCCCTTCAACTACAATCCGCACCCGGTGGACATGAGCAACCTGACCCTGAGCAGGGAGATGCAGAACATGGCCGAGCGCCTGGCGGAGAACTCCCACGACATCTGGGCCAAGAAGAAGAACGAGGAGCTAAACGGCTGCGGCGGGGTTATCCACCCACAACTGGTGCCCTACGACCTTCTGACCGACAAGGAGAAAAAGAAGGACCGCGAGCGGTCGCAGGAGTTCCTCAAGTACATGCAGTACCAGGGCTACAAGCTGCACAAGTGAGTAATGGAGTAAGACTAAAGTGGTCCTGATTGCATCATGATCCTTCTGATTGTAGGCCTTCCAAGGGAGGAGCCGTGGAGGAAGGAGGTGCCACCCAGGCAGCCGTTGAGCTGCGCTTCTCCTACTCCCTGTTGGAGAAGCTCATTCAGTATCTGGACCGAGCAACCATCAACATGAAGCTGCTGAAGCCATCGACCACGTTCAGCCGCCGCTCATCATTCAAGACGGCCACGCGGGACATCAAGTTCTTCTCGAAGGTGGTGCTGCCACTAATGGAGAAGTACTTCTCAACGCATCGCAACTACTTCATTGCCATTGCCACGGCCACGAACAACATTGGAGCGGCTTCGCTGAAGGAGAAGGAAATGGTGGCATCGATCTTCTGCAAGCTGGCCGCCCTGCTGCGCAACCGGCTGAGTGCCTTTGGACCGGATGTCCGCATCACGGTGCGGTGCCTCCAGGTGCTGGTCAAGGGCATCGATGCCCGCACCCTGACCAAGAACTGTCCCGAGTTCATTCGCACCTCCATGCTGACCTTCTTCAACCAGACATCCGATGACTTGGGAAACACGATCCTCAACCTGCAGGACGGCAAGTACAGTCACCTCAGGGGAACTCACCTGAAGACCTCCACATCGTTGGGCTATGTCAACCAGGTGGTTCTGCCCGTGCTAACGGCCATGTTTGATCACCTGGCGGCCTGCGACTATGGCAGCGATTTGCTGCTCGACGAAATTCAGGTGGCCTCCTACAAGATCCTGGCCGCCCTGTATCACCTGGGTACCGATGGCACCCTCACGCACGATAGGAAGTATCTGAAGACCGAGATTGAGAGGCACAGACCTGCCTTGGGATCCTGCCTGGGCGCCTACAGTTCCTGTTTCCCGGTGGCCTACTTGGAGCCCCACCTCAACAAGCACAACCAGTACTCGCTGCTCAACCGCATTGCGGATCACTCATTGGAGGCGCAGGACATCATGGTCAAGATGGAGAGCTGTATGCCGAATCTGGAAACCATTCTCGCCGAAGTGGACCAGTTCGTGGAGTCGGACAAGACGTACAACGATGCGCCGCACATTATCGATGTGATCCTGCCGCTGCTGTGCGCCTATCTGCCATTTTGGTGGTCCCAGGGTCCCGATAACGTGAGTCCCACCAGCGGCAACCACGTGACCATGGTCACCGCCGATCACATGAATCCCCTGCTTCGCAACGTGCTCAAGATGATCAAGAAGAATATTGGCAACGACAACGCGCCGTGGATGACCCGCATTGCTGCCTACACGCAGCAGATCATCATCAACACGTCGGAGGAGTTGCTCAAGGATCCCTTCCTGCCACTGGCGGAGCGGGTGAAGAAGCGCACGGAGAACATGCTGCACAAGGAGGACAGCATGCGGGGATTCATTAAGTCGGCCACGGACGACACCTCGCAGGTTGAAACGCAGCTGCAGGAGGACTGGAACCTTTTGGTTCGGGACATATACTCGTTCTATCCGCTGCTCATCAAGTATGTGGATCTGCAGCGCAACCACTGGCTGAAGGACAACATCCCGGAAGCCGAGGAGCTGTACAACCATGTGGCGGAGATCTTCAACATCTGGTCCAAGAGCCAGTACTTCCTCAAGGAGGAGCAGAACTTCATCTCAGCCAATGAGATCGATAACATGGCCCTGATCATGCCAACGGCCACTAGGAGGTCGGCCATCTCGGAAGGTGCTCCCGCTGTAGGTGGCAAGGTCAAGAAGAAGAAGAAGAACAGGGACAAGAAGCGCGACAAGGACAAGGAGGTGCAGGCCAGTTTGATGGTGGCCTGCCTCAAGCGTCTCCTGCCCGTAGGATTGAACCTGTTCGCGGGCAGGGAGCAGGAGCTGGTGCAGCACTGCAAGGATCGGTATCTGAAGAAGATGCCCGAGTACGATGTGATTGAGTTTGCCCGCAACCAGTTGACCCTGCCCGACAAACTAGACCCCTCAGACGAGATGTCCTGGCAGCACTACCTTTACTCGAAGCTGGGCAAGAGCGAGGAGCCGGTGGACGAGCAGGCGCTGGAGAAGGCCAATGTGAATTCCAACGAGAAGGGCAAGGACAAGACCCAGGAAACGGTGGACCGCATCGTGGCTATGGCCAAGGTTCTGTTTGGCCTGCATATGGTAAGTGTCGGCTCGACTCCACCCTGGCGGAGGCTTCCCAATCTCTATCTAGATCTGTCAAATTATAAAATTTTTAAATGCACAACTCCGATGCCATCAGTTCGAGTAACTCATCTCTATTGAAACTGTTCGAGCCTCTCTATGCTACCAGTGCAACTCTAATCTTTCAACTTTAATCTGTTAATCACTCGATCTTTCTTTTCCTCTCGAACCATCAACAACATGATCAACACCAACATCGACATGCACCCACATCGCCAACTCTCCATCCACCCCGACAACTGTTGACCGAAATGCTGACCGTTCCGTGAACGAAACATTTACAGATCGACCATCCACAACAGCAGAGCAAGAATGTCTACAGGAGCGTTGTGTCGATCCAAAGGAAGCGTGCCGTAATCGCATGCTTCCGGCAGACATCGCTACATTCTCTACCCAGGTTATTACCGATTGCAGATTGCAGAATGCCGATTGATTAGCTCTGTGGGATCTAACTAACCGTACTAGCGTTCTATGAGTTCTTTATCTGTCCTAATACCCATCTTCTCATCTTCAATGGCATCAGTCTAACCCGATCCTGAATCCCCACTAATAGCTAATGCACTAATGTGAGCGCCGTGTTCTAAACGCCATTTGTATTATTGTATATTTTTATGGACTTGCCGCACGCTTGCTTGCCACTTGCAAATCCGATTCCGAATCCCCTAGGCAGCCAGCTCCAAGAACAGATCCAAACGCTGGAGTTCAAAGATCTCGGTGGCGCGTCGCCAGGCAGTCATTTCAAGCCTACGCGCCAAGCATCTTTATCGCATGAGCAGGTGGTACTCGTACTCGTAGTCGCATCGATTGGTTCATCGCCTCCTAAGTTTTTTAATTACCCCACCGAGGATCAGCATCAAATCTTATATCCCTCTTGAGTTCCTTTCTAATTTGATTAACCAAAGGCATGCCTATCTGTTTGTTTCGAATGTTAAGGACTGTCTCTGTTTTGCATAACTAACTTATAAACCACATCCCATCCAGACATCGGGCCTGCAACATCTTTGCCCGCTCCTACTACGAGCAATGGCTGCAGGAGGAGAACGTGGGCCAGGAGGTGATGGTCGAGGATCTGACCCAGTCGTTCGAGGACTCCGAGAAGTCCAAGAAGGAGGGTGAGGAGACTGACAACAAGCCGGATCCGCTCACCCAACTGGTGACCACTTTTTGTCGCGGCGCCATGACGGAGCGCAGCGGTGCCCTCCAGGAGGATCTGCTCTACATGTCCTACGCCCAGATCGCGGCCAAGTCCACGGGCAAGGAGGAGGAGGAGGGCGGCGACGAGGAGGGCGGGGAGGGAGGCGAAGAGGGCGAAGGCACCAGCATCCATGTAAGTCGATCCCAACTAGCTTAGACCCACTAACAACAGCTAATACCCCAAAAACCCAACATGTCTGACTCAGTGTCGGATGAGGCAACTAATGGTAACTATTCACTCAGCTGAGACCAATAATAAATTGCTTTGTTTTGAACCCTTGCAGGGATCTCTATAATTTAATCCCTGAACCCAGCTTTAAAACCCTTACCCCATCTAGCATTGTCCTGGCTAACCATTTTCTAATACATCCACAGGAACAAGAGATGGAGAAGCAGAAACTACTCTTCCATCAGGCACGTCTCTCCAATCGTGGCGTTGCCGAAATGGTGCTGTTGCACATTTCCGCCTCCAAAGGTATACCTTCGGAGATGGTAATGACGACACTCAATCTCGGCATCGCCATTCTGCGCGGAGGCAACATCGACATCCAAATGGGCATGCTGAACCACTTGAAGGAGAAGAAGGACGTCGGGTTTTTCACCTCGATTGCCGGACTGATGAACTCCTGCAGTGTACTGGACCTAGACGCCTTCGAGCGCAACACCAAAGCAGAGGGTAAGTCCATTCGCCCCGTGATCCCGCCAGCCAATCTCCTCCAGCTTTCAGTTAACTTTGGTTCGCACTCTTCTAAGTTCGATTACTCTATTGATTTGTGTCTACTTCCTTCCGACTGATTTCCCCACCATCCAACACCACCATGCCTCGCATGCCTTTACCGCCAACCAACCACAACCCACCAATCCCGTGTACGTGATTCCCGCTATCGTTGTACCAATCCACCCAAATTTGCCACACGAACAAAGAGTATATTCCGAGTGCGGGTGCAGGTCTTGGTGTAGGTTCCGAGGGCGCCGCGGGCGAGAAAAACATGCACGACGCGGAGTTCACCTGTGCTCTGTTCCGGTTCATCCAGCTGACTTGTGAGGGCCACAATTTGGGTGAGTTCACAGTTGGATGTTGAGTCAACACAATCCTCAACCCGATCCCTTACAGAATGGCAAAACTATTTGAGGACCCAGGCCGGTAACACCACCACCGTAAACGTGGTCATCTGCACAGTGGACTACTTGCTGCGTCTACAGGAGTCCATCATGGACTTTTACTGGCACTATTCGAGCAAGGAGATCATCGATCCCGCCGGCAAGGCCAACTTCTTCAAGGCCATCGAAGTGGCTAGCCAAGTGTTCAACACCCTCACCGAGGTCATCCAGGGTCCCTGTACCCTCAATCAGCAGGCCTTGGCCCACTCGAGGTTGTGGGATGCAGTTGGTGGCTTCCTCTTCCTGTTCTCCCACATGCAGGACAAGCTATCCAAGCACTCCAGCCAGGTGGACCTGCTCAAGGAGCTGCTGAATCTGCAGAAGGACATGATCACCATGATGCTGTCCATGCTGGAAGGAAACGTTGTTAACGGTAAGAGCAGCTGACCAACAACTCTGGTTGACTAACCCATATCGATATACCATTTACCAGGCACCATTGGCAAACAGATGGTGGACACGCTGGTGGAGTCCGCCGGCAATGTGGAGCTGATCCTCAAGTACTTCGACATGTTCCTGAAACTGGCCGATCTCATCGAGTCGCCCAGTTTCCACGAGGTGGATATGAAGAACGAGGGTTGGGTGACGCCCAAAGACTTTAGGGAGAAGATGGAACAGTCCAAGAACTACACACCGTAAGTATCGCTAGGAGTTTACCTCTCACAGGGAGATTATAAAGCTGACTCTTACAGGGAAGAAATGGATTTCCTTTTGGCGTGCTGCGAGCGCAACCACGAGGGCAAGATCGACTACCGAGCCTTCGTGGAGCACTTCCACGAACCATCAAAGGAGATCGGTTTCAACCTGGCTGTGCTGCTGACCAATCTCAGCGAACACATGCCAAACGAACCGCGCCTGGCGCGCTTCCTGGAGACCGCCGGCTCGGTGCTCAACTACTTCGAGCCCTTCCTGGGCCGCATCGAGATTCTGGGCAGCTCCAAGCGCATCGAGCGAGTGTACTTCGAGATCAAGGACTCAAACATCGAGCAGTGGGAAAAGCCGCAGATCCGCGAGTCCAAGCGTGCCTTCTTCTATTCCATCGTCACCGAGGGTGGTGACAAGGAGAAACTGGAGGCCTTCGTCAACTTCTGCGAGGATGCCATCTTTGAGATGACCCACGCCTCGGGTCTGATGGCCACCGATGATGGTGGTGGCAATGTGAAACGGGATACAGCCTATAGTTCCTACATGAGCGAGGAGGAGGAGGAGCGAGCTGCTCGAGACCCCATCCGGCGCACCATCACCGCAGTCAAGGAAGGACTCAAGTTTGGAGTCCACATGCTCAGCCCGGCGAACATTAAGCACCAGATCGGCGTGATGCAGACCAAATCCATCCCTGAACTCATTGTCGGCTTTTTCAAGATCATCTTTTATATTTTCTATTACACCGGATACGCGCACTTCTGCGTGGTGCGTTACATATTCGGCATCCTGCTGAACCTGATGCGAGGACCTGCCCCGGAGCAGGAGGAGGAACCGGTGGTGGAGGAGGAGACGTTTGGCAGAGCACTGCCACCACTGCCCCTGGAAGAGCCTCCGGGCACGGTGCAAGCCTTTGGCCTGGACATCAACAAGGAGGAAAACGGCATGTACAAGGTGGTGGTGCACGAGTCTCCGGCCAATTCCTCGATGGAGGAGGGTGGAGAATCGAGCCCCGAGGATGGCGCTGCCGCCAGCGGAGAACTGGTCGAGGGTGAACCCCACCAGGAGCCCATCTCCATTGTGGATCTTCTGGGCGGAGAGGCGGCAAAGAAGGCGGCTCAGGAGCGACAGGAGGCGCAAAAGGCACAGGAGGCGGCCATGGCCTCCATCGAGGCGGAGGCCAAGAAGTCATCGTCCGCGCCCCAGGAGACGCCTGCAGTCCACCAAATCGACTTCTCGCAGTACACCCATCGCGCCGTCAGCTTCCTGGCCAGGAATTTCTACAACCTCAAGTATGTGGCCCTGGTGCTGGCCTTCAGCATCAACTTTATGCTGCTCTTCTACAAAGTCACCTCTTTCACCGAGGAATCGGACAGCTCCGCCGAGGAGGAGCTCATTCTGGGCTCCGGCTCGGGAGGAGGTGCGGACATCACGGGCTCTGGCTTTGGCGGATCAGGGGACGGGGGATCGGGCGATGGCGAAATGGAGGACGAAATACCGGAACTGGTGCACGTGGACGAGGACTTCTTCTACATGGAGCATGTGCTGCGCATTGCGGCATGTCTGCACTCACTCGTCTCCCTGGCCATGCTGATTGCCTACTACCATCTCAAGGTGCCACTGGCCATCTTCAAGCGGGAGAAGGAGATCGCCCGCCGGCTGGAGTTCGAGGGATTGTTCATTGCGGAGCAGCCGGAGGATGACGACTTCAAGTCGCACTGGGACAAGCTGGTGATCTCGGCCAAGAGTTTCCCGGTCAACTACTGGGACAAGTTCGTAAAGAAGAAGGTGCGCCAGAAGTACAGCGAGACCTACGACTTCGACTCCATATCCAATCTGCTGGGCATGGAAAAGAGCACCTTCGCGGCGCAGGAGAGCGAGGAAACGGGCATCTTCAAGTACATCATGAACATCGACTGGCGCTACCAGGTGTGGAAGGCGGGCGTCACCTTCACGGACAACGCCTTCCTCTACTCCCTGTGGTACTTCAGCTTCTCGGTGATGGGCAACTTCAATAACTTCTTCTTTGCCGCCCATCTGCTCGATGTAGCCGTGGGATTCAAGACCCTGCGCACCATCCTGCAGTCCGTAACCCACAACGGCAAGCAACTGGTGCTCACCGTGATGCTGCTGACCATCATCGTGTACATCTATACGGTGATTGCGTTCAACTTCTTCAGGAAGTTCTACATTCAGGAAGAGGACGAGGAGGTGGACAAGAAGTGCCACGATATGCTCACCTGCTTCGTGTTCCACCTGTACAAGGGTGTGAGAGCGGGCGGTGGCATTGGCGACGAGATCGGAGATCCGGACGGAGACGACTACGAGGTCTACCGCATCATTTTCGACATAACTTTCTTCTTCTTCGTGATCATTATCCTGCTGGCCATCATCCAGGGTTTGATCATCGACGCCTTCGGCGAGCTGCGTGACCAGCTGGAGTCGGTGAAGGACAACATGGAGTCCAACTGCTTCATCTGCGGAATGGGCAAGGACTTCTTTGACATAGTTCCACACGGCTTCGACACGCACGTTCAGAAGGAGCACAACCTGGCCAACTACATGTTCTTCCTGATGCATTTGATTAACAAGCCGGACACCGAGTACACCGGCCAGGAGACGTACGTGTGGAACATGTACCAGCAGCGCAGTTGGGACTTCTTCCCCGTGGGAGACTGCTTCCGCAAGCAGTACGAGGATGAGCTATCCGGCGGAGGCGGCGGCGGTTAAGAACCGGTCCGCACACCTTTGCTTTCTGGGCACAATCACACTGGCACTGGACGGTCCAATACTCTCGGGATCCACTTTTGTATCGGTACTTTGACAACATCTGGAATTTTTACCTAGTCAACTTTAGCAATGTATTTTAAGCAATATCCTACACAATCGTTTTTATGTACGTAGGAGGACGACCTGTTTCCAAAATATTGATGACGATTCTAGCACGTATAACAACAAATGTTCTTAACTCATTTTAAAATAAATCTATTCATTTTGAACGAACGTTGTATGTGGCGTCGACATTTTATTAGTTCCCGTTTAGATGGACAAAAAGAAGTAAAACGCTATTGCACTAACATCAATTTGTATTTTGTAAATGTTGAATTATATGCTTAACTTGCAACATGTCACAAGGACCATAGCTGGTTAGTCGAAGTATTTACAAAAAGAGAGCAAAAGGTTGTCAATCAGTTGAGTTTTATCCAAAAATGGAAAAACAGTCAATTGCTTAGTTTCTATTTTATGTAAAGTTCGTATGCAACGACACATATTTTTCAAATGTAAATTTGACTAAGTTCCGATTTCTCTAGACATTCATTCAATTATTTAATTGCTTAATGTAATGTTGTACAAAACATTTTCATTTGTGTTTTCATTTACAAAATTAACGATTCAAATTCTTTTATGCTACCAACGATTTTATCGTTTAAAGCTACCAAGGAGCGACAATTATGTGAAACATGTTAACTTACAATAACAATAATTTATTTCCTCTTTTCTTAGCCTAAACCAAATTAACGAATTTTTTAACAATTATCAAATTAACTCAGATTTAACAGTCAACAATAACAAAAACAATTTAAATTAAGGCAACTGATCACATAATTTACAATCGTGTGTTCTTTTCATACGAGTCGTACCTTACTAAAAATCACAGTTGAATGTGGACAATCATTACGTATGAAATTTAATATAATTACAATCGAGACTTCTAATTTTGCTAATCTAAATGTGTGCAGTTAGTGTAAATTTGAGTGTATATGCAAATACATCTATATTTGCTGTATATATGTATGTATATTTGTCTAAAGCTTTCACAACTATATCCCAGCTGCTGGGGGCCGTTCGATAAAAATAAATTTGTGTGCGCTGCTCTGACGGCTGGGGCGACTGACTAGCGGAAGTTGTACAGTTGAAAGTAGTACAACATCAGGACAATGAAAATTGCGGCGAAATATCAGTAATCGAGTCGCTTCTTCAGTCGAAAAAACTCAGCGTTGTCGATACTTGTCAGGTTGTCCATGTTGAGGTTGCGCAACGTCTTCACGCCGGACAGCCGCTCCTCTAAGTCCGTGTACATGCTGCGGCAGCGGTAAATCGACAGCGTCTGCAAACAGTTGCAATTGTTGATGATGGCGTCCAGCGTGTGCTCCGTCAGCTGACTGCAGCCACTTATGTGCAAAGCTTTCAGGCGTGGCAACTTGGCAGTAACCACCTGGATTGTCTTGTCCGTAATATTGTAGCAGTCGGATAGGTCGAGCTCCTCAATAGATGGACAACTACTGGCCATTGCCTCCATGCCAAGCAGCGAGATTTGCTGACAGTTGGACAGCATCAGCCTCCTTAGCTCAATATGCTTCAGGCCGTACTTCAGGGACACATCGCTGATCTTGTTGCAGCCTCGCAGGTTTAATGACCTCAATCCTCGCAACTGTTGTATGTTGTGACCCTCGAAGTCATCCTCGCGTATCAGGTTCATTTCATAGGCGGCTAGCATGGCCTGCTTCCGCCTGGCGTCCCGCACAATTTCATCTTCGGCCTTGCTCCTGAGCGATATCTTGATGGACTGCAGGGATCCCGCCAGGCTATCGCGTTCCGCCAGTGTGTTGCTATACGGCGGATAGAAGTTGTCCATTGACGACACCTGAGAGCCCGACTGCTTGCGACTGAGCTCCAACTTGGATATGTTTATGCCCGTGAGAGCTGCATCTGTTAGCTAAACAAAAATATTAAGTTTGAGTAAAGATTTCAATTTATCGTAATTTTCCGCCTTACCCCACTGCAATGCTCCAGGGAGAGTTCGCGCAGCCAACGCAGCTGGCCAATAACTGACTGTATAGCATCATCGGTGGCTCCATTAACACAGTGATTCAGGTGCAGGGATCGCAGGCAGCGTAGATTACTAGCAATGGCCTTAATGCACTCCTCGCAGATTTGCAAATAGGATACGTTTAGCTCCTGCATCACTGCGTTCTCCTCGCTGGCCACACCCTCAATAATGCCGCTGCTTGTGAGGCTGTCGCAGTTGGATATGTCCAGGCTTTTCAGACGCTTAAGTTTGGCCAGGTGAACAGCGCCAGCGTTTGTGATGCTCAGGCAGCCGTTTACTTTTAAGTGTTCCAGTTGCGGATTACTTTGGACCAAGGCTGCCAGATTCTCATCGTTCACACACATCGTGGCCGACAAATCTAGAACTGTCAACTGAGGCTGGGTAGCCAGAAAGTTCCGGATTGTGGTACAGTTAAGCTGCCTGCATCCGGCCAAATAGAGGCGCTGCAGCTGGAGATTAAGGTCGCAGAGGGCCAACAAAGCCTGGCCAATCAGCGTGTGGCTAAAGTTCAAAACGCGCAGGGTGCGACGCTGCAGGTTGAGGATGGTCAGGATGAACTTGAAGGTCAGTACCGATTCGCTGGGCAGAACGTGATCCGAGGAGCTGTTGGCCGGGTAAAATCTGCGATGGATAGCGTTGTGAAAGGCAATGTGGCACCCGGACATGTTGATCGTCTCCAGACTGGGCATGAACGATGTGAGACGCATGAGAATAGCGTCGGTAAGGTACTGGTTCTCGCACAAGGTCAGCTCCTTGATTCCGGCCAAATTGCTGGCCAGGTCGTTTAGGTCGGGGCAGGAATTGTTGTACGAGTCCAAAAAGGAGCCGGACATGAACAGCGGCAGGCAGCGCTTCAGCGACAGCGAGTGGAGATGGGGGAGCACGCCCAGCATTCCATAGAACTGCTTATCATTCAGGTCCACATTGTCTAGAGCCAGGGAGTGGGCGGTCCTGCCCATGAAGCGCATGAGCTCCTTAACCTGGCCAAGCGTCACGTCCTCAAACATGAAGTGCTGGAAACGGCGCTCGCAGCGCATGAGGTCAGCCCCTGGACTGAATAGATCTGACAGCACCACCTTGGAGAAGCATACGCGCGTGCGCACGTTGAACTCTGCCTGATCCAGGGCGGCGTGCCATCTCTGGCAGGTGGATCCTGCCGCCTGCAGATCCGAGTAGCCCAAATAGCTGAAAATCTTCAAAACAATCTGAGGGCGGAAGAGGAAAAAACAAAATCAGCTGACTGACCTAACAGGTATATGGATGTGTAGATATAGATACGCTCGCAATGATGGATTGGTCACGGGACCGCGACGGTCCGTTGACATTTTTTACTTACCTCCAGCGGTAGGTCGTCGAACCTGTGCGATCCATAGTCCGAGCAAGACATTATTCTAGTGTTCTCGATGCGAAATTAGCGATTTTAGTCCAACCAACTAGCAGCTCCCACCGCCCACTACCCCAAAACTATAGTGTTGATTAACTAAGTACCTGCGTTAGGTACAATATGACCGTCCGCGCTCGCTGTCTTGGACAGTATATAAAATACTAGGTGAAATGTGCGTACCTTTACCTAGCATTTAAAATCTGTAAGGGTGAAAGTAACAACAAAACATGTCTTATTCATTACCCCGTACTGAGGAAAACATAAGCAAACTGAAATATTTATCTTGACCTATTATAATTAAACCGTTACAATGTAGAACCAACCTGTTTTAATTATAAAATACCCCAACTTAAAATACCACCCTCGACAATAAGTCAACTAAGGTATTTGTCTTTGGCTATCATATGGTCCTATTTTTAATGACATCAGATTGCTGGTTGCAAAAAGGATTTTTGCAAACTAAAAACAATAGCTATTTCGTCGCTCAAGGATCCCAGACACCACCGTCGACGTGCCCACAATAATGGCCGATCCCAAGTTCCAGAACCTGCCGGGAATAGTGAGTCAGAACTCCAAGCCTTAGGAGTGACGTCCGAGCTTTCGTGTTTGCCAACTTGCTTACTTTCCTTCTCTTAGGCTTATGACCAGCCGGATGTGTTCGAAACTCCCGACGACCCGGAGCCCGATACATCCGACTACTACGAGGAGGAGCCGGAGAACGAGGCCATCGAGCGGCTGCACATCTCGCCCAGCATCGCCCACAAGCGCTTTAGCGGAGCAACTCTCGAGGGGAGTGTGGATTTCACTGATCGCATCGGGCGCAGGGTATGTCGTGGGTACGATGCGCGTGGTTCCGGCGACTATGAGCTGGTGGGCCAGGGCGAGAAGGAGACGCCCGTGCAGAAGTGCCAGCGCCTGCAGATTGAGATGAACGAACTGCTGAACGAGGTGGCCGCCCTGCAGGTGGACCGCAAGGTCGCCGACGAGGAGAAGCAGTCGTACGACGCGGTGGCCACTGTCATTAGCACGGCCCGAAAAGTACTGGAGTCGCTGAAGCTGGAACAAGTGCTGGGCAAGGAGCAGGCGCCAGGCAGCAAGCAAGTGAAGGCACTCATCAGTCAGGTGGAGGAGTTCAAGCAGTCGGGCGTTCTCACGGCCATACCAACGCCCGGCACCGATCTGGCGGCCACAGCCCGCGTGGCCAGCTTGGAGCAGCGCCTGTCGCAGCTGGAAAAGGTGGTGGGCGCCCAGCCGGATAAGCTAAGTCGCCTAACTGCCGCAACCAACACCACCAATGTGCTGGAGGCCGTGCGTCATCTCAGCACCAAGGCGGCGCTGCTGCAGCCGGATAAACTGGACACCATAGAGCAGCGCTTGACATCGCTGGCCGGCAAGATGGACGCCATCGCCGAAAAGTCCAGTGGCAGTGCCCAGGACGCGAAGCGGGATCAGAAGATCACGGAACTGTACGACATTGCCAAGCGCACGGAACCCGTGGTGGAAATACTGCCACACGTCATTGAACGTATGCAAGCTCTCGAGGCACTTCATAAATATGGTAAACAATTTGTACTTGCTCTACTTATCTTTTGTTTAACTTGTAACCCTCCATCCTCTTTAGCGAACAATTTCGCCAAAATCATCGCTGAGATCGAACAAAAGCAGGGAACCATCACCACCAGCCTGGTGAACAATAAGGAACTACTGCATTCCGTGCAGGAGACGTTCGCCCAGAATCTAGAGACCATCAACAGCAAGGTAGCCAAGGTGGAGCAGCGGGTCGCAGCTATTTCATCCGCTAAATAAATAAAAATAATAATAATAATTGCACTGCAAGCGTATTACACATAGCTAATATTTATGAAAACTATAATAAAGCGATCTACATTCGATACTTTTTTAAAATGTGACAACGGATTGAATAGAAAATTTCGATAGTGGTCGAATTTAAAATGTAAGTATTTTCAAAAAAGAGTATAAGGATACAAATTTCCCAAAAGACGTTATTGTTTTGGAAATTATGAAGCCCATAGTAGAACAGATTATGATCAAAAACAACGAAGCTAGACGTCCTATGTGTTCTGTGTAGATTTGTGTTTTTCATAACTTTTAAAATACCATTGCGATTGGTTTTTAAATTTATTAACACACTTGGTGGACTGCTGTCAACAGCACACACTGGGTCAGAAAGGCAATTTTTGGACAAAAATCTATAATTTCTTCCCCAGTATAGTTATATACATAAATGCATTGTTTGCGAAACTTTCTTAAAAATGTAACTCAGATACCCGTTACCCAGCTAAGCGTACTGGGAGGACTTAGGGAGTGCGTGGGTAATCGGATAACTACAGCCGGAGATATAGCTTTTCAAACAGAGAAACTTATTGAAAATTGGCGTTTTATTTGCAGAATTAAAAAAATTCTAGCAAAAAAAATTATTTTTTTGGCCAAATCCTGATACACATGTTTTTTTAATTACCGAACAATATACTTAATTAAAGTTTGTAAAAGCACGGCCCATACGTGGCATTTTTCACGCTGTTTTTCGACTAATTTTTTTTATACTAAATTCGTTGGACAGTTTTAATAACTTTCTTCAAGAAAGTTCCTGTAACACTTCTATCCAATTCCACATAAAAATTGAACATTTTACTGTGGTAAGGTCCCACTGGAATGCGACAGAAACTTAATTTATGTAACATAACAATTTCATTTTGGGACAGAATTCCACACTCCAAAGGATCATCAATTGAACAGTTTAGGGAAACACTCAGAATTCAAATTTGTTTCCGTTATATTGATGGTATATTGGGACTAGCCGTTTTTAGTATTTTTCCGTGCCGAGTGGTTTATTGCGTGGCCCAGAACGCGGTCACACCACTGTTCTTAAAAATATTAAAGTTTCCAGTTAAATTTAAGCACCTAAAGTCTCGTTGCAGCGCAAACGAGTATAAATTCCACTCACAATTGTGTGTAAGTTGCGTAAATGGCATAATTAAACGAAATTATAGGCCGACGGGGTGAACTGGGGCCCATTCGCAATGGGGAAGCCAATGAGAAAAAGTGATGACGGGGCTTACTCCAATTGGACGTGACACAATTTCGTTCTGATGTTGCAGCAGTGATAATACTTACATACGTTAATTGTTTTAATTACATCTGCAGCACGAAGGGACTGTGCAAGATGAAAATCAAGGAACTGCAGAAGACGGTGAACATCGCCTGGTCGCCGGCGCAGCAGCAGCAGATTCTCCTGGCTGCCGGCACCGCCGCCCAGCAGTTCGACTCCAATGCAAATTCCACCTTGGAGTTGTATTCCCCGAACTTCAGCGACGCCACCTACGATCTGGAGCTAAAGGCTAGCGTGGCCAGCCAGTACAAGTGGGTTTGCAGGGGAACCGCTCTCAAGAGTTCCTTAATAAAACGGCTTTTGCTCCGGCAGGTTCCAAAAACTCATCTGGAGCCCTGTGGGATCACATCCCAGTGGCCTGATTGTGGGCGGCTGCGAGGCGGGGCAGATCAACATATACTCAGCTGACAAGCTGCTCGCCGGCAAAGAGGAGCCGCTCCTCAAGCGTCAGGATAAGCACACGGGCGCCGTCAGTGGACTGGACTTCAATCCGTTTCAGAACAACCTGCTGGCCTCGTGCGCCTCCGAGTCGGAAATCCTAATATGGGACCTCAACAACCCGGAAACGAGCATGAGCCCCGGTGCCAAGACACAACCGCTGGAGGACGTGAAGAACGTGGCCTGGAACCGGCAGGTGCAGCACATCCTGGCCTCCGTGTTCAGCACGCGCTGCGTGATCTGGGATCTGCGCAAGAGCCAACAGATCATCAAGCTCTCCGACTCACAGTCTCGTGTTCGGTGGCACGCCATCGAGTGGCATCCGGAGGCGGCCACGCAAGTCTGGCTGGCCTCCGAAGACGACCAGGCGCCGGTTGTGCAGCTGTGGGATCTTCGATATGCCACGGCTCCAGCGAAAACGTACCAGATTCACGAGCGTGGAGTACTGGGAATGTCGTGGTGCCTGCAAGACAACGATCTGATGGTTTCGTGTGGCAAGGACAACCGAATCTATTGCTGGAACCCCAACACAAAGATTCCAGAGGGAGAAATTCTCTCTGAGGTAGCGACCACGGCCTCCTGGTATTCTGACGTGCAGTTCTGCCCACGGAATCCTGCTCTGATTGCCAGCGCCAGTTTGGAGGGAGCTGTTTCCATTTACTCCCTGCATGGAGGCACTCACCACCTTGTGCAGACCGCCAACAAGATTGCCGACTCGTTTCCGGGAATGGATCAGTTCGCCCAGGAACCAATTCCGCAACAGGCAACACAAGTGGTCTACCATGACCTGACCCATGCACCCAAGTGGATGAAGCGACCCTGTGGCGTTGCCTTTGGGGTGAGTTCATATTATATTTTCTTTTAAACTTACTAATGAACCATCTTTGCACTCTTTAGTTTGGTGGCAAGCTGGTCAGCTTTGATGGCACCTCGAAGACGGTTAAGGTTCAACAGCTGACCACCGAATCTGCTTTGGTGGAGCGAGCCAATGCTTTGGAGCGCTCTCTTGTCGATGCCAACTACTCGGAATACTGCCGGCAGAGGGCCGACGAGACCGCTGATCAGCACGGACGCTACGTCTGGTACTTCATCAAGGCGAACTTTGAGCTTAACCCTAAGGAGGAAATGCTCAATCTTTTAGGTACTTTATCTCAAAGCCAGATCACTAAAAACACTAAAGATTCCTCCTTTTTTAAAGGCTACAACAAAGACGACACCGACAGCAAGTTCAGCAAGTTTATCAAGGAAACTGAGGGAAACTCGCAATCGGATGTGGATACGCTCACAACCCGCATCTCGACTCTTACCCATGTAAGTGCTACTTCGAGCATGTCTTATCAGTTCCTAAAAGCAGCATTGCGTACACTATCAATCCCCACGTATGTTCATCTTGCCCTGTATATTTCTATCCGATAACATACTTTATGCTATGCCATTGCTGCAGAGCGACTCTTCGGAGGTTGAGTGCGATCAGAGTACAAATTATAGCACCGATAATTCGGTAAGAGCTAAGATTAAAAACTCGCGATCGAAGCAAACATTAAAGCAGCTTTGTAAAGTTATTTAAAGGATGTAGTCTAACGTATGTATTTATTTTTTACACTCAGCAGACGCAAGACAACAAGTTTGATGGAAATTCAATCGAACCACAAAATCACAACGACTTTGCCACACCTCCGAGGCCGCAGTTCAAGGTTCCCAGCGGAGATCGTGAGTAAAACTAGTTGCTTTACATTTTCACTTACGTTGATTACTTTTTATCTATACCAGATATAAAGGTTTTCCTGTCTGATAACAACAATGTTATCTTTTGCATTTAATTAATCGGTTTTCTGTACTTTGCAGACTCGGATAGCTTGATTGCAGAGGCCATACTAACAGGCAATGTGGAAGCTGCCGTGGAACTCTGCCTGGAGGCGCAACGCATTCCGGAAGCTTTGATCATCGCCTCGACGGCTGGCATTGAGACGCTGACCCGCACTCAATCTCGCTACCTGCTGCAGCAGAAGAACGAGCTGTCGCACGTCATCTCCGCCTTGGTATCCCGTGACTGGCTGGACTTTGTCAACCGATGCACTGTGGACTCGTGGAGGGAGGCCCTGGTGGCCGCCTTGAAACACAGCGAGCGCAAGGTAGTGGACATCTGCGAGCGCCTTGGTGACCGCCTTTTGAGTGAGTGCGCCTCTAGCGTCGAGTTTACGCGCAATGCCATGCTCTGCTACATTTGCGCCGGCAGCATCGACAAGCTGGTGACCGCCTGGTACCAGTTGAAACGTCTGGAGCAACAGAACCCCGGTTACAAGCCCAACACCACGGAGCTACAAGACCTGGCCGAGGTGGTGATGCTAATGTGCAAGTCCCTGGAGCAGCAGGGAATATCCGTGGATCTAGCAGGCCGCTTTGCTGGCTTTTTGACTGAGTACGGCGGTCTTCTGGCCTCCCAGGGGGCTCTGACTGCAGCCTTGCAGTACATAACCACCTTAGGTGGTGAAGCTGCCAATGAGAACGATATTCTGCAGAACCTGCGAGATCGCATCAACAACGCTGTCAATCTGGACTATTCCCAGCCACAGGCACCGGTTGCTGCTGCTCCAGTTGGCTACCAGCAACAGCGAGGTCGGGGATCGTTCTCACAGCCGCAGCCTGCGGTTCCGTTGCCCTACGGCCAGCCGTCGAATCAGTTTGCGCAGCCAGGCTGGAATGCGCATGCGCCTGTGCCTCCATTACAGACCGCCTATCCAGGAGCTCAGCAGGCTCAACCGCCGCCGCAGATCTTTAATCCGCAGCCAATTAAGCCTGAGCCTTTGTCCCAACCACCGCGCCCACTCAGCAACGCCAGTTCCACAGGTGGTCCTCCCCCGGCAGGAGGAGCAGCTTCCTCTAGCGGATCGGGACTTTCTGGGCGCTCAAAATACGTACTGGATCCATCTGTGGCAGCTCCTACCAGTTCCTATGGCATGCCCTACAACCCAGTACCTGCCCCCGTTCCATCGGCCGTTCCCTTCAGCGGCGGTGGAGTACCTGGGCCTGCACCCCAACCCGCGAGTGTGCCAACCTATAATAGCAACGCATTCAACACGAATCCAATTGCGTCTGCCCAATCCTATAATCCATCGCCATTTATGGGGACCCAACAGAATCAATTCCTGCCCGGTGTTAATCCAATTGAAACCTTGCCACCACAAGCTGCGCCACCGGTCATCCAGAATGTGCAACGCAATCCCACGCCTCCCCCGGGCTGGAACGATCCTCCTGCACTGAAATCATCGCGTGTGGTAAGTGATTGCTTCGAGAATCTTAAAAAGTGGTATCTTAACTGTGTCTATTGTTCAGCCCAAGCCGAAGCCAGTGGTTGAACCAAGTGCTGCCATCTTCCATCCCCTATTTCCAGTCGATCCCAATCAAAATCAAAACGGCTATGTGGACCCCGCTCAATATCAGGTGAAATACAATCTATGTTTCTTTCAAATGTCTTTACTGAACGGGTATTTCTTTCAGAATGCGCCACCGACTGGAAGTGTGCCTAATTCATACTACAATCCGGCTGCCTTTAACAACAATCCCCAGCAGCAGCAGCAATCGTATCTCCAGCCTCAGCAGCAGCAACTCAACTTGCAGCCTTCGGGCATTCCGAACCAAGGAGGTCCGCAGCAGCAGAACTGGCAGGGACAGCAGCAGACCCTTGGCTACACCGAGCAGCCAGCTCCCATCCAGCAGCAGCGCCAACCGGAACCTCCCAAGGAGAAGCCGCCACTTCCCGAGGAGTATATCTACTTGCAGACGGTGCTGGAGGAGCTGAAGAACCGATGCCTAGGCGCAACGAATGATCCGGTAAGTAAAGGAACAAATGCTTTTTTAAGATCCTTACTCACTAAAATTTGTATCGGTTATTAGCGCACAAAACGCAAGTTTGTTGATGTTGTAAAGAGACTGGAAAATCTCTACGACTGCCTACGCGATGGCAAGGTAAGTACGATTGTTAGATCTAATTTTATTATCGCTAATGGTACATTCTTTTTCTCCAGCTTACTCCCACAACGGTGCAATTTCTGAATCAAATAATACAGTACATTCAAATATCAGACTACGCCAATGCTCTGGAAATCCACACCCGGATTGCCTTCGGAACGGACTTTGCGCAGTGTGCGGGCTTTATGCAGGGACTCAAGGTCCTTCTGCAATCCGCGTCCGAGCTGCATTTGGTTCTGCGCTAGAGCGTCGATTACCGCTACGAGACAAGCTCACTAACGTATATACTTTTGTGTCTTCAAATATGGATGTCTATTGTGTTTTGTAAACGAAGTGTGGTTTCCTTTGTTAGTGTAGGCTGGGATTTTTGCAGATGAGTGTCAGCGTTATTCCGTGTATTGAAATATATTTCCACTTAAATCGCAAATAGACATATGCATAAATAACAAAACGAAAATGGCCTTTGCTTTCACAGCAGCTTCGGCTGGTTCCTGATGTTCTCCAGGTCCAGCTGCATGCGCGGCGAAGAGGCAGACGCCACCATCGGAGATTGGGGGCGCACGTGTTCCATTTGCTCCTCTGGCAGCAGGCGATATTTCTTGAGGTACTTGTACGAAGCATTTGAAATGTCGTTGGGACTCTGTGAGTGAGCGAGATTGTCGATCTGGCGCAGCGGTTCGGGATTAGGGGACTTCGGCGATGCGCCCAGGCGCATATCCTTCATCAGTTCGTCGACGGGTTGGCGCAAGTACTTCAGGGCCAGCTCGTTCATCACCAAGCTTTTCTCGGTGTTTGGTTTGGCCAGTTGGGGAATCCGTTTGCCCTGCGGCGTATTGGTCCGGTAGGCCGTAGATTGAGCCATTGGCGAATTGGGTCGAGGTGACTGAAATTGGGGGATCACGCGAGCTTGGTGCGAAGGCAGTGGTTCCTCCTCCTCGGCTATGTAATCCTGTATGATCGGAGATATTCGTCTGCCTGATAAGGAGGATGAGTTTATTGTGGTTTAAGGTAAATTTAAGATTTATTCACCATTGTTGGCAGTCAAAATATCACACTGGCTGGCAGTTGTCCTGCTGGCTACGGAAATTGCTTCGGCTTTCGCCCGCTGCTGTTGCTCCAGGAGCAGCTCGCAGAGATTCCTCAGCTGCTGTTGTTCCTGCCGCATGGACTCCAAAAGGGACACCAGTGCCGCCAGATCACTCTTTTTGGCCAGGTTGCTGACATCTATGTCGGAATAAACCACCGGGGGCAGCGAGTTCCGCGGGGGCGATGGATTAAAGGACTCGGTCTGTGTGCCAGCACAAATCGTCAGGACATCAGAGTTGGCTGAGCCTGACAAGCGGCGGGATTGATAGACCTGCTGCTTGGGCTCGGCACTATACGCCGCCGAATTACTGGACATGTGATTGGCACTCAGTGGTGCATCGTTTGTGTAGTTGCGATCTCTGGGCATTATGATGTACTCCTTTGGGGAGCACGGGCTATTGTTATTGCTTGGCGCAGTTCTGGGTCCCAGTTCTGTGGCCAGGATGGGCGAGAAGTTGACCCGGGGCAGCATCTGCTTCTTCCAGGACGCGAAAGTGGGTGGAGCTCGAGGAGGTGGTTCCAGTTGCGGCTGCTGCTGCTGCTGCATCTGAGTCTGTTGATCCTGTGGCGGCTGGCCAAACAATATGGACACCTCCGGCACAGTGGGCCGAACGATTTCGTTGTTGTGGCCCATGGGCATCGCTGCACATGGTCTCGGCGCTGACCTGGGCAGCATATCCTCCGTTTCGGGCACAAACATTTGAAAAAGGTACTTGTCTAGTTGCTGACTAAATTAAATTCGGGCGGGATAATCTGTCCAATTGGAGCTGGGCGTACTAGAGGTGGGACTAGAGCTGACGTAAAACGCAGAAACATCGATAGCATGACCAGTACACGCTGTGAGAACACCCTGTGTGATTAACAGTCGCTTAACAGTTGCTTAACAGTTGCTTAACAGCAGCCATTTTTTTACATGCGCATTTCGGGGATTTACACACCTTGAAAATTTTACGTGCGCTTTTTGGGGATTTACGTTGAAATGTAAAATGAAATGCAAAAAGTAGAAAACGCCCTCGGTGGCCAGATTTGTCCCTACTACTTCTTCTACTACTCTTATACTACTCAACTTTCGTCATTCAATATTTCAATTCAAAAAGGTATCCCACAAAAGGAACACCACGGCGGCAGCGGACGCAGATGCAGATGCTCCGGCCCAGGCTGTCCCACATAAAGCTAAATTATTAAACCTAAAGGTCTTAAAGTAGATAAAGCAATAATTTTTTTAAAATCAAATTCAAAATTAGCCCCTTATCCAAATGGCAAGATTGTCGATAAGGCCCATTATGTCGGCAATCCAAAACAAAAGTAGATAATGAATATATTATATATATATGTTTATTGGAACAAGTCAGGGAAGGACTCGTCCATTATGAGACCCATTATATCGGCTCCGCGATCGGCTCTGCGTCTTGGGGGTTTATAAAGGCCTGTATAAGGAAATGGAAAGTCATAACCAAATAATATACAATATATACACTCGCAGGAATATTTTTCTTCCTTTGAAACTGGCGGATGTCGATGGTCCCTGTAGCTCCTGATTGAGCAAAACAACTTCGGACACTTTTTGCAATCAAAGGTCCACCGGAAGTGCTGATCACGTGGTTCCTCAGCTTCGTTTTGTTTCCAGCTTTAGCTCCACAGATAGGACACATAGATTTTAACTTGGAATTAAAAAAATTTTCGATTCGCTCCTTTTCCTGGACGTGGTCGTCCAACTTCTCATGCTCGGCTAGGGCTTTGTGGCTGTGGAGGATGACGCCGCACTCCAAGCAGTCATGAACCCTCTCTAGCCTGTCCCGGTAGACCTTGCGGATCTCATCCACGTTTAGTCTCCATGTCTTGGCTTGTGGGAACCATGAGACCTCGCCTGCCTTTAGGTCCTCGGTGTTTCGTACTGAAAAATAAGGAAGATTGTACATACTCATGGAGTAATATGAATGAGCTTACTGTGGCTCAGAGGCTGCAAGGGCGACGAGTGGGCGAGGGTCTCTGTCTCGGGTGAGCCATGGAGAGTTGACTTGCTGGAGCCACTGGCCTCCAGCTCCTCGAAGGGTGAGTGAGGATGGAGAGTTTTTTGGCTGGAGCCACTGGTCTCCAGCTCCTCGAATAATGAGTGAGGATGGAGAGTAGTTTGGCTGGAGCCACTGGCCTCCAGCTCCTCGAATGATGAGTGAGGATGGAGTGGTGACTGGCTGGAGCCACTGGCCTCCAGCTCCTCGAATGAGTTCGATTGCTCGAAGCCCACGTCGTCGAAACTTAGTTTCCGTCCTTTTTATTCGGGTGTCTTAGGCTGGAATGCAATCAAATACATATGTAAAATTAAATATATAAGAAAAGACTCTATAAAATATTCTATATCCCAGAGTTAAAGAAAATACGATCAAAATCAAAGCACAATTTATTAAAAATAATTATTTTATTAATTCTCAGACCGTTTCTTTGACAGCTATATGATGTAGTCGTCCGGTTTTGATACAATTTAAATCGAAATCCAGAACTAATTAAAAATTGTATTTCCAGGCGTAGGAGGTTATATTATGCTGATCAAGAATATATATACTTTATGGGGTGCAAACTTCTGACTGAAATCATAATACCCTCTGCAAGGGTATACAAATGTGGCCCTACCTCTTCTTCTTCCCTCCGTCTCTTGGGGACACGGCCAGAATTTGCATCTCCGGCTGGCTCGGACAATTCCTTCAAAAACTTCAAAACGTCCAAAATGGAGGTGTTGTGAAAGAGCGCGTCCGATCCCTTGATCGCGAGCACAACATCTTTGTTATGGTATTTAAAATCCATATTAGAAAAATAGAACTTTGTTAGAACAATAGAACAAATTGTTTCCAACTCGCAAATTTCCAATTAGTTTTGCACACTGGTTTTATTATTTTCTATCGGTATCGGGTTTTCAAGCTTATCATTGGCGACTCACCATCAACTGATTAGCTTGATTCGCAAAAGTCAATGGAAAAAACAAAGTATTTAAAAGAATTCATTATTTTTGAAGAATTGAATAGAAATGCCATTGTTCACTTAATCTGCAAATTCAAAGTCGATTTCCGATAGGTACTTTAGCAAAATAAACAGTAGTTTTCTATCATCCTTCCCAACACTGGCATGGCTTTATTTTTGCTTACAATTTTGCAAGCGGGACGAGATGGACTTGGATGAAGCTTACGAGCTCCTAGAATCTGGTAATGTTGATGTTCCAGATGTTGATGCAATGCAGGTATTACATGCCGTTAAATTTTTTAATCATTTACAGCTGCCTAATGGGCGCCGGATAGAAGAGGTGTCGGCGGCTACACTATCTTGGGCTAATGAAAAGATTAGCAAAGGATCCGTCTCTCTACTGGGAAGCCTGAACGCCAGGTGGGATTGGACGAAGCCCTTCAGCCTCCTGGTCGACGAGCTATGGCTACCGAAGGTAAGCTTTTATTTGTTTTAAGATAGTAGTGTAGTTATACCCGTTACTCGGATGAAAGGGTATATTGGATTTGTCGGAAAGTATGTAACAGGCAGAAGGAAGCGCCCATAACGCCCATAATGTCTTCCGCCCACATATATGTTATAACCATATATATATATATCTCCATCTCCCTTTGGTCCCTTTAGCTGAGTAACGGGTATCTGATAGTCGAGGCACTCGACTTTAGCGTTCTTCTCGTATATTATTTTATTCTCTTGATTTGAATCAACCATTTTCTCAGATTCCAGAGACTGAAATAAATTACAGGGCATCCACCTACGCCATGCAGACCTTCGATGGGTCTCACTTTCAAATAGTATTTATTGAAGTTGTCCTTCAAAATACGGGCGAACGTATTAATAATGTGTTAAATTTAATTATTAACTTTTTAAAAGATAAAAATGTTAGTCATCTCTTGCTGGCGGTTATTTCTGACAACAATCCAATTAATGCTAAAAGGGTAGATTCTCAAGTCCCAAGACTTTGGGATTATAATCATTTAAAAGCAATTACAAATGTTTCATTTACAGAAGTCTTATTAAAAGACTTGTATACAAAACCACTCTTCAAAAATAGTTTCAAAGACGTTTTTAAAAAATTTTTTGATTTGAATGAGACTACCACGCTATCTTATTTTAGAGACACTTTAAAAACAGAAATTTTTAATCTTCAGATAGCCACCTCTAGATTTTTAAACGTCTCGCCAGGGCCAGATGTTCTATTCCAGGCCCGCTATTTGAAAAACGATACCCTCGAGTCAGTAGGCCAGAGGTGGAGGATTGGCCTTAAATCAGCTTTGGAGGACCTTAAAATAACGAGAAATCAACTCGAGTCCCAAGATGCGGAATTTTACCCACGGATCTGGGCGTTGACATATTAAAGGGAGTTAACGATGAAACTGGACCAACTAGGAAAGACCAGAGCACGCAAACGGATGGATGATTTATATAGTATATTAAAGTATTAGTATATTATATAGTTTATAGTTTAATATGTATTTAATATGTATTTCATATAATACTCATTGTATTTTAGTTTTTGAAATGAAACTAACATTTTACTTTCTCTAAATGTAAATGTGTTACAAAGTCGATTAGGCCTCTTGGGGATACGACTATAAAAAAATCGCGCCTACACCTCTACCTCCAAGGTGGTGTGGAAAAGAGCATCTTTGTTTCCTTTCTTTTCAAGATCAATGTATGATAGAGGTGCCAGGATCCCTACAGTGTTCCGTCAGTTATAGGTAACCCCGGGTTTCCTATAACTGATAACAGGTGATTAAAAGTGTTAGTTATAGGTTTCTGGGGTGTACTATCGACGCAGATCCATATCACTAGGGGCCCGGACGACTAGAAGAGTAAATTTCATTCAGTCGACGTCTACTGGTTGGTAGAACAACTTGCAACTTCCTGGCCTCCAATTTGTCAAGATCCCACAAAGATAGGTGAGTGATATTGTGTTGGTGTAAACAGTACTATATTAAAATGTGAACCTAAGAAATAATATATTACTTAAATAAAAAATGTTCTATAAAAAGTCTTATAATACTGAAGACATATGTCATACATACATATTATCGCATATGAATTTATCGTAACGGGTTGTTAATCTATAAATACGATAGTTTTCACTATACCATACTATAAAAACTTTTTAACAAAAAATGTTGTACTCATTTTTATATCCATTTTTTCTTATTGCAAATTGTAGTATATTTCGTAATATAAGAGATATAAAAGTATAAGTTGTGTAACTCTTTTACAAAAACCTATTATCAGTGGGAATTCCCATTTTATAACGTCGGGTAAGATAAGAATTATAGTTTTTTAGTTTATTGGTGCTCATATAATAGAATGCCCACTGTACCAGTCGGATTAAATGCAAAATATGCCAAAAATGTTTGGAGCACATTAAAGCCATGGTGGGGAAACATCGATGTTGGCTGACATCGATGTTTTCGATGTTTTTGTTAAAAAAAAAAAAAATTAATTACACGAGTGTTTCTATTTGATTTAAGCTTTATTTTAACTTTAAATAAAGTCCGAAATTAAAAAAAATAGTTTAGTTTAGTACTTACATTTTATACGACTTTGTTTCGCACCGCGCAGTAGAGATGGAAAAACATCGATGATTCCCTGCCAAACATCGATGTTAGCGATGTTTCGAAAACATCGATGTTAGCATCGATGTTTCTCCACCTCTACTCGGGGAATCGGTCGGCCATGGCCGAGACACCGACTCCAGTTGGGAACACCACGGCGGCAGCGGACGCAGATGCAGATGCTCCGGCCCAGGCTGTCCCACATAAAGCTAAATTATTAAACGTAAAGGTCTTAAAGTAGATAAAGCAATAATTTTTTAAAAATCAAATTCAAAATTAGCCCCTTATCCAAATGGCAAGATTGTCGATAAGGCCCATTATGTCGGCAATCCAAAACAAAAGTAGATAATGAATATATTATATATATATGTTTATTGGAACAAGTCAGGGAAGGACTCGTCCATTATGAGACCCATTATATCGGCAACGGTCTCCGGCTCCGCGATCGGCTCTGCGTCTTGGGGGTTTATAAAGGCCTGTATAAGGAAATGGAAAGTTATAACCAAATAATATACAATATATACACTCGCAGGCATATTTTTCTTCCTTTGAAACTGGCGGATGTCGATGGTCCCTGTAGCTCCTGATTGAGCAAAACAACTTCGGACAATTTTTGCAATCAAAGGTCCACCGGAAGTGCTGATCACGTGGTTCCTCAGCTTCGTTTTGTTTCCAGCTTTAGCTCCACAGATTGGACACATAGATTTTACCTTGGAATTAAAAAAATTTTCGATTCGCTCCTTTTCCTGGACGTGGTCGTCCAACTTCTCATGCTCGGCTAGGGCTTTGTGGCTGTGGAGGATGACGCCGCACTCCAAGCAGTCATGAACCCTCTCTAGCCTGTCCCGGTAGACCTTGCGGATCTCATCCACGTTTAGTCTCCATGTCTTGGCTTGTGGGAACCATGAGACCTCGCCTGCCTTTAGGTCCTCGGTGTTTCGTACTGAAAAATAAGGAAGATTGTACATACTCATGGAGTAATATGAATGAGCTTACTGTGGCTCAGAGGCTGCAAGGGCGACGAGTGGGCGAGGGTCTCTGTCTCGGGTGAGCCATGGAGAGTTGACTTGCTGGAGCCACTGGCCTCCAGCTCCTCGAAGGGTGAGTGAGGATGGAGAGTTTTTTGGCTGGAGCCACTGGTCTCCAGCTCCTCGAATAATGAGTGAGGATGGAGAGTAGTTTGGCTGGAGCCACTGGCCTCCAGCTCCTCGAATGATGAGTGAGGATGGAGTGGTGACTGGCTGGAGCCACTGGCCTCCAGCTCCTCGAATGAGTTCGATTGCTCGAAGCCCACGTCGTCGAAACTTAGTTTCCGTCCTTTTTATTCGGGTGTCTTAGGCTGGAATGCAATCAAATACATATGTAAAATTAAATATATAAGAAAAGACTCTATAAAATATTCTATATCCCAGAGTTAAAGAAAATACGATCAAAATCAAAGCACAATTTATTAAAAATAATTATTTTATTAATTCTCAGACCGTTTCTTTGACAGCTATATGATGTAGTCGTCCGGTTTTGATACAATTTAAATCGAAATCCAGAACTAATTAAAAATTGTATTTCCAGGCGTAGGAGGTTATATTATGCTGATCAAGAATATATATACTTTATGGGGTGCAAACTTCTGACTGAAATCATAATACCCTCTGCAAGGGTATACAAATGTGGCCCTACCTCTTCTTCTTCCCTCCGTCTCTTGGGGACACGGCCAGAATTTGCATCTCCGGCTGGCTCGGACAATTCCTTCAAAAACTTCAAAACGTCCAAAATGGAGGTGTTGTGAAAGAGCGCGTCCGATCCCTTGATCGCGAGCACAACATCTTTGTTATGGTATTTAAAATCCATATTAGAAAAATAGAACTTTGTTAGAACAATAGAACAAATTGTTTCCAACTCGCAAATTTCCAATTAGTTTTGCACACTGGTTTTATTATTTTCTATCGGTATCGGGTTTTCAAGCTTATCATTGGCGACTCACCATCAACTGATTAGCTTGATTCGCAAAAGTCAATGGAAAAAACAAAGTATTTAAAAGAATTCATTATTTTTGAAGAATTGAATAGAAATGCCATTGTTCACTTAATCTGCAAATTCAAAGTCGATTTCCGATAGGTACTTTAGCAAAATAAACAGTAGTTTTCTATCATCCTTCCCAACACTGGCATGGCTTTATTTTTGCTTACAATTTTGCAAGCGGGACGAGATGGACTTGGATGAAGCTTACGAGCTCCTAGAATCTGGTAATGTTGATGTTCCAGATGTTGATGCAATGCAGGTATTACATGCCGTTAAATTTTTTAATCATTTACAGCTGCCTAATGGGCGCCGGATAGAAGAGGTGTCGGCGGCTACACTATCTTGGTCTAATGAAAAGATTAGCAAAGGATCCGTCTCTCTACTGGGAAGCCTGAACGCCAGGTGGGATTGGACGAAGCCCTTCAGCCTCCTGGTCGACGAGCTATGGCTACCGAAGGTAAGTTTTTATTTGTTTTAAGATAGTAGTGTAGTTATACCCGTTACTCGGAGGAAAGGGTATATTGGATTCATCGGAAAGTATGTAACAGGCAGAAGGAAGCGCCCATAACGCCCATAATGTCTTCCGCCCACATATATGTTATAACCATATATATATATATCTCCATCTCCCTTTGGTCCCTTTAGCTGAGTAACGGGTATCTGATAGTCGAGGCACTCGACTATAGCGTTCTTCTCGTATATTATTTTATTCTCTTGATTTGAATCAACCATTTTCTCAGATTCCAGAGACTGAAATAAATTACAGGGCATCCACCTACGCCATGCAGACCTTCGATGGGTCTCACTTTCAAATAGTATTTATTGAAGTTGTCCTTCAAAATACGGGCGAACGTATTAATAATGTGTTAAATTTAATTATTAACTTTTTAAAAGATAAAAATGTTAGTCATCTCTTGCTGGCGGTTATTTCTGACAACAATCCAATTAATGCTAAAAGGGTAGATTCTCAAGTCCCAAGACTTTGGGATTATAATCATTTAAAAGCAATTACAAATGTTTCATTTACAGAAGTCTTATTAAAAGACTTGTATACAAAACCACTCTTCAAAAATAGTTTCAAAGACGTTTTTAAAAAATTTTTTGATTTGAATGAGACTACCACGCTATCTTATTTTAGAGACACTTTAAAAACAGAAATTTTTAATCTTCAGATAGCCACCTCTAGATTTTTAAACGTCTCGCCAGGGCCAGATGTTCTATTCCAGGCCCGCTATTTGAAAAACGATACCCTCGAGTCAGTAGGCCAGAGGTGGAGGATTGGCCTTAAATCAGCTTTGGAGGACCTTAAAATAACGAGAAATCAACTCGAGTCCCAAGATGCGGAATTTTACCCACGGATCTGGGCGTTGACATATTAAAGGGAGTTAACGATGAAACTGGACCAACTAGGAAAGACCAGAGCACGCAAACGGATGGATGATTTATATAGTATATTAAAGTATTAGTATATTATATAGTTTATAGTTTAATATGTATTTAATATGTATTTCATATAATACTCATTGTATTTTAGTTTTTGAAATGAAACTAACATTTTACTTTCTCTAAATGTAAATGTGTTACAAAGTCGATTAGGCCTCTTGGGGATACGACTATAAAAAAATCGCGCCTACACCTCTACCTCCAAGGTGGTGTGGAAAAGAGCATCTTTGTTTCCTTTCTTTTCAAGATCAATGTATGATAGAGGTGCCTGGATCCCTACAGTGTTCCGTCAGTTATAGGTAACCCCGGGTTTCCTATAACTGATAACAGGTGATTAAAAGTGTTAGTTATAGGTTTCTGGGGTGTACTATCGACGCAGATCCATATCACTAGGGGCCCGGACGACTAGAAGAGTAAATTTCATTCAGTCGACGTCTACTGGTTGGTAGAACAACTTGCAACTTCCTGGCCTCCAATTTGTCAAGATCCCACAAAGATAGGTGAGTGATATTGTGTTGGTGTAAACAGTACTATATTAAAATGTGAACCTAAGAAATAATATATTACTTAAATAAAAAATGTTCTATAAAAAGTCTTATAATACTGAAGACATATGTCATACATACATATTATCGCATATGAATTTATCGTAACGGGTTGTTAATCTATAAATACGATAGTTTTCACTATACCATACTATAAAAACTTTTTAACAAAAAATGTTGTACTCATTTTTATATCCATTTTTTCTTATTGCAAATTGTAGTATATTTCGTAATATAAGAGATATAAAAGTATAAGTTGTGTAACTCTTTTACAAAAACCTATTATCAGTGGGAATTCCCATTTTATAACGTCGGGTAAGATAAGAATTATAGTTTTTTAGTTTATTGGTGCTCATATAATAGAATGCCCACTGTACCAGTCGGATTAAATGCAAAATATGCCAAAAATGTTTGGAGCACATTAAAGCCATGGTGGGGAAACATCGATGTTGGCTGACATCGATGTTTTCGATGTTTTTGTTAAAAAAAAAAAAATTAATTACACGAGTGTTTCTATTTGATTTAAGCTTTATTTTAACTTTAAATAAAGTCCGAAATTAAAAAAAATAGTTTAGTTTAGTACTTACATTTTATACGACTTTGTTTCGCACCGCGCAGTAGAGATGGAAAAACATCGATGATTCCCTGCCAAACATCGATGTTAGCGATGTTTCGAAAACATCGATGTTAGCATCGATGTTTCTCCACCTCTACTCGGGGAATCGGTCGGCCATGGCCGAGACACCGACTCCAGTTGGGAACACCACGGCGGCAGCGGACGCAGATGCAGATGCTCCGGCCCAGGCTGTCCCACATAAAGCTAAATTATTAAACGTAAAGGTCCTAAAGTAGATAAAGCAATAATTTTTTTAAAATCAAATTCAAAATTAGCCCCTTATCCAAATGGCAAGATTGTCGATAAGGCCCATTATGTCGGCAATCCAAAACAAAAGTAGATAATGAATATATTATATATATATGTTTATTGGAACAAGTCAGGGAAGGACTCGTCCATTATGAGACCCATTATATCGGCAACGGTCTCCGGCTCCGCGATCGGCTCTGCGTCTTGGGGGTTTATAAAGGCCTGTATAAGGAAATGGAAAGTTATAACCAAATAATATACAATATATACACTCGCAGGCATATTTTTCTTCCTTTGAAACTGGCGGATGTCGATGGTCCCTGTAGCTCCTGATTGAGCAAAACAACTTCGGACAATTTTTGCAATCAAAGGTCCACCGGAAGTGCTGATCACGTGGTTCCTCAGCTTCGTTTTGTTTCCAGCTTTAGCTCCACAGATTGGACACATAGATTTTACCTTGGAATTAAAAAAATTTTCGATTCGCTCCTTTTCCTGGACGTGGTCGTCCAACTTCTCATGCTCGGCTAGGGCTTTGTGGCTGTGGAGGATGACGCCGCACTCCAAGCAGTCATGAACCCTCTCTAGCCTGTCCCGGTAGACCTTGCGGATCTCATCCACGTTTAGTCTCCATGTCTTGGCTTGTGGGAACCATGAGACCTCGCCTGCCTTTAGGTCCTCGGTGTTTCGTACTGAAAAATAAGGAAGATTGTACATACTCATGGAGTAATATGAATGAGCTTACTGTGGCTCAGAGGCTGCAAGGGCGACGAGTGGGCGAGGGTCTCTGTCTCGGGTGAGCCATGGAGAGTTGACTTGCTGGAGCCACTGGCCTCCAGCTCCTCGAAGGGTGAGTGAGGATGGAGAGTTTTTTGGCTGGAGCCACTGGTCTCCAGCTCCTCGAATAATGAGTGAGGATGGAGAGTAGTTTGGCTGGAGCCACTGGCCTCCAGCTCCTCGAATGATGAGTGAGGATGGAGTGGTGACTGGCTGGAGCCACTGGCCTCCAGCTCCTCGAATGAGTTCGATTGCTCGAAGCCCACGTCGTCGAAACTTAGTTTCCGTCCTTTTTATTCGGGTGTCTTAGGCTGGAATGCAATCAAATACATATGTAAAATTAAATATATAAGAAAAGACTCTATAAAATATTCTATATCCCAGAGTTAAAGAAAATACGATCAAAATCAAAGCACAATTTATTAAAAATAATTATTTTATTAATTCTCAGACCGTTTCTTTGACAGCTATATGATGTAGTCGTCCGGTTTTGATACAATTTAAATCGAAATCCAGAACTAATTAAAAATTGTATTTCCAGGCGTAGGAGGTTATATTATGCTGATCAAGAATATATATACTTTATGGGGTGCAAACTTCTGACTGAAATCATAATACCCTCTGCAAGGGTATACAAATGTGGCCCTACCTCTTCTTCTTCCCTCCGTCTCTTGGGGACACGGCCAGAATTTGCATCTCCGGCTGGCTCGGACAATTCCTTCAAAAACTTCAAAACGTCCAAAATGGAGGTGTTGTGAAAGAGCGCGTCCGATCCCTTGATCGCGAGCACAACATCTTTGTTATGGTATTTAAAATCCATATTAGAAAAATAGAACTTTGTTAGAACAATAGAACAAATTGTTTCCAACTCGCAAATTTCCAATTAGTTTTGCACACTGGTTTTATTATTTTCTATCGGTATCGGGTTTTCAAGCTTATCATTGGCGACTCACCATCAACTGATTAGCTTGATTCGCAAAAGTCAATGGAAAAAACAAAGTATTTAAAAGAATTCATTATTTTTGAAGAATTGAATAGAAATGCCATTGTTCACTTAATCTGCAAATTCAAAGTCGATTTCCGATAGGTACTTTAGCAAAATAAACAGTAGTTTTCTATCATCCTTCCCAACACTGGCATGGCTTTATTTTTGCTTACAATTTTGCAAGCGGGACGAGATGGACTTGGATGAAGCTTACGAGCTCCTAGAATCTGGTAATGTTGATGTTCCAGATGTTGATGCAATGCAGGTATTACATGCCGTTAAATTTTTTAATCATTTACAGCTGCCTAATGGGCGCCGGATAGAAGAGGTGTCGGCGGCTACACTATCTTGGGCTAATGAAAAGATTAGCAAAGGATCCGTCTCTCTACTGGGAAGCCTGAACGCCAGGTGGGATTGGACGAAGCCCTTCAGCCTCCTGGTCGACGAGCTATGGCTACCGAAGGTAAGTTTTTATTTGTTTTAAGATAGTAGTGTAGTTATACCCGTTACTCGGAGGAAAGGGTATATTGGATTCATCGGAAAGTATGTAACAGGCAGAAGGAAGCGCCCATAACGCCCATAATGTCTTCCGCCCACATATATGTTATAACCATATATATATATATCTCCATCTCCCTTTGGTCCCTTTAGCTGAGTAACGGGTATCTGATAGTCGAGGCACTCGACTATAGCGTTCTTCTCGTATATTATTTTATTCTCTTGATTTGAATCAACCATTTTCTCAGATTCCAGAGACTGAAATAAATTACAGGGCATCCACCTACGCCATGCAGACCTTCGATGGGTCTCACTTTCAAATAGTATTTATTGAAGTTGTCCTTCAAAATACGGGCGAACGTATTAATAATGTGTTAAATTTAATTATTAACTTTTTAAAAGATAAAAATGTTAGTCATCTCTTGCTGGCGGTTATTTCTGACAACAATCCAATTAATGCTAAAAGGGTAGATTCTCAAGTCCCAAGACTTTGGGATTATAATCATTTAAAAGCAATTACAAATGTTTCATTTACAGAAGTCTTATTAAAAGACTTGTATACAAAACCACTCTTCAAAAATAGTTTCAAAGACGTTTTTAAAAAATTTTTTGATTTGAATGAGACTACCACGCTATCTTATTTTAGAGACACTTTAAAAACAGAAATTTTTAATCTTCAGATAGCCACCTCTAGATTTTTAAACGTCTCGCCAGGGCCAGATGTTCTATTCCAGGCCCGCTATTTGAAAAACGATACCCTCGAGTCAGTAGGCCAGAGGTGGAGGATTGGCCTTAAATCAGCTTTGGAGGACCTTAAAATAACGAGAAATCAACTCGAGTCCCAAGATGCGGAATTTTACCCACGGATCTGGGCGTTGACATATTAAAGGGAGTTAACGATGAAACTGGACCAACTAGGAAAGACCAGAGCACGCAAACGGATGGATGATTTATATAGTATATTAAAGTATTAGTATATTATATAGTTTATAGTTTAATATGTATTTAATATGTATTTCATATAATACTCATTGTATTTTAGTTTTTGAAATGAAACTAACATTTTACTTTCTCTAAATGTAAATGTGTTACAAAGTCGATTAGGCCTCTTGGGGATACGACTATAAAAAAAACGCGCCTACACCTCTACCTCCAAGGTGGTGTGGAAAAGAGCATCTTTGTTTCCTTTCTTTTCAAGATCAATGTATGATAGAGGGGCCAGGATCCCTACAGTGTTCCGTCAGTTATAGGTAACCCCGGGTTTCCTATAACTGATAACAGGTGATTAAAAGTGTTAGTTATAGGTTTCTGGGGTGTACTATCGACGCAGATCCATATCACTAGGGGCCCGGACGACTAGAAGAGTAAATTTCATTCAGTCGACGTCTACTGGTTGGTAGAACAACTTGCAACTTCCTGGCCTCCAATTTGTCAAGATCCCACAAAGATAGGTGAGTGATATTGTGTTGGTGTAAACAGTACTATATTAAAATGTGAACCTAAGAAATAATATATTACTTAAATAAAAAATGTTCTATAAAAAGTCTTATAATACTGAAGACATATGTCATACATACATATTATCGCATATGAATTTATCGTAACGGGTTGTTAATCTATAAATACGATAGTTTTCACTATACCATACTATAAAAACTTTTTAACAAAAAATGTTGTACTCATTTTTATATCCATTTTTTCTTATTGCAAATTGTAGTATATTTCGTAATATAAGAGATATAAAAGTATAAGTTGTGTAACTCTTTTACAAAAACCTATTATCAGTGGGAATTCCCATTTTATAACGTCGGGTAAGATAAGAATTATAGTTTTTTAGTTTATTGGTGCTCATATAATAGAATGCCCACTGTACCAGTCGGATTAAATGCAAAATATGCCAAAAATGTTTGGAGCACATTAAAGCCATGGTGGGGAAACATCGATGTTGGCTGACATCGATGTTTTCGATGTTTTTGTTAAAAAAAAAAAAAATTAATTACACGAGTGTTTCTATTTGATTTAAGCTTTATTTTAACTTTAAATAAAGTCCGAAATTAAAAAAAATAGTTTAGTTTAGTACTTACATTTTATACGACTTTGTTTCGCACCGCGCAGTAGAGATGGAAAAACATCGATGATTCCCTGCCAAACATCGATGTTAGCGATGTTTCGAAAACATCGATGTTAGCATCGATGTTTCTCCACCTCTACTCGGGGAATCGGTCGGCCATGGCCGAGACACCGACTCCAGTTGGGAACACCACGGCGGCAGCGGACGCAGATGCAGATGCTCCGGCCCAGGCTGTCCCACATAAAGCTAAATTATTAAACGTAAAGGTCTTAAAGTAGATAAAGCAATAATTTTTTTAAAATCAAATTAAAAATTAGCCCCTTATCCAAATGGCAAGATTGTCGATAAGGCCCATTATGTCGGCAATCCAAAACAAAAGTAGATAATGAATATATTATATATATATGTTTATTGGAACAAGTCAGGGAAGGACTCGTCCATTATGAGACCCATTATATCGGCAACGGTCTCCGGCTCCGCGATCGGCTCTGCGTCTTGGGGGTTTATAAAGGTCTGTATAAGGAAATGGAAAGTTATAACCAAATAATATACAATATATACACTCGCAGGCATATTTTTCTTCCTTTGAAACTGGCGGATGTAGATGGTCCCTGTAGCTCCTGATTGAGCAAAACAACTTCGGACACTTTTTGCAATCAAAGGTCCACCGGAAGTGCTGATCACGTGGTTCCTCAGCTTCGTTTTGTTTCCAGCTTTAGCTCCACAGATAGGACACATAGATTTTAACTTGGAATTAAAAAAATTTTCGATTCGCTCCTTTTCCTGGACGTGGTCGTCCAACTTCTCATGCTCGGCTAGGGCTTTGTGGCTGTGGAGAATGACGCCGCACTCCAAGCAGTCATGAACCCTCTCTAGCCTGTCCCGGTAGACCTTGCGGATCTCATCCACGTTTAGTCTCCATGTCTTGGCTTGTAAGAACCATGAGACCTCGCCTGCCTTTAGGTCCTCGGTGTTTCGTACTGAAAAATAAGGAAGATTGTACATACTCATGGAGTAATATGAATGAGCTTACTGTGGCTCAGAGGCTGCAAGGGCGACGAGTGGGCGAGGGTCTCTGTCTCGGGTGAGCCATGGAGAGTTGACTTGCTGGAGCCACTGGCCTCCAGCTCCTCGAAGGGTGAGTGAGGATGGAGAGTTTTTTGGCTGGAGCCACTGGTCTCCAGCTCCTCGAATAATGAGTGAGGATGGAGAGTAGTTTGGCTGGAGCCACTGGCCTCCAGCTCCTCGAATGATGAGTGAGGATGGAGTGGTGACTGGCTGGAGCCACTGGCCTCCAGCTCCTCGAATGATGAGTGAGGATGGAGTGGTGACTGGCTGGAGCCACTGGCCTCCAGCTCCTCGAATGAGTTCGATTGCTCGAAGCCCACGTCGTCGAAACTTAGTTTCCGTCCTTTTTTTTCGGGTGTCTTAGGCTGGAATGCAATCAAATACATATGTAAAATTAAACATATAAGAAAAAACTCTATAAAATATTCTATATCCCAGAGTTAAAGAAAATACGATCAAAATCAAAGCACAATTTATTAAAAATAATTATTTTATTAATTCTCAGACCGTTTCTTTGACAGCTATATGATGTAGTCGTCCGGTTTTGATACAATTTAAGTCGAAATCCAGAACTAATTAAAAATTGTATTTCCAGGCGTAGGAGGTTATATTATGCTGATCAAGAATATATATACTTTATGAGGTGCAAACTTCTGACTTAAATCATAATACCCTCTGCAAGGGTATACAAATGTGGCCCTACCTCTTCTTCTTCTTCCCTCCGTCTCTTGGGGACACGGCCAGAATTTGCATCTCCGGCTGGCTCGGACAATTCCTTCAAAGACTTCAACACGTCCAAAATGGAGGTGTTGAGAAAGAGCGCGTCCGATCCCTTGATCTCTAGCACAACATCTTTATTGTGGTACTTCAAATCCATATTAGAAAAATAGAACTCTGTATAATACAATAGAACAAATTGTTTCCAGCAAATTTCCAATTATTTTTGCACACTGGTTTTATTATTTTCTATCGGTATCGGGTTTTCAAGCTTATCATTGGCGACTCACCATCAACTGATTAGCTTGATTCGCAAAAGTCAATGGAAAAAACAAAGTATTTAAAAGAATTCATTATTTTTGAAGAATAGAATAGAAATGCCGTTGTTCACTTAATCTGCAAATTCAAAGTCGATTTCCGATAGGTACTTTAGCAAAATAAACAGTAGTTTTCTATCATCCTTCCCAACACTGGCATGGCTTTCTTTTTGCTTACAATTTTGCAAGCGGGACGAGATGGACTTGGATGAAGCTTACGAGCTCCTAGAATCTGGTAATGTTGATGTTCCAGATATTGATGCAATGCAGGTATTACATGCCGTTAAATTTTTTAATCATTTACAGCTGCCTAATGGGCGCCGGATAGAAGAGGTGTCGGCGGCTACACTATCTTGGGCTAATGAAAAGATTAGCAAAGGATCCGTCTCTCTACTGGGAAGCCTGAATGCCAGGTGGGATTGGACGAAGCCCTTCAGCCTCCTGGTCGACGAGCTATGGCTACCGAAGGTAAGTTTTTATTTGTTTTAAGATAGTAGTGTAGTTATACCCGTTACTCGGAGGAAAGGGTATATTGGATTTGTCGGAAAGTATGTAACAGGCAGAAGGAAGCGCCCATAACGCCCATAATGTCTTCCGCCCACATATATGTTATAACCATATATATATATATCTCCATCTCCCTTTGGTCCCTTTAGCTGAGTAACGGGTATCTGATAGTCGAGGCACTCGACTTTAGCGTTCTTCTCGTATATTATTTTATTCTCTTGATTTGAATCAACCATTTTCTCAGATTCCAGAGACTGAAATAAATTACAGGGCATCCACCTACGCCATGCAGACCTTCGATGGGTCTCACTTTCAAATAGTATTTATTGAAGTTGTCCTTCAAAATACGGGCGAACGTATTAATAATGTGTTAAATTTAATTATTAACTTTTTAAAAGATAAAAATGTTAGTCATCTCTTGCTGGCGGTTATTTCTGACAACAATCCAATTAATGCTAAAAGGGTAGATTCTCAAGTCCCAAGACTTTGGGATTATAATCATTTAAAAGCAATTACAAATGTTTCATTTACAGAAGTCTTATTAAAAGACTTGTATACAAAACCACTCTTCAAAAATAGTTTCAAAGACGTTTTTAAAAAATTTTTTGATTTGAATGAGACTACCACGCTATCTTATTTTAGAGACACTTTAAAAACAGAAATTTGTAATCTTCAGATAGCCACCTCTAGATTTTTAAACGTCTCGCCAGGGCCAGATGTTCTATTCCAGGCCCGCTATTTGAAAAACGATACCCTCGAGTCAGTAGGCCAGAGGTGGAGGATTGGCCTTAAATCAGCTTTGGAGGACCTTAAAATAACGAGAAATCAACTCGAGTCCCAAGATGCGGAATTTTACCCACGGATCTGGGCGTTGACATATTAAAGGGAGTTAACGATGAAACTGGACCAACTAGGAAAGACCAGAGCACGCAAACGGATGGATGATTTATATAGTATATTAAAGTATTAGTATATTATATAGTTTATAGTTTAATATGTATTTAATATGTATTTCATATAATACTCATTGTATTTTAGTTTTTGAAATGAAACTAACATTTTACTTTCTCTAAATGTAAATGTGTTACAAAGTCGATTAGGCCTCTTGGGGATACGACTATAAAAAAAACGCGCCTACACCTCTACCTCCAAGGTGGTGTGGAAAAGAGCATCTTTGTTTCCTTTCTTTTCAAGATCAATGTATGATAGAGGGGCCAGGATCCCTACAGTGTTCCGTCAGTTATAGGTAACCCCGGGTTTCCTATAACTGATAACAGGTGATTAAAAGTGTTAGTTATAGGTTTCTGGGGTGTACTATCGACGCAGATCCATATCACTAGGGGCCCGGACGACTAGAAGAGTAAATTTCATTCAGTCGACGTCTACTGGTTGGTAGAACAACTTGCAACTTCCTGGCCTCCAATTTGTCAAGATCCCACAAAGATAGGTGAGTGATATTGTGTTGGTGTAAACAGTACTATATTAAAATGTGAACCTAAGAAATAATATATTACTTAAATAAAAAATGTTCTATAAAAAGTCTTATAATACTGAAGACATATGTCATACATACATATTATCGCATATGAATTTATCGTAACGGGTTGTTAATCTATAAATACGATAGTTTTCACTATACCATACTATAAAAACTTTTTAACAAAAAATGTTGTACTCATTTTTATATCCATTTTTTCTTATTGCAAATTGAAGTATATTTCGTAATATAAGAGATATAAAAGTATAAGTTGTGTAACTCTTTTACAAAAACCTATTATCAGTGGGAATTCCCATTTTATAACGTCGGGTAAGATAAGAATTATAGTTTTTTAGTTTATTGGTGCTTATATAATAGAATGCCCACTGTACCAGTCGGATTAAATGCAAAATATGCCAAAAATGTTTGGAGCACATTAAAGCCATGGTGGGGAAACATCGATGTTGGCTAACATCGATGTTTTCGATGTTTTTGTTAAAAAAAAAAAAAAATTAATTACACGAGTGTTTCTATTTGATTTAAGCTTTATTTTAACTTTAAATAAAGTCCGAAATTAAAAAAAATAGTTTAGTTTAGTACTTACATTTTATACGACTTTGTTTCGCACCGCGCAGTAGAGATGGAAAAACATCGATGATTCCCTGCCAAACATCGATGTTAGCGATGTTTCGAAAACATCGATGTTAGCATCGATGTTTCTCCACCTCTACTCGGGGAATCGGTCGGCCATGGCCGAGACACCGACTCCAGTTGGGAACACCACGGCGGCAGCGGACGCAGATGCAGATGCTCCGGCCCAGGCTGTCCCACATAAAGCTAAATTATTAAACGTAAAGGTCTTAAAGTAGATAAAGCAATAATTTTTTTAAAATCAAATTCAAAATTAGCCCCTTATCCAAATGGCAAGATTGTCGATAAGGCCCATTATGTCGGCAATCCAAAACAAAAGTAGATAATGAATATATTATTATATATGTTTATTGGAACAAGTCAGGGAAGGACTCGTCCATTATGAGACCCATTATATCGGCAACGGTCTCCGGCTCCGCGATCGGCTCTGCGTCTTGGGGGTTTATAAAGGCCTGTATAAGGAAATGGAAAGTTATAACCAAATAATATACAATATATACACTCGCAGGCATATTTTTCTTCCTTTGAAACTGGCGGATGTAGATGGTCCCTGTAGCTCCTGATTGAGCAAAACAACTTCGGACACTTTTTGCAATCAAAGGTCCACCGGAAGTGCTGATCACGTGGTTCCTCAGCTTCGTTTTGTTTCCAGCTTTAGCTCCACAGATTGGACACATAGATTTTAACTTGGAATTAAAAAAATTTTCGATTCGCTCCTTTTCCTGGACGTGGTCGTCCAACTTCTCATGCTCGGCTAGGGCTTTGTGGCTGTGGAGGATGACGCCGCACTCCAAGCAGTCATGAACCCTCTCTAGCCTGTCCCGGTAGACCTTGCGGATCTCATCCACGTTTAGTCTCCATGTCTTGGCTTGTGGGAACCATGAGACCTCGCCTGCCTTTAGGTCCTCGGTGTTTCGTACTGAAAAATAAGGAAGATTGTACATACTCATGGAGTAATATGAATGAGCTTACTGTGGCTCAGAGGCTGCAAGGGCGACGAGTGGGCGAGGGTCTCTGTCTCGGGTGAGCCATGGAGAGTTGACTTGCTGGAGCCACTGGCCTCCAGCTCCTCGAAGGGTGAGTGAGGATGGAGAGTTTTTTGGCTGGAGCCACTGGTCTCCAGCTCCTCGAATAATGAGTGAGGATGGAGAGTAGTTTGGCTGGAGCCACTGGCCTCCAGCTCCTCGAATGATGAGTGAGGATGGAGTGGTGACTGGCTGGAGCCACTGGCCTCCAGCTCCTCGAATGATGAGTGAGGATGGAGTGGTGACTGGCTGGAGCCACTGGCCTCCAGCTCCTCGAATGAGTTCGATTGCTCGAAGCCCACGTCGTCGAAACTTAGTTTCCGTCCTTTTTTTTCGGGTGTCTTAGGCTGGAATGCAATCAAATACATATGTAAAATTAAACATATAAGAAAAAACTCTATAAAATATTCTATATCCCAGAGTTAAAGAAAATACGATCAAAATCAAAGCACAATTTATTAAAAATAATTATTTTATTAATTCTCAGACCGTTTCTTTGACAGCTATATGATGTAGTCGTCCGGTTTTGATACAATTTAAGTCGAAATCCAGAACTAATTAAAAATTGTATTTCCAGGCGTAGGAGGTTATATTATGCTGATCAAGAATATATATACTTTATGAGGTGCAAACTTCTGACTTAAATCATAATACCCTCTGCAAGGGTATACAAATGTGGCCCTACCTCTTCTTCTTCTTCCCTCCGTCTCTTGGGGACACGGCCAGAATTTGCATCTCCGGCTGGCTCGGACAATTCCTTCAAAGACTTCAACACGTCCAAAATGGAGGTGTTGAGAAAGAGCGCGTCCGATCCCTTGATCTCTAGCACAACATCTTTATTGTGGTACTTCAAATCCATATTAGAAAAATAGAACTCTGTATAATAGAACAAATTGTTTCCAGCAAATTTCCAATTATTTTTGCACACTGGTTTTATTATTTTCTATCGGTATCGGGTTTTCAAGCTTATCATTGGCGACTCACCATCAACTGATTAGCTTGATTCGCAAAAGTCAATGGAAAAAACAAAGTATTTAAAAGAATTCATTATTTTTGAAGAATAGAATAGAAATGCCGTTGTTCACTTAATCTGCAAATTCAAAGTCGATTTCCGATAGGTACTTTAGCAAAATAAACAGTAGTTTTCTATCATCCTTCCCAACACTGGCATGGCTTTCTTTTTGCTTACAATTTTGCAAGCGGGACGAGATGGACTTGGATGAAGCTTACGAGCTCCTAGAATCTGGTAATGTTGATGTTCCAGATATTGATGCAATGCAGGTATTACATGCCGTTAAATTTTTTAATCATTTACAGCTGCCTAATGGGCGCCGGATAGAAGAGGTGTCGGCGGCTACACTATCTTGGGCTAATGAAAAGATTAGCAAAGGATCCGTCTCTCTACTGGGAAGCCTGAATGCCAGGTGGGATTGGACGAAGCCCTTCAGCCTCCTGGTCGACGAGCTATGGCTACCGAAGGTAAGTTTTTATTTGTTTTAAGATAGTAGTGTAGTTATACCCGTTACTCGGAGGAAAGGGTATATTGGATTTGTCGGAAAGTATGTAACAGGCAGAAGGAAGCGCCCATAACGCCCATAATGTCTTCCGCCCACATATATGTTATAACCATATATATATATATCTCCATCTCCCTTTGGTCCCTTTAGCTGAGTAACGGGTATCTGATAGTCGAGGCACTCGACTTTAGCGTTCTTCTAGTATATTATTTTATTCTCTTGATTTGAATCAACCATTTTCTCAGATTCCAGAGACTGAAATAAATTACAGGGCATCCACCTACGCCATGCAGACCTTCGATGGGTCTCACTTTCAAATAGTATTTATTGAAGTTGTCCTTCAAAATACGGGCGAACGTATTAATAATGTGTTAAATTTAATTATTAACTTTTTAAAAGATAAAAATGTTAGTCATCTCTTGCTGGCGGTTATTTCTGACAACAATCCAATTAATGCTAAAAGGGTAGATTCTCAAGTCCCAAGACTTTGGGATTATAATCATTTAAAAGCAATTACAAATGTTTCATTTACAGAAGTCTTATTAAAAGACTTGTATACAAAACCACTCTTCAAAAATAGTTTCAAAGACGTTTTTAAAAAATTTTTTGATTTGAATGAGACTACCACGCTATCTTATTTTAGAGACACTTTAAAAACAGAAATTTTTAATCTTCAGATAGCCACCTCTAGATTTTTAAACGTCTCGCCAGGGCCAGATGTTCTATTCCAGGCCCGCTATTTGAAAAACGATACCCTCGAGTCAGTAGGCCAGAGGTGGAGGATTGGCCTTAAATCAGCTTTGGAGGACCTTAAAATAACGAGAAATCAACTCGAGTCCCAAGATGCGGAATTTTACCCACGGATCTGGGCGTTGACATATTAAAGGGAGTTAACGATGAAACTGGACCAACTAGGAAAGACCAGAGCACGCAAACGGATGGATGATTTATATAGTATATTAAAGTATTAGTATATTATATAGTTTATAGTTTAATATGTATTTAATATGTATTTCATATAATACTCATTGTATTTTAGTTTTTGAAATGAAACTAACATTTTACTTTCTCTAAATGTAAATGTGTTACAAAGTCGATTAGGCCTCTTGGGGATACGACTATAAAAAAAACGCGCCTACACCTCTACCTCCAAGGTGGTGTGGAAAAGAGCATCTTTGTTTCCTTTCTTTTCAAGATCAATGTATGATAGAGGGGCCAGGATCCCTACAGTGTTCCGTCAGTTATAGGTAACCCCGGGTTTCCTATAACTGATAACAGGTGATTAAAAGTGTTAGTTATAGGTTTCTGGGGTGTACTATCGACGCAGATCCATATCACTAGGGGCCCGGACGACTAGAAGAGTAAATTTCATTCAGTCGACGTCTACTGGTTGGTAGAACAACTTGCAACTTCCTGGCCTCCAATTTGTCAAGATCCCACAAAGATAGGTGAGTGATATTGTGTTGGTGTAAACAGTACTATATTAAAATGTGAACCTAAGAAATAATATATTACTTAAATAAAAAATGTTCTATAAAAAGTCTTATAATACTGAAGACATATGTCATACATACATATTATCGCATATGAATTTATCGTAACGGGTTGTTAATCTATAAATACGATAGTTTTCACTATACCATACTATAAAAACTTTTTAACAAAAAATGTTGTACTCATTTTTATATCCATTTTTTCTTATTGCAAATTGAAGTATATTTCGTAATATAAGAGATATAAAAGTATAAGTTGTGTAATTCTTTTACAAAAACCTATTATCAGTGGGAATTCCCATTTTATAACGTCGGGTAAGATAAGAATTATAGTTTTTTAGTTTATTGGTGCTCATATAATAGAATGCCCACTGTACCAGTCGGATTAAATGCAAAATATGCCAAAAATGTTTGGAGCACATTAAAGCCATGGTGGGGAAACATCGATGTTGGCTGACATCGATGTTTTCGATGTTTTTGTTAAAAAAAAAAAAAAATTAATTACACGAGTGTTTCTATTTGATTTAAGCTTTATTTTAACTTTAAATAAAGTCCGAAATTAAAAAAAATAGTTTAGTTTAGTACTTACATTTTATACGACTTTGTTTCGCACCGCGCAGTAGAGATGGAAAAACATCGATGATTCCCTGCCAAACATCGATGTTAGCGATGTTTCGAAAACATCGATGTTAGCATCGATGTTTCTCCACCTCTACTCGGGGAATCGGTCGGCCATGGCCGAGACACCGACTCCAGTTGGGAACACCACGGCGGCAGCGGACGCAGATGCAGATGCTCCGGCCCAGGCTGTCCCACATAAAGCTAAATTATTAAACGTAAAGGTCTTAAAGTAGATAAAGCAATAATTTTTTAAAAATCAAATTCAAAATTAGCCCCTTATCCAAATGGCAAGATTGTCGATAAGGCCATTATGTCGGCAATCCAAAACAAAAGTAGATAATGAATATATTATATATATATGTTTATTGGAACAAGTCAGGGAAGGACTCGTCCATTATGAGACCCATTATATCGGCAACGGTCTCCGGCTCCGCGATCGGCTCTGCGTCTTGGGGGTTTATAAAGGCCTGTATAAGGAAATGGAAAGTTATAACCAAATAATATACAATATATACACTCGCAGGCATATTTTTCTTCCTTTGAAACTGGCGGATGTAGATGGTCCCTGTAGCTCCTGATTGAGCAAAACAACTTCGGACACTTTTTGCAATCAAAGGTCCACCGGAAGTGCTGATCACGTGGTTCCTCAGCTTCGTTTTGTTTCCAGCTTTAGCTCCACAGATTGGACACATAGATTTTAACTTGGAATTAAAAAAATTTTCGATTCGCTCCTTTTCCTGGACGTGGTCGTCCAACTTCTCATGCTCGGCTAGGGCTTTGTGGCTGTGGAGGATGACGCCGCACTCCAAGCAGTCATGAACCCTCTCTAGCCTGTCCCGGTAGACCTTGCGGATCTCATCCACGTTTAGTCTCCATGTCTTGGCTTGTGGGAACCATGAGACCTCGCCTGCCTTTAGGTCCTCGGTGTTTCGTACTGAAAAATAAGGAAGATTGTACATACTCATGGAGTAATATGAATGAGCTTACTGTGGCTCAGAGGCTGCAAGGGCGACGAGTGGGCGAGGGTCTCTGTCTCGGGTGAGCCATGGAGAGTTGACTTGCTGGAGCCACTGGCCTCCAGCTCCTCGAAGGGTGAGTGAGGATGGAGAGTTTTTTGGCTGGAGCCACTGGTCTCCAGCTCCTCGAATAATGAGTGAGGATGGAGAGTAGTTTGGCTGGAGCCACTGGCCTCCAGCTCCTCGAATGATGAGTGAGGATGGAGTGGTGACTGGCTGGAGCCACTGGCCTCCAGCTCCTCGAATGATGAGTGAGGATGGAGTGGTGACTGGCTGGAGCCACTGGCCTCCAGCTCCTCGAATGAGTTCGATTGCTCGAAGCCCACGTCGTCGAAACTTAGTTTCCGTCCTTTTTTTTCGGGTGTCTTAGGCTGGAATGCAATCAATACAATACATATGTAAAATTAAACATATAAGAAAAAACTCTATAAAATATTCTATATCCCAGAGTTAAAGAAAATACGATCAAAATCAAAGCACAATTTATTAAAAATAATTATTTTATTAATTCTCAGACCGTTTCTTTGACAGCTATATGATGTAGTCGTCCGGTTTTGATACAATTTAAATCGAAATCCAGAACTAATTAAAAATTGTATTTCCAGGCGTAGGAGGTTATATTATGCTGATCAAGAATATATATACTTTATGAGGTGCAAACTTCTGACTTAAATCATAATACCCTCTGCAAGGGTATACAAATGTGGCCCTACCTCTTCTTCTTCTTCCCTCCGTCTCTTGGGGACACGGCCAGAATTTGCATCTCCGGCTGGCTCGGACAATTCCTTCAAAGACTTCAACACGTCCAAAATGGAGGTGTTGAGAAAGAGCGCGTCCGATCCCTTGATCTCTAGCACAACATCTTTATTGTGGTACTTCAAATCCATATTAGAAAAATAGAACTCTGTATAATAGAACAAATTGTTTCCAGCAAATTTCCAATTATTTTTGCACACTGGTTTTATTATTTTCTATCGGTATCGGGTTTTCAAGCTTATCATTGGCGACTCACCATCAACTGATTAGCTTGATTCGCAAAAGTCAATGGAAAAAACAAAGTATTTAAAAGAATTCATTATTTTTGAAGAATAGAATAGAAATGCCGTTGTTCACTTAATCTGCAAATTCAAAGTCGATTTCCGATAGGTACTTTAGCAAAATAAACAGTAGTTTTCTATCATCCTTCCCAACACTGGCATGGCTTTCTTTTTGCTTACAATTTTGCAAGCGGGACGAGATGGACTTGGATGAAGCTTACGAGCTCCTAGAATCTGGTAATGTTGATGTTCCAGATATTGATGCAATGCAGGTATTACATGCCGTTAAATTTTTTAATCATTTACAGCTGCCTAATGGGCGCCGGATAGAAGAGGTGTCGGCGGCTACACTATCTTGGGCTAATGAAAAGATTAGCAAAGGATCCGTCTCTCTACTGGGAAGCCTGAACGCCAGGTGGGATTGGACGAAGCCCTTCAGCCTCCTGGTCGACGAGCTATGGCTACCGAAGGTAAGTTTTTATTTGTTTTAAGATAGTAGTGTAGTTATACCCGTTACTCGGAGGAAAGGGTATATTGGATTTGTCGGAAAGTATGTAACAGGCAGAAGGAAGCGCCCATAACGCCCATAATGTCTTCCGCCCACATATATGTTATAACCATATATATATATATCTCCATCTCCCTTTGGTCCCTTTAGCTGAGTAACGGGTATCTGATAGTCGAGGCACTCGACTTTAGCGTTCTTCTCGTATATTATTTTATTCTCTTGATTTGAATCAACCATTTTCTCAGATTCCAGAGACTGAAATAAATTACAGGGAATCCACCTACGCCATGCAGACCTTCGATGGGTCTCACTTTCAAATAGTATTTATTGAAGTTGTCCTTCAAAATACGGGCGAACGTATTAATAATGTGTTAAATTTAATTATTAACTTTTTAAAAGATAAAAATGTTAGTCATCTCTTGCTGGCGGTTATTTCTGACAACAATCCAATTAATGCTAAAAGGGTAGATTCTCAAGTCCCAAGACTTTGGGATTATAATCATTTAAAAGCAATTACAAATGTTTCATTTACAGAAGTCTTATTAAAAGACTTGTATACAAAACCACTCTTCAAAAATAGTTTCAAAGACGTTTTTAAAAAATTTTTTGATTTGAATGAGACTACCACGCTATCTTATTTTAGAGACACTTTAAAAACAGAAATTTTTAATCTTCAGATAGCCACCTCTAGATTTTTAAACGTCTCGCCAGGGCCAGATGTTCTATTCCAGGCCCGCTATTTGAAAAACGATACCCTCGAGTCAGTAGGCCAGAGGTGGAGGATTGGCCTTAAATCAGCTTTGGAGGACCTTAAAATAACGAGAAATCAACTCGAGTCCCAAGATGCGGAATTTTACCCACGGATCTGGGCTTTGACATATTAAAGGGAGTTAACGATGAAACTGGACCAACTAGGAAAGACCAGAGCACGCAAACGGATGGATGATTTATATAGTATATTAAAGTATTAGTATATTATATAGTTTATAGTTTAATATGTATTTAAAATGTATTTCATATAATACTCATTGTATTTTAGTTTTTGAAATGAAACTAACATTTTACTTTCTCTAAATGTAAATGTGTTACAAAGTCGATTAGGCCTCTTGGGGATACGACTATAAAAAAAACGCGCCTACACCTCTACCTCCAAGGTGGTGTGGAAAAGAGCATCTTTGTTTCCTTTCTTTTCAAGATCAATGTATGATAGAGGGGCCAGGATCCCTACAGTGTTCCGTCAGTTATAGGTAACCCCGGGTTTCCTATAACTGATAACAGGTGATTAAAAGTGTTAGTTATAGGTTTCTGGGGTGTACTATCGACGCAGATCCATATCACTAGGGGCCCGGACGACTAGAAGAGTAAATTTCATTCAGTCGACGTCTACTGGTTGGTAGAACAACTTGCAACTTCCTGGCCTCCAATTTGTCAAGATCCCACAAAGATAGGTGAGTGATATTGTGTTGGTGTAAACAGTACTATATTAAAATGTGAACCTAAGAAATAATATATTACTTAAATAAAAAATGTTCTATAAAAAGTCTTATAATACTGAAGACATATGTCATACATACATATTATCGCATATGAATTTATCGTAACGGGTTGTTAATCTATAAATACGATAGTTTTCACTATACCATACTATAAAAACTTTTTAACAAAAAATGTTGTACTCATTTTTATATCCATTTTTTCTTATTGCAAATTGAAGTATATTTCGTAATATAAGAGATATAAAAGTATAAGTTGTGTAACTCTTTTACAAAACCTATTATCAGTGGGAATTCCCATTTTATAACGTCGGGTAAGATAAGAATTATAGTTTTTTAGTTTATTGGTGCTCATATAATAGAATGCCCACTGTACCAGTCGGATTAAATGCAAAATATGCCAAAAATGTTTGGAGCACATTAAAGCCATGGTGGGGAAACATCGATGTTGGCTAACATCGATGTTTTCGATGTTTTTGTTAAAAAAAAAAAAAAATTAATTACACGAGTGTTTCTATTTGATTTAAGCTTTATTTTAACTTTAAATAAAGTCCGAAATTAAAAAAAATAGTTTAGTTTAGTACTTACATTTTATACGACTTTGTTTCGCACCGCGCAGTAGAGATGGAAAAACATCGATGATTCCCTGCCAAACATCGATGTTAGCGATGTTTCGAAAACATCGATGACATCGATGTTAGCATCGATGTTTCTCCACCTCTACTCGGGGAATCGGTCGGCCATGGCCGAGACACCGACTCCAGTTGGGAACACCACGGCGGCAGCGGACGCAGATGCAGATGCTCCGGCCCAGGCTGTCCCACATAAAGCTAAATTATTAAACGTAAAGGTCTTAAAGTAGATAAAGCAATAATTTTTTTAAAATCAAATTCAAAATTAGCCCCTTATCCAAATGGCAAGATTGTCGATAAGGCCCATTATGTCGGCAATCCAAAACAAAAGTAGATAATGAATATATTATATATATATGTTTATTGGAACAAGTCAGGGAAGGACTCGTCCATTATGAGACCCATTATATCGGCAACGGTCTCCGGCTCCGCGATCGGCTCTGCGTCTTGGGGGTTTATAAAGGCCTGTATAAGGAAATGGAAAGTTATAACCAAATAATATACAATATATACACTCGCAGGCATATTTTTCTTCCTTTGAAACTGGCGGATGTAGATGGTCCCTGTAGCTCCTGATTGAGCAAAACAACTTCGGACACTTTTTGCAATCAAAGGTCCACCGGAAGTGCTGATCACGTGGTTCCTCAGCTTCGTTTTGTTTCCAGCTTTAGCTCCACAGATTGGACACATAGATTTTAACTTGGAATTAAAAAAATTTTCGATTCGCTCCTTTTCCTGGACGTGGTCGTCCAACTTCTCATGCTCGGCTAGGGCTTTGTGGCTGTGGAGGATGACGCCGCACTCCAAGCAGTCATGAACCCTCTCTAGCCTGTCCCGGTAGACCTTGCGGATCTCATCCACGTTTAGTCTCCATGTCTTGGCTTGTGGGAACCATGAGACCTCGCCTGCCTTTAGGTCCTCGGTGTTTCGTACTGAAAAATAAGGAAGATTGTACATACTCATGGAGTAATATGAATGAGCTTACTGTGGCTCAGAGGCTGCAAGGGCGACGAGTGGGCGAGGGTCTCTGTCTCGGGTGAGCCATGGAGAGTTGACTTGCTGGAGCCACTGGCCTCCAGCTCCTCGAAGGGTGAGTGAGGATGGAGAGTTTTTTGGCTGGAGCCACTGGTCTCCAGCTCCTCGAATAATGAGTGAGGATGGAGAGTAGTTTGGCTGGAGCCACTGGCCTCCAGCTCCTCGAATGATGAGTGAGGATGGAGTGGTGACTGGCTGGAGCCACTGGCCTCCAGCTCCTCGAATGATGAGTGAGGATGGAGTGGTGACTGGCTGGAGCCACTGGCCTCCAGCTCCTCGAATGAGTTCGATTGCTCGAAGCCCACGACGTCGAAACTTAGTTTCCGTCCTTTTTTTTCGGGTGTCTTAGGCTGGAATGCAATCAAATACATATGTAAAATTAAACATATAAGAAAAGACTCTATAAAATATTCTATATCCCAGAGTTAAAGAAAATACGATCAAAATCAAAGCACAATTTATTAAAAATAATTATTTTATTAATTCTCAGACCGTTTCTTTGACAGCTATATGATGTAGTCGTTCGGTTTTGATACAATTTAAATCGAAATCCAGAACTAATTAAAAATTGTATTTCCAGGCGTAGGAGGTTATATTATGCTGATCAAGAATATATATACTTTATGAGGTGCAAACTTCTGACTTAAATCATAATACCCTCTGCAAGGGTATACAAATGTGGCCCTACCTCTTCTTCTTCTTCCCTCCGTCTCTTGGGGACACGGCCAGAATTTGCATCTCCGGCTGGCTCGGACAATTCCTTCAAAGACTTCAACACGTCCAAAATGGAGGTGTTGAGAAAGAGCGCGTCCGATCCCTTGATCTCTAGCACAACATCTTTATTGTGGTACTTCAAATCCATATTAGAAAAATAGAACTCTGTATAATAGAACAAATTGTTTCCAGCAAATTTCCAATTATTTTTGCACACTGGTTTTATTATTTTCTATCGGTATCGGGTTTTCAAGCTTATCATTGGCGACTCACCATCAACTGATTAGCTTGATTCGCAAAAGTCAATGGAAAAAACAAAGTATTTAAAAGAATTCATTATTTTTGAAGAATAGAATAGAAATGCCGTTGTTCACTTAATCTGCAAATTCAAAGTCTCTCTCTCGGCTCTGCGTCTTGGGGGTTTATAAAGGCCTGTATAAGGAAATGGAAAGTTATAACCAAATAATATACAATATATACACTCGCAGGCATATTTTTCTTCCTTTGAAACTGGCGGATGTAGATGGTCCCTGTAGCTCCTGATTGAGCAAAACAACTTCGGACACTTTTTGCAATCAAAGGTCCACCGGAAGTGCTGATCACGTGGTTCCTCAGCTTCGTTTTGTTTCCAGCTTTAGCTCCACAGATTGGACACATAGATTTTACCTTGGAATTAAAAAAAATTTTCGATTCGCTCCTTTTCCTGGACGTGGTCGTCCAACTTCTCATGCTCGGCTAGGGCTTTGTGGCTGTGGAGGATGACGCCGCACTCCAAGCAGTCATGAACCCTCTCTAGCCTGTCCCGGTAGACCTTGCGGATCTCATCCACGTTTAGTCTCCATGTCTTGGCTTGTGGGAACCATGAGACCTCGCCTGCCTTTAGGTCCTCGGTGTTTCGTACTGAAAAATAAGGAAGATTGTACATACTCATGGAGTAATATGAATGAGCTTACTGTGGCTCAGAGGCTGCAAGGGCGACGAGTGGGCGAGGGTCTCTGTCTCGGGTGAGCCATGGAGAGTTGACTTGCTGGAGCCACTGGCCTCCAGCTCCTCGAAGGGTGAGTGAGGATGGAGAGTTTTTTGGCTGGAGCCACTGGTCTCCAGCTCCTCGAATAATGAGTGAGGATGGAGAGTAGTTTGGCTGGAGCCACTGGCCTCCAGCTCCTCGAATGATGAGTGAGGATGGAGTGGTGACTGGCTGGAGCCACTGGCCTCCAGCTCCTCGAATGATGAGTGAGGATGGAGTGGTGACTGGCTGGAGCCACTGGCCTCCAGCTCCTCGAATGAGTTCGATTGCTCGAAGCCCACGTCGTCGAAACTTAGTTTCCGTCCTTTTTTTTCGGGTGTCTTAGGCTGGAATGCAATCAAATACATATGTAAAATTAAACATATAAGAAAAGACTCTATAAAATATTCTATATCCCAGAGTTAAAGAAAATACGATCAAAATCATAGCACAATTTATTAAAAATAATTATTTTATTAATTCTCAGACCGTTTCTTTGACAGCTATATGATGTAGTCGTCCGGTTTTGATACAATTTAAATCGAAATCCAGAACTAATTAAAAATTGTATTTCCAGGCGTAGGAGGTTATATTATGCTGATCAAGAATATATATACTTTATGAGGTGCAAACTTCTGACATAAATCATAATACCCTCTGCAAGGGTATACAAATGTGGCCCTACCTCTTCTTCTTCTTCCCTCCGTCTCTTGGGGACACGGCCAGAATTTGCATCTCCGGCTGGCTCGGACAATTCCTTCAAAGACTTCAACACGTCCAAAATGGAGGTGTTGAGAAAGAGCGCGTCCGATCCCTTGATCTCTAGCACAACATCTTTATTGTGGTACTTCAAATCCATATTAGAAAAATAGAACTCTGTATAATAGAACAAATTGTTTCCAGCAAATTTCCAATTATTTTTGCACACTGGTTTTATTATTTTCTATCGGTATCGGGTTTTCAAGCTTATCATTGGCGACTCACCATCAACTGATTAGCTTGATTCGCAAAAGTCAATGGAAAAAACAAAGTATTTAAAAGAATTCATTATTTTTGAAGAATAGAATAGAAATGCCGTTGTTCACTTAATCTGCAAATTCAAAGTCGATTTCCGATAGGTACTTTAGCAAAATAAACAGTAGTTTTCTATCATCCTTCCCAACACTGGCATGGCTTTCTTTTTGCTTACAATTTTGCAAGCGGGACGAGATGGACTTGGATGAAGCTTACGAGCTCCTAGAATCTGGTAATGTTGATGTTCCAGATATTGATGCAATGCAGGTATTACATGCCGTTAAATTTTTTAATAATTTACAGCTGCCTAATGGGCGCCGGATAGAAGAGGTGTCGGCGGCTACACTATCTTGGGCTAATGAAAAGATTAGCAAAGGATCCGTCTCTCTACTGGGAAGCCTGAATGCCAGGTGGGATTGGACGAAGCCCTTCAGCCTCCTGGTCGACGAGCTATGGCTACCGAAGGTAAGGTTTTATTTGTTTTAAGATAGTAGTGTAGTTATACCCGTTACTCGGAGGAAAGGGTATATTGGATTTGTCGGAAAGTATGTAACAGGCAGAAGGAAGCGCCCATAACGCCCATAATGTCTTCCGCCCACATATATGTTATAACCATATATATATATATCTCCATCTCCCTTTGGTCCCTTTAGCTGAGTAACGGGTATCTGATAGTCGAGGCACTCGACTTTAGCGTTCTTCTAGTATATTATTTTATTCTCTTGATTTGAATCAACCATTTTCTCAGATTCCAGAGACTGAAATAAATTACAGGGCATCCACCTACGCCATGCAGACCTTCGATGGGTCTCACTTTCAAATAGTATTTATTGAAGTTGTCCTTCAAAATACGGGCGAACGTATTAATAATGTGTTAAATTTAATTATTAACTTTTTAAAAGATAAAAATGTTAGTCATCTCTTGCTGGCGGTTATTTCTGACAACAATCCAATTAATGCTAAAAGGGTAGATTCTCAAGTCCCAAGACTTTGGGATTATAATCATTTAAAAGCAATTACAAATGTTTCATTTACAGAAGTCTTATTAAAAGACTTGTATACAAAACCACTCTTCAAAAATAGTTTCAAAGACGTTTTTAAAAAATTTTTTGATTTGAATGAGACTACCACGCTATCTTATTTTAGAGACACTTTAAAAACAGAAATTTTTAATCTTCAGATAGCCACCTCTAGATTTTTAAACGTCTCGCCAGGGCCAGATGTTCTATTCCAGGCCCGCTATTTGAAAAACGATACCCTCGAGTCAGTAGGCCAGAGGTGGAGGATTGGCCTTAAATCAGCTTTGGAGGACCTTAAAATAACGAGAAATCAACTCGAGTCCCAAGATGCGGAATTTTACCCACGGATCTGGGCGTTGACATATTAAAGGGAGTTAACGATGAAACTGGACCAACTAGGAAAGACCAGAGCACGCAAACGGATGGATGATTTATATAGTATATTAAAGTATTAGTATATTATATAGTTTATAGTTTAATATGTATTTAATATGTATTTCATATAATACTCATTGTATTTTAGTTTTTGAAATGAAACTAACATTTTACTTTCTCTAAATGTAAATGTGTTACAAAGTCGATTAGGCCTCTTGGGGATACGACTATAAAAAAAACGCGCCTACACCTCTACCTCCAAGGTGGTGTGGAAAAGAGCATCTTTGTTTCCTTTCTTTTCAAGATCAATGTATGATAGAGGGGCCAGGATCCCTACAGTGTTCCGTCAGTTATAGGTAACCCCGGGTTTCCTATAACTGATAACAGGCGATTAAAAGTGTTAGTTATAGGTTTCTGGGGTGTACTATCGACGCAGATCCATATCACTAGGGGCCCGGACGACTAGAAGAGTAAATTTCATTCAGTCGACGTCTACTGGTTGGTAGAACAACTTGCAACTTCCTGGCCTCCAATTTGTCAAGATCCCACAAAGATAGGTGAGTGATATTGTGTTGGTGTAAACAGTACTATATCAAAATGTGAACCTAAGAAATAATATATTACTTAAATAAAAAATGTTCTATAAAAAGTCTTATAATACTGAAGACATATGTCATACATACATATTATCGCATATGAATTTATCGTAACGGGTTGTTAATCTATAAATACGATAGTTTTCACTATACCATACTATAAAAACTTTTTAACAAAAAATGTTGTACTCATTTTTATATCCATTTTTTCTTATTGCAAATTGTAGTATATTTCGTAATATAAGAGATATAAAAGTATAAGTTGTGTAACTCTTTTACAAAAACCTATTATCAGTGGGAATTCCCATTTTATAACGTCGGGTAAGATAAGAATTATAGTTTTTTAGTTTATTGGTGCTCATATAATAGAATGCCCACTGTACCAGTCGGATTAAATGCAAAATATGCCAAAAATGTTTGGAGCACATTAAAGCCATGGTGGGGAAACATCGATGTTGGCTGACATCAATGTTTTCGATGTTTTTGTTAAAAAAAAAAAAAAATTAATTACACGAGTGTTTCTATTTGATTTAAGCTTTATTTTAACTTTAAATAAAGTCCGAAATTAAAAAAAATAGTTTAGTTTAGTACTTACATTTTATACGACTTTGTTTCGCACCGCGCAGTAGAGATGGAAAAACATCGATGATTCCCTGCCAAACATCGATGTTAGCGATGTTTCGAAAACATCGATGTTAGCATCGATGTTTCTCCACCTCTACTCGGGGAATCGGTCGGCCATGGCCGAGACACCGACTCCAGTTGGGAACACCACGGCGGCAGCGGACGCAGATGCAGATGCTCCGGCCCAGGCTGTCCCACATAAAGCTAAATTATTAAACGTAAAGGTCTTAAAGTAGATAAAGCAATAATTTTTTAAAAATCAAATTCAAAATTAGCCCCTTATCCAAATGGCAAGATTGTCGATAAGGCACTTTATGTCGGCAATCCAAAACAAAAGTAGATAATGAATATATTATATATATATGTTTATTGGAACAAGTCAGGGAAGGACTCGTCCATTATGAGACCCATTATATCGGCAACGGTCTCCGGCGCCGCGATCGGCTCTGCGTCTTGGGGGTTTATAAAGGCCTGTATAAGGAAATGGAAAGTTATAACCAAATAATATACAATATATACACTCGCAGGCATATTTTTCTTCCTTTGAAACTGGCGGATGTAGATGGTCCCTGTAGCTCCTGATTGAGCAAAACAACTTCGGACACTTTTTGCAATCAAAGGTCCACCGGAAGTGCTGATCACGTGGTTCCTCAGCTTCGTTTTGTTTCCAGCTTTAGCTCCACAGATTGGACACATAGATTTTACCTTGGAATTAAAAAAAATTTTCGATTCGCTCCTTTTCCTGGACGTGGTCGTCCAACTTCTCATGCTCGGCTAGGGCTTTGTGGCTGTGGAGGATGACGCCGCACTCCAAGCAGTCATGAACCCTCTCTAGCCTGTCCCGGTAGACCTTGCGGATCTCATCCACGTTTAGTCTCCATGTCTTGGCTTGTGGGAACCATGAGACCTCGCCTGCCTTTAGGTCCTCGGTGTTTCGTACTGAAAAATAAGGAAGATTGTACATACTCATGGAGTAATATGAATGAGCTTACTGTGGCTCAGAGGCTGCAAGGGCGACGAGTGGGCGAGGGTCTCTGTCTCGGGTGAGCCATGGAGAGTTGACTTGCTGGAGCCACTGGCCTCCAGCTCCTCGAAGGGTGAGTGAGGATGGAGAGTTTTTTGGCTGGAGCCACTGGTCTCCAGCTCCTCGAATAATGAGTGAGGATGGAGAGTAGTTTGGCTGGAGCCACTGGCCTCCAGCTCCTCGAATGATGAGTGAGGATGGAGTGGTGACTGGCTGGAGCCACTGGCCTCCAGCTCCTCGAATGATGAGTGAGGATGGAGTGGTGACTGGCTGGAGCCACTGGCCTCCAGCTCCTCGAATGAGTTCGATTGCTCGAAGCCCACGACGTCGAAACTTAGTTTCCGTCCTTTTTTTTCGGGTGTCTTAGGCTGGAATGCAATCAAATACATATGTAAAATTAAACATATAAGAAAAGACTCTATAAAATATTCTATATCCCAGAGTTAAAGAAAATACGATCAAAATCATAGCACAATTTATTAAAAATAATTATTTTATTAATTCTCAGACCGTTTCTTTGACAGCTATATGATGTAGTCGTCCGGTTTTGATACAATTTAAATCGAAATCCAGAACTAATTAAAAATTGTATTTCCAGGCGTAGGAGGTTATATTATGCTGATCAAGAATATATATACTTTATGAGGTGCAAACTTCTGACATAAATCATAATACCCTCTGCAAGGGTATACAAATGTGGCCCTACCTCTTCTTCTTCTTCCCTCCGTCTCTTGGGGACACGGCCAGAATTTGCATCTCCGGCTGGCTCGGACAATTCCTTCAAAGACTTCAACACGTCCAAAATGGAGGTGTTGAGAAAGAGCGCGTCCGATCCCTTGATCTCTAGCACAACATCTTTATTGTGGTACTTCAAATCCATATTAGAAAAATAGAACTCTGTATAATACAATAGAACAAATTGTTTCCAGCAAATTTCCAATTATTTTTGCACACTGGTTTTATTATTTTCTATCGGTATCGGGTTTTCAAGCTTATCATTGGCGACTCACCATCAACTGATTAGCTTGATTCGCAAAAGTCAATGGAAAAAACAAAGTATTTAAAAGAATTCATTATTTTTGAAGAATAGAATAGAAATGCCGTTGTTCACTTAATCTGCAAATTCAAAGTCGATTTCCGATAGGTACTTTAGCAAAATAAACAGTAGTTTTCTATCATCCTTCCCAACACTGGCATGGCTTTCTTTTTGCTTACAATTTTGCAAGCGGGACGAGATGGACTTGGATGAAGCTTACGAGCTCCTAGAATCTGGTAATGTTGATGTTCCAGATATTGATGCAATGCAGGTATTACATGCCGTTAAATTTTTTAATCATTTACAGCTGCCTAATGGGCGCCGGATAGAAGAGGTGTCGGCGGCTACACTATCTTGGGCTAATGAAAAGATTAGCAAAGGATCCGTCTCTCTACTGGGAAGCCTGAATGCCAGGTGGGATTGGACGAAGCCCTTCAGCCTCCTGGTCGACGAGCTATGGCTACCGAAGGTAAGTTTTTATTTGTTTTAAGATAGTAGTGTAGTTATACCCGTTACTCGGAGGAAAGGGTATATTGGATTTGTCGGAAAGTATGTAACAGGCAGAAGGAAGCGCCCATAACGCCCATAATGTCTTCCGCCCACATATATGTTATAACCATATATATATATATCTCCATCTCCCTTTGGTCCCTTTAGCTGAGTAACGGGTATCTGATAGTCGAGGCACTCGACTTTAGCGTTCTTCTCGTATATTATTTTATTCTCTTGATTTGAATCAACCATTTTCTCAGATTCCAGAGACTGAAATAAATTACAGGGCATCCACCTACGCCATGCAGACCTTCGATGGGTCTCACTTTCAAATAGTATTTATTGAAGTTGTCCTTCAAAATACGGGCGAACGTATTAATAATGTGTTAAATTTAATTATTAACTTTTTAAAAGATAAAAATGTTAGTCATCTCTTGCTGGCGGTTATTTCTGACAACAATCCAATTAATGCTAAAAGGGTAGATTCTCAAGTCCCAAGACTTTGGGATTATAATCATTTAAAAGCAATTACAAATGTTTCATTTACAGAAGTCTTATTAAAAGACTTGTATACAAAACCATTCTTCAAAAATAGTTTCAAAGACGTTTTTAAAAAATTTTTTGATTTGAATGAGACTACCGCGCTATCTTATTTTAGAGACACTTTAAAAACAGAAATTTTTAATCTTCAGATAGCCACCTCTAGATTTTTAAACGTCTCGCCAGGGCCAGATGTTCTATTCCAGGCCCGCTATTTGAAAAACGATACCCTCGAGTCAGTAGGCCAGAGGTGGAGGATTGGCCTTAAATCAGCTTTGGAGGACCTTAAAATAACGAGAAATCAACTCGAGTCCCAAGATGCGGAATTTTACCCACGGATCTGGGCGTTGACATATTAAAGGGAGTTAACGATGAAACTGGACCAACTAGGAAAGACCAGAGCACGCAAACGGATGGATGATTTATATAGTATATTAAAGTATTAGTATATTATATAGTTTATAGTTTAATATGTATTTAATATGTATTTCATATAATACTCATTGTATTTTAGATTTTGAAATGAAACTAACATTTTACTTTCTCTAAATGTAAATGTGTTACAAAGTCGATTAGGCCTCTTGGGGATACGACTATAAAAAAACGCGCCTACACCTCTACCTCCGGGTTTCCTATAACTGATAACAGGTGATTAAAAGTGTTAGTTATAGGTTTCTGGGGTGTACTATCGACGCAGATCTATATCACTAGGGGCCCGGACGACTAGAAGAGTAAATTTCATTCAGTCGACGTCTACTGGTTGGTAGAACAACTTGCAACTTCCTGGCCTCCAATTTGTCAAGATCCCACAAAGATAGGTGAGTGATATTGTGTTGGTGTAAACAGTACTGTATCGAAATGTGAACCTAAGAAATAATATATTACTTAAATAAAAAATGTTCTATAAAAAGTCTTATAATACTGAAGACATATGTCATACTTACATATTATCGCATATGAATTTATCGTAACGGGTTGTTAATCTATAATTACGATAGTTTTCACTATACCATACTATAAAAACTTTTTTAAAAAAAATGTTGTACTCATTTTTATATCCATTTTTTTCTTATTGCAAATTGAAGTATATTTCGTAATATAAGAGATATAAAAGTATAAGTTGTGTAATTCTTTTACAAAAACCTATTATCAGTGGGAATTCCCATTTTATAACGTCGGGTAAGATAAGAATTATAGTTTTTTAGTTTATTGGTGCTCATATAATAGAATGCCCACTGTACCAGTCGGATTAAATGCAAAATATGCCAAAAATGTTTGGAGCACATTAAAGCCATGGTGGGGAAACATCGATGTTGGCTAACATCGATGTTTTCGATGTTTTTGTTAAAAAAAAAAAAAATTAATTACACGAGTGTTTCTATTTGATTTAAGCTTTATTTTAACTTTAAATAAAGTCCGAAATTAAAAAAAATAGTTTAGTTTAGTACTTACATTTTATACGACTTTGTTTCGCACCGCGCAGTAGAGATGGAAAAACATCGATGATTCCCTGCCAAACATCGATGTTAGCGATGTTTCGAAAACATCGATGACATCGATGTTAGCATCGATGTTTCTCCACCTCTACTCGGGGAATCGGTCGGCCATGGCCGAGACACCGACTCCAGTTGGGAACACCACGGCGGCAGCGGACGCAGATGCAGATGCTCCGGCCCAGGCTGTCCCACATAAAGCTAAATTATTAAACGTAAAGGTCTTAAAGTAGATAAAGCAATAATTTTTTTAAAATCAAATTCAAAATTAGCCCCTTATCCAAATGGCAAGATTGTCGATAAGGCCCATTATGTCGGCAATCCAAAACAAAAGTAGATAATGAATATATTATATATATATGTTTATTGGAACAAGTCAGGGAAGGACTCGTCCATTATGAGACCCATTATATCGGCAACGGTCTCCGGCTCCGCGATCGGCTCTGCGTCTTGGGGGTTTATAAAGGCCTGTATAAGGAAATGGAAAGTTATAACCAAATAATATACAATATATACACTCGCAGGCATATTTTTCTTCCTTTGAAACTGGCGGATGTAGATGGTCCCTGTAGCTCCTGATTGAGCAAAACAACTTCGGACACTTTTTGCAATCAAAGGTCCACCGGAAGTGCTGATCACGTGGTTCCTCAGCTTCGTTTTGTTTCCAGCTTTAGCTCCACAGATTGGACACATAGATTTTAACTTGGAATTAAAAAAATTTTCGATTCGCTCCTTTTCCTGGACGTGGTCGTCCAACTTCTCATGCTCGGCTAGGGCTTTGTGGCTGTGGAGGATGACGCCGCACTCCAAGCAGTCATGAACCCTCTCTAGCCTGTCCCGGTAGACCTTGCGGATCTCATCCACGTTTAGTCTCCATGTCTTGGCTTGTGGGAACCATGAGACCTCGCCTGCCTTTAGGTCCTCGGTGTTTCGTACTGAAAAATAAGGAAGATTGTACATACTCATGGAGTAATATGAATGAGCTTACTGTGGCTCAGAGGCTGCAAGGGCGACGAGTGGGCGAGGGTCTCTGTCTCGGGTGAGCCATGGAGAGTTGACTTGCTGGAGCCACTGGCCTCCAGCTCCTCGAAGGGTGAGTGAGGATGGAGAGTTTTTTGGCTGGAGCCACTGGTCTCCAGCTCCTCGAATAATGAGTGAGGATGGAGAGTAGTTTGGCTGGAGCCACTGGCCTCCAGCTCCTCGAATGATGAGTGAGGATGGAGTGGTGACTGGCTGGAGCCACTGGCCTCCAGCTCCTCGAATGAGTTCGATTGCTCGAAGCCCACGTCGTCGAAACTTAGTTTCCGTCCTTTTTTTCGGGTGTCTTAGGCTGGAATGCAATCAAATACATATGTAAAATTAAACATATAAGAAAAAACTCTATAAAATATTCTATATCCCAGAGTTAAAGAAAATACGATCAAAATCAAAGCACAATTTATTAAAAATAATTATTTTATTAATTCTCAGACCGTTTCTTTGACAGCTATATGATGTAGTCGTCCGGTTTTGATACAATTTAAATCGAAATCCAGAACTAATTAAAAATTGTATTTCCAGGCGTAGGAGGTTATATTATGCTGATCAAGAATATATATACTTTATGAGGTGCAAACTTCTGACTTAAATCATAATACCCTCTGCAAGGGTATACAAATGTGGCCCTACCTCTTCTTCTTCTTCCCTCCGTCTCTTGGGGACACGGCCAGAATTTGCATCTCCGGCTGGCTCGGACAATTCCTTCAAAGACTTCAACACGTCCAAAATGGAGGTGTTGAGAAAGAGCGCGTCCGATCCCTTGATCTCTAGCACAACATCTTTATTGTGGTACTTCAAATCCATATTAGAAAAATAGAACTCTGTATAATAGAACAAATTGTTTCCAGCAAATTTCCAATTATTTTTGCACACTGGTTTTATTATTTTCTATCGGTATCGGGTTTTCAAGCTTATCATTGGCGACTCACCATCAACTGATTAGCTTGATTCGCAAAAGTCAATGGAAAAAACAAAGTATTTAAAAGAATTCATTATTTTTGAAGAATAGAATAGAAATGCCGTTGTTCACTTAATCTGCAAATTCAAAGTCTCTCTCTCGGCTCTGCGTCTTGGGGGTTTATAAAGGCCTGTATAAGGAAATGGAAAGTTATAACCAAATAATATACAATATATATATAATATATATATATAGAGACAGTCAAAACCATCGATATTTTAGATAGTATCAATCCAATTATTATTTAATTTTTTATTTTGTATTTTAAGCCTATTTGCTTTCAATTTTTTAAATTGCGATGTATGAATACAGCTGCGACAAAAACCATACAATTTATTAAACTATTAAAAACACATAAAAACAAATAGGTTAAAAATTTAAAAGATTTTGATTATAATAATTACTTATATTTTTTTTTTTATTCATAAGTTAGAAAACTTAAAAATTCTCGTATGCTTTAAAAAGTCGTTATAAGCCATTATCGTTTGCCTTCTGATGCTAAAATCGAGTACATTCAAACTATTAATGAAAAACCAAGCACATTTCATAAACATGTTTATTTTTATTGATTATAATTATAAGCGAAAACATGATTATAAATTAAAGTTAAGACCAGTACAGATAATAATGATTATAATGAAATTAACAAAAGAGAGATCATCCGTTCCTCGGGAATTACATGATATTGATATAGTTGATTATAAATTAAACAAAGTTAATAACTACTTGAGATTATAATGAATATAATGAGATTAACAAAAGAGAGATCATCCGTTCCTCGGGAATTGTTGTTGATTACGAATTAAACAAAGAAAACGTTTAATAAAAAAATAAAATAACAAGTTTAGATTATCCATTCTTTGGAAAACTGCTCTTAATGACTTTGTACCACAAAAAATTTAGTCCAGCAGCCACTGATTTTTGTTAAGCATAAGGAGCGTGTTTAAATGCTTTGGCTTCAAAGAAGAAGAAGAACCACGCTTCTGCAACTAGTGATGTTAAATAAACGCGATACATCGATGGTGGAAAAAAAAAATCGAGGTATCGCGCAGCCCAGCCACTATCGATATTACTATCGATGTTTTTACAGCTCTATGTGTGTCATAGAGAAAACTGAATTTACGGAAACCTCTCGGGGAATCGGTCGGATTAAATGCAAAATATGCCTGTTTTGGAGCACATTAAAGCCATGGCCGAGACACCGACTCCAGTTGGGAACACCACGGCGCCGGCGGACGCAGATGCAGATGCTCCGCCCCAGGCTGTCCGGGAACTGACGCAGACCGACCATTTAAACAGACGCCTCCTAAAGTCGCTCCTGGACAACATGCAGGCCACCGAAGGCGTAGCGCAGGACAGCGAGAGCGGCTCCAACGAGGAGGAGAACGAATTCGAAGAATAAATGATTTATTAGAGTACAGTAAAGCTAGTGAACTAAAACGGGTAAAATAACAATCGTCCATTTCGAGTGGGGAGCACCTAGATGCGACGGCGCTTGTTGCTTTGCATCGGCGGCGGAGTTGTCGAGGGACTGATGGACTCATTGGACATGGATCCACGGGTTCGCTTGGCCGGACGTTTGGGCAGCTCTTGAGGCTTGGAGACGGCCTTCTTGTCGGAATCCTTGGCAGGATTCGCCGGCACTGGCGCTTTGGTAGCAGGTGGAGCTGAAAAACAGGAAAATTAAAGAGGAGAACTGTGATGAGACTTAGAAATCTACCTTTGCCATTGCTCTCTGGGACTGGGGCACTATTGGACGCCAACGGCGCCTCTGCAGCCTCCTCCCCGGCATTCCCCTCCACGGCCTTTTTGGTCTGTAGCGTTCCGTAATCCTGCTCCGGCAGGCTGAACTCGCGCTCCTCGTTGGGGAAGGGCAGCGACTCGAGGTCGTCCAGTTCCTTCAGCTTGTACATGGTTCCCAGGTGGCGCCAGATCAGCTCGCTGGGCATCTCGCGGTTCAGGGACTTGGACAGCCGCTGGGCGATGCAGGACATGTAGAAGTGCTTGTTGATCCCGACCGGGCGCAGGCCCTCCATGGCATGGAACAGCTGCAGCTCCTCCTCGGCGGACCACTCGTGGTCGATGAGGGTGGTGGTGGGCAAAGGAGCCACCGATCCGATGTCCTTGGCCATCATTTTGCAGAGAGCATGGGGTTAAAAGTCGGCCAAACACCGCACCGAATGTTTTTCTGCAGCCAGGCAGATATTAGCGATGGCACTCGAGCGCACTCACGCGGTCAACTATCGCAGCGAGGTCCATCGCTAGTTTGGGTGTGTATCCACTTTTTATTCGTCAACTTTTGCTCGATTTTGGCCCGTAGCGTTCGAGAATAAAAAATACATTAAGCGGAGCTGGTAATTAACTAATATTGTGCAAATCTAGTTGTGTGTTGTGTGTGCATCCGTCGAAGACTTCACTTTCCCTCTTTTAATCCCTATGTCTACCACACTGCGCAATATGTCTCCGTGTGTTTGCGTGTGCTATCCTCCTCTGTTCCCCTAAAGAAAATTTAATTATGGGTGTTTCCAAACGGTTGCCGAGTGTTTTCTGTATATAACGTGGTTTCCACACCAGCAGTGACAAGTGGCTATGAGCGCCCACCGCCCACGCCCACTTTTCGCAGTGAATAACCTTGCACTTGTCCGTGTCAAGGTTTCCAGTTAGCCTGGAAAATTAATCAGCAATGCGATCGATTGAACTGATGCCCTGGCTCACACGTGCCCCAGAAGATACGTATGTGCGGGGAGTGACTCACCACCACCAGCTATCCTAACTTTCCGCCTCGTACTAAACACTAAACTAAACCCCCTTACCAACTATGTAAATCAGTGGTCGGCACACACATACCATCACAAGTTTGCCTTGCATTAGTGTGAGTGTAACAAACACGAAGTTTGCGCGCGGCGTGCTGAAGCGAGACGTTTCTCTGCTTTGCACTGAGATCCTCTGCCGCAGCAACAAAAAAGCGCGCCGAAGTTGAGACAAAAATGACCCGAAGACCCATGCCGAAGTCACACGAACATGTACGTTATACGTGAGCGAGCAGAGGATGGGCAGAACACTTCCCTATGCTCACTAGATAGGCCGCTGCCGACCACTGATGTAAATCTATCCTAGAATCTGGAATATACACCGTATACATATAGAATTTAGCCTTGTGTCGCTGTCGCCTGTTCAATGTTGTACTCGTGTGGGAAAGCGTTTGAAAGAACAGATATCTTAACTACATATAACCAAACTTGTTATTTGCAGCCAGCCATTAAGATCCATCCAACCCAGAATACCCAGAACATACGATAAGATAGGCCTAAGCCCAGCCATAAGGCGAAGCCACACAAGCACAAGCACACACCCACCATCCTGTAATTGCTTTTCCCAGTATCCGTAACACTGAGAACCTTTTCAACCATAGGCCTATCCGAGACAGCCATCATGGACGTAATGTCATCATCCCTGCAGCAGCAGCGCGTCGTGGTGGAGCAGCTGCGTCGCGAGGCGGCCATCGACCGCCAGACGATCTCGGAGTCGTGCGCCAAGATGATGAAGTACATCACGGAGCACGAGCAGGAGGACTACCTGCTGACCGGGTTCACCAGCCAGAAGGTGAATCCGTTCCGCGAGAAGTCGTCGTGCACCGTCCTCTAAGGAGGACGTGTCGCAGGTCCGCCGGTGCCAAGGAGTCGAGGAGTCGTGGATTGGCGGCGGACGTTTAGTTTATTTTTAGTTTAGCAAGATGGATTAAGACGCGAATGTGTGTGGAGTACTTTACCAGTACCAGTCAACGCCACCTGGATCAATATATCTGTGTGTAAAAGCCACAACAACTACGATTGTCTAAGCAATATAGTTACAAGTTTGAATTCCAATTGCAAGGAATATATATATTATATAAATCGATATATCAATGTGTACCATTCACGTTAACAAGTATTGTCCGAAATCAGAAACAGACACCCAAATTCAAATCTAAATCGAAGCATTTGTTCCAAAGATATCAGAGTTGTTTCCTACCCGATTAGTAGCGCTGTTAATGTACACGAATATCCCAACTATAACGACAATTAATGCGCTGACTATAGCATCTACTACTCTACCTAAACCGAAACTCTTATATATACAAAACTATCAGCGTAATCCGACATACAAATTTATCAATAAACGTAAACTCAACCGAAACGGAAATACATATATTTTGCCTTCTTATTTCGAGAATAATCTGTTATATTTATTGAAAATTGCGATGATAACAGGACGAGATCGAGATAAAAAAGAAGGAGTACAAGTTTTAGTGAAAATGTATGTATTTTGAAGCTTATTAACCACCAGCGGGTGGATCGCAACCACTAACAGCAAATATACGCAAATATCTTATTGAATTACTTTAAAAGCTTTAACACGAAGCAGAAATGCTACCCACAACAACAAGCTAGTTGAACTTATCGCAATATTTAGTGCGTTTATTATCCAGTTTTTCTTAGTCAAATATATTACGAACGTTGCAGTAACGCAGCAAGAGCATATAATACCAAAGAAATCGAAAGATATATTCAATATTTATCTCTAGCGTAGTTTCTCCATTTTAATTCACTATGGCGTAACAAGCCAATATCCAATTAAAAAAACAGTTGCATAGAACCGATAATTTATTTCAGTCCATTATTCTTGCTATGTGAACCACTCCACCACACAGGTATCCGAAGAATCCGAGAATTGTCAGTTTCTCTAGTTTAACGAAAATGACGATAAGAATGTGTGATTTTTCCCCTCTTATAAGAAAGACACCCCACACAGTCCTACACTCACCCAAACCACTCGAATACCCACACGAATATATTCACATCATGAGTTGAGCGCAATTAATTAAAATGTTATTGGCATGAGAGAAAAGTAACAACCACAAGCAAGTTATTTTTGTACAAACTAACATGGTATAGGGCATACTTGTACGGTATTGGAATGAAAAGTAATGATTATCCTGTTCGGAAAGCACGATGAAATCATCACACACAGTCGTACTTACATGTTGCATTCAAAAATTAAGAATTCTATCGAGACAGACTGTCGGGTTCCCAAACCGGAAACGACATTTTAGTGACGATGGAAAGTATAATTTCATTGATCGGTTCTTCCAATGTTGCATTTAACTAGAATTTTAAATTGGCGGTGATTTTAGTTCGTAAAGATGCAAAATTTAGACAGAGTGCAATAAGAATCACACATTTTTGCAGAGCAGTTTTCTTTTTCAAACATTTTTAAAAGGTTTTGAACCACAGTTTGCTGTCGTGAGCAAACAGCAAAATGTTTTCCAAAATCGACCATCGAAGTTACTTTGGGGGCACCACAAATCGAAACTGCAGTTGGTTTGGGAGCCCATGTTCCTGCTTAAACATTCCGCAAAGAACAGTTTTCGATTTAACGGACACTTCACATGGAGACTTTTTAGTTGTGATTATCAGAAATTTGCCTGGGGACAACCGGACCATCCAATGGAGCACGGATGGGTCGGTCCTGTCCCCAGAGGTGCAATTTTTTTATAACTTAATATATAGGGGGTACTCCGGAAGGAACGAAGAACATCACAAGCACACGTACTCTTAATCATGGTCATCGAACACACTTTAACACGTTTTATTCACTTCAATTGAAAAGCGACAACGAGATCGCATTTTATTCGAAAGTTAATACAAATCTTTTGCGACGCAAACGGGGACGAGTCCTCACAAATATTATTGAAATGTATCTGCGAATAAGCATTTGAAATATGTATTGTACTCAACAAAATGAATAATCGTTTGCTTAAATTTCAAAAATAAAAGACGATAACTAACTTAGAATTGTTATCTAGCGGTGGCACCGGGTTCGGTGCGAAAAAAAATTGTTTGTTTTATTTCAAATCCCCCTGACAGAAATACGGGTTGGTTCAGTTTTCGTAAGTTAAGTTTATTAATACAAGAAACTGGGTGCATGGTTGTGTATGTGGGTGAGTGTGAGAGTGGTTAATGAAATTTATAATTTCCATGGGACTCGTTTATGAAAATACAATGCACTCTTTGTGGGAGCAGGAGAAACTAGTTATAGTAGGCAGTACGAATCACAGAGGAACCGCTTAACTCTCGTCATCGCTGCCGGCAGCCTGTCGCGGCTTGGGACCTCCGGCGCGCTTGGCCATGATGATCTGGTCCACCTTCAAGATGGTTGTGGCCGCGCCCACTGCGTACTTCAGACCCCAGAACTTGGACTGGTACAGATCGAAGAGCTTCGCCTTAGTCGTGTCGATGGTGCTGGCCTTCTCTGCCTCAATGTCGAAGCCGATTGTCTTGCCGGACTCTGAAGTGTGTGCCAAGTACAGCTGGTTGACGATGTCCGTACCGTTGATGCCGGAGTTCTCGGCTAGAGCCTTGGGAAATACTTCCAGGGCGTTGGCGAACTTGCGCACGGCGTACTGGTCCAGTCCCGGCAGAGTATCTGCATAGGCCGACAGCTGGGTGGCCAACTCGATCTCGGTGGCACCAGCTCCGGGCAGATAGCGGCCATCCCGGGTCAGGCACTTGAAGTTGTTAACAGCGTCGTCCAAGGCGCGCTCAATGTCATCCATGAAGTTATCGGTGGCTCCACGAATGACCACGGTGGCAATGCGCGAGTCCTTGCCCTCGTTCCTGAAACGGATAAAGAACAAATTATAGCGGATTCGACTTACTCATTCCTTTGATCAACCCACCTGAAGGCCACAATTGTGGTGTCGCCCAACTCCTCGATGCAGACCTTGTCGCAGTAGCCCAACTCCTCTTGACTGGGAGTAGTGATGCGCGGCAGGACGGTGGCATTCACGGAGCGGCTCAGGCGACGCAGATCGAACTTGGAGTTCAGACGCACGGCCATCAGGCCGTATTTGTTCAGGAAGTGCAGGGCCATGTCGCCGACCTTGCCGCCGGCCACAACCACCTTCACACCGGTGTCGGCAATAGCCTTGATCTGGCTCTCCAGCAGGCTCTCTTCGCCGGAAGAGAAGCTCAGAAGCTCGTCAGCCGACTTGATCAGCACGGTGCCCTTGGTCTCCGTCTGGATGATGTCGACGGGGCAGGAGAAAATCACGATCTTGGCCTTCTCGGCATAGGTTACGTCGCCCTCAACAAACCGCTTGAAGACCATGCCGCGGACCACCTCAGACTTGGTCAGTCCGCTGCCCAGGATCTTGCAGATGCGAATGTTGTCCACGTTGAAGGTGCCCTCATCCGGCAGGATGGAGACGCAGGCCTTGCTCACCAGATCATTGAGGAAGTCCTCCTGACCGTATTGCTTCGACATGATCGAAGTGCGAAGTACATCCTTGACCTTCTCCACGTTGCGGTAGTCCTCGATCTTGTGGCTCACCAAGGTGGGCAGGATCTCCAGGGCCTTCTCCAAAGCCTTCTCATAGCCGTCGGAGATCTCGGCGGTGGTGATGCCCAAACGCAGCAGCTCCTCCGCGGACTCCAGCAGAGCTCCGGCCAGCACCACCACAAAGTTGGTGCCATCGCCCACCTCAGCGTCCTGCATCTGACTGGCCATGACGATCAGCTTGGCGGCCGGATGCTCCACATCCAGCTCCCGCATGATGGTGCCGGCGTCGCTGGTCACGAACTGCTTCTCGATGTGGTTGATGATCATCTTGTTCATGCCATTTGGCCCGTAGGCGGAGCGCATGGTCTGAGCGAACTCCTTGCAGGCGCTGATGTTGCGGTACACCGCCTCCTCAAGCCCGGTGTACATCTAAGGATACCCGGAAAGCCATCAAATTAATAATTTTTCCTTCATATGTGCGGCTGCGTTTCATGAGGATGACTAATCACGAGCCTCACCGAGACGGCATGTTTTCTTTCTTTCGTTTTTCTCAATGAAACCGCCGCCCGACGAACCTTATGCGATGCGATTCCCCCTTGTTGCACTCACCCGGGCGCCATCCTTGAGCATCTGCGACACTCCGGGAGCCTTGGGAACGGATAAAGCCATTTTTGTACACAGATTTCAATTTCACACGGAGTCAGTCGGTAAATTCCAGCTAGAGTTATAACCTCAAAGTGGCCGCGAACATTCTGGATGGGATAGAGATGGGACTGGTCTATCGATTATTATAAACCGTGACTAGGTATTTGTACAAATATATATTTTTAAATTTACAGAATTGGATTAGGTAATACATACATTTTAGATTTAGCATTTATATTACACGAGACAGATAAGAATAAATCCAATGGTATCCAAAGTACAAAGTCACATATTTCGAAAAACATCACCTTTCAGTTAAGTTAAAAGCATCTTTAAAAAATTATATTTCTACTTACGGGTTAGGATATTTTAAATATTATTTAATCGATATTTTTATACAGGGTATAAAAACGTTGGTAGATAATTACTTTTTAGTCGTGACTCGTGCGTGACTCACGGAAAACCGTGCGTGTGCTGGGGATAACACTGGCCACGCGCGCATCTCTAATTCAAAACAAAAAAACCATGTCGCTGGGCAAGAAGCACGTGTTGGGGTTTTCGCCCAATGGTGGCCAACTATTTGCCTCGGTGGACGAGCAGGGCGTCCTGCGGATATGGGACACGGAGACGAACACGCTGAAGCAGGAGTTTACGCCCAATCTGCAGGTGTCCGGGCCATGCACAGCGCTCACGTGGGTCTCGGTGTCTAGTTCCCGGCCCAAGAAGTCGCGGAAGAGCCTTCAGGGATACGATGCAGCCGGTGGACGGCTTCACATTGCGCTGGGAACGCTGAAGGGAGCAGTGGTCATGTACTCTATGGCCGAGGGAAGTGTGAGTAAAAGATACTTTCTCGGAAATAAAGAAACCAAAATGAACCCCCATCCATGCTTGTAGATTGCTCGTACGCTTAGTGGCGATAGCCATGATGGACCAGTCACCTCGATCGTCTACGATAACGCCGGCCAGCTTTACACAGTGGGCGCGGATTGCAGGGTGCTCGTTTGGTCCTTGTCGGAGCAGCAATCCATCGCCGAATGGCAGGTGGGACCGGAAAAGCCGCAGAACATAGCCTATCTGCAGAAAAGTCGCGCCCTGGCCGTCGGCTCACGCCAGCTGAAGGTGTACGATATAGAGACGAAAGAGCTGGTCGAGACCTTCACAGGCCACTCGGGCGAGATAAATGCCATCAGCAGCGTTGCCTGTAAGGATGGCACTGAATTCGTTTTGACCACCGCCAGGATGGAGCGCGTTATCTGCTTCTGGAAGATCGACAAGAAGGGAAAGAACAAGGCTTCTGCGTGCACGCTACTTATGGAGGACTTGGCCTACTGTCTGACCAGCGAAGTGCGCAACGACGGCCAGCTGCGAGTGGCCAGTGTTACCCGCAATGGCAATATACACATTTATCTGCTGAACGCTGACAGGTAAGAATAGTGGCTACAGGGCGTTAGCAGTATTTACAAACCCTTGCTTTCACAGTCTGTCGGCCGAGAAGTTCGTAAAGCCCAAGGTGTCCCTGCAAGTTGTGTCCGATGGAGCTGATACGGTGGAACCCATTGTTGCAATAGCGGCTCATTTTGTGACCGATTCAAATCGCTCACACGAAATCCTCTTTGGCTACGGCAGTCTCCAGCAGCTGCAGTTCGAACGCTTTACACCCAACTATGGCGAGAAACTGAACGTTATCGTACGCGCCGATCCAAAAAAGCTCTATGCGAATAAGAAGGGAAAGGAGCAGCTCGGTTACCAGGCTGCCACCAAGGTCCAGAAGCCCATAGTTAGCCAAAAAACAGTGGAGTACAACAGCGCACTACCCATCTCCCAAAAGAAGGTTCAGAATGAAGTGCCCATGGAGGCTCGCCTGCAACACCTGAAGATCCATGGAACCAAACTGAGCGGCGGCAAGTTGCTGACACAGAGCAAGACGCAGCTGCTAATGCAGGCGTTACACAGCAAGGACCAGGCGTAAGGGCGTTTTCCAATAATAGCAATTGACGTTTACTAACAGGAGTTTGTTTTCAGGATGATACAAGCCGTTCTGAACACGAGGGATACAGAGGCGATACAGCTGACGCTAGACCGGCTGCCACTCGAATACGTGAGTCCCCTGGTGAACGAACTATCCATCCTGCTGCAAGGACAGCACTCCAAGTGAGTCTCTTAAAAAAAGTAATAATAGATAGTTCCAGAACATTTGTTAACATGTCGCCTTTTAAATCCAGAGTCAGATCCGCTCTGCGCTGGCTGCGCGTTTTGGCTTCCACCCACACGAGTGTTCTGATGTCCGACGACAAGGAGGCGCTGCGCGAGAAACTGAGCATTTGTCTCGGGGTGGCGGAGCAGCGAATGAATTGCCTGTCGGAAGCCTTACAGTAAGTACAGTTTGGGGAACTTCAAGGACAACAAAATAAGAGTTTTTAATGGTGAATGGTAAGTCAACCATCGGACTTCTTGGCATGCTTAGACTTGATATTATGCTTAGGCTTCTCAATGGTGCCGTGACGGCACTCTGAGATGGCAGCGAAGAAAGTCAACTTGGTGTGTAGGATGGTGTCTATGAAGAAGCGCTGGAAGGAGAATGAGTTAAGGCAGCGTTCGCCCAAACCGTAGTATAGCGTGTTGAAGCCCTCAAATCGGTAGGTGATCATCACCGGATAGTGCCGCAGTAGAACCTTGGACACGGTTATGATGAACCGCACCTTGGCAACGGCCAGAGGATTGGGACAACGGTGAGTTGGCCTGGAGAAATGGGCATCCACAAATAGGATTGTCCCTTTAATTGGAACCTCGTGGCGAATGGGATTGCTGATTACGACACACTTGGTGTCGGGCGACAGCTCCCAGCGGCTGACGAAATCCCTAATGTCGGCGATGGCGTTGGAGTACTCGAAATCCCCGATGGTCAGCATCTTGCGCGTCAAGCCACTGGACCCAGAGTCCAGCGAAACGCCGAGGAATCCTGTGTAATGATTTGTAATTGAGGTATCGTCCTCTCCGTTGGCCACGGCGGCGTCGGTGTACCCAGAGGAGACCAAGCTGACCGATGACAGTTTCCCCTTTTTCGGGAATTTGTAACAAAAGAGACCGCGGGGATCCGACTTGATTATGGCCAGTGCTTCGCAGATAGTTCCTTCGACCAGGTCGACGATGCACTGCATATCAGCGTCATCGCAGATCGGTTTGTTGCACAGGTTGATAAAACTGGCGATGCTGGGTATATTGGCAATGGGCAGGGCACTTCCTGGTCCGATGGCTGGGGCGTTTAGGTTTTGATTTGATGTTTTAATGTAATGGGAACTCGTGGAGTGGTCATTATAGCTGACACCATCGGTGCACAATAGGTCCATTTCGGGAAGCTGTACACAACACAATTTTGCAATGAGATCGGTGTATTTTGTATATGGATATTTTCTATTAGCTTTATAAAGTCAAATTTAAAATGCCTTCTTTTCAGAATAACGGGGCGAGTAAATCTGATAATCAGCCAGATGAAGCGCAATGCGGACAACCATTTGAACGATGGAAACGCCTTAGTATTGGACGAGTACCCAGGTGAGCCACCAATAGATTCTTGTGCAAGATTCGAAGAACAAATCCAACTGTTTGCAGACGAGCCAATTGATGCTCCCGAAGATACGCTGTTAGCTGAAAACAACTGGAGCGACCTGGAGGACCAGCAAGGCAGCTCGAAGAGTATTTCGGACGATGAGCTGGTGGCAGACGACGATCTGGCGACCGACGATCTTAACGCAGACACAGACTCCGATGAACCAATGGATTAGTCAGCCTCCCCCTAGATTAAGTTTAAATGCAATTCCTTGGTCGTCGTCAGCTAAACATTAAACAATTGTTTTCCAAACACAGTTTTCTACACCGAATTCATCAATTTTTATTTGTGGTTTTAAACTACGTGCAACAACGAATAGGGTGAGCCATCTGTTGGTCTAATTCCGACATGAGATTTTATCGATACACAAGCAAACAAACAATTCCAATTCATAAATACAGTTGAATAATGTGCCAATAACAGGGGGTTTGTAGCTCGAGTATACATAAGCAGCGGCTACTCAATAACGGCTCAGAAACTACTAACAATTAGAGCATTTGTGTCAACATTTCATTTTAATTTGCAACAAATAGCCAGACATGATTACTTCCAATTGGCTTTGATGAAGTTAATTAAACCGTTCGTGGAACTGTCGTGCGTAGAGACCTCGTTGCAGTGATCCAGCTCCGGCTCGATGGCCTTGGCCAGCTGCTTGCCCAGCTCAACACCCCACTGGTCGAACGAGTTGATGTCCCAAATGATGCCCTGCACGAAGATCTTGTGCTCGTAGAGCGCTAAAAAATCAATTGATATCAATAAGTGCTCGTGAGCTTGACTAGTCAGACGTACCAATTAATGCGCCCAGGGTGAAAGGTGAGACCTTCTTCACTACAATAGAGTTTGTCGGCCGGTTGCCAACGAACACCTTGTGGGGCAGCAAGTTATCTAGCTCGTTGCCGCACAGTCCAGCCTTGGTGAGCTCAGCCCGAGCCTCGTCAACCGTCTTTCCGGCCATGAGTGCCTCCGTCTGGGCAAGGAAATTAGACAGCAGAATCTTGTGGTGTTTGCCACCGGCAATGGGATTGTGCGTTTGGGCGGGGGCAATGAAGTCGCAGGGGATCAGGCGGGTGCCCTGGTGGATGAGTTGGTAGAAGGCGTGCTGGCCGTTGGTGCCTGGCTCGCCCCACACGATCGGACCTGTGCTGTAGTTGACGGCCTTGCCCGCCTTGCTGACGAACTTTCCGTTGCTCTCCATATCACCCTGCTGGAAATAGGCGGCAAAACGGTGCAAGTACTGATCGTAGGGCAGCAAGGCGTGTGTTTCCGCCTTGAAGAAGTTGGAGTACCAAACTCCGAGTAGGGCCAGGACCACAGGAGCCTAACAAGCAAACAGAATGGTTAACAACAAGAGCATTAGAAACACACTACATTAGATCTTACATTTTTCTCGAACGGCGTCGACCTGAAATGGTTATCCATGTAATGGGCTCCATCCAGGAGCTGCTCGAAGTTCTCGAAGCCAATGGACAGACAGATGGAGAGTCCAATGGCCGACCACAGGGAGTAACGTCCTCCAACCCAATCCCAGAAACCGAACATGTTGGCGCTGTCAATGCCGAATTCGGTGACCTTTTCCTTGTTGGTCGAAAGGGCAACAAAATGCTTGGCTACGGACTCAGGCTGGAAAGAAAAATATAAATATTAATATAGGTCAGACAAAGGCTAATTTTGGTTGGGGATTTAAGTATGATTCGATCACAGAAAAGTCAATATGAATACAAATTACTGTTGGTAATTGTTAAATGTTTCAAAATATTCTAAAATGAGTCAAATCATTGTGGCGTCTGCCAATAACTTAATTTGAGCAGTATTTGATATATTTTTGAAAATGGGGTTGATCAATAACCGAGGTTTATACATATATGGATCAAAGGAATGAGAAATTAATATAATTTCGGATATAAAACAAAAAATAAGAAATAATCTATTATGACTAATAACAAGTCTCTTTTGAGACCGAATTCTGTGAGTCAGTTAGATGCTTTGAATTATTCTGTAAAAATGTTTCACATTCAGAATTTTATCAAAGTTATATTAAAAAAAAAGTTTTTTCCTATCATAAAAAAAAAATTTGAAAAAAAAACTTGCTGCCACTAGTCGGTTTTTATCTACTGATGATAATGGTAATTGAATAATATATATATAATATACAATATGTAAAATTTCCAAACTATTGTAATTTAAATAATACTATTGTGTAACAAAGCTTGGTAAATAATATTTTAAAAGAGGACCGGTGATTTAAAATGTTAAACATATCATACCAATAGAAAAACCTTGAAACATTACATCACATCATATAATTTTTCGTTTTAGTTGAATTATCTTCAACCAAAACATTATCAGTTATTAGATTAAATGCTTGTCCATTCGGGCGACTTACCTCCTTGGAATGCTCGAGGAGCCAGGTCTTGGCGGAGGTGGCGTTCGTGATGGTCTCCTGGGTGGTGAAAGTCTTTGAGGCGACGATGAAGAGGGTAGTCTCGTAGTTAACCTTCTTGAGCACCTCGGCTAGGTGGGTGCCGTCAATGTTGGAGACAAAGTGGGAGTGGAGGCCCTTGCCGTACGGCTTCAATGCCTCGGTGACCATCAGCGGTCCCAGGTCGGAGCCACCGATACCGATGTTCACCACGTCGGTGATCTGTTTGCCGGTGCAGCCGCGCCAAACGCCCGAGATGACCATGTTGGTAAACTCCTTCATGTGGGTAAGCTCCGCACGGACGTCGGGCATCACATCCTTGTCGTCCACCACGACGGGGTCCGTGCCGCGGTTGCGAAGGGCCGTGTGCAGGACGGCGCGGTTCTCGGTGATGTTGATGTGTTGGCCGGAGAACATGGCGTCCCGGGCGGCGTCCACGCGGCGTACCTTGGCCAGGGCGAGGAGCAAGTCCCACACCTCGTCGTTGATACGGTTCTTCGAGTAATCCAGCAGTATCTCCCCATCGTTCTGGGTGTGCAGGCGAAGGCTGATAAACAAACGAAAATCATTTGACCTCAGAGCAAGTACGAGGCGGAGGTCGTTGCTGTGACCTTATGCAAGGACAAATCGAGTAGCGACGACACTCGAGAGCCGATGGTGAAAGTGAGAGTGGGCGAAACTCGATGAATAAACGATGGGGGATACACAAACGAGTGTACATACATATGGCTACATACGTAACTCTACGTAACTCGGCTTCGAAATCCCTAGATTTCTTTAAAAACCCACCTGTATTTGGAGAACCTCTTCGGGTCCTTCACGAACAGGTCCTTGATGTTCAGGTCCTTGCCCTGCTTATCGTAGTATTCCTGCAGCTTCTGGAAGGTTGGCTCCTGGTTCAGTGGAGGAAGTGCGCCGGCCATCTTACTTTAGTTTTCCCAATGGTAGGAACAAAAATGAAGGAACAGGAGGTGGATGCGGAGTAGAAGGAGGTAGTAGGTGGACTCGTTAGATTGCGGGTGGATTTCGAAGTGTATGGAAAAGAGCGAACTGGTGAACTGCTTTGGCCACTCGCGACACTTCACTTATAAGCGCGGACTCTGCTGCTTAGTCGTCCGGTAGATGGTTTTATCTGGCTCCGGCAAATCTCCAGAACACCGCGCCACAACTTCGCCGTGTTTGCTATTGATAGGTACTGAGCGGCTGCCGATTTTCCAACGTCCTTTCTGGAATTCGCGAGCACCTTTCAATGTCAAATGAAAAACAAGCGAGTGTTGCCACGTCGGCCGCGTTCTTGTTTTGCGTGGCCGATCGAATCGGAGTTGCTGCAAATTTACTGTGTGGGCCGAGTTGATTTGACCTAAGGGCTCCCTGCTCCTAGATGTTCTCCACAGATCGAACAAAAGACATTAAATAGAATTTTCAAAACAAAATTACCGCCGGTAGCACCATACTTTTCCGCTGATGTGGCAACGCCCTGTGATAAGGGTTGTCAGGTGCCAACAACTATCGTATAACCAACAACAACAATATTTATTGTTATATTACAATTCACACACGTTTCAGTTCTGAAAAGCGACCGGATTCCGCAGCAATTACTTTTTTCCATAAGAAGTTCATGTGCTAGACCTTGTTTTTACTAAATTGTATTGGTACTCAGTGTTTTTAAGCTTTTATGGATATTCCGATTTGGTGAAATATCGATAAAAATTCGATGATGCCACCTCGACACCTTAAATATTTAAGCGCTCTTTTTAAAGTTACCGTTGGAGGGGAAACTTTTTGATAGGATGGATTATGCTGAATTTATAGAATTTATGTTGTTTAAAATGATAATAAGCAAGTGGATTGTGTCCCAAGTTATCAACCGATTCTTAAATTAACCGTTTTTTAATTAGATGCTTAAATCTTCAGTGTAGTTCACAGCTTCATTTTTGTTCCAAGTCTCCCATTTCACGTTTTTTTGGGTTCTGATTAAGAGAAAATAGCCGCGAATTTAATAGATTTCAAAAGAAGCCTAACTTAAAAAATCTTTAATGTAGGTTAAACTTTTAAAACATCGCACTATCCCCCACAATTATGGCGTTCATTATTTTTGACTTCTCGATATGATGCTTATACCCGTTACTTGTAGGGTATTATTTGTTGTGCAGCTACACAGATAGAAAGCATTATTTTAATATTTTGAGGGGAATTTAAAAACCAAAAAAACTTAAGTTTAGAATATATTAAAGAATATACCCCATAAAGAATAAATAATCTTGATCAGCATCACTAGACGAGTCGATCTAGCCATGTCCGTCTGTCCGTCCGTTTCTACGCAAACTAGTCTCTCAGTTTTAAAGCTATCGGGCTGAAACTTTCCCAAAAGTCTTATATCTTTTGCAGGTAGTATATAAGTCGGAACCAGACGGATCGAACCACTATATCTTATAGCTCCCATAGGAATAACAGAAAAAAAATTTTTTAAAATTATATCTTTGGTGTTTTTTAATATATAACCTCCTAAGCTCAGAACTAAAATTTTTTAATTAGCTTTGAGTTTCGAATTACAATAAATTTTATCAAAATCGGACGACTATATCATATAGCTGCCATAGGAACGATTGGAAAATTGGTGAGAAAATAATATGTAACAAATTATAGCTTCGGTGTTCTTTAACACATAACCTCCTACACATATCCTCCTAACCTGCCATAGGAACGATCGGAAAATTGGTGGGAAAATAATATGAAACAAATTATAGCTTCGGTGTTTTCTGACATATTATCTTATACTATTGGGAATATAATTTGTTGTATTTTTAATTTAAATAATTACAACTGCAAGGGTATACAAGCTTCGGCTTGCCGAAGCTAACTTCTTTTCTTGTTTAGAGGTGAAGTTAAAAATTATATTATTTAACTTTACATATTCTTCTTCGAAGTTTTTATGGACCTTAGTTAAGTCTATTATATTTCTTCCAACCAAAATATTATATTTTGTTGAATAATCATGGATTAAATGTTTTAATTTTCCCGGTTTTCCAGTTATAGGTTTGGCGTTTATTTCTCGTACAGTACCCAAAATTACTTTTCCTATCATTGTAAATATTACTTTGGGGCTTGTTTCATGCCACGGAAGAGTACTTAACATATCTGGCCTTATTTGACTATTACTAGATCCTGTATCCACGAGACATTAACACTTTTGTTTACTTATTTGTATGCAAATTGTGGAATTCTTTGATCGACCGAGGCTCCTAAAGAAAATTTTCGTTTGTGTCCATCGCTTCGACTCGCTTGTATTGACTAGAATCTGACATACGTTTTCTTTTCTGATTCTGAATTTCGAAAGACCTATAATTGGTTAAATTGGCTTGTTGTTGAATTTTTCTGTTATCATAATTGTTTTGGAACCTGTTGTAGTCAAATCTATCGATTCTACTTTTCCTTTGACTTGCTGATTAATCTGTGGATATGGATGACTATTATTTATATTTTGAATCGGATTCTGAAACAATGGATTAAAGCAATTTTGGTTTTGCATAAGTGGGGGCTGGTAGTCAAAATTAGGAAGTTTTTAAGTGTTGTTATAATCTCTCTTATTTGTTATTATAATTTTCATATATTCCCAGTTCTTGACCAACACGTCTTAATTAACTTGGGATACTAACAACAAATCTACACACTGACATAGTCTGGTAATTCTTTTCGAATAATTTCACAAATTGCTGAGTTCATTGCTTCGGTGAACAGGTATATATTATTTATACTACCATCTTTGTGTAATTTATTACAAATAATGGATAATTTCCAATGATGAGGTTCTCAAGGGTTCCTCAAATAATGCTGAGCTGGACTGGGTTATTGGTTGCTCGACTCTTTTGATGAAAAGGTCCAGGTAGAGGACGTGTTAAGCATTGGGATAACGCTTGATCCGAAAGGACACGTTCTCCTGCCACCCTGTGCTGTTCTTATTCGCAATTTAGACTTTTACTCAGATGGATGGTTTTTGTTTTAAATTTTGTTTGCGAATTTTTCGTTCGTCGTGCGTTGTAAATCAACGTGTTCGGGATCTGTTCACGAGGCTTTTTTGCGGGTTGGATTTTTTTTTTCAGACCGCATCGACTGCGCCAATTATATGTGGTTAGTTTAACTAATTATTTAATTTAATTTATTTTTAAATTTGTTTTATTTCATTTTATTAGAAGTTTTCCTTCTATGTAATTTTTTGGACAGAGTTTTATTATACGTTCTATTTTCGTTGACGTTGACTTTGGAACTGAACTTAAATTTAAAACTTATAAAGATAAACAGCATAATTCCACTTCAGTATTGGAAAGTAAGTGTTTTTTAATTTGTTTTGAGTTTTGCTAATATCTATTTTTATTCAGATGGAGAATGAAAGTATGATGGCCCTAGAAAAGATCGCAACGTAAATATGTGATAAAATAATATCAAAGAAATGTTTCCTGATCTCAGATCTCTAATATTATATTCAAAATAAAAAACTTAACATAAAATTAAATAAATACTTCCCTAAACATATCAGCTCCAAGAACATCTTTTATTTTGAAGAAAATGTTCCTTGGAACTTATATTAAATCGCCTAGGACGGGTCGATTTATATGGGACCGATAAAATTAACAGCAAGAGAGAAAGTGCCTCGACTTTCCGATACTTATTACTTAGCTAAATGGGGAAAAATTGAGATGGAGATATACAAGCAGCAAAGCGAGATTGTAAAGCGCCACCTACACGCGATTTCAGTATTTGGTAATGTCGACGGCAGACAGAATTAAGCGTAAAGCGTAAGTAAGTGAATGACCCTCGTTATGCAACCAACGTTAAAGAAGTCTCAGACTTTTCATTTAAATTAAAAGGTCCTGTTTTTTTGAATCGGATATACATATGTACGCATATCAATTTTATTTTAGGCAACGTCTTCTTTATTTTAATTTTTCCATTAAAAACAAAAGCCAATGACAAGAATAGAAAGTTGGCTTTTATGTAAACGTCAATTTCCTAAAACGACTTTAAAAAAAGGAGCGTTCACAACTCTAGTCCGTCAACTTGGCAAGGTTAAAAAGTGTATACGTTTGCTGATTTTTTTTGTACAAATAGTTGTCTTTTCAGACTGAGGAATCCTGCGCTGAGCCATGGGTCAGATCGTAAGCTCCATGCATATGAACGCAGCGGAGGTTTTAAGCAATCGGCGGAAACGGAAGCGAAGCACGGACTCCTCGCTGGTCAAGGATGAGCAGACCCAGCTGGACACCACGCAACCCAAGATGTAAGTGGTTAATTTTTTTAGGACCAACCATTACGTATCCTCCCCAGGAGGAAAAAGCTTCTTACCACCACACATTACATATACAAGACACTCTTTAAGGAGGAAAAAAACTCTGATGTGGCTGTCAAGGCTCTGGATAAAGTGTGGCACCTGCACAAGGTCTACCTGAGCCAGAGTCCCTACTTCTACAGAATGTTCAACGGGAGTTGGCAGGAGGCGCAACCGAACTTTATTGAGATCACGATCCTAGACAAACAGATAACCGTTGCCAGCCTGGACGCCGTCTTTGGATCTATGTACTCCGATGAGATCCAGATTATGTTAGCGGACGTGATCTCGGTGCTGGCCACGGCCAAGCTCTTCCACTTGGACGGGATCATCGACAAGTGTGCCGCGGTGATGGTGGACGACATCAGCCCGGAGACGGCCATCCACTACTACGATCTCGCCTTCCAATACGGTGTGGGTGCTTTAAAGAAGTCCACCTTCGAGTGGTTTCAGATTAACCTGCCAGGCATCTACAGTAAGCAGCCGAGTCTGTTGCGGCACATCTCTATCGACCTGATGAGTGCGCTGACCGCCAGCCCCGATTTGTATTTGATGCCGACGGAGTTCGCGCTATACAAATTACTGCGCACCTGGATGTTCCTGTGCCTGCATCCCGACTACGATCCAGAGGACCGCGTGCAGCGGGCGGATGCGGTGGGGGCGCAGGAGCTCTTGGTCAATGCCGGCGTGGAAACGCACAGCGGAGATGTCATCCAGTGGGCATACTTCACCAGGGGCACGAAGGAGCGCTCGTTCCTGGCAACACCCGAGGGGCAGCCGTATATTAAGGTCTTCCAAAAGCTTCGAACCCAGTACCTGACCATTCAATACATAAACCTTAAAATCATCTTCAATGATAACATCATACCCAAGGAGTGGCTTTACAGGCACATCCACAACCATTGGGACGCCCTACTGCGGATCGATCACGGTCAAGAGGATTCGTGAGTATTTTTAAGAGTTTGCTTGTGCAAGGAAAAGATTTTCATAATTAAAATCTGTATTGTGATCCGCACCCACAGCATTCCCCAGCAGCTGAACGACGAGCAATTCTTTGAGAGTTGCATGCGATGTGGACGTATGTTGCTTGAGCCTGGCTTTCACATGTGGCGATGGTCGGGCTTCAACTACGGCATGGAGCTTATACTGCTAATGGACAACAACACCCGCAGTCTGAACATTCGTCGTAATCATCAAGGCTTCGACCGGGTGCTCAGCCTGCACCCGAAGCGCAAGTTAATGGTGCGCACCACAGTGACCTCGGTTAACGCCCGGCGACAGCCAGTCTTCACTCAGACGTCTGGGATCTGTTCCATAAGCCTCCAGAAGGACGAGGATGTACCGCTGATGGTGCTTGACCCGAAGCTGGTACACCCATTGCTTATTTCTGTTAATATGCTGGTGGCGATGCCGCCGAATCCGTTCCTTAAGGATATTGTGCCGCTCAGCGAGGAGGCGACATCGTCGTTGTCAATACCCAATTTATAGATCGAAGCGAACAGCGGAAGTCTCCATTGGCGACTCGGAGCCCCTCAGTGCCATCCTCGTTGGCTCCGCGACCAAGGATCGTTAGCTGAGCACGATCATCGAAGGAGTCGACCATTACCAGTACAACCATTACCACCATTTTTTGTTCATTTACTCGCTGCGGCCGGCTTCGTTGTTCTAATCGTAAATCCGGTTTTTTATCAATCTTATCAAGACGTTTGTACTTGTAATTAACAAAAACATATACGGGATCGTGTTTGTATACGCAAATATATATTTTTGTATATCGTTTACATCATTAGTATTTTGTAATAATTATACCCGTTACTCGTAGAGTAAAAGGGTATACTAGATTCGTCGGAAAGTATGTAACAGGCAGAAGGAAGCGTTTCCGACCCCATAAAGTATATATATTCTTGATCAGGATCACTAGCCGAGTCGATCTAGCCATGTCCGTCTGTCCGTCTGTCTGTCCGGATGAACGCTGAGATCTCGGAAACTATGAGAGCTAGGCTATTGAGATTTGGCGTACAGATTCCTGAGCTTCTTACGCAGCGCAAGTTTGTTTTAGTAGACTGCCACGCCCACTCTAACGCCCACAAACCGCCCAAAACTGTAACTCCAACAGTTTTGATGCTAGATAAAAAATTTTAACTGAAATGTTCTCATCAATACCTATCGATTGACCTAAAAAAAAGTTTGCCACGCCCACTTAAACGCCCACAAACCGCGAAAACCTGTGACGCCCACAATTTGCATGCTACATAAAAAATTTTAACTTAAATGTATTGGTATCGTCAATACCTATCGATTTATCCAAAAATAAATTTGCCACGCCCACTCTAACGCCCATAACGCTTAAATCTGTCTACCGCCGGTAGGTGGCGCATTTTAATCTCGCTTTGCTGCTTGCATATCTCCATTTAGCTGAGTAACGGGTATCTGATAGTCGAGGTACTCGACTATAGCGTTCTTCCTTGTTGTATATCGTTTACATCATTAGTATTTTGTAATAATAATACCCGTTACTCGTAGAGTAAAAGGGTATACTAGATTCGTCGGAAAGTATGTAACAGGCAGAAGGAAGCGTTTCCGACCCCATAAAGTATATATGTTCTTGATCAGGATCACTAGCCGAGTCGATCTAGCCATGTCCGTCTGTCCGTCTGTCCGGATGAACGCTGAGATCTCGGAAACTATGGGAGCTAGGCTATTGAGATTTGGCGTGCAGATTCCTGAGCTTCCTACGCAGCGCAAGTTTGTTTCAGTAGACTGCCACGCCCACTGTAACGCCCACAAACCGCCCAAAACTGTGGCCCCTACAGTTTTGATGCTAGATAGAAAATTTTAACTGAAATGTAATGTTCTCATCAATACCTATCGATTGACCCAAAAAAAAGTTTGCCACGCCCACTTTAACGCCCACAAACCGCAAAACCCTGTGACGCCCACAATTTTCATGCTAGATAAAAAATTTTAACTGAAATGTATTGGTCTCGTCAATACCTATCGATTGATCCAAAAAAAAATTTGCCACGCCCACTCTAACGCCCATAACGCTTAAATCTGTATACCGCCGGTAGGTGGCGCATTTTAATCTCGCTTTGCTGCTTGCATATCTCCATTTAGCTGAGTAACGGGTATCTGATAGTCGAGGTACTCGACTATAGCGTTCTCCCTTGTTTTTATTGTTATCTTGTTAAGGGTAGACGAACCTACATACGTACATATTCAGGTACTGCATTTAGTTCGCATATTCGGAGTTTTATGATTGTAGCGTTTAAGTAAAAAGAAACGGGGCAAAGAAACTATGATTTAAGCGTCTTCGAATCCTGGAAGTTCAATGTCTTACACAGCCTTACTTGCTAGATGTACGCCCAGCATAGTTGTGACTGTAAGCCATAGCATTGTTATACCCTTGCAGAGGGTATTATGATTTCAGTCAGAAGTTTGCAACGCAGTGAAGGAGACGTTTCCGACCCCATAAGGTATATATATTCTTGATCAGCATCACTAGACGAGTCGATCTAGCCATGTCCGTCTGTCCGTATAACCGCTGAGATCTCGGAAACTTTAGGAGCTACAATACTGGGATTACGCATGCAGATTCCTGAGATTCCTGCGCAGCGCCCACACACCGCCCAAAACTGTGGCTCCTACAGTTTTGATGCTAGAATAGAAATTTTAACTGAAATGTAACAACAAATGTAACAATACATATCGATTGACACAAAAAAAAGTTTGCCACGCCCACTTTAACGCCCACAAACCGCCAAAAAACTTCAAAAAATCGTAAATATGAACGTGGATATCTCAGAAACTATCAAAGATAGAGAAATGCGATCTCAGATTTAATTTCCGTAGCCTTGTACGCAGCGCAAATTTGTTTCGCGAATATGCCTCGCCCACTCTAACGCGCACAAACCGCCCAAGCCTGTGGCGCCTACAAATTTCATGCTAGATAAAAATTTTTAACTAAAAGTATTGGTCTCATCAATACCTATCGACTGATTCAAAAAAAAGTTTGCCACGCCCACTTTAACGCGCATAACGCTTAAATCTGTCTACCGCCCACATAACCATATATTCAGGGTATACCCTAAACCAGTGGTCGGCAGCGGCCTATCTAGTGAGCATAGGGAAGTGTTCTGCCCATCCTCTGCTCGCTCACGTATAACGTACATGTTCGTGTGATTTCGGCATGGGTCTTCGGGTCATTTTTTTCTCAACTTCGGCTCGCTTTTTTGTTGCTGCGGCAGAGGATCTCAGTGCAAAGCAGAGAAACGTCTCGCTTCAGCACGCCGCGCGCAAACTTCGTGTTTGTTACACTCACACTAATGCAAGGCAAACTTGTGATGGTATGTGTGTGCCGACCACTGCCCTAAACTGTTGAATTGCTGAGTTGTTGAAATTTGGTCAGCTGTTAATCAGCTGTTCCATACAAAGTCAACTTTCAGAAATTCAACAGCCTCGGGGCTGTTGAAAATTTTGTTAAACTGCTGAAAACTAGAGTTGTCGCTGTTCTTGACTAAAAGTTAGTGGGTAACTCTAGTCACGTAAATCTGGAGGAATTGCCATCGTATAAAATATGCAAATAAAGGATATCTGATAGGATGCTGCCTGTTAGCAGTTCTAATAGTTTAGTTCGTCGTTCCCTTAATTGCTGAAAGTTTCTGTTGAATTTTCAACAATTCAGCAATTCAACAGTTTAGGGAATACCCTGATTGAGATCACGGGTAGGTGGCGCATTTCAATCTCGCTTTCCTGCTTGCATATCTCCATTTCCCTTTGGTCCCATAGCCTGAGTAACGGGTATCTGATAGTCATATATATATATAGCGTTCTTCTTTGTTTTTTCTTATTTCTTTGGTGATTTTTAACATATAACCTTCTACGCTTGAAAATAACATTTTTTAATTTGTTCTGAATTTCGAATTTAATTTTATCAAAATCGGACGATTATATAATGTAGCTGCCATAAGAATGGAATACTCGATAGGTTAACTGAGTTAGGGCATTTAATTTTTTTTCATATTTTCAACCAGCCCACCTGAATGACAGTATGACCGTGCTATACGTATTGCTGATGAACTGTGAAAGCTTCGGAAACACACACAAATAATACGATTTTTCGACCACTAGCTGTTTTCCAAACTGAATACTGATTCTAAGTTTGGTTTAGTTATTTGCAAGTAAAATCCTTTCAACTTTTGTTGCGCTTAGACTTTGACCAAGAAAAAGAACAAATGTTGTAGACCAGTGGTCGGCAGCGGCCTATCTAGTGAGCATAGGGAAGTGTTCTGCCCATCCTCTGCTCGCTCACGTATAACGTACATGTTCGTGTGACTTCGGCATGGGTCTTCGGGTCATTTTTTTCTCAACTTCGGCTCGCTTTTTTGTTGCTGCGGCAGAGGATCTCAGTGCAAAGCAGAGAAACGTCTCGCTTCAGCACGCCGCGCGCAAACTTCGTGTTTGTTACACTCACACTAATGCAAGGCAAACTTGTGATGGTATGTGTGTGCCGACCACTGCCCTAAACTGTTGAATTGCTGAGTTGTTGAAATTTGGTCAGCTGTTAATCAGCTGTTCCATACAAAGTCAACTTTCAGAAATTCAACAGCCTCGGGGCTGTTGAAAATTTTGTTAAACTGCTGAAAACTAGAGTTGTCGCTGTTCTTGACTAAAAGTTAGTGGGTAACTCTAGTCACGTAAATCTGGAGGAATTGCCATCGTATAAAATATGCAAATAAAGGATATCTGATAGGATGCTGCCTGTTAGCAGTTCTAATAGTTTAGTTCGTCGTTCCCTTAATTGCTGAAAGTTTCTGTTGAATTTTCAACAATTCAGCAATTCAACAGTTTAGGGAATACCCTGATTGAGATCACGGGTAGGTGGCGCATTTCAATCTCGCTTTCCTGCTTGCATATCTCCATTTCCCTTTGGTCCCATAGCCTGAGTAACGGGTATCTGATAGTCATATATATATATAGCGTTCTTCTTTGTTTTTTCTTATTTCTTTGGTGATTTTTAACATATAACCTTCTACGCTTGAAAATAACATTTTTTAATTTGTTCTGAATTTCGAATTTAATTTTATCAAAATCGGACGATTATATAATGTAGCTGCCATAAGAATGGAATACTCGATAGGTTAACTGAGTTAGGGCATTTAATTTTTTTTCATATTTTCAACCAGCCCACCTGAATGACAGTATGACCGTGCTATACGTATTGCTGATGAACTGTGAAAGCTTCGGAAACACACACAAATAATACGATTTTTCGACCACTAGCTGTTTTCCAAACTGAATACTGATTCTAAGTTTGGTTTAGTTATTTGCAAGTAAAATCCTTTCAACTTTTGTTGCGCTTAGACTTTGACCAAGAAAAAGAACAAATGTTGTAGACCAGTGGTCGGCAGCGGCCTATCTAGTGAGCATAGGGAAGTGTTCTGCCCATCCTCTGCTCGCTCACGTATAACGTACATGTTCGTGTGACTTCGGCATGGGTCTTCGGGTCATTTTTTTCTCAACTTCGGCTCGCTTTTTTGTTGCTGCGGCAGAGGATCTCAGTGCGAAGCAGAGAAACGTCTCGCTTCAGCACGCCGCGCGCAAACTTCGTGTTTGTTACACTCACACTAATGCAAGGCAAACTTGTGATGGTATGTGTGTGCCGACCACTGTTGTAGACCAATGTTGGTTCTTAAATTATTATTCACGTTTTTGAACTTGGACGTAAAATTATTCTGACGAAAAATGAATAAGCACGTAGCAAAGGTTCAAACCTAGTGGTGAACTATGATATAAATTTACCGCTAACGCCAGTACTAACAACAATTAGGCAACTCTCCGAGAGTAGGGTTACCAGGTGGCTGAAATTCGCTAAAAGATGGCGACGCGCACTTAATTTTTGTTTTTTCCCACATAATAAAGTGTAATGAAACCAAAATAAAAGCAGCGCCAGTAAAACAATCAGAGGCTGTTTAAAAGGGAAAAAAGAAGTACCCACCTAAACGCTTTGCCAGGGCCCAAAACGAAGCGCGAGTGGAGTGAAACTAATACAAACATTGACATGTCGCTGGCCCGAAGAGAGCAACAAGTGTGTGAAAATCGAATTGTGGCCGTTTAAAATGTTTGGAGGAGCAGTCGGTGCGTCTGGTGGCTGCTAGAAGGCCATCACCCGCTCCAGGAAAAAAGACTATCATAGGAACGCCCGAAAATCTACCCAAGAAGCCAGGCAGCAGCGTCTGCACACGTAACCTTGTGTGCGCGTAGCACGGAAGCTGTTTGTCGGAATCGGTATAGGTACATATATAGGTATGTGGCTGAGAGCCGCCGCTTAGATTCGCTGCTCAACCGGACATTTCGCTTGCAGTTCAGTTGGTCCCGGTCGCGGGTTATTCCCAGTACGTCGGGTACGTCACCGAGGAGAATGGACACCACATCCGCAGCCGGATCTGGAGTCGGATCGGGCGACGTCTGTCCCTGCTCCACGGTCGCCGCCTCCACCGCCTCCAATGAGCAGCCTCAGACCAAGCGCCAAAAGATCGAGCAGCAGATCAAGGTGGGTTCCAAAGCGATGCCGCCTCAACCGCCGGACATTCTGGATCTGGACGCCAACAGCAACAGCCACCTGTGCTCCTCGCTCTCTTCGTCCTCCACGCACTCGCTGTCCACGCCCAGCAGCGCCAACAACTCGCCCACCACTACGCCAAGCAGCTCCCGAGCGGCGTCCTACGCCCAGTTGCTGCACAATATCTTGCCACAAAACGGGGACACAGAGCCACACAGCCAACCGCAATCCGCCCAGGATGAGGTAGACCGGGCGGCCAAATTGCCTGACCTGCTGTCCCTCAGCACGACTAACAGCAATAGCAGCCACCTGAGCAGCAGGAGTAACTGCATTCCCACGACAGCAGCGACATCCATTGACGACATGCTGGAGTTCGAGCAGTCCCTGACCCGCCAGTGCCTGTGCGGGGTCTCTGAGCGAACGCTGCGTAAGCCATTCCAGTCCCATTACTCACAGGACACCAACGGCCAAAAGCGGATAGCCTACCTGCGCGAGTGGCCCACCAATAAGCTGCTGCAGTTCCTGTCCAACCTGCAGCTTCTGTTCGACATCTACCTGAAGCAGAATGCCAAGGGCTTTATCTGCACGCGGATAATGGACGTCTGCGACGCGCTAATTCGCAATGACCACAAGCTCATCGACGAGATCATCGTACTGGCTGGCTACGACAACTCCTACGTGCAATTCCTGGCGGGACGTGTGCTAGCCGCATTCCTGGTGATTGCCAAGCAGGAGCTCAACGACGAGTGGCTGCAGAAGATCGTCGACCAGCTGTTTAACTTTGAGCAGCTCGACCAGGCGGCCGTGCAGAAGATCCACTTCAGCCTGGACATTATAAAGCGCATCGTCGAGTGGAAGGACATGGAGATCCACCCGCTGGACGACGACTGGATGGCGGCGGCGAATAGTGCCAGCGCTGCCTCATCAGTTGTGCCTCTTTCGACGGAGGCTTCCGTAAGCTACATGCACTTTCCCGTGCAGGAGCAGCCGCTGGCCACCAACTACTTTGCGCTTCAGTTTCGCGAGGATACAGAGGGGGATCGGGAGGCGGAGCGGGAATCGCCGGACAATCGCGACCGCCACCGGCGGCACTTCGGCGAGGAGATGAACGTCGCCTACGAACCGCATCCCGCTCCCCAGTCCACAACCATGCCGAGCGGCTGCCATGTGGTCACGCTTACAGACTCGGAGAGCTTTGACACGACGCACCTAAAGTGCATCACCATCCAAAAACTGGAGCACAAGTGGCCTACGCTGGTGAAAAACATGTCAGAACTGATGGCGCCGACGCACCAGGATGCGGCCGAGCACTGTGTGCTCAACTTTCTTCAGCTGTGGGAGAACATCATTTCGGTGAAGGCCAACCTGTCTATCGACGAGACGCGGCCCTATTACGCCCAACTGGACAAGTTGGAGCTGCTGCTCAGCCACAGTCTGTCGTGCACCGTGTACAAGCAGATGTTGTGCCTCTTCAATGAGGCCTTGTGCTATGGCTCCACGCTGGCGCTGCAGGACATGCTGCCCGAGGAGACGTGCAAACTAGCGCACCAGATCGTCTGCCACGTACGTGGCTTCCGCATCTTGGAGTCGTTGCCGCGGCGCCAGCCAGACAACATGGTTAGCCTGATCGGCTACAATGGCAGGCCACTAGTCTATGCCAATGGAACTGTAAGCCTGGCCCATGCGGCTCGATCTGGAGATGGCATTCAGGACGGCGGGGAGGGCGAGGCTTCGCTGGACCTAATAGAGATGGACAAAACGCTGCTTCAAAAGATGGTTCTGTTGGTGCTGAAGTCAATAGCGGTAACGGTAAAGGAGATTCGCAGCGATTCTTCCGACTCCTCCATCGACTCCAGCGACTATGATGCCTTCCAAGACATGATGCTCATAGAGCGATCGATCCGCGATGTGCTGAGCAAGCTGGAGACGTTCATCAAGCAGACGCTAGAGTTCCATCCGGAGTGTCACTTTAGCAAAATCCTGATCCACCTTTTTGACGACCAGGACGACCATCTGATCGAGGCCATGGTCTGCACGCTGGACGTCACGTCGGGCATCTCGTTTCGCAACAATGCTTTTCCAGAGCTGGTGGCCATGCTGAATCCGGTGTACACATTCCTGGAGTTCCTCAAGATGACGTCGAACAGCTCGGACCTGCTGCTGGACCTGCTGGTGAGCAACGAGACCTGCTTTCTGCTCTACCTGCTGCGCCTGCTCAAGTACATCCGCATGAACTGGACGATGTTCGTGCACAGTTGTCACACCTTTGGCATGGGAAGCGCCATGCTGGACGAGGCGATGGGCGTGCTGATCCGTCTGCGCTTGCAAATATCCCGCCTGGTGTCGCGTCAGCTGTATCCCTACGACATTTCGCCGGTGCTGCGACTGCTAGAGAGCTGCGAGAGCCTCTACGAGGGCAACGAACTGAGCTGAGTGCGGCGCAGGGCCGAACTTCCAACCACATGCAATTAAAATACGTAATTTATTTTAATATTTAATGGAATAGGAGAAACTAGCGCAAAATTCAATGAAGACGGAAGCCTTGTAGAATACGTGTATTAGCCGTAGGGACCGCTCGACCATATCTCCGCACCCCGATCCAGTAACGCGTTAGCAGCAGTAGTTAAGTTCTTGCACCCTTTCATCCGCTTCGCAGGTCTTTTAACCTAGATACATAACTGTATGTAATTGTCATTGTAATGAGCATCACAAGTTCGTAGTTGGTTCGTAGTTAATGGTAACATCATAGGTACTGAATTCCAAACTAAACACTACGCTAGACTAAGATTTTTTTAATCTTGCCCTAAGTAGAATAATGTACAATAGGATGGCAAACGTTGGCTCACTCCCCGCAAAAGGTGGGCGTAAATTCGGTGTCTTCGAGAAGAATATTCTTTGTACGTTTTTTAAAACACTTGAGTAATATAACTTAATTAAATGATTAAAAGAAACGCATTAAGAAGAACTACAAAGCGTGCTATTTAAAATGTTTGTGTTAAAAACTGTAGCCTCTTTGCAGTTTCGATGGGTTTTGGCTTGATAGTACTTTGACTTTAATGGCGATTGATCATTCGGACGCGGCGTTTTGGGTCAATGCTTCCACCGGGCATGGCACCTAAATCTGGAATCTGACCAGTGAGGCTTATCACCGAGCCGCGTCTTGCCAATTCGGGTGGATATGGACCTGACACGTGAACCGTTTGATAGTTAATGCTGATCGGGACCGATGATCGTCGGTTTAGGCGTGGCTCTAAAGAAGAAAATAGTTGGTCTTATGAGACGTGGCACATTTAGTTTGATTTTACCAAAGCGAGTGTCTCCTGAACCAGGCGTAAATGGGTGCGGGTGACTTGGCCTGCTGGCCAAAGGTGAAATGACCCTGTGATGGTACTCCTGAACCTTCGGAGCAGTTTTTGTGAACCCTCCCTCCTCGTTTTGTGTGTACTTGTAGCGATCCACCGACACGGAACGCTCCTCGCCGAGGACATGCTTGCGCCGGAAGATCGGGGACTCCTCAACTTTGACATGCATATGGGGAAATGGAGATCAGTCAGTTTCAGGCGAGAGATCGCAAAGGTTTGCAGAAAATCCCGTTCGAACAGAAGAAATGAAACGCAATCTAACAGGCTACGTAAATTGATCACAGGAAAGCACATAGTAATTGATTTATTTTACGTTTACACACATATAGGACAGCAATATATATTCGAGTATGTACAACCTTACATTCAGTACAGTTTCACAGAGAAGTGAAGAGGAGGTAAACAGTGGAGGTCGTTCAAAAACATAGATATTAAACGCATTATCGAACCCGAAAGAGTGCGGTAGTAGGATAGAGACGTATAGAGATAAAAGGGCAGACTATAGGTACACAATATACAATACATTTTCCGAAAAAGTCAGAAAACTAGCTCCCAAGAGTGGACAGTGCTTTACAGTACAGAAAATTGGCTAACTCAGTACATAGTAGTAGATACATTTAGATTTTAAGATAACAATTCACTTGATCCCTCGTTAACACGGTGTAAAAGCACCTGGCCCGGCGAGTTAAAATTTTGGCAAAGTTTTTGGTGAAATACCTTTTGAAGCCCGTCGATCTTGCTTGTGGATTTGAGCATAGGATTGCAGAGAGCAGCGGCGCAGGCGCTTGTCCCCTTTGTTCTGCTGCCGAAGAAGGATTATTCAGGGGCAGAATGGATGAATTTGAAAGTCTTACCGATTTGTAGTGCTGATTGATATCAGAGGCGGCCTTCAGCAGCAGATAGATGAATACCAGGGCGAACAGATAGATAATGGGCTCCGCCGTATTGCTTTTCTTGGTCGCATCCTTTTTCTTGTTACCCTCCAGGGATGTGGCTAATCGAGGTTGCTTGCTGACCCCATTTCCAGTGGCATTTTTGGTTCGCTTGGTAGCCTTGCCTTGAGATCTTCTCGACACTGGGTGAGCTGATGGACTTCGACCCGATTTCCTGCCGAAAACATCCATCTGCTGGCAAGATGTGTCTGGAGCCTGCTCCTCATCCATGACTTCTGGCTGGGAGTCACTGGTTGGGCGATGGTTCAAATCAAGGGCAGCCACGCCCGGCTTGAAGTAGTACTTGTAGTTCTGCTGCAACCCGGCCACCATGATATACATAGTGCAGAGGACCACGAGGATGCCTAGCGGCACCACATGGTGGTTGTTCGTATCCTTGTCTTTGCTCACAACACTTTTGGGAGTTCGCGGTGCCTTGATCTCTTTAGGCGGAGTAGATTTATCCCCGGTTGGCGATTTCATTGCCCAGTGTTTACTGTTTGCCAAGCAATGACTGTGTGTATCTGTTGATTGCACGTCCTGTTTGCGTTTGTAGCGGAAAATCGATAGGGATTACCATCACAGCCTCACATATTGGCTTTCCTTGTATCCTTTAAAGGTCAAACAAACACAGGCGATGCGCTGACAATGTGTTCTGGCTTCTATGTATTTTATTGAATTTATTGGTCTACTTTTACAACAGTCGAAACTGTTTCGGATACAACACTCTCCGTCAACACGAAACCATACATGTTTGTGCGTATGTATGTCTAACCTGACCTATGACATTCGAGTGCCTATGTACGTTACGTTTGAATTCTTAACTTGCGAATCTTAAATGGTATGAACTTAAATATTAAACGAATTATTAAGTTATGTACAAATAGTTAAAATGCTTCAGCATTCAAAGTACCCATTAGACATTCCAGTGAGTTGCTCTAGTATATCTAAAATAAAGGTAATTAATGAAAAACTTGATAATTAAAACATGAACAATTTGCTGATACCTGTGATTTCCAGATCTGTAGACTGATTGCTGATCGAGGTGTACAGTTTTCTGCTTTCAGCTATATTTTGGCGCTTGAACATAACAGTTCGTAAACTTTCTCCTACAAATGGCATTAGAAATATAAATTAGTTTTATAAATTGATTGCAATCCACTTACTTCTCAGAACATTTCCATTAGGTTTGGCTTTTTCCGATTTAATATCCAAGGTATTTATGGTAAGCTTGTTGTTCTTAATTCTGTTTACTCTAGTCCTACGCTCTGTGTCGTAGAGAATACTGCCGCCTCGGCGTGTTGTAAGGCCAGAGAACTGGGTTAAATCTTCATTGTCGCCTTTTTTGTCGCTCGTCTCATCCACTAAAAGGTTTACGAAAGTATTGGGATGCTTATCTTCTTGCTGGCCAAGGCTCAGGCAGCCGTGCAGCTTGCGCAAGATCGTGCGTAGGATCTTGAAGCGCTTGAGAATTCGCTGCGGCTCCACCTGGGATGCGCACATCAAAATGGCCTTGCACTCGCGCAATATCCGGATGAACTGCTGGTAGTACTCCTCTCCCACTTGCTCCTTCGTGTCGGCCAGCACCTTTCGGTTGACCTCCAGTTGAAAATGCTCGACTAACAACAAGGAAATTTGGGCCAAGTCCTCCAAACGCTGCTTATCGAACAGCTTCTCGGTGGTACTAATTCCTACGGTCAGTATCTCCAAACAGCATCCAAGAAGGGCGCGGCTGTCGATGATCTCCTGGAGCGCCGCCTTGAACTTGGCCACCTCCTCGTTGAAGTGCTGCTCCAAGATGTCCGAGAGCAGTTCGGAGCCATGGGCCTGCAGAGACGGAATCAAACTGGTGTCCAGAGACTCAAAGGAGGCCAGACAGCTGCGCATCATGGTTTTCACTGACGAAGGCATAAATATGGAGTTAAATGTGATCTAGTATGTTATTAAGTGGCTATACTTTTCAAGTTCGGGGCAAAGGAAATGGCAAATATGCCTATCTGAGTGGCCCGATCTATGTTTACATCAAAGTCGGCTATAAACTCGTCAGCCATGGCATCATCTTCCGAGCTGTTCCTCAGCACGGTTCTTATTTTGTCCACCGAAAACTTCTCAAAGTCCAGGAAGCAGGTGAATACCAGACGCAGTAGTGCATCGTTAATGAAGTCCTCCAATTGGTAAAGCGCCTGCTCCAAAGTCATGGCTCTCAGCTTGAGTATGGACTTGTAGGACGCACTGGGCACCTTGCACTCTTCTTGGAAGGCATTGCACTCACGGATTACCTGGGGAAGCGGATGGATAGTGGGCCTCTACTCAATTTATATATTTAGTTTACGTACCTTCTGGCACAAGGCACTAAGAGCTCGTTTGTCCTGCGACAAAGCTACGTTAGCGAATCCCAGGGACTGACCCAAAATCAAATCTATGTTGGCGCGCAACTTTTGACTGAGGGATAGGACTTCCTGTGGCGATTTCGGAAAATCCGAGGGGTCAGTGTTTTCCTCATTGTGGGAGGTGAACAGACCCAAAGTGTCCAGGGTTGAATCTACCAGATTTAGGAATGAACGTTCCGGAGCAACTGCATCGCCGTTCGAGCTTTCGCTGTGGATACGCAACAGGCGTTTAAGACACCACCGAATGCGCTCCAAGAAGTACAAGTTCTGATGGCTGGCCTGGTTTAATTAATAGGATATTATATTATGTGTACTCTTGGCAAATTACCCACCGAAAAGGAAGAGCTGCACGTCAGTTTCATGGTGTTTTCCACCTGGCGAATGCAAGTAAGTATCTGGCTGAGGCAGAGGCATACCAGCTCCGAGGACTCGGTCTGCTTTTGGGAGCACAAGGAGCTGTGAACCAAGGTGGCATATTCCAATAGCATGGCACACAGGTCCTGCAAGAGAAAGCAACAAGTGAGAATCCTCTTCGACGGTTAATTACCCAATTTTCTCGTACATTTAACCAATTTGCATCTTCTTCATTATTCCTGTGCAAAATAAGAATACAGGCCTCTATTTTCTTCCTTAAAACTTCCATAATCAGTAGGTAATACGAGTTAAAATAGTTCTCTCGAAAAAGTAAACAACTTTTTTAAAAAGGTGGCTTGAGTTCTGTGTGAATGGCAAGACACAGCCTTGCTCATGTTCACTTCGCGTTAGTACCAATCCCTTTGGTATTTTTCCATCGTCGCACTACGGTCCGGTGCGAATGCATTACTTTTTCGGTAGCAAAAACTTATAGAAAATTGTCAATTCGCTGGTAGTTGTATATCCATGTGAAGCAGAGATAAGCTCCAAACTCTTCCCGTCGCCCACGCCACGTCGCACACTCGCGCACCGCCAGAAATATTAAAAGCAGGCCCAAGAGACCGAACGAATTACGGAAAATGAGCTCCTCGAATGCGGGACAGCGCACCAAGCTGATACAGGAGAAATGCCAAACCCTCCTCACGCAGATGCTCCGCGACGAGGATAACAAATACTGCGTGGACTGCGATGCCAAGGGTAGGTAGATCAGGTCTGCAGATCTCCACTCCCGGGTGTGAGATACGCCTCTCGGTGACGCACGATTGTGCATATACACACCACACAAGTAGATGCACTGCAAAAAATGCTATTGTCTTGTGGATGGCTGATAGAAACCTCTCCTAAACACTTGTAGGTCCCCGCTGGGCCTCCTGGAACCTGGGCATGTTCCTCTGCATCCGCTGCGCCGGCATCCATCGCAATCTCGGCGTGCACATATCGCGCGTCAAGTCCGTTAACCTGGACACCTGGACCCCCGAGCAGGTGATCTCCCTGCAGCAGATGGGTAATTCGCGGGCACGCGCCGTCTACGAGGCGCAGCTGCCGGACGGTTTCCGTCGCCCGCAGACGGACACAGCGCTGGAGAACTTCATCCGGGCCAAGTACGAGCACAAGAAGTACCTGGCCCGCGAGTGGGTTCCGCCCTCGCCGCCCAAAGTGGACTGGGCCAAGGAGATCGACGAAGAGCTGGAGCGCCAGAAGCGGAAGAAGAAGTCCAGCCAAGCCCAGGCCACCTTGGGCCTCGGTGGAGTGGCCAGTGGCGGTGGAGACAAGCGTCTGTCCGGAGCCACTGGTTCGGCCCTGAAAAACGCCCCCTTGCCCGCACCGTTGCCCAAGCCCAAGCCCAATCAGGTCGGCGGCTGCAGCCCTAAAACGACGCAGCGCGTCCAGCTAAACAGCAGCGGCGCCAGCAGTGCCGGCGAAAGCGACCTTTTGGGCCTGTCCTCGCCCACCAAGCCCATTGCCGCCACCAGTGCCAGCCAAGACCTGCATAACGAAAGTTTCACCAGCTTTCTCAGTGCCGAATCGATTGCCGGACAGCCGGACAAGCCGAACGGCAGCAACGGTGACGTCGCCAACTTGATAGGCTCGAAGCCCAATTCGCTGGCACAGGAGGAGCAGGACTTCTTCAACCAGGGCTCCCTGGGCGCCTCCGGCAGCGAGAAGGACCAATCCGGTAAGATGTCCAAGGACAGCATCCTGGCTTTGTATGGCAACGCGCCGGCTGCCCACAATCCTCAGATGAACTTCGGCGGTTTCACGGGCATGGCCCCGGGCGGCTATATGCATCAGCAGCAGCAACAGCAGATCCCCCACCAGTTCATGACGCCTCCGAACTCGGTGAGCATGTACAATTCGCCAGTGATGGCTGCGCCGAATGCGTTCAGCAACGCACCAATTAGCAGTGCCACCGCCATGAGCATGGGTGGCTCCCATGCCTTCGCTGGGGGCCAATTTCCCAGCACTGGTGGCAGTCCTTATGCTGCCGGAGGTCAGGGAGTTACGACGAATCTTATGCAGACGAACCAGAGCATTCTCAGTGGGATGCCGCTGTTTGGAGCGGTGCAACAACAGCAGCATCAGCAACAGCAACAACATCACCCACAGCTTGGCGGCCTATCCATGAACCTTATGCAGCCCCTGCCCAGTGGTCTGAACATGGGCCAGCCACAGGGATCGGTCGGATTTAACACCGCCGGCCCCACCACCTCCTCAGTCCCATCAAATCTGAACCAACAATTTGGAAACCTTAATATCGGTAATGTCTGGCAATAAATACAACGTGTATTTATGTAGTTGTATTCCTTTAATTAATTTTAAGACACGAGTGTTCGTCTCAGTGTTGCAACATGTATGTGAGGCGATGATGCTTGTTTATATGCATTCGATTTGTACAACAACTTGCCAATTTAGTTAGTTGTCCTGAGAGGATTCGGAGCAAACTATACGTATTTATAGAAGAATTCACTGTCAAGCAAGCCCTTGTATTAAACGATGTTCATGTCCACCAAGATTCGCGTCTGCTCGTTCAAATCTATTCCAATTAAACCATAATACATACTACACGTGTAACACCCAACTAATTAAAATTGAACTACGAAACTTAATGCACTTCCCAATCAAATGTACATGTTATTTTGAACATTAGCTAGGTATTTGATACGCATGCATAAACAAATCGTCCACGCCAGGGTGTGAATGTAAAGTATAGAGATCTGGCAATGTACTTTTTAAATGCTTGATATCCCTAAGAACATATTCACGCCAGTTTGTCAATGTGAGTCTTAAATATCACGGCTGGGTAGTCGACGGATTTATTGTATTCGATTTTTAAGTTGCTATGTCTAAGGAATAAATCAAACCACTTCGAACTGTGTAATAATAAAATATTCAGACAATTGTATGTTATTCAATTATTTCATTTTAAAGTTTATATACGGGTTTGTATGTTTTATTCATTCAATTCATTTTTTTTGTTGCTCTTGCAAAAAAGTTTAGTTTTTTTAATACTGTTATTTATATCACTTTATTTCTATCCGTTTGTTAAACAAGCAATTGTTTTTTTTTACTTTAAAACTTGTATTTTTAAATTATTAAATTGATAGCTGCATTCAAGTTTCATAATCTTTTATATAAAATAAATATCTAATATTTCTCTGTATATTTACTTATCAATAATTTGGAAGGCTGAAATAAATTTGAACTTTTCTTTTTTTCGCGCCTCGATTGGCGTTCACAGGAAACGGCCATTATGCCATTCACCGCGTATCGCTGGACACACTCTCGCTTGGAATACACGTCAACTTGGAAAATAAATAAATCAAAGCCAAATAAAAATATTCACCTATTGAGACTGGACAAAACAATGGGCGATAAAGTGGAGGAGACGGAGCAGAAGCTCCTGGGAAAGTCCACCAAGGAGGCCTACTTTGCCAGCCTCGCAGAATGGGCAAAACAGGCCACTATTGCCCAAAATGCGATGATAATGTTTCCGTACTACCTGATGGCCAACTATCCGATGTTCCAGGGACAGGTAGCTTCCGCTGGCCTCCAATCAGCCGCCTTTGGACAGCCACTTCCGACGGCTCCTTCTCCACCACCGGTTCAGGGAGCCGGAGCGCCTGCTGCACCACCGAGAGCTCCTGTAGCTGCTCCTCCGCCGGCACAAAACTTCAATCGTTTCCGAGTCCTGGACGAGGCTGCGCAACAGGAAACCATACAGCGATTGGGCGGCTACGAGTACGTGGTGGCACCCTTCTGGAAGCGCGCCGTGGCAGAGACAATCGACGTGTTCATTCTGTTCGTCTTAAAAATCATCATTACATTCGGGGTGGTCAACATTTTCGACATGGACTTTGATAAGGACGTTATACGCCGCACACTGGACGACGATGACCTCTTCGTGAACTTCTTCGATATCTCGCTGGACTTTATATCAATGTCCACCGACCTGCTGATTATCGAACTTCTGACGAAGCTCACAGTCTGCTGCTACGAGGCGCTTTGGACTTTCCTGTACAATGGTGCCACGCCAGGCAAGTCACTGATGAAGATCCGCATCCACTATGTGGAGGCGGTGATGCCGCTGCAGGCGCCCGCTCTTCCGCAGTTCGTGCTCCAGCCCCAGCGGGAGCCGATGAGGGCACTGCTCTATCCGGCCCAGACGCCTACGTTGATACGCTCTTTCGCCCGTGCCCTGGCCAAGAACCTGTTGATGACCCTGCTGTTCCCGATCTGCGTTGTGATGATCTTTTTCAAGAACAACCGCACAGGCTATGACATAATGACAAAGACTATTGTGGTGGAGTCCGATGCCAACGCCGTATTCCGCACCCAAGTGCCACCGCAGCGTAACCGCTGAGCTCGGGTTTTACCCAGCCAAAGTGTCTAGGAAGTGTGCAATCTTTCCTACGCATGCTTATATAAATAGACGTTATTGTTAAACCTAAATTTAAAGCTGTCCTGTGAAATAAAATTAAATCTCATACACGACTGCCATAGAGGCCAGCGTGAATCATCTGTGACCTGATTCACAAAAATAGGGATTGTTTTACAATCAACAATCTTTATAACACAAATTGTCAATGGGTTGTGTTCGGTTGGCTTACTCCAAGTTAAAGATATTTCATTAACAGCAAGATTTGTGTTTTAAACGGACAAGATTTCTGCAACCCATCTTTATGTTTTAAAGACTCGGTTTAGAAGAAAGAATATCCCAAAAACTTGAAGTACTTTGAAATACTAAAAAACTGTTTATGTACAATGTACATATTTGCACATTGTTTTTCTCAAAAATTTTGTTTAAGATTTGAATTTAATCAAAATTAAAGAGGTTTAGAACTATGTTACACTTTTTATTTAAGATCCGAACCGTTTGAAACATAAAATTCGAATGATTTATAGATTAAATAGGGAGAGTACCGTAGTCGAATTATAGTATTGATTCAAGCAGAACCCTAGTTTGAAGCAAAGCTTTTGCAGGAGGTGATGTTTCGTTTATTTGCTCACTTCAAAAAGTTTTTGTTTCGCTTATTGGTTCACTTAACATTCACGTTCTTCAGGGTTTGGGCCACGACGTTGCCCTTGCCGGGAACATGTAGAGCGGCTCCCTTGTAGCAGGCCACTAAGTCGTCGTTGGTCTTCAGATCCGGGGCGCAAGCCTCGAAGATCTTCTTCTTGGGGTTGAGCTGGGCGTCCGGCTGGCGTGGGTAGCCCTCACAGTGGACAAGATCGCCGGGAACGGCTCCGGAGGGCGGACTTAGCACTTCCACTTTGTCTGGCGTTGAGGCGCACATGACCATCGCCTCCGAGGTGACGCCGCGCATCTTGGCCGGCTTCAGGTTGCACATGACCACCACCAGACGGTTCTGCATCTCTTCCAGTGGCACGAACTTTACCAGGCCGGAAACCACAGTGCGTGGGACCGCCTCGCCACAGTCGATCTTCTCCAGATACAGGCTGTCGGCGTCGGGGTGGCGACCCACCTCCACAATTTTGCCCACGCGCAGATCCAGGCGGCCCACGTCAACGGGAGCTTCTGGAGCGGCGGCGGCGGGCTTTTCGGCGGCCGGTTTCTTCTCCTTGATCTTCTTTTCCTTGGGCTCCTTGGTGGGCTTGGGACCCTCAGCAGCGGGAGCAGATGCAACCTCTGCGGGTGGAGCTACTGGCGTCGCACTGGTGCAGAATCCTCGAGATCCAGGCACCGGAATCTGTTTCTTGCCATTTCGCAGCTCCAGCTGCACCAGTTGGGCCAGGGCGGCCTCCACTTCCTTGGCCAGTGCGGCGTTCTCCTTGATCAGCTCCTGCTTCTGGCGCTCCACAAGTTGTTGCTGGATGCCGGAAATCTGGTGGGCAGGAGGTTATCGAAAGGATCGCACAGGCTGCTGGGCTGGAATACTTGCCTCGGCTTCAATGGAGTTGATCAGCGCTTCGGCGCGCTCGTTGTTGCTGGCAATCTGCTGAAGGTCGGCCATGGTTCTTCGGTTTTTCGCGAATTTTTTGCAATTCTGGCCGTAATTTTTACATGCGGATCCCACAGTCGTGGCAGTTCTACGCAGCATTGCCGTGCTTCTTCTTACTCCCAACAGTCGCGTCGTGTAGCATTGGACAGGTTGTGTATTGCTCGGAAAGCGATGGTATTTACGTCACACACCTGTGAGGGTCACACTATTCAATGCAACGCAAAAACGGCTGGCAGTTTTGAGCGAAATTTGTCCAAAAATAAACAATAAACACTCGGGAGGCCATCACCGTGCCGCAGATGGATTACGTTTATTGTGGAACCGAGCCAATCGGCGCCTCGGAAGACATACTAAGTGGGTCAGGGGGTCGCTTTTGGGTCAGCGCTCTGCCACACGCACACACACGCAAGCCAGCTAAGCTTTCTCCTTTGTTTTCTGTTTACTTTTTGCAAAGGTGTTTACGACGCGGGATCCGCTCGAGGAAACGGCCACTTCTCGCCCAGCTTCAATGGCTTCAACATCGGCAGCACGGACCCCGACTACGTGGAGCTGGTTCCCGTGCTCGCTGACGGCGGAGAGCACTTTGGGGTCTCCAGCGTGGCGTTCGACGATTACGAGGAGCTGCTCTGGATGGGCAACCAGGGAGTAAGTCCCCATGCTCGCCACTCAGGCCTGCTAATCAATCCACTTTTCCGCAGGGCCATGTCACCTCGTACTACACCAGCTCCATGCAGAAGTACACCTCCTTCCAGGTGCACGCCAGCGATATTGTGCGCCAGATCACCACCCTGGACTCCGGAGTGTTGGTGCTCACGCAGACCTCGCTGCGCCACCAGATCCGCAGGGGTCTGCCCAAGTTCACCTATAAGTATGTCAAATTCTGACCCAAAATTGGCCCGACCTCATAGCTTCTTGTAGATCCAACAATATGAAGGAAATGGTGACCATGCTGCAGCTATCTCCTCACCGCCTGGTCATGGCAGGACTGCAGGAGGAGCTCATTGACTTTGACATGCGCACACTTAAGGAAACCCGGCTGGAGCATGTGGGCGCCGCTGGCTGCACTGTGCTTCGCAAGAATTCGCGATTCCTCTTCGCGGGCGACCAGCTGGGAACTGTCACACTGCGCGACCTAAACAGCCTGAGTGTTCAGCACACGATCAAGACACACACCAATGTTCTATCGGATTTCAGTGTCCAAGGCAACCTGCTGATCTCCTGCGGCTACAGCGGTCGGCAAAATAACATAGCGATCGACCGCTTCCTCATGGTTTACGATCTGCGTATGCTGCGCCTTATCTCGCCCATTCAAGTGGCGATTGATCCGCAGATGTTGAAGTTCCTACCATCGCTTACGTCCCGACTGGCAGTTGTGTCCAGTTACGGGCAAATCCAGCTGGTCGACACCGTGGAGCTCAGCGAGCCGCGTGTCTCCATGTATCAGATCAACACCAATGGCAGCCAGTGCCTCAGCTTCGACATCAGCTCCTCCTCGCAGGCCATGGCATTTGGCGACCAGTCGGGACATATAAATATGATTGCCGCTGTGCAGACGCCACAGCCACAGTTTAATCCCTTTTCGCGAAACACAGAGTTTGCGGACGTGGTGCCTCAGCTGCCGATGGTCTCCATCACGGACACCAACTTTCCGCTTTCGTCGGTCATGCTTCCCCACTTGACGACGGGCACGCAATGGTTCTCGGACTGGCCGGAGGAACTGCTGCGATACCGGTACCACAGACCAAAGACCATCGAACCCGAGGTGCTAACCAACATGAAAATGCAGGGACCCATTGGGTATTCGCCAAACCCGCGCACCGCTCGTCGGAATCAAATTCCGTACGTGATTGAGCAGGGAAGCGTTTGCAGTTCGAATGGAAATGGAACTGCAACGGTTACCAAGGCGGAGAACGGTGTCAAAATCATTCCAAGAAGGTATCGCAAGGTCGAGCTGAAGTACACTAAGCTGGGCACCCAGGACTTTGATTTTGAGCAGCATAATCAGACGTGTTTCGCTGGACTGGAGGCCACATTGCCCAATTCCTACTGCAACGCTATGCTGCAGGTTCGAAATCATTGTTTAGTGGCTTACTCTTTTTTTAATCTATCCTATCCTATTCCGCCAGATACTGTATTTCACAGAAGCGCTTCGTGTGAAACTTATTGAACATTCCTGCACCAAGGAGTTTTGTTTGTCCTGCGAACTGGGTTTCCTTTTCAACATGTTGGATAAGAGTACAGGTTAGCTTGACATTTAAATCTACCTGGCCAAAAGTATAATATTTTTCTTCGCTTCTGTCAGCCTCATCACCATGCCAAGCCAGCAATTTCCTGCGCTCTTTTCGCACTGTGCCTGAGGCTTCAGCATTGGGCCTAATTCTCACGGACCGCTCATCAAACGTCAATCTAATATCACTCATACAGGCAAGTAGTATCATCGCCTTTTAGCAACATATTTAATATATGCACACCCTCAGAACTGGAACCGATTCATTCTGCATCAAATGCATTACGAAATCTTCGATTCCAGCAAGAACACATCCAGCTCTAGCGGATCTGTGCAAACATCAACAAATGGTAACAACAACCAGACATTTTGTTAAAACTCTATATTAAACTATGTACATTTTTAGCTGAAAACACAAGCCCCTCTGAAACAAGTGGTTCTTCGGAGTTATATGAGTCCATGAGTGGTAAGTACAAAATCCGAAATTAAAAGCCATAGCTTACTTCCACTCACATATTACCAGACGAGAACTCTAAAGAGGACGATAGGGAACGCAGCAAGATCAACGCAGAAACGGAAATAAGTAAAATCTTTGGGACCAAGCAAATTTGTGTAAATCGCTGCATCAAATGCCAGGTCGAAAAATCGAAGGAAAACATATTACTCGCCTGCAATATGTCGTACCCCACCCACGTTAAAGATAGTGAGCAGTATTTCAACTTTGGCACCATTTTAAAGCGTTCTCTCAGCTCGGAGAAAAGTATTCAAGCTTTCTGCGAAAACTGTAAGAAGTTTTCGCCAACAAACCAGAGCGTGAAGGTCAGAGTCAGAGTCTACATTGAAACAAAACTGAATGTAATGAATATAACTATCTTTATTTTCAGGTCACTACCCTTCCCCAAATGCTGGCCATTAACTGTGGCCTAAATAACGATAAAGACATAACCTTCCTGAAGCGCCAACTCAACCGCTGCAACGAAAAGCCATCTGCCGATGCAGCCGCTTCCCTAAGCACTAGTAAACCTTGTCGCTATGGGGCCCACTGTTCCCGAAGCGACTGTCATTTCATGCATCCGGATCGGTTAGTTATCGTCGTCGGAGTGAGGACAGCCATCTCATGTATATGATCTTATTAACTTTGCAGAAAATCTCCTTCGCACACTAATCAAGCAAATAACGTCAATAGTTCTCCCAATGGACGCCAGAAGTCATGGTTTCCATTGACTTTTACCATGGGTATCAACGAGCAAGGCGAGCTGCAGGTACAAACTCAATCAGATGGAGGCGCTGGAAAATCGGACCAAGAGGAGGAGGCTGAAAAGCCACCAACAAAAAGTGAGGACAACCATCGTACGTACGCCCTACATGCTGTGGTCTGCCAAGTCGACGATGGCACCCAAAAGAACTTAGTGTCGCTGATTAATGTGCAGCGGCAATATCACACCATGAAATTGGCGGAATCCCCTGAGGACCCCCAGAACCAATGGTATATTTTCAATGATTTCAGGTGAGTTCGTCTTTTATGTTAAAGATCTACACCGAATGATATTGTTTTTGTTGTTAATTAGCATTTCTCCCGTGTCGCCACAAGAATCTGTATGGTTTACATTGGATTGGAAAGTGCCCTGTGTACTGTTTTACAGGAACGTGGAGGATGACTCTGAATCCGCTAGTACTACGAGCTCTACCGTGACCGAAAGTGACGAAACCGTTCCATCGGAGAGCAGCAGTGACTCGCCCACAAACCTATCCAATCCCTTTCTAGAGGTGCTTCCCTAAATGCTGTATTTTACCGCACAAAATGCTAATCTTGTACATCACCAGGACATGGCAAGCCCCATACCAGGCAACGTGAATACAGACGCCACACTCAAGCCGCTGCAAACGGATGAAATGCCTCAGTCAGGAGACCTTGTCGCTATGGATGCTGAATTCGTAACCCTCAATCCGGAAGAGAATGAGATACGTCCAGATGGAAAGACGGCGACTATCAAGCCGTGTCACATGAGTGTGGCCCGTATTTCATGTATTCGAGGGTAATTTAATCTTACACTCGAATTAGACTCTCTTAAAACATGGATAAAAATAATTTTCCAGACAAGGCGCGAATGAGGGAACTCCATTCATGGATGATTACATCTCAACTCAGGAGAAGGTGGTGGACTACCTAACCCAGTTCTCTGGGATCAAACCGGGCGACTTGGACGCTAACTTCAGCAAAAAGCGGTTGACTGCCCTTAAGTACTCATATCAGAAATTGAAATACCTCGTAGATGTGGGTGTTATCTTTGTGGGGCATGGTCTGAAGAATGATTTTAGGTGGGAAGAACTGCATTTTAACAGACAAGCAAGTCTCTATACACTCTTGACGTTTCAGGGTCATTAACATCTATGTGCCGTCAGAGCAAATAATAGACACGGTGCACCTGTTCCATCTGCCCCACCATCGAATGGTGTCCTTGAGGTTTCTGGCTTGGCATTTCTTGGGTTTGTATTTGCTTTTCTTGCTGTGATTCAATTCTCTGACTGCACCTGCAACTACGTAGGCACAAAGATACAATCCGAGACTCACGACTCCATCGAGGATGCACGGACCACTCTGCAGCTCTACAAGCACTATTTAAAACTGCAGGCAGAGAAGAAGTTTGCCAACGCCCTCAAAAACCTATACGAGCGCGGAAAGCTACTGCAATGGAAGGTGCCGGAGGACTGAATCGTTGCCGAACCCGTTGCCAATTCGACGAAATGCAGAGCCAATGTAATCGTCAGTACAAACGCTACACCGATCTGAAAACCCCGGCATTTCCCATTTTATTATGTTCTAATGAGTTTCTTTCTGCTAGGGAGCTTCCTGGTATTTCATTTTGTAATTGTCTATATTCATAACAAATTCAAATAAAAAGCAAAAATTGTACATCTTATCAGTAATCTTTCATTGGCTGTTATTGTGCTAGCCGTCAAAATTAAAAGATCGTTAATTTGTTTACAAAATGCACAATCAGGTTGTAGACCAAAGCGGGAATGCGTTCACCGATCGGCCAATCGTGGGGGTCAATCTGTTCGATTGGTTCTGAAATTCCCATTCGTGCTCCCTTATCAACACATACGTTTGGGAATTTTTCAGAGGCTGTCGCTAATTTGATGGGTACCTGATCTTGGACTACTGCGCAGCTACTTATAAATACCACGAGCAAGTCAAGCCAGTTAGTTAGAGCTCAGCATTCCGTCAGAGAACACAGGTCGCAATGCATTTTTTTGGACTACTCGTGCCGATCGTTTGCGGTCTTTTGTTCGTCGGTGAGCAACCCCTTCCCATGGCCGCACCCAACGGCGATTAATGGACGTGTTTTATTACTCCCGTAGCTGCCGATCCCCAACAGACATACGACGGTCGTAATGGGCCTCATGTTTTCGGAACACCTGGCAACCAGGTCTATATTCGAGGCCAAAACGATGGAGTTTACAATGTGCCAGGAGTAGGTGGACAGTTCCAGCACACATCGTCGCCAGGACAACATGTCTATACGGATGAACAGGGAAACACCTATGTGCACCAAAGAAAGGCGGGAGGACCAGGTAGAACGGATCTTTGTCCAGTTCTTTAGATAAATATTAACTATTTTCGCTTAAAGCAACTCATACTATTAGGGGACCAGGTCTTGCTGTCGGTCAGCCAGTCTATCCCGTTGGCCAGGATTCACGGTATGGACCTGTGGCTCGAGCCCCTCGCGTATCTCGTAGCCCTCAGTTCCATGTGGAGCGTCCTGGTCGCACCGTGGATGTGGGTGCCGGAGGATTTGTGGTTCAAAGAAGTGCCCGAAGTCCTCAGTTCCATGTGGAGCGTCCTGGTCGCACTGTAGATGTGGGTGCCGGAGGATTTGTGGTGCAAAGGAGCCGCCGTAGTCCCCAGTTTCACGTGGAGCGTCCTGGTCGCACTGTGGATGTGGGTGCCGGAGGATTTGTGGTTCAACGAAGTGCCCGCAGTCCCCAGTTTCATGTGGAGCGACCTGGTCGAACGGTAGACGTTGGACCTGGAGGATTTGTGGTTCAAAGGAGCAGCCGCAGCATCAACGATGCTCGCGTGCAAGGCGAGAATTTTGTAGCTCGTGACGATCAGGCCGGCATTTGGGATGATAGTGTTTCGGTGTGGAAGCGTCCGGACGGACGAACAGTCTCCGTCGGCAGCGATGGTAGCGTTACAATTTCTGGTCATGGAGCTACCCAGAATGTAAGTATAAGATAGCTATTTTTAGTTTCGTTTACAAATATCCATTTATTTTCAGTACTAAAGATGGGATGCCTCAATATTTTTCCAAGGATTGATTAGAGATCTAAAGTACTAATTATTTAATGTTTAGTTAAATGTTCAGTTAAATAAAAAATATACTAATTAAAATATACTTTTTTATATTTTTACTTAAATCAGCATTTAAATTTTTAAAAATACATTAAAATAACTCTGAAAAGTTTTTGATTCTGCACTGAGGTCGAGCGTGTTCAGGGGCTCGACAGAAATCTGTTCTAACTAAATTTTTTTGAAACAGCAAATATCGGTGTGAACCCGTTTCAAAATCAATTAGACGAATAAAATATGACCAAATAGTAGGCTTTGATAAAATGTTCCTTAGTTCAGAGATTACTTTCTCTGAAACACATACAAACAAAACTATATCTGTAGATTTTATGACACCGACGAATTTTTTGAGTTATTTTTTAAAGCAAACATGCCTTAGGTCTACGGAGATATCACATTTTGTTCAGATTTTGTACAGCTAAGCCTACACCTTTTGAAAAGTGCAATTTTGTTGACCCGCGTTATTACAGCTTCTCGTTTTCGTTCCCAGAAGATTGCATCTTCATGCATATATTAAAAGCGACATTTCCCCCTTCATTTCTTATTACATCTTTTATTTATTGACTTTTTAAATTTTTGTTGTTTATTATAGTAATAAATTATATATTTAAAATGATGTAAAGATGAAAGTACACAATTTATCATCCACAGATAGATAGGGAGAAAGGGAGTAGTGTAGTTAACAGAAAGACAGGCTTAAAGGCTTTAAACAAATGAACATAAAATATTAATGGCATTAAAAATACTGTTACAATACATTTCGAATCGAATTAAAATTAGATATAAATTCGTTCATATTCGGGGGTACGCAGACATCTCTTTGGATGAAATTTCTGTAGAATTTTTACACACATTAATACAGATTCAGGCCAAACAAATTTCTGTACCATATTATTTCTTCATAGATCGAGGGATACCTAGTCGACGACTAGGATTCGATTTTTTCTTTTCAACGGGTTCTTCCGGTTTAGGAAGTTCTTCTGTTGGTTCCGCTGCTTTCTTTTTCAAAGCATTCGATTTCTTTTTTGTATTTACTTCATCTGATGGCCGAACATCGGATTTTTGGTTGGCTTTGCTTGCATCTTCTGTCCGAGCCCCGGATTTTCGAGTGGCTCTACTCGACTCTAACGCCTGAGAAGGCTTTTGTTGTTGGTCTTTTGAATCTTTCTTACTCCACCTCAATTTTGAAGTCGTTTCAGGATGCTCTTCCTCTTGATCGTCGTATTGGATATTTCCCTCTGGATTTTCGTCAGCTTTGCGTCCTCTTTTCCTTTTCGGTTGAGAGGTCTCTGTTTCGCTGCTAAGAGCACGCCTCCGGCGCTGGCCTGATTTCTCCACTACAACGGGTTCTACATTCTCCTCTTCGGACTCTTCAGGATATGTCGTGGATTGAACGTCACTGTCCTTATCTTCATCCTCATCTTGATCTGGATCCTGATCCTCGGCATTGCTGTCTTCTATGGAAATATTGCGACCATCCGATATACTGCGCTCTATGGCCGCTCTCAGATCTGTCGACTTAATATCAAAGTCGCGCATGGTCCCCAAGTGGAGGTAATCTGTTAGCCTGTTCTGGCTTTTAAGCTTCTTTGACAGAAGAATAATGTGTTTGTTGAAGTCCTCGATTACCATTATCACCTTGGGAATAAGACGGGTCTCTCTCAGAACTTTAGCACGTTCTGCCAGAACTTTTCGCTTTTTAATATGCTGCTGCGCTTCCTCATCAAGCGTATTAGCTTCTATGTACGTAATAAGCTCATAGACATTTGCCGGAAGTTGCTTGCCCACATCTCGTAATAGCAGTTCAAATCTGTTAAGGAAAGACAACTTAGTTTAATTCTTAAGAAAAAAACGATTGGATAAACAACTTACTTAGTGCTACGAATATTTTCAATGCCGGCATCTGATGTGTAGCTTGATATATAGTGCTTGGTCAGGTTTTTCATGACAGTGTAGTGCTGGATTAGCAGTTTCATAAGTCCGTCCATAGAAGATCCCAATGGAATGCAAACGTTGGTGAGCACCAGCAAAGTGCGAGATATGTGGATTATTTGTGTGCAAATACTACGATCCATAGCGTCCAAATTACCCCGCCAATATATTTGATCGATTTCGGGAACTACTTGGCATTTGAAGCTTAGATTGTTGGCCTTGGTCACAAAATAATCCACATCTGTGAGCTGCTTTTGGACAGCGGTGTAAAGGTGCTGCAAGCAACTCTCGGCAGTCACCGCACTTATCGACTTTAGAGTTAGCTCAACGGAATCTGATGGTGCGGCTTCATTTTGGACGCCAAGTACCAGACCCAACTGCCTGGCAACATTGTCGAAAAAGGGACCCAAGTGGGTCTTTTGCCGCTGAATGAAAAGCATTCTGTGCACCAAGCCCATTTCGCTATTAAGAATCTCGTTTTTGCTGCAAAAGCTTAAGAGCCAAGTGTAAGAATCAGTGGCGGCACGATCTCCGTAGTCAATATGATCCAACAGAATTTCAAGTGACTCCAAAAGTCCAACAGGTATTTTGGCAATAAATTCGTCTTTACAAATTGAATCATCGCTGCCATATTCCGTCATATACTCGTCCAAAACATCCTGAACAATGTAAACCACTTCCTTGTTTCGGTTTCCCTTAATAGATGCCATATCTGAAAGTTTCACCACAATAGCACATAATTTAGATCATCATTGGATTTCTTGTCTTACCAAAAGACTTGACAAAATCTTGAAACTTCTTCGAATAAGTTTCATGTGCTGTCCGTAAGCATTCCACAAAACACTGAGTGGCTAGGGCTGCGCTCTGAATGTCAAAGTCCCGCCACAACTCGGGCAGTTGCTGAATGCAGCGCTCATAAATAACCTTGGTAATGTCCGTCAACTGCTTGAAGGTACGTTTGCTGTAGGCTAGTTGCTTGTAGTCGGGCTCTAGGCGAATAGATTCCACTCTGATGGCCGTAACCGATAAAACATAACGAACAAGAGGCTCGTTGGAACGCAAGGGGACAGTTTTTTCAGGGGCAGCAAAGGCAACTATATCACTGAAAATATTTAAAAAAAAAAACAATTAAAAAGGTAGATAGAACAATTATCAAGTCAACTCACTCAAGGAGCAGATGCAGCAGTTTATCTAGAATGGCAAGATCCCAAATATTTTCAGGTTGGGTGCACATGGTCTTTACTGGGACACCATTCAATGTCAGATTGCAGGCGGATGTGCTATTATTCTTGGCCGATTGCTTCAATTGCTTATGAGCTTTTTTAGAAGCGTCACCCAAAGCCTTAAGACTATCCATCAGCTTACAATGCTGATTGAACAGCGGTAAAATCTGAGAAACAGCACCGTTTTGTGGTTTTGATCTTAGCAATAAGTGACAAATTATCCCTTCAATAATGTTAAGTTGTTGCAATGCCAGGGCGCATTTTAGATGTGTTGCTGGGGGCGCCTAAAAATAATGTATTCATATATTATCTATAATTCAAAAAGGGTTATCTTCACTTACTATGTCTTCCAATGGCAATCTGTTTGCTACCATACGGTCCACGCAAAAACCCAGGAGCCGATTCATCTCACGAGTGTCGTAGCCCGAAGGAGCTCGCTCGAAAACAGCCAAGCAGTTGGCTACGAACTGAATCAACTTGCCCAAGTTATCTTTAAGCTGAATCTCCATATGTTGATCATCGCTGGAGCTAACCAACTGATCGTAGCGAATGCGAAACACTGTGTCTAAATCATCACCAGCATCTTCTGCGGACGGGGTGTCGAAAAAGCTGCGAAAGTGCCAATCAATAACTTGCAGCACATGGGGCACTAGTTTTGCATTAAGCTCGACGGCTCTCTGAAGATCTTTATAAGATACATTTCATGAATTAATCGTGAGTTCTGAGATGAACTAAAATATTGCACAACTTACTCTCATAGAGGGTGCTTCGTATATCAAATTGTTGCTGCAAGCAGTTTCGCAGCATTCCAATAATTTCCAATGTAAGCATGTCGAAATTTCGTTGGGGATTACTCCGACTTCCCAGTGTGTTCTGGGTCATCATGGAATATCCAGAAATGCTGTGTTGCGTGCAGAAACTAGTGGCACTTGAGGTCTGGCGTATGGCATTGCTATTGTTAAGCTGTTTGAGGATCATACAGAAACCGTAAATAGCCATTCGTCGTTTTTGAATACCACTAAAAGAGCAAAAATTAGTGATATAGGGGGAAGAATGTAGTAATACTCACCTAGAGCTCATTGCCTTGCAAAGCACGTCAATCAGCGCATCGCGAACCCGATTGGAAATTTTTAACAAAGGAAGAATGAAGTTCATCATGCGCATGGATTGCTCACCAGACAACTAGAGTAGTTACAAAGATTAAATATTATTAAAAGTTGTAAAATCCCACTTGTAAACTTGCCCATTGCATGTGCTCCATAACAGTTTGAATGGTCTTAATGCACTCGGAGACTGTGTACGTGTCAGCTACACTTAAAAGAGTAAGGCATTCTAAAAAAAACCTCTTTTAATTAAGAATTATCAAGGTTGATTAGTTTAGCTACCTGAGAATTGATTCTGATCCTGGTATACTATCATCCACTCGGAAATAAGTTTTATAATGCCCTGACCGAAAATAAATCGTTTGCGTATAAACTTAGTGAGGAACGTTATGGCCAGTGTGTGCATCTTGGGCGAATTGGATTTCAGAAGGTAAAACACGAGGTGAACAAGCCCAGGCGTTATCACATCCTTCCCATCCTTGTTCTGGTCTATGAGCACCATGAACACCTGCTGCAAATCGACTTGTTTGCGCTGCAATGTATCACGGTACCACACGGAGTAGTCTGCCAATGTACGCTCTTCCTCGTTGTTCTTGATCACATTACGCAGAAAGGGTAACAAAATGGAATGGGAGATCCTTGCCGACTCTGGGTCACGATTAATGCTAGTCATCGATATGATGGCGCTGAGCATAAACGGAGTTAGGATCACATCGGGCATATGCAGGAAGTTCTGTAATTTGAGTTATGGAGCGACCAAAAATGTACATACTTTTAAAGAGCTTACCCTCAGCATTATGGCCAAGTGCTTTTCAGTGAGCTTGTACATGGTGCAGTAGTTCAAATGATGCAGGATAGTCTCCTCCGCCTCCCTTAGTTCCTTGTCCGAAAACGAGTCTAAAGAGCAGGGAATGCACAGAATACATATGGTTCAAGACTAACAGTCAAAATTAAGCTTACCAATGCTATCCAAGTTTGTGGAGTTGCTGCACATGTCGGAGAACAGACGTTTGTAATAGTTACGATAAAAGTACTTCTCCAGGGCCAGCAATGGAATAATCAACTGTGATGCAGTGCTACACATGGAGAAGAGCTGGAAGCACAGTGCTGGCAGCTCCATAGGCGACAGCTCCTGCAGGGCGCCAGAGAATTTGTTGAGGACTGTCAAGATTTCTCCACTGCTGAGGTTTATGGACCTAAGAAGAAATCACTGGTTAGGTGGAGAAGGCGAAACAATTGCAGGTTGTCACCCACTTGAACATGTCTGCAATCGGAGTAAGGATCGTGGCTGGCCATTGCATGGTCGCTATACTCCTCACGGTGGTGTTCCTAAACTCAGTTCCGTCCATGGAGACGCCGTGCAGAAGAAACCGAGGCCTGACCAAGAGCAGAGATAGTGCATCTGGCAGCAGATCCTTCCAGCCGACGCACTTGGCGTCTCCTTGCCGCATCCCGTCCATGCAGTGCTCCACGATCCAGGCCAGCTGGTCGGAGGGGAAGGTGACCAGGTCCTGGGATAGACGTGTGATCAGATCGAAGGTCTGCTTATAGCTCAGTTCCATGCTGCTTAGTCCGTCCATAAAGCTGCGAACGCAGTCGAATCGCTTCGCCACGGAATCCTTGCTATCCGGATTGAAGCCCAGGAGGAGGTAATTCCAAAAGGTTATCCCTTCGCTGCGGGTCATCGTGCTCTTGAGAGTGTTCTTTAACTATCAAAAATAAACATAAATCAGCGAAAGTATGTACGGAGTTTTGCCTTGAACTTCAGGGACTCTTACCTCCTCTACTGGAGTGTTCTGAATCAGCAATTCTAGTTCACTTTGACGCCCCTTCTCCCCCAGGCTTCGCATCCACGTCAGAATCGAGTCGCGTGCCATTCTTAACTCTTTTTTGGCAAATAAATAACAATTTAAACTAAGTGGCGCCAATTTCACCACTTACTCCAAATTAGAGATGGCAAATACACGACGGAACTATCGATAGCACTACAGATAGGCATCGATAGCTAATAACTGTGCGCGACTTTCAAAGTGATGATAATAACTAAATATTAATGAATTAGAGTCAGAATGAGAAACATCTAAAAGGCAAAACTAAACTAACTAGTACGTACTTGAATCTTTAGTTCTTCAAATTTTACATAAATTTGGAAACACATATTTTAAGTCAGGTAAATAAAGAGGTTCCGTTTCGGTATAATTAGATCAACTAATTAACATTAAAGATGTGTTGTGTGTACTTATTGTGCAAGATATCATTTGAAAAATGGCTATATTCTTATTTTTATACGAATATTTTAAGTCTCAAGTTCACCCATAGAACCATTGGTACACCATGTAATGTTTTAATCTCTTGAGGAGTATGCATCTCAAGTATACGAAATATTTCAAACACCTTTCAATATCGTCTAGCATTGCTCAGTTTCAGGCCGAAGCAGCTCTAGTGAAGAGTGACTTAAGAGCGTTGAAGTCGAACTGAAAGCTCTGCTGGCTTGCTTTATGTGGCTCTTAGATGGGAGTATCCATCCGTTTCCCTTCACCATCACCCCCTTTGGACTACGATCTGGCGTATAAAACCAAAAGCTAGGCTGCAGCGCCACCAGTTGCGTGAAGCCAATCGCCAAGTGATCAAGTGAAAATAAGAAGTACCAAATTTAAATACGAAAAATGCGCGGACAATTGAAAACCCTGGGAGTGGGATGTGCGGTACTGGCAGCGGTGCTCCTTCTTCTGGCCGGGAGCAGCGAGGCGAGGCCCATGGACCTGTACGACGACGTGAGCGACTTCTTCGACGCCATCTCGCTGGACGATGTGGCCAACACCGGGCGCAACACTCATCCGGAGCAGTTCTGCCTGATGCCGGCGCGCAAGGGAGTCTGCCGGGCTCTGATCCCCCGATGGCGCTACGATCCGGAGCAGAAAAAGTGCGTGGAGTTCAAATTTGGCGGCTGCGACGGCAACGAGAACAACTTCTCCAGCTACAAGGACTGCATGTCCACCTGTGAGGGCATGTAAGGACCTCCGAATCCAGATCCGGATGGGGATCGGCCTTTCACGGCGGACGTGTTGCCAAAGGCGCCTGCTTTTCCTTCGAGCTCTGAAAAATAGCGAAACAAAGGCAGAATACTCTACTTTAAAACTCACGCACATCACAATCCATGCGATTAACCGTCTCTTCTACCTAATATTTATGTAGTTTCTGTCATTGATCCATTTATGTTGTATTTTTTGGGTGTTCGACGCCCGCCACCCATCTAGAGCTTAAGTTATTGTGATAAAATATTTTTATGGAATAAAACATTTTATAGAAAATAAATTTGGAGTCTTTTTTACTGATGTGAGGAATGGCAAAGTGGGAGGTTTTTCTTACATAGAAAAATTAAAGTAGGTATGGAACCACTTCGGAATATTACTTATTTGGTTTTCATAAACCAAGTTTCACTCCACAGAACATATAAGTTTCACATAACGTGATTCTCTTTAAGCAAAGTATTCACCACCAAGTATTCACGTACATTGTTCTTGAATTGAGAGCCATCGTTTTTAAAAACCGCGTAAGTACATTTTGTTATCACTGTTTTCAATACTAGACCGAAATGGTGATAAACGAAAAGTTAAATTGAGTTTATTTTACAACTTTATGATAAGTATGCGCTACTGACTGGACTAATAGTTTATTTGTTGAGACATACAATGTACATAAATAACGCAAGTTCAATTTTATTTGAGCAAAATGAAAATATTTGCAACTTCCAAAATATCGTTACGTTTTTGAGAACATTTTCAACTCAGATGAGAAAGTCAGAGTTTTCTCTGTGTAGTACAGTTCGTAGTATAAACATTTCAATTAACATTCTAAGTGTTACAGAATATATATTAAATGATTTTTTAATAAGAATTTTTGCGATGGAATCTGCGCCGCCATTCTGAAAAGCGCAGATGTAAAATAAAACTGACAAAAAGAACAACTAATTTAAAAAGAAAAGGCAGGAAGCTGCATAAAGGGACAGACTTCTTGAAAATGTATTAAAGTTGAATTCAAATACAATTTTTTCTGGCTATATCATACAACAATAGAACAGTCTAGAAAAGGCTATATGTGTATGGCAGCCTTGTTTTGAATGCTAGTTTAGAATGCAAGCCAATGCTATAACCGTAGTTTCTAGATAATTCTCGCTGTTTCAAATGTTTGTTGATAACCAAACAATCTCTTAAAAACAGAGCTAAAGATAGATAACTGGTTGTCTGAATATTTATAAACATAGTAGTAAACTACTGATTGGGTTACCTAAGCCAAAACCCGCGAAAACAATTTTCAACGGCCTCAAAAGTGTGAGAGATTGCTTGGCGCAATTGCCAGAGGCCAATATCAGCTTAACTTTCATAGATTTCACTTGGAAATGGTCCAAAGCGGAGCTCAAGCTCTCAATGCAAAACTGGCCCATTCATGCGATCGGTGATCAATCGATCGATCGATCGCAGAGCCAAGCAATAGCAAACAAGATCACAAGCTGCAAAGGTCAAATACGGGTGGATGAGTGGACCACGTAGTTGGGTCTAGGCAAACCACTACGTCAGCGGTAGAAAAACGCACGGATGGGGTACGGTACGTCATTCGGACGTGGACAGATGGACAAACAACCGGTGAGACACTGATTCCAACACCGAATCCGAACCAAAGTCAAAGCAAGTAAACATAAACAATTGAAAGGTGCGAATTCATATTTATACTAAGCTATTGGCAATAAGCCAGACGAAGTAAAGAAAGAAATAACCCAATATCTGATTCAGCCAATATGCATAATTTGAATTCGAAGACGGAGTCGTCGAAGCGAAACGCCGCCGAGGGCAAAAGCCCGACTTGGGTTCGGACTAGGGTCTCGATCTGGGACTGGGCAATTTTCCAAGATTATTAATGTGCGGGCCTGCACCCGTTCGTATAAATAGTTAATGGGCTCGTTTGCGAACAACAAAATCGTTGGATCAATGACCTGAAGCCGCTTGCCAAAACAAAATGCGAAAATGCGGGCCCAACCGGGGAGTTACAACATCCCCAACGGCAAATGGACCGGCTGCTGCTCCAGCTCCATCAGTGTTTTTGATACCCTTCCACAGAGAGACTCTGGACATTGGTCAATCCCAATTCATTCGACTGCTCCAGGGAACTAAATCATTTCAATCCGAGAAAACAAATAAATTCTTGTTTTATTTTTAGAAACTGGATGTCAACATTCCATTTATTGATTACATGTGGCATCTTTTTTTAATGAAACAGTTTAGAAAAGTATAACTTTAATAGATTCCTGTTGCAGAAAGCAAAAATTTGGCTTTGCACTTACAAGTTGTAATAGAAAGCCGATTGCAACTCACAAATGTATTTATATATATTTACTACATTGTGAACACTAGCTTTATAACTTTTTCGAACTCAGAGTGACTCCTTTGTAAACCAAACCATAAAATTCTGTAAAGGAATCAAAGTTCCCATTTTATGTTAACGTTATTATATACATAAATCTATAAAAGTCTCCGATTGAAGAGTGTTTTGCAGTGCCCTTCCGTGTTTCTCTTAAAAACTGTCTCTCACCCTACCCCAATCAATGTTATAATTTATTAAGTTGGATTTACTAATTCACAATGAAATTGGCTCAACAATTCTACAATATCGAAGGGAAGTGAGGGGAGCGGCATTGGAGCTTCAATCAAGTTTGCGCATGCGCAACTTTTCTTTTCGCAATGCCGACAGGCGGGTTCCGAACTCGGCTAAGCTTCTGGCATATTCTCGCCATTGGCCAATCGGCAATATACCATACAACAATACAAATGGCTAACAAAATGCTGCTGAGGAGTCAATAAACCTTTTTAACCTGCATATCCATAGCAGCAGCAACAACAACCATTGCAACAAAGGCAGCCAGCATGGAAAAATAATGGCAAAATAGGAGCTAAAGAAATTTGAAAAATTTTCGCCGTTTGTTGTGGCTAAAAATAATTAAAATGCAGCACGCCATGAAAACCTCACAATAACAAATTTTCCGCCTTTTCAGCGGCAATAAAACAAATGCAATTTTAAATCGCAATTGTTTGCTTACCGAACTTATGCATGTATTTATTTAAGACACGTACGCTGAGCTGACATAAGTGCAGCGGCATCACGAGTCGGGCGACCACAGGTCCCAACAACAAACCCTCGGCGGATGGAGCTACCCATCCTCCAAAACATGCCCCTTTACCGCCAGCCGCCCAAGTCGATGAACCTTAATGTAAGCAGCCAGTAAAAGTCGGTTCTTTGTTTTTTCCCGCTGCTTTTTGAGCCGGCGAAGCTGGTGGTGGGAAAAATACATAGTAGTAGTAATAAACAAGACAAGCCCAGCATTGTTGGTGCAGCTGATAGTGCAAATATGCATAAAAGCGCAAACAACGAAGCTACCATGCATAATGGAAATGATAAACGAAAAGCAGGGAGCTCAAGTCTCGCCTTGTTTACGTGGCGTATACGTAACGACAGAAGTGCAATTTAGGAGCTTCCGTTTTTACTTGTAATCGGGAAAACGAGTGCCTCGACTATCAGATACCCGTTAATCAGTTAAGAAACTTTAAAAAAATACAAATTTTTCGTTTCATCTGCCTTACATCTTTACGTTCTACGTTTTTCACTTTTGTCTAACTTATTTGGCTGTAACGTCACTAGTCGGTTTCTTCCAAGAAACTGACGAAAAATGATTACGTATTAACTTATACTCCGATTTAAAAAATTTACGGCGTGCTGGAAGGTATTTACAATAGGAATATAATAAAGTGTGTTTTATATTGTAATCTTTGAAAACGTAGGTGGCTTGTGGGCGTTCCGTTGGGCGTGGAACCCTGCTGAAATACACTTCCGATGCTTAATAATCTTTAGAATCACATATGTACTTAATCTCAACTTTCTAGCTTTTAAGGTTTACGAGACGCTCATACGGACGTTTTTGTGGGTGTTAGCGTGTGGGTGGAAAGAATCTCCAGAATCCACACGCTTAATACCAACTTTGTAGCTTTTATAGAATTCGAGAAAACAGCGTTCTTACGGACAGAGGGACATGTACCAATTCGGCTATTGATCGTGATCTAGAATTTGTATTCTTTATAGGGTCGGAAGCGCTTTTTTCTGCCTTTTACCTATTTTTCATCATATTTTTGCATATTTCCTAAGAGTAAAGGGTATACAAATAATAATAAAAGACTGTTTTTATTTATATTGTTATTGAAAAAAAATTTTCAATTTATTTTAAAAAATCTTCAAAAGTATTGGCGTCAGACTACAGACTTTAGCTCTAGCTATTATAGTTTACAATATCTCAGCGTGCCTTCGAACGGGCAAACAGACAGACATGGCTAGATCTACTCAGCTAGTGATCCTGATCAAGAATATATTTAATTTGTGGGGTCGGAAACGCTATCATCTTTAAATCCCGGTGAATATAATATATTCTAAGCTCTCTAACGCGTACATAGCGCAAAAGATATGAGGATAAATATTAGTAAATGCGGCACTTAAAAAACGAGAAAACGGTGATCGGAGGGTTGATATGGAACGTTCCATATATTCTTTTACTCTACAAGCAACTGGGTATAATATTTGTGCATGCGTGATACTACGATGGAGAAAAACGTATCTTTGGATTAATTTTGATACAAATTTTGAAAAGTACATACATTGTTTAAAACAAATTTTACAATTTGAGTTTTTTTTTATCTTTTAATCAATCTATTTTATTTTATATTCCGTGTGATTTAAAAAATATTTATTAATTGTTAAAAGAAAGAAGTGTTATTTCTGAATTGTCAAAGCATAAATATTTTTTGGCAGTTTTTAGTTAAAAAATCAAAATCAAAGCAAAAATATAATTGTATATGTATTTTAAAAATTTTATCCTGTCCCTGGTTTCATAATCGTGGAGTTTTTTTGCATTAAGCAACTTTACCTCAATAAATTTTGTTCTAGATTTCAAACGTTTACAACAACTCTCAACAACTGTACTGAAATACACGGGCTATAAGTTGTTAGTAAGATATTTTAAACTGACAAATGCGTATAAAGTTTTCGACCAAAAAACTCGATACTAGAAATTTTGTATGTAGAATTAATATTTTGTTTTAAAAAATAACATAAATAAATCAAAGCAATGTTCCGATGAAAAATTCCATAGAGCATCTTATCACTCTTTCGTTTTGATAAAACCAAAATACGTAATAAAAAGTTGGGCTCTTCATAGATAACACAAAGCAGTGACACAATTCGCATGCTC